ACCAAATACTTTCATGTAACAGTGTGTTTATTAGGCTACTTTGATTGAAGTAGCACGCACTGAATCACAGGATTTATGGGGCCATAAGGGACGCACCTGATGCAGCCTTTAACATCCAAGAAAAGGAGGACACTTTTGAAGGAGCCTTTGAAATGGGACAGCCTTCGACTCGACCATAGACTGTATACGGCCTATGCCTTCGATGCTTTGCTGGGATGCATTCGGTCTTCAAATGTGGCCTTTCAAGGCTGCAGCCCCTGAATTGGGACACAGCTGTAGGGTTGGGCTGTTTGTTCTCTCAGCACTGCCAGTTGTTGTGTTATAATTCTACACTACTTATATGATATATATTATTTCAAGATTCTGTATGTGCATTTGAACCTTATAATGTGGTGCATAGTCACAGTCAGATCCTAGATTATTTTCACTATTTCTACCAGAAACCACAAACTTCAGACTTTTTAACTATTCATTTAAATAATTTTATTGACAATAAAACCTGGTGAATTAATCATATATCATTTTTTAATGATGCTTTGAATAAATTGTCTTTTTTTTTTACCTTAAAACTTTTGTCCTTTACCCTGTAGTCCATTAAAGCAAATAATGTGTACAATATACGGATTGTTTGTGGTCATAAAAGGCACAACTGTTAAATAATTTATTGCTAGAGTGGTCTTTGTGAATAAAGCCAGCACTGAGGGTAACAGCTGTTGAACTGAACTCTCTTTGAACTCATATAGTCCTACTTTTTCACATCTCCAGCCACTCACTACAGGCAGCATTTCACCAATACTGACTACAGCAGAGGGAGAGCCCCAGACCTCTCTGTTTGGCCACTTTACACCAGCAGGGGGCAGCATTAGACTGATGTCACTGCATCTGGAGTCAGGTCATGAAACAACCTAACTGCCACTACTCTGTATAATTAGGATCCTATTAGAAGAAAAAAGCACATTTTGAGGAAAATAAAGAAATTATAACCATAAATAAGGACTCTATTCAAGAATGAAGGATCTGCTGAAAAGGCAGGTATGAGAGATTTAGCGTATTTCCACACTGATTGTTTATAAATCAATCAATCAGTCTTTATTTGTGTAGAACTTTTCATACAAAAACAATGTTGCACAGTGTTTTACATAGCAAAGGAATGAGAGAAACAAAGAAAAACCTAATCTACTCCAACCCAACCCCTCATTCCCACCCTGCAATCTAAATACAATAGAAACTTGAATTAAAATGCATGAACTTAAAAAGGGTTTGATTTCATATAAACAGGAATGTGCGCACTAAGGAAACACTGGAGGTTAAAAATCTAAAAACAAAGTAACATAAAATGAAATTTAAGAAATAATAAATAGAATGAGATAAAAACAACAGTAAATAAGAGCACAAAGTAGCTCTATAAAAGATGATCCAGTCATTAAAACTAGAAGACATAAATGCTAAAACACTTAAAGTTAATGAAATAAAATTTAGTTAAAAGCAAGACTAAAATACATAAATAAATAAAAAAATAAGTCAAAAGTCTTCTCTGAGACTAATATGTCTTGACTGTAAAAAGGGTGTCACAACTTTAAAAAAAAGCAACACTAACAGAACAATAACATATCTACAATACGTTTTTACTAAGTATTTTGACTTCATCCTTTATAAAACACAATAAAATAAAATCTCAGTTTGATGAAAAAAGGTTCAAATTCACCAACAACAGCTCTGAGTATTGTGATGTTAGACTGGATTGAATTTGTTAGAGTTTATCGGTCTATAAAAAGACCGAAGGAAAACACTGGTTCACTCTCTTTTACTTTTGACCATGAGGCCCATAGTTGTAAATTGTGGGATATAGTAACAACAGTGTTAAAGTAAACTTGATTAAATAGAATTATCTTTATTTGAAATATAAAATTTGGTCAACAGTTTAAATATAATCTAATTCAAATGAAAATCCTCTCTCATTACTTTGTAGAGAGCAGAGCAGTGGATTAAAACTTTTAATCCACTGCTCTGTCCAACACTTTGTCTGACGGGAAGTAAGTGGTGTGACACTGGGCGTTCCGTCCTATAAAAGAGCCCGCGGAATGAAAGCAGAGTAGTTCCGGAGGTTCATTACACTTCTGGTGAGGATTAAGAGTAAATTTGACACTTTTGAACGGTATAAAATATTTAATATTAACACGTTTTTCAATAAAGAACCACAATCTTGGTCATGATTTGAAAAATAATGGCAGATTAATTAAACCAGAATCATTCATCGTGTTAAATAGCTGTTTTAAAATATAATGAAAAAAGAAAAAAAAAAAAAAAAAAACAATCCAACAAATGGGTGTTTATCAATTTAAGAACATATCTAGAATTAAGGGTTTTATGTCCCAAACTGATCAGGAGAAGCTGATTCATGCTTTAATCTCCAATAGACTCGACTCCTGTAACGGTCTTCTGACTGGACTCCCCCAGTAAAGTATCAAACAGCTGCAGCTCATTCAGAACGCTGCCACTCAAGTTTTAACCTGAACAAAGAGATCAGATCCCATCACCCTAGTTCTTAAGACCTTACACTGGCTCCCCATCAGCTACAGAATAGATTTAAAATTTCTGCCACTGGTTTAAAAATCTCTAAATAGTTTTGGTCCAGAATACATGAATGATATGTTAGTAGAGTATAAACCCAGTAGAGCTCTGAGATCTACTGACTCAGGTCAGATAGTGGAGCACAGAGTTTGAACCAGACATGGTAAAGCAGCAATTAGCTCTTATGCTGCACACAACTGGAACAAACTACCAGCAGAACTGAAATCAGCCTCAACTGTAAGCACTTTTAAATCCAGGTTAAAAACATTTCTCTTTTCATGTGCTTATGGCTGAGCTCTTTTTAATAACTTTAAACTTTATCTGTTGCTCCTGCTTTTAACTGTGTTTTATTGTTGTTTTTATGCTGTTCTTTTAAAATTAAAAAAGTTTTGTTTTTTTGTTAAGCACATTGAGTTGCCTTGGTATGAAATGCACTATATAAATAAAGATACCTTGCCTTGCCTTGCCTTGCCTATCTGAGAGAAAACCGGTTTATTCTGGTTCATAATTGTCCTCCATGTGCAAAGTAACGGTGTGTCATTGTAAACGTCAGTTTCGTTCTTTTGGTTGTAGTTTTTGACCATTTTGAATCTGGAGGAAACAAACAGCAACTCAGAAGCACCAGGCAGAGGACACACAGACACACTTGTGTGTTCCTCTGGTTTCGGCATTGAAAATTTTCTTAAGAAAACATGAATTTCTGAGTCAGCCTTAATAATTCAGTTCAGTGTTTAGTTACTCCAACCCTGCTTTGGTAGGACTGTTTCGCTGGTTCTTGATTCAAAGCATCTCAAAGATTAGACAACAATGAAAAATAAGTATTTTTAAGTATAAGTATTTTCTAACAGGTGTTTCAGAAAGACTGATGCATTCAAGACTTATGACCGTAGACTTTATTTAGCTCATCACAAGACCAAACATTTTTGTATTTTGATTTTGAAACATGGACTTTCCTTGGAAGTTTTTTGTTTCTGTTTAAAGTCAAATTACTGGGCTATTTACTCATTGGTAATACTGCATACAATTGACAAGAACCCTGTATAACCCAATTTAAGACACAGCAAACTATTCTTTCTGAGCAACAAACTGATCCTTCTTTACAGTCTGTCAATTATGAAATAGGTCAACATAGTCGCATATTCTGTAATAAAGTTATAGTTCTGGTGTGTAATAGTTCTGCTCTCGTAACTTTTTTTAAATGTTTTCGTTTTTTTACGAAGTTTTATATTTAGTAACTGATAACTGGACATTTTGACTTTGAGAGATCACAAATGTCTACAGCAGTGGTTCTCAAGTCCAGTCCTCGAGGCCCACTGTCCTGCATGTTTTGGATGTTTCCCTGCTCCAACACACCTGATTCAAATGATCAGCTCGTTATCAACCTCTGTAATGGCTCAATAACGAGCTAATCATTTGAATCAGGTGTGTTGGGGCAGGGAAACCAAAACATGCAGGACAGTGAGCCTCGAGGACTGGACCTGAGAACCACTGGTCGACAGGACACCGTAATGATGCAATGCCACAAAACGTTTTGCTTAAAGAGTTATCATGAAGAAGATTGGTCTCATTGTTTTATTCTCAGTGATAGACTTTAAAATGCCTGCCAAAACATTTTTTTTTTAATTTTGTTTAATTTGGACACAGTTTGGTGCCAGTTTTAAAGGTCATAATGTACTTTTGATATGGGAAAAAGTTCTAAAGGTTTTCGTGTTTATTATCCCTGTGAAGGGAGTTTTGATAAGAAAACTCATTAGTGCAGATTGTGTTAGAGTTCATTGTCCACAAGTTAAGAACCAGTTTGCAAAGTTTGGTACATTTTCATGTTGGTGAATGCAGTTTTCCTGATAGAAAGAGAAAGCAGAGTGAGCTTCACCCAGCTGTCTTCCTTTCCTTTCCTGTCATCTTGTAATCTGCACCTATCCTCCACTGCTCTACACAATGAAAGCAAACTGTTTCTGCAATCTTGCTCATAAAATAGCACCACAATATAACTCAAGTGATCCTCGTGTCTTCTGACAATGACACAAAAATGAGTATCAGATACCTTTATGAAACAGGCCATTCCCAGTCTCTCTCTGCTTTAAGTTTGTTATGAATTGCCAAGAATAGACAGACCAAAACATCATAAAGAAGAAATAAGAGAAAAAATACCATAAAACAATACCATTGTGTTTTTTTCCCACCAACCTCTATTTAAGAGCTGACAGTAATTTTCTATCACCATACACCAACTCAGTTTTTGTGTGTGTGTGTGTGTGTGTTCATGTCAAATGCTGAAATTTAGCCTGGATCCTGCAGTGGGCAGTATGTATCTCCTTCATGGATGAGAGGAAGACAATTTTCTCACTGTAAAAAACAAAAAGCTCTGCCAGGACTTTTTGTCAAAGACTTAGTTTCTGATGTTCTACTTTTCTATATTAGAATTTATTCTACAGCATATGGGGAAGGAAGGTAAAGGCTGAGGAGGAGATGAAGAGGCTGGGGAAGGAAGGGAGAGGCTGAGGAGGGGAGGGAGAGGCTATGCTGCTCTGGTCTGAGGCAGGAGAGGAAAGTTTAGTCCTCCTCTGCTCGACAGCAGCAACAGAGGACCGTCTTCAACCTGCTGAAGAAGCTTCGGACCCTCTTCAGTAGCTTCCTGCTGCGGCTGGTGGAGGCTGAAGCCAGGGAGGCAAGGTCTGATTCCCGAGAGGCAGAGGCAGAGTGTAGAGGCTGGGGAGGGGAGGGAGAAGCTGGGGAGGGGAGGGAGAGGTTGGGGAAGGAAAGTAGAGGCTGGGAAGGGGAGGGAGAGGCTGGGGAGGGGAGGGAGAGGCTGGCAAAGGAAGGTAGAGGCTGGTGTGGGGTTGGTGAGCTCCCCATCACACTTGTGGTGCTGTTCAGGAAGAAAAAGGGTGAAGATCAATCAGTGAATCAATCATCAATACAGCCAGTGAGACAGATGTCTGTGTGCATGTTAAATATCAGATTCTTTCTGAATGCTTTGAATGCTCTAAACTTTTTGTTTTGATCTCTGTAAAGCATCTGAATCCCTCTGTGCATGAATGGAGCTTGACAAAATAATGCTGCCTTGCTTTGCTTCATCCACACAGTCACTTACTCATCTGACATCTCTGGAGACATGACCTGGTGTCTCATGGTCAAATAACTGTGCTGCAGAGCTGTCGCAGGAGAGATCCTCATAAACCCATCGAGATGGAGGACATCTTTCAGAAAGTCTGCGAAAGCCAGCCTGTCCTCCATCTCTGCAGAATCACCGCCTGAATAGATCTGAAATTTGGAGACAGATTCATGTCAGCTGATGCTCACTAACTAGTTCTGATTTGTCTTTAAAACACAGTAGAGAGGACCTACATGAGCCAGATCCTCCAGTGATCTCAGAGGCACTGTGTAATCCAGGAGGGCGCTCCTGGAATTCTCTGCCTCATACTCTCTGGGTGTCTGTAGAAACAAAATGTGTCAGATGACAGTTTTTTCAAAGTGTTTGAGAGAGGAGATTTTACAAAGAAAGAGGAACATGGTTTCTCTACCAGCAGCCTCCATGCCAGCGGATCCTCCAGGTTCCACCAGGGGTCCTGCTTAAAATACCGGTGGGTGTTTTTACCAGCGGCAAGCAGGTAGTCCTCAGGCTGGCCCAATGTAATGACTATTTGTTTCATCTGCAGAAAAAAATAAAGAAAAAGACGGTCAGGGGAGGGTCTGCAGAAAGTCTCCTCTGTGTGTGAAGAAGGTCACCTACCATCAGATAGTCACAGTTGACTGCGAATAGGTTATCTGCCAAAAACAGGGAGGCCAAAACACAGCCGACCCCCCACATGTCAATTGCCTCCGTGAGGGGCAGGCCCAAGGAGACCTCTGGAGCTCTGAGGAGGAAGAAACACACAACAGGTTAGAAGTCTGTCTGCAGACACAGGAGACTTTATCAAGAGTCAAACTCCTCTGATTTAACCCCTGAGCTGCAGGATGAACCCACCTGTATCCAAGAGGCTGAAACAGGGGACCACGTGGGAGTTGGGTTATTGGAATCGCCTCTCCAAAATCGATCAGTTTGACCCTGAAGGGCTGGCTGCGACTGACCAGCATGATATTATCTGGTTTTATGTCGCAGTGGACAATCCCCAGACCCTTCAGGGCGTCAAGAGCGACCATCAGCTGCAGGATTAAAAAGAGGACAGACTTTAGTTTTTCAGCTGCTGCTGAGCTTGATCAAAGAAGTTTCTTATAAAGCATTAAGCACCAACAGGATCCCTGAGCTCACATTGGCTTGAAAGTTACCAGAAAACCAAACAGACCAGAGCAAACACATCAGGTGTGCAAAACATGTCATGTACAATGAGCACACTAAATCTTAGCCAAATTATTGATATTTTCTGATTCTGATTCTAACTTAGAGTTTCTTGCAGTCTGGCTGTAAATATCTGAGAAAAATTCTCCTCCTGAGCTGTCTGAAGTCTTGAACTCAAACAGCTCTCAGCTGTCTCTGTTTTGATAGGGAGCTACATTTGTACAACTGATCTAACTGCTGACATACCTGCTGAGCGATTGGTCTGATGGCGCTAACAGAGAGTGGTGGGCTGCTATTTAGCAGGTCGTACAGATCAATGTCCAGCATCTCGAATGCCAGACAGCACTGTCCCACGTGGTCAAATCTCTCGATGAACCGGATCAAGTTGGAACTTTCAGGATCCAGGACTGAGAGCCTCTCTAAGGTGGAGATCTGAGGAGGAAAGAGGAGACAGCACAAACGCTCAGAAAACTGTACCACCTCATGACATCTTCAACTCTGTACTTATTTATCATCTAAAACATCAGTTTGAAGCACCAAATATTCTCCATTCTTGCCTTAAATTCATCAGTTTTTAGTCAAAATGAATCAGGAAAAGAAAAATTCTAGAGCCAATGATTCACAAACAACATCCAATATCTCCCACTTCAAATAAAACAGATACTCTATACAGCATTTTACACTCTGTACATATCTAAATTACTAGGAGAGCATGATGCATAAAGTTGACAAGATTGACAAAGGACTAAATCAAGTTAGACTGTAAAGAATTGGACATAGTTTTACATGATTTTACTGTAAAATGAATGAATGAATGAATGGTTTTATTTTTGGTCACAATAACAACAAATGAGAAACAAACAGAATTATAAACTTGACCAAAAAAAGGATTAGGCGGAAGCACAATGCTTATAGTTGCCTATCCTTTACAATCCTTATAACATCATTTTAATATTTAAAACAGTTGATAATGTTGAAATAAGATAAAAAAAGAAAGACACTTTAATATTAAAAAGAAAACATTAAAATAATATGTTGCACTACGAAAGGAAAAAAAAATCATAATGAATGAAAGAAAATGTCTTACTCAAAGCTGTATGTACTCCTGAATTATTTTGCTTTTTAATGCTTTTTTAAACATTACCTGAGAGTTACACAAGTTTAACCCATCGTTAAGGTTCTTCCGTTGCTTAACTCCCCAAACTGAAACAAATCTAGCTTTCATATTTGTTCTTGCATTTTTATCTGTTTTAAAAATATAAACCCCTCTTAAATTGTACCGTCCTTCTCTTGTTTTAAAAAGATGTAGAATACAACCTGGGAGGCTTTTACTCTTAGCCCGAAAAACAATTTCCAAAGTTTTGGTGTACACCATGTCTACAAATTTTAATGTATTAGACTTAATGAACAATGGATTGGTTGATTCAAGGTAACTGGCTTTATTTATTATTCTAATAGGTTTTTTCTGTAATTTAATGATTGGGTCTATATTTGTTTTATATACATTCCCCCATACCTCAACACAGTATGACAGATATGGCACTACAAGTGAAAAATACAAAATATGCAAACATTTCCTATTCAACAGCTCCCTTGTTCTATACAAAATACCCACAGATTTGGCTAATTTACCTATAATATATTGAATATGTGGTTTCCAACAGAGTTTATGATCCATAATAATACCCAAGAACTTTGTTTCATATACTCTTTCTATTTCTGTTTCATTTATGTTCAGTTTAATTTCACAGTCAAAATACCATGAATTTGGTTTTCTTTTCATTGAGTGACAACTTATTTCTATCAAACCATTGTTTTAACTTGATCAGTTCCCTTTCAACTGTTATCATTAATTCTTGTATTTCGTCCCCTGAGCAAAGTAAATTAGTATCGTCAGCAAACGTAACAAATTTAAAAATATGAGAATCAGCTGCACAATCAAAGATAAACTTATAGCCTGAACTTTATGTTCATGTTGAAGTATCAGTAATAGTTTGATTGCACTTCTTCCTTTATTTTTTTAAATATCAGCAGAAATATTCATAAAAAATAAAAATAAAAAAGTCAGATTTGATGTGCCACACAAAGGTCTGATGAGTCATGTCTGCTGTCCCCTAGTGGATTATGTTTGTACTGCATGTATCTGGTTTAGTTTAACAGTTGTCTTTGAAAAGTCTGACCTCAGTGAGGATGCTGAAGTCTAAAAATGTGTGTATTATTAAAGCAGATCAAACTCTGCAGAATCAAACGAGTCCTAAAGTCTACCTCTTTCTTAGTATCATGGAAGACTCCAGGGGTCTCCTTGCAGATCTTGATGGCCACTGTCTCCCTGGTCCGAATGTTCAGGCACTTGGCCACTTTTCCAAAATAGCCCTCACCAATGAACTCCAAGACGGAGTAGGCAGACAAGCTGCTCAAAAGGGTGTCGCCTCTCTGCACCTCAGTGGACATTTCCATACTGTAAGCTCTTCTTCCTCTCACAGACTTCAACGATATTAAAAATCCAATCAAACAAAAGTGAACTCTAAACAAAGCTCTCAATAAAAGTAAACAATAAATATCTCTCTTCTCCAAAATTGCTCTTCCTCTCTTAACAGCGGTGAACGATCAAAATCTCTCTCTTCTCGCAAATGTGTGCTGCTCGCTATCAATGCTGATGGTGAACAGAGTGAAAGTCCAGCAGAAAATTCAACTTATAGTATTGAGCCGTTGTGATGGTGATTTAAACATTGTTGTGATTCAAATCAGCTCCTCAGTCCTGCTTCTGTCAGACTGAAGACAAGAGTTTTCTGCACTTTTGACTGAAGATTTACTGACATTTTAGATCCATACAGTCAGACAGCGCAGTCACAGGAACTCTGTCCGAGTGTGTTTGATGGAAAAAGTCATCATCAACTCATTTTAAAGGGTTTCTAGTGCTCTCTGTTTCATTCAAAGACCCTTTATTTCCAATAATAATAATAATAATCTATCACTAAGCAACATTCTTACCACAAAACAAAACAAAACAAAACAACAGAACTTAGTTTCAAATTGACTTATCGGTCACTGAACTATACTGTAGTCATACCATGAAGTAAACAAAACAAGCATAATAATAAATATCAGTAAAAGACAGCATTTCAAGCTGACATTTCTACAAGAATCATTGGTTACTTTTGTCATAATTTCTAATTGCATTTTCCTTTAACATTTTCTTGGTTTGTAAAATATTTGTACAGGTCTTCAATTCATTACTTTGACAGTTCCATAGTTTAACTCCCACTACAGAGATACAACTCAACTCAACTCAACTTTATTTATAGAGCACTTTAATTACAAACAAAGCTAACACAAAGTGCTGTACATAACATAAAAACATTAAGTCGGGTCACAAAGTGAGATTCTGTGACCATCCTTTGGCAAGGATGTTTTGACGATTGATTTGACCTCTATGGACCCTTTAGTAAAGAGGGTCGCAAAAATCCCGGTATTTTTTGCTGGACAGCCAAATTCAAAATGGCGCCTGGAGACAAATGTCTTCGTGCTTTCTGAAACCTCATTTAGTTTTAGACATGATAAAAAATGATGAATAATGGAGGCACAGCGCAGTGCTTGCATTGAATGCAATTGTTTTTCTGAAGTCCCTTATTTATCAGTCACTTTCCAGGTCGGTATCCCCAGTCTTCACCAAACATGATGAGTGTGAAAAGAAGAGAAGACCTCCTGGAAAAGTCCAAACTTAGACAAGGCACAACCCCAAACTCTGTCAGAAGGGCTGTGTTTGAGGGAGAGTACGTTTAGAGACCAGGCTCTCAAACTGGTCTCTGCTCAGGAGGTTCTCTGTGATACTTTTGCTCTCCTCGAACTTAGGCAGGATGACAGCGATGTATCCTTCAGTGGATGGCTGTTTGGATTTAAACATAAAAACACTTTCACACTTTCAATTATCTGACAAAGTGAAACTCCAATAAACCAACACTACAGTTATTAATGACAAAAACTAACATTATTTATGAGTTACACAAAGTATTTCATGTCAAATAATCAGGTACAGAATGTGAATTCACAGATGGACATAAACGCATATGCACATGACTTTGATAAATGCAGGGCAAAAACATCCTCTTTACCTTTTCCAGCAGGAGTGAAGGTGTTTCCAAAATACTCTCATTGACCTCGAGTAACCGGCCCCGGATGCAGCTATGAATGTAACACACGTTATTGAGGAGGAGTCACAAACATATAGAACATAAAACTGGACCAAAAACTGCTGCCTCACCTGTAGATCGTGTACTCAGTTTCATCTGTGCATGTTATCCTACACAGAGGTGCGTAATCAGTGAGGAACTGACCGCCCTGTAATGGGTACAGAGAAGGTTAAAAAGCAGAAAACTCACAGGTGTGAAAAACATAAAAGGTTTACAAATGTAGAACTGAATACATCTTTCTATGGGGTCAAAACTTTAGATGAATTTACCCTCTTGGACTTTCCAGAAACTTTATTTTTCAGCCGACTGCAGCCGTTACTGATCTGGTAGTTGATGCTTTTGATTGTTCGTCCGTCCTGGAGGATCGGGTGAGTGTGAGCTAACGTGACAACACATATTCTGAAGAGAGGACAACAAATTCAACTGCTATCAGTCGATACAAGTGTCACAGTGAACAGGGTTAAAAACAATAAGATAACAAAATTTTTAGATCAAAACAAACTGCTGACTCAGAGAGTAGCTCCTCCATTTCTACAGAACTAAATCTTTACATCTGTAGTTTTATTTACGGTCTAGAAAATTAGAGTTTAAATTTTCTTAGAAGAACTTAATTAATCCCTAAAGGGAAATTCAATGTTCTACACTGTAGCCTTTATGAAGCTTTTATCTTTTATTTGAATTGTATTTTTCAAGGACACTAGTACCCAGTACTAGTATTGAGTACTAGTACTAGTACTAGTACTCAGAAATGTCTTTCAACTTCAGATTGGAAGTTGTAGTAGTTATCCCAGGGTTTAACAAAATATGTGTATATACCAGTGGCGATTGCTGTAAGGCTGCAAGGGAAGCTCAGCTTCCCTTAAAATGCCCCCCCCCCCCCCCCCCCCAAAAAAAAAAAAAAAAAGAAAAAGGTGGTGAAATACGTACTGCTGTGTGTACATTTCATTAACTAAATACGCGCTAGAAAGCCTTCATCTTTTGTTCAGAATCAGCTTCTTATCACACTGTGATAAGAAGCTAATAATCACAGCTCTAAACTTCGTTCTCATTCATCCTCGCAGCGCCTCAGCGCTTCACACAGTCGGACGCTCAGCTTCTGCTGACTTCAATGTGGAAGCTCAAAGTGGGTTGTTCCAGCAGCGAAACTAGACGCTCATTGGATAAATGCTGGGCTTTGTCCACTGCTCTGGTAGAGAGTAGTACTTTACACCAATTATCATCCTGAGTGCTCAGTGTTTATTTTGAATGTAACTCCACTGATATGATTACGTCATAGTGTGGAAGCACGTGGGTCATGGCGCATGGGCTACTTGGATGCAGCATGTTTCTTGAATATTGATGCAGCGTTAATGAACGCGCATGCTCTGACTGCAGGACCATGACAGCTCGTGGATCCTGGTTTGTGAGGGGATACCGTAAAGTCTGTCTGTGTGAGTGTTTTCCCCTCCAATATTTAACTCGACTCGACCTCCACACTTAGACACACAGACACACAGACACACACTCTACGCTCACAGCGTGGTTACTGCTGTACTTCAGAAAGTAAACTCAGAAGTTGGACAGAAGACACGGACCGGATCATTTCTGCACGGAGCCGGATTCAGTAAAAAGCATAGACTGTATATAGAATGGACGCCGTCTGCCTCCACGCCACAACAGCACCCTCTGGTGACGGGCTGCAGTATAGGTCATAAATCCCGCCTCCTCCAGCAATCCCTATGGGGTTGTGGACAAAATTTAGAAATGGATTACACAGAACATATTTTTTTCCCCCGCTTGCGATGGTTTGTGTTCAAGTCCTCTTTTTTTCTGTACAGCTTCATTTTTAAAAGTTATTTGGGGGTTCATGTTTTCTATGATTGACACTTGATACAGCCAATGGGCGTACGAAGATTACATACATACATTACATCATGCTGTTTGAGCTGAGCATCATCACAGCAGCTCTAAGCGACTCTCCCACCAATTACGCACAATCTACTGTGCAAGTGGTGGAGTGCATACAACACTACTGCGCAATGTTGGTTTCAGGAAGTGGAGAGAAAACGCAGAATTACAGAGAGCTTTTCGACTTCAAATCTTCTGTATACTGCGCTGTGTTGTTTTCATCAACCTCACCGTCAACAAAAACAACACTGCAGAATATATGTTTAGCATTTGACTGACGAAATGCTCATGAATTTTGCAACTCTGTTCATCGTCCACCACTAACATTTTCGTCTAATCTCGTCAACATAAACGCACATTCATCTCGTCACATTTTAGTCATCTAAGACGTATGTTTAGCTCGTAAACGTCACGTCTTCGTCATGAAAAAAAAAGGGCGTTGACGAAATATTCAACGATAGTCAACGAAAACAACACTGTACTGCGACATACGGTGGAACCAAGTTGTCCATAGTATGTACAGTCTATGGTAAAAAGAGTGATTATAACACAGTTTTGTTTACAGCTATAGCAGTGTCTCGCATAATAAACAACAAAATTAAACTAGATGTTCTTTTTTAGCATTTTTAACTCAAACTGCATCATATAGTCTGACTCTTATTTTTCCACTGGTATAGTTCTTTTTATAATGGCAGTTACTAAGGCGGTGATTGTCCTATGTACAAGATGTACAAATATATTGTGTTACAGCAGCAGGAATAGACTTCAGCATGTTCCCAGGGTGACAGCTTTTGGATCAAATAGATCCAGGAGGAGTAAACACAGAGTTGGCATGCAAACAGAAGCAGAGGTACAAAAGGACTGAAAAACAGTGAAACAATACGTGCAGAGCGTTAAACAGGTTATCAGAATGGGTTTAAACATGTAACACAAGCCATGTTTACCCCATGTTCCTTTATCATGAGAATGTTTGTAGAATAAGAGTCTAAAAGTCCTGTAATCTGATCAGTCAGATCTGTGACTGAAGGATGTTTTTTTATGTACTGACAAAAGCAAAGAGGGGCAAAGCTGCAGTGATTTCTCTGGGGTCTTAGGTGGTGATGTGACAACTGTGACAGCTTCCCATAAGTAGCACTAAAGGTCATCAGAAGCTGGTAAGCCTTAGCCCTAGCTGATTGCAACTCATCGTGGTGAAGACTGTGCAATCCTGCTGGCTGGATGAGGTACTGCAGCATATCTCCTCTTCCCCCAGCAGAGGTCTCTGTTCATTCAAGTCCTGCTTCATATCTGATCTGCCACCCTTTGGGTTTGAATCAGGACAAGATGTGATTTTCTTTTCATATTTTTTGTGAATGTCTTTCACCACAAAGTTATACTCCTCTAAAGTTTCAGTAGGTGACTTCAGGCAGTTGGTCATGTCCCAGTACATGAAATACAGCTTCACGCTTGTGTTGCAATTTTGTACCCAGTCTGCAGCAGCTGCTGGCAGCTTGTGTTTCACGATCCTTTCATTCAGCTGGGTTGACCTAACAACACAGTCCATGCTGATGTCCTTGTCACAGTGGTGGAGGATGAAGATGATGGCTGGGGTGATGATGATACAGTCTTGATTCCTGACATGAAATGTTATTTATTTGTTTGAGTTGAGGATTTTTTCCATTATTATTTTTTAAAAACTTTTTCTTGATAGAGCAGTTGAACAAGGACAGGGATCTGGGAAGAGGAGAATGCGGGGTGACATGCAGCAAAGGGTCATGGCCATAGACTGTATATACTATCGACAACTTGGTTCCACCTTCCGCCAGTATACAGATTTGAAGCCAAAAAACTCTTGGTAATTCTGCGTTTTTTTCTCCACTTCCTGAAACCAACATTGTGCACACTCCACCACTTGCGCAGTAGCATTGTACCTATCCGGCGAGAGAGTCGCAGAGAGTGGCTGTGATGACGCTCGACTCAAACAACATATCCCCCGGGTGAGCTACACAATCTACGTACGCACATAGGCCGTATCAAGTGTCAATCATAGAAAACATGAACCCCCTAATAACTTTTAAAAATGGAGCGGCACAGAAAAAAAGAGGACTTGAACACAAACTAGTCTTACAAACATGTCAACATCGTGAGCAGGGAAATTTATACTCTGTGTAATAAATTTCTAAAATTTGTCCACAGCTCCGTGAGCTTTGCTGCGGGAAGTGGGATTTATGACCTATACTGCAGCCCGTCACCAGGGTGTGCTGTTTGCGGAGTGGTGCTGAAAATGATGTCACACCTGAGTTACTAGCGTTTCGGTTACCAAGTCAGAAAAAAGCAAAACTGGAGGCGGAAACAAGATGGCTACATGAACGAAAGTTATTTTACCACTTGCCTTGTCAGAATATTGCAAGCACTAAATATGTTTGTTTTATAAAATGAGCTAGTGTATGTGTATGATTAAGAGGAATATGCAGAGATAACCAGACGAATAACTGTAACAGACTCCGATATTTCACCTAAACATTTAAGCTTAAGCATCATTTATGTTTTAACCCTCCACTAAAAGTTCTGAAATCAGCTCCTTGGGCACACTACTCCCGGTTTTACGTCTCTCCGTCCATCTGCGTGTCATCCTGCAGTGCAACCAAGCTCCATTTTCTACGGCTATTTTTATTATTGTTGTCATTGGTAAACACCAAACATCTGCCTACCCAGGCTGGCCTTTCATTGGTTGATGCGTGTGTCCGTCTTAGTACTTCCGCCCGTTTGGCTGCTTTTGATTGGTGGACGTCCCTCTTTTTTTCCTCTTCTTCACGGCGGTGGGTCGGAGCCGCTGTGTCCCCGGTCTGGCACGTTCCTAGCCAAATTCTCCACGGTGTAAAATTGGATCCCCCCTTTTTCTCAAAACTAAAAAATCTCCCCTCTTCAACTCCCCAAAACTGCTATTCGGTTTTCGTTTGACACATATCTCTAAATCTCCAACAGAAATCAGAAGATGGCGGTGGTAAGCGGGATGTCGGGGTCGGCTGTAGCCCGGCTGGAGGGCCGAGAATTCGAGTACCTGATGAAGAAAAGGTCGGTGACTATCGGTCGGAACTCCTCGCAGGGGTCTGTGGACGTGAGCATGGGACACTCCAGCTTTATCTCCCGGCGGCACCTCGAGATATTCACGGCGGGGGAAGATGGCTCAGGCACGGGGGACTTCTATCTTCGCTGCCTGGGAAAAAACGGGGTGTTTGTTGATGGGGTGTTTCAAAGAAGAGGGGCTCCACCTCTTCAGCTTCCACGAATGTAAGTTTTATTTCCCATGCTTGTATAAGTTACACAATCTGCAGGGTTTTTTTATGCTCATGTGTTGTTATTGTTTTGTTGTCCCGCAGCGATGTAGCACGTGTTGTGTCAGGCAGCAGCAGGTCTGAAACATGCTGCACAGTTGTGTGGCGATAACGTCATACGAAACCTCCATATGCATATATGCACGTTAAGACACAGCGATGTTTATTGTTAAAAAACGACATCCATTCCGCTTTATTTGTCGATTAAAATAAGCATGTGTGGTATCTGGTTCAATCGGCATACATACAACCAACCAGCAGGCATTAGTGAGACTTGAGTGGGTATGTTTCAGCCAAAAGGTAATGCACTGTTCTGTAATATACACCTTCACATAACATTACCTGTGATGAACCTTTATTTTTAAAAATCACAAATATGCTTCAGTTATTTTTATCAACCTGAATGCCGAATCTTAGTTTGACCTCCAACAATCTAAAGCACCACCAATGTGTGATTTCAATCTGTGTTTTACTGGTAGAAACAGTAATATGATTTATTTTGTACCATATTGGTATGGATTTTTCCTATTACTACAGAGAGACCACTTTCATTTTTGGCCAAAGTGCTGCCACATGCTAGTTAAACAGGCTAACAAGGAAACAAGCATGGTTATCTTTCTAAGACAATGCAACATAAACTGCAGGGTAGATAATGGTAACTGGTGGTGAATTATTGTTACATAGACTATGGCTGCACAATGCAATGGCAGAAAAAATATTGCAGTATGTCTTCTTTGCAATATTTCTTTGAGATTTGAAAAAAATATAGGAAAGTAAACAATGTAAATGTGGTGTGTCTTGATGCACACATATACAATTAAAATTAGCAAATATCCCTTTTGTATTGTTTGACTTTATTTATATAAAAGCTGTCCTATTTACCACATATGGTTCAGCTCTTTACCTGCAAATCTAACCCTAGGTCTACAGAACATGAATAACATGCAAATAGTGGTGATATTAGTCATTATTTGTTATCGATAAGGGACATAGAAAGAAATAAGTATTGAAGAGGGTGTATTAGCTAAAAATAAAACCCAGTTTACGTAGTCTGTTTGCTGTTTCTGTTGTTTAATACATTACCTGTGTTTGCATCATGTTACTTTTGAATCCAAGAGACATCTAAAAAGCTAATTTCATCACCAAATTATCACCAGTGTATCTGAGGTTAGCTGACAGATGGCTAAGATGGTGCAAAAGCACAGCTTTAATACCTCGGCCTCCATCTAACAGGTACAATGCACATGCCAAGTGAGAGAACCAAGATTGTATACATTAAGTCATTCTCTAATTTATTGGGATATATGAAAATCTTTTGGATGTGTTATTTGAAAAGCTCATATTACAGTATTGATAAATTTCCAATATATTGTGCAACCTTGTTGTATACAATGCATTTTTTTGTGTTGCATGCATAGGGTTTCAGCTACCACTACGAAGCCCAGATTAGTGCTGTGGTTAATTCAATCTGGCTCAATGTCAGCTTGGCCTCATGTTACCTGTAGGAGTGTTTACACTGTTCAGCTTATTTGCTGTTTTTTTCACTGTTCAGTCAAAGGCTTGAACTCTCACATCTAATTGTTGTTATTGTAACCTGACTCACACTGTACCTTCAATCTTCTTTTGGTAGAATATGTCAATATTGTCACTGAGCCAGAGAAGTGATGCATTCAAAACTGTCAGCAACTGGTCCAAATATACCCCATTAATACTAAAGTAGACATGTTAGACATGGAGCGTTACATAATGGTCATGGAGGACTTCCATATTTAAACCGTGTGAGTTTGAATCTCAGTGCTCCTCTCCTGGCTTCAGTTAGACCTTCTTGGGCTGACTGTTGCTGGGCAGGAGGCTCTTCTGTCTTTCATACAAAGACATGGTAATAATCATTGTTTTTCTCACAGATTTAGTTCCCACGCAGACACAATCACAGGTCTTTTCAGATGTCAGTGTGACAGTATTAAAGCATGCAGTGCTTTTGCATTTCTTCTGTTCACAGGTGTTGTTTCCGGTTCCCCAGCACAAGTATAAAGATCACGTTCACAGCCCTGTCCAACGACAAGAAGGAGCCAAGGAACGTGCCGGAATCACCGGTCAAGCCCGTCCAGCCCCAAATTTCCCCTTTGACCATCAACATTCCTGACAACATCGCCCACCTCATGAGCCCACTGCCTTCACCCACCGGTACCATCAGGTAAGAGGAGGTTTGAATTTGGTGCACTTACCAACACACATCACAGCAGTAGTTAAAGATTTTTATTAAACTGGCTCAGATTTATATAAATTTTTGGGTTCCAGCTATTCATTGATGATAGCTCAAGTAGATGGCTTCAGCTGGCTGCCATGAAACCGGCTACAACATAAACATTATTTTATTTAAATTTGAAGCTTTTTTGCTTTTATTAGATAGGACAGCGTGAAAATGTCTAGGACAACATGCACCAAATCATCTAGTAACTTTTTGCAATGAGAACTGCAGCTTCTGTACAAGATTCAACATAGATGTTCCGATACACTCTTCAAATCCACCAAACTCTTCACCTCCACTGTATCAAAACAATCAAAAGTAAGCAAACTAGATGTAGGTTGAGCAATGAAGACACCGTCTCTTTTACAGCTCCGTACTGTTTATTAAGTTTTCGTCTTTTTTTTTTACCTCTGTTCTTTGTCTGTGGAGATTTTTGTTTACTACCCAGCGTCCTAGCAACACATTTGTGTGATTCAACTTCCAGCTCAATGCCTGGCATGAAACTCAGGAGCATGTGCACAATACCTGGGCCAGTTCAGTTCAATCGAGTTGTATGTTGATGTGCTAGGCTTGAGAAGTTTGATTTAGTGTGATTTCAGTAGACTGATGTGTTTACATGTATTTGACAAGCCCAGTTTAGTTGTATTTGGGCAGTACATGGATATTTTTACGAATGACATGTACATGTACTGAGTAATTTCATCTTTGAGCATACAGGAGCTGCTGCTGCACCACTAATCAGTTGGTTTTCATGTCTGATTAAAAATTCCAAACAACAAAGTTTCTAAATTAACAAAAATTTGCAGGGAAAGCAGACTGGCCACTCTTCGTTCTGCAATTTAAAATTCTCGTTTTTGTCAATGGAGTTTGGTGCCTCAGATTTGAGCAGCTGTGATTACAGATGCTCATATACAAAGTTTTTTAGAATAAGTTTCACGCTGCTGTTACATGATATTTGTGAGCAAACAAGACTTTCAGCTACAAGACTGACGGTCTTTATATCCTACTTTTTAATGTCTAAAACTTGTGTGAGGGTGTCAGCCGAGCAGTCCTGTGGACTAGAGTTGCAAAGACTGTTTTGTCCACAGGGGGCACCAAAATTGACACAACCCTAAAGTCCCTCATTAGATCTTTTTAACTATTTTTTTCTTGATGAAACACCTTTGTCCAACAAATTACCCTCTGGGGATCAACAAAGTTCTTGTATTGTACTCTTCTGTTATTTTCTCCCTCCACTGGCCAGAATGAGCTCTATTAGTCGATGTACTCTAACTGAGTGTCCTTCCCACCAAATTGTAGCTGCAGCTATCACAACCTGAAGCAGTATTTTGTACCTATTAGCACCATTTTGATGTCCTAGGTTCATTTTGTAACTTTTACATGTTCAGACCTTTGTATTTGAAATCTCTTCAGTGTTCCTTACTTGATTTAAAGCACAGATGCTTTTTAACTTTTCTAGTGCGGCAAACTCCTGTCCATCAAGTCCACGGGGGGCGGGACTTTCCAGTTACCGAACAGGCCGTGTTCTCGCCTCTGACCTGATTGGAGACAACTCCCAATCAGAAAACGACAAAGAAGCCTCAGGTGAAGACAGCCCAAAGGTGAGTGTGAGTGATGCAGACAAGCTGGCACTGAAAATGATAGTGAGGAGTGATAATACAGTCTGCATTCAAAGAGGATGTTTCAAACAAGCCATCAGAGAAATCCAGTCCAGTCCTGTTGTCTTCTGAGCTCTGTGGACATCTGGTTACTCATTGAAGTCTAAAAATTACCCAACACTCACAGCGATGTAGACTTTGGAGCATAGAGCCTGTCTGAACTTTGCGAGTGTGTGTTCATGTCTCCGAATAAACCAGAGAGAGAAAAACACGACGTCATCTTCCTTTGTGCTTCTTTAACTGAACATATCTCCTTCCATTACCTCATGAATTTAACTATCCTTTATTCCCCACAGGACGACTCCAAACCTCCGTACTCATACGCACAACTAATAGTCCAAGCGATCACCATGGCGCCGGACAAACAGCTGACTCTGAATGGAATATACACCCACATCACCAAGAACTACCCCTACTACAGGACAGCTGATAAAGGCTGGCAGGTCAGAGGACTCCCCATTTACTCCCTTTGTTTTCACAGACATTGATAATAATAGACGGCTTACTTTCTGTCACTCAGTACAGCAGGAATAGTTTTTATCGACTTGTTTTGGAAGCTGTATGTGTTTCAAAATGTGGTTGTGTACAACTCAATATTGTAATGCTTACAATATAAGCTCTAAAAACAGATCCATAGGACACACCGACTTACTGTGAAATCCACTCGCTTCGTGAGACCGGCAGTTTTACAGCCATAAACTTGGTGTGTTTCTTTTACATTTTGAGGCTTTTCTGTCGCACAGAGAAGATCAGTGTATTTCCACAGACTGGCTAGATCCATTTACTCAAAAACAAAAGTAGTCTGTGAGGATTTATATAGTAATTTAAGTCAAGTATTATCATTTCTGTTGTTGGCTGACTATATGAATGGGAGGCTGCCATCTTTGATTTGGTCTGTTGACTAATCAAAGGCTGCATCCAAGATTGGCAGATCTTAAAGGGATATTCTGATGTAAAATTGATTTAGGGTCAAACACAACGTAACACCAAGTTAGACACCCTGCCCGCTTGCTTCTCTGGTTATACAAACTTTAGTAATGACCGCACGATAGCAATACACAGCGATCTCAGGAGCCACACGCAAACCTCAACCAAAACGCCACTCTATAGACACAAATAATGCTCAGAACAGCACCTAACTTCATCATCAGTACATACGGAGTCCTAGTACTAGCCACCAAACATATTTTTAGCTTTGCCTGGTTACTTTAGCAAAGAGACTAAACACAACTCACCCACTCTCCTCCAGCGGCCACTTGTTTGTGGAGCCCTGACGAGTAGATCACTGAGTGCAGCGGAGTTTCGCAGCTAAAGGAAGAACATTTATGATCATTACTTCATGGAAATGCAATCAGACCAAGACACTAAGGCAGAAGAACTACCATGTCTGCAGTGCAAAATGATTTTTATGATGATTATTACTTCATGGAAATGATCCGGAATGTGTATTGCTATCGTGTGGTCGTTACTAAAGTTGGCATAACTAGAGAAGCAAGCGGTTGGCAACATTCATCTCTCCAGGGGTTGTCTAACTTGGTGTTACGGTGTGTTTGACCCTAAATTAATTTTACGCCGGAATATCCCTTTAAAAGGCCGAATAAGAAGCCCATCTCAGTAAAGCGTATAACACTTGTGCTAAAATTTGTGTTGTTGACACAGAAAAGCTGCTCAGGTCTACTTTTGTTCATGCAGAACATCCACATGAAGTGATAAAGGCAGACTCAGTAATGGCACCAGAATCAAAAATGGACCAATTCCTATCTCTGTGTGTGTCTCATCTCTACACCTGCTGCTCTGTCACAGCCGACTGTGAACAGATTGGCAAATGACAATGTTTCATAAAGTCCTTTAATTAATGTTTATGTCTGCTGTTGACAGAGAGCAGAGGAAATAGACAGTGGAGAATATGTTGGGATTTCCAGCATGAGTTTTAGTCTTTGGTACAGTCTGTCTGTAGTCCAGGTTGTTTAGGCGTTAGTGACATCCCAGCCCTAGTCAGAGGGATCTCTTTAAACAATTTCCCTCGTTCCTAATGTTCAGAATTTTCGGTTTGAGCCACAAATGTGCTTGACCGAAACAGTTCAGATTTCCTGGCTGTCTTGAACGCATCAGAAATAATAGAACTTTCATCTATTTAACAAACAAACATTTTGAAAGTTATTTCCTCCTCCTCCTGAGAACAGACCTGACAAAGCTGGACTGTCTTTCTTAAAAAACCTTCATCATGATGCTGTAATTACAGAAAACATAATACCTGTAAGTTACAAGTCCATTTTTCAGACTCAGACCCCTGAAGGAAATCAGAGTGAAGCTTCTGAGTAATGACACTGTCTACTGTTGGCACTGAGACGCACTTGAAACAGAAGAATGGTATTTAATTAATGAGCAATCAGATGATGATTGTCGATGAGTAATAAGGCTGAACTCTTATTGACTCATTAAATGTTGGCTGCGGGCTCTGCACTTCTGCATAATGGCTGATACACAGGAACGTCCAAAACATGCAGCAAACTTCACCTGATGATCTCTGATGACTGGGAGTCTTAGTCTGCATGTACTGTCGTGTCAGAAACTCTAAATTACACCACCTTTTATTCCTGTTGAGTATTAACTCAATTAATCACCCAGTTTTATGTTATTGTGGTATTTCATTTTTTAAAGGCTGAAGCTTTAGTGGTGTAACAAACCCCTCAGGTTCTTCTGAGTCCACCCAGCATACATGTTTTTGTAGACCGGTCCTCTCGGACGGATCCTCCCTCATCTGTTATCCACAGGGTCCTTTGGTGTCGCAGAAGAATATTAAATGTCATTACGGAAAAATTGAGGTTTAAAAAAAGGATCAGGGAAAATAAGGCTGTGTGGAAATTTCTTGAAGGAGTTTCCAGACTTCAGCCCCAAGATGTTTTCAAGAATATAAAATTCATGCAAGCTGAGTGTTTTTCTCTAAGTCTGGAGCAGAGACAGTGTGAGTGAATACAGCTCAGATTGAGCTTCAGGGGTTTGAAGTGAAGTCCGTACAGATCAAACTCCATACTGTACGAATGTGACAGTCTGTATCCTGTGTATAAAACCACGAGTCGCACAGGCTCTTGTGAGGGTGTAATTCTGACCTTAAACACTGGGTGGAGTTTTTTTCCAATGTATTCAAGGTTCACTTTCTCAAAACCAGTGGTTCTCAAGTCCAGTCCTCGAGGTCCACAGTCCTGCATGTTTTGGATGTTTCCCTGCTCCAACACACTTGATTCAAATGATCAACTCGTTATTAAGCCATTACAGAGCTTAATAACGAGCTGATCATTTGAATCAGGTGTGTTGGAGCAGGGAAACATCCAAAACATGCAGGACAGTGGGCTTCGAGGACTGGACTTGAGAACCACTGTTCTAAACTGTGAACACAGAACTCAGTTTTTACACCATAACCCCAGACCTCTGATATTAATGACAAAATCAAGCTATCACATCAAAACAGTTTCACCTGAGCTCAGAATCAAACACGTCACACACACGACAGTCAGAACAAGAACACAGCTGTGCAGGTACAACACACTGCGTCACAGAGTCAGCAAATAAAGTTGGCTGAGATGAACGAAACAATTAAAAGAAAAATAGGCGAAATTTTCCAAAGGAACAAAATGTTTTTTAGAACTGAGAAGAGAAGAAGAACCTCAGGAACCATTTCTCGATTCCCATCCCTAAAGATGGTAAACACCAGGGGTAGGAATCACTAGTGTTCCCACGATACGACATTATCACGATACATGGGCCAATTAATTATTATTTTTAAAAATCAATACTTGGTAAATGAGACAATACGATGTATCACCAGACAAAATATCATGATACTATGTTCTGTTGATTTTTTTCTCCCACCCCTAGTTAACACACATCTGTTCTTGGTCTGTCTCATCTTCTTATTCCTCTTCTACCTTTTCCTCCTCTGCCTCTTACATTGTCTTTATCCCTCTCTGATATCAACTCTCACCTCACCTGACTGCCTCATGTTCGTGTCATCACTTCATTAGCAACAAGTGTTTTCAGTTTTGAGTTGTTGTGTGTAAACGGACACCTGTGCTTTAGCTGTGTTTAACTTCTCACACCTGTGGTTACCTTTATGCATCACAGTTTAAAATGCGTTTAAAGAGTTTTAGTGAGGGTGAAAGTGTTTTACAGAGTTATTCATCTGTAATCGACACTCTTTTGTGTTTCTGTGTGTTTCAGAACTCAATCCGTCACAACCTCTCCTTGAACCGGTACTTCATCAAAGTGGCGCGCTCTCAAGAGGAGCCAGGGAAAGGATCGTTCTGGAGGATCGACCCGGCCTCTGAGGGCAAACTGATCGAACAAGCCTTCAGGAAGCGCCGGCCCAGAGGAGTGCCCTGCTTTAGGACTCCTGTGGGACCGCTCTCCTCCAGGTAAACGACAAACCGACTTAAACAGGGGTGTCCCTCAACCCAAAAGAAAGCTGTGAAAGCTGGAACCTGTGTGACATTGTCTTCACTTCGTCATGTTTAACGTATTTAATGCTCCAAGTGAGAAGTGAGCAGGGAATGATCTAATCTGTACATTCAGGATGGTGGCGAGAGGACATTGGAGGTTTTTCAACACCTTAACATTTTAGGTTATGTATTTCTCGCGCTTCAATCTTTTGCTTGGCAATTTCCACGCAGAGGTCAAGTGAAACAAGACCTGCTTTCAGACATGCAGGCTAGAAAATGTCTAGAAAATGTCAGAAGCTCTTTACCTGACTTAACTTGACCTGACCTGAGGGAATGTCAGGACTCTGATTGTGACGTCAAACGGACACTCAATGATTCACACTCGTGTCCAAGATTAAACTACTTATCAATTTACTCAATTCTTTCATAACTATAATATACTTTACATCTTAGTCTTAGTTTTGTGCATGTCTGAAACCAGAATCTGAATATTTTCTATAGAGGGGCTAAAGAGGGTTTTCATGATGTATGAATTAAACAAAAAACTGCCCAAATATAAACTTTGCTCACAGTACAATATGTTTGTAAGTTTTGAATTATTCTCTGCCGGCAATCCTGAGAGATATTGATCAGATATTACCTTGACAAAAAAAATACTAAACACAACAGTTCCACAGCTCATAATGGATATAAATGGTGTTTTTTCTTATAACGTACAACGTGCTAAATATCAATTTGTGGAGCAGGCTCATAAAAACAAACTCTGCTGAAATATGGTCTCTTAAGGCAAAGCTCAAATTGCTAAATGTCACAGAGTCCAGTTTTGTGCACAGAGGACTAAGCATGTCCACATGATCGGCTCTCAGTCTGAGTTTGATGAATTAAGTCAATAATGAACTTTTTTTTTTGTTTCCCAAGGAGCGCTCCAGCTTCTCCCAACCACACAGGGGCGCTGTCTGCCCACTCAAGTGGAGTCCAGACCCCAGACAGCCTGTCCAGGGAGGGCTCCCCAGTCCCCATGGAGTCAGAACCAACCCCACCCCCTGTCCCGACCCAGACAGCTACAGTCCAGCCCAAGCTCGCCGTCATCCAGGAGGCCCGCTTTGCACAGAACTCCCCCGGTAAAAACAGCTTCCTGTGTCGATCTTCTTAAATTTGACACGGTGCCTTTATAAACTGCTTATGATTCCACGTTAAATCATTCATCAATAACCTGAAGCCCCGCCCCCTTCGACAGGCTCCCCCCTCAACAACCAGCCGGTCCTGATCGCCGTGCAACGCCAGGTGCCTCAAACGACCATGAAGCCTGTGACCTACGCCATGGCCACGCCGGCCATCGTAACAACGTCTGTTAGCTCCGCCCCCGTCATGCAGACCGTGCATGTTGTCCACCAGATCCCAGCTGTCACTATGGCAACTGTTGCTGGACAGCCTGCTGCTACAGTGAGCCCAGAACCTCAGGAGAACGGAGGCGGAGATCACCAAGAAGTCAAAGGTGAGAGCTGATGGATGTGGTCGTCTTTTGCGAGAAAAAATCAGTTTTGATCCGAACACTGCTCTGTCCCGCCTCTGACTGAAGTTAATGTTTCTGTCTTTGCAGTCAAAGTGGAGCCGGTCCCCTCCATCACAGCCACGTCTATAGGCGGAGTCAGTCGCATCATTCAGAGCTCTCAGGCTGCTCCTCTGACCACAGTGACCATCGTGCAACAAGCTCCACTTGGCCAACACCAGCTCCCCATCAAGGCCATCACACAGAACGGGACCCACCTGGTCCCCATCAGTACTGCTGCTAGCACAGGTGACTCACACACATTAACACACTCACCTGCACATATAATAACAACACATGGTAATAGCGATGCATGGATGTATCAATTGACAACACATTGACTGAGTTTTTTCAATTATTCCCCAAGGTTTGGTCCCCTGAAAACACATAAAACTGAAAGATCATAAAACAGTTACTTGATTTTCTTGACGCCCCGACAGAAAACCAAGCTCTTCTTGTAATCCTTTCAGATAAATATGCAATTACATACAGATATGAGTTGATTAGCAAAGAGGGTATTCTTGTCTCTGTCTCAAGTCCACAAGAGTAATTTAGCACGAAATGGTTGGACTGGTGTTTGGAAATTAGTCCATATGAAGGTAAAACTGTCTTAAAGACTGCTCGGCCTCTGAGGAATAATCTACACTTCAACACAGTCAATATAACTGAGGTCTAAATAACCCAGTCTAAAGTATATCAGTATATCAGCAAGAAAAGCAGAAATGTAGGTTTCCTTAGGGCCTGTTTCCACTGACAGCATTTTCTTCACAGACAGTGGTCACAACCTCAATTTGCTTCAGAGTGCGCTTATTTACTGTAACAAGGTTAAAATCAACCAAAATGAATTACATCCTGGTCTTAGCCGCAGCTCTACACCAGCAAACTCTGTCTTTAAGAGGAAAAAACCTTCATCTCTGTATTTGTTGTTGATTTAGATTTTTTTAGATGTGAATGTTTCGCACAATTTCGGAAATCAGGATTTTTCATTCAAAACTGGGGATCCAGATCAATGACAACTTTAACTGTTTATGTATCTTGTGATGGACTCAGTCTGATGTTTTTAAACTAGCAGCATTCAGTCATATTAGCTGTTAGTGTTGATTAATCTTCACAGTACAGTATAACGTTAGCTTACAGGTAATGGCCAGGTAAATGATGTAGTGAAGAGCACTTTTTTCCCCCCTATGTCTCTGCTTTAATATCACAAATGCCCCCAACTGGTTAGATAAATCCACATCCAGAAAATCAGCGCTAACCAACCCATAGTCTTTTTGAGGTTGTTGTGGATGAGGCTCTTTATTTTCTCAGGTGGTAAAGCCACCCATTCTTCTCAGCAAAAAGCCTCCAGTTCCTGTAAATTCTTGGTCTCACAGTGCAGATTTGAGATCGCCCCAAAATAGCTCATTGATATTCAGGTCAGGAGACTGAGATTGCTTCTCCAGAACCTTCACTTTACTCTGCTGTAGCCAATGACAGGTCAGCTTGTGTTTTGAATCACTGTCTTGTTGGAACGTCCAAGTATGTCCCATATGCTGCTTCTGGGCTGATGAGTACAAATTTTCCCCTCTGTATTTTCTGATAACATGCTCCAATTGTAGTTGCAGCGGAAAAGCTCAATTTTGGTCTCATCACTCATAATGACTCTGTTCCAGAAGTTTGGAGGCTTGTCTCTGTGCTGTTCGGCGTATTGTAAGAGGGCTGCTTTGTGGCATTGGCGTAGTAATGGCTCTCTTCTAGCGACTCGACCGTGCAGCCCATTTTTTTGAGTGCCTCCTTATTGGGCAGTAATATGATTTAAGTAATAAAAGCAGTAAATGCAATAAAGAAAGAGAGAAACTTAAGCATGAATAAAACCTTCAGAGATAAGGCAGTGAAACAAGTTACAACAGAGTAAAGAGATGCTAAAGGGCAAGAACAGGAAGTAGGGATCATAAAAATGATCAAATAAATCGATAAAGAATGAAGCAGTTAGGAAATAAATGGATTTGGTTTTCATGTGACAACAGTGTCACATGAAAACCAGAAAATCAAAGGGAGTTTTGAGAAGTAATGTTTTAGATGTAACTGATTCTGCAGCCTTGTCTCCACAGGTTGGTCCTTTTAGTCGATTGGACCCTGATGGGAAAAACTTAATCCCTCTAGATTTAGGCTTCAACTTTGGAACAACCAGGAATAATTTCTCTGATTTTTGTCTACTGTTAATCACAACCCATAAGCCATTGATGAGTGCTGAACTGCAGTGGTTTTATATGAAAGTAGGAGATGCTGTCGGTGGACACAGGCCCTTATTGTGGCACTCTCAATCCTGCACACAGCCGTACCAACTTTCCCTCTTCTTCTTCTCCTAGCTGTTGCAAACCCTCTTCACCTCCTGGCTGCTCATGCCTCAGCCTCAGCGTCCCTCCCCACCAAGAGGCAGAACGGAGAACTGCAGGAGCAACCCGAGTCCAAGAGGATCAAAACAGAGGTGGAAGAGGAGGGTGAAGCAGCTGCTAACAACAAGAACGGCACCACGGACACAGCCGGAGAGGGAGGGGTCAGTGAACACATCGAAGACAAGTAGCCTGACCCCTGCTCTCCTGTACGCAATGAGCCTCACCCCTTCCTCACTCGGTCACCCTGCCTCCTCCTCTTCCTCCTCCACCTCCTTCGTCATCTCACCTCGTCATCATCGACTCCACGGTGCCAAACAGAGAAGAGACACAGAAACACCTGCAGGACTCCAGAATGTTCAACCCTCCTGAAATCCTCTTCCATTTATTTAAGACCACGAAACTCGATGCAAAAACTAGAGACCAAACTGAACATGGAGGCGATAAAAAGACGACTGTGAAGTTTGAGACCCAGACGGCAAGAAGAAGCACAGGAGGACAGAGAAAAAACTAAAAATCCAGATAAAAAAAAAAAGAGAAAGAGAGAGAGACTTATCGGACGAGTGAGCGGTCCTGAAACTCCCCAAAGACGAGAAGGAGCCTCATCCTGGTAGCATTAAAGCGCTTAAACTGTGTCGGATAGAAAAATCAGCAGTAGTGTGTTCTGCAAAGGGAAGTGTGTGTCTGTGGACATTCCCATCTTCGGCAGCTAGCCTCCGTGTTGACCTACCTAACCCCGTCGTGAGTAGAAATGCAGTATTCTGTTGTACAAGTGATCTTTTTCAGTGTTTCCCGAGGCACAGAAACTATCTAGTAATAATTAAAAAGCTATAAATGGGGTCTTTGAGAACATTTAAACATCACAACACGATACTTTGGGAATCCTTTTTTCGTTGTTTTTGTATGTGGACTAAAGTGAAAATGAATGTAGTCTCCTTTTTTGTTCCTTTTGAAGAAAACACTATCTATGGAGTGGATGTTCTGTTTTCTGCTCAGTCATGCAAAATGAAATTTCTTTATCACTGTACATGGACAGATTTTTCATATTTTACAAATATCCTATGAGATAAAAAGTATATTCCCATGCGTATTTGACCATATGCTTCATCCAGCTTGCATGTTACGGATCTAGAGACAATGTACTTGAGCAGATTATCTGAATATGGAACTGAAGAAACTTTAGACTGAATCTACGCTATATGATTCTGACCAGTGCTGCACTTAACCCTCTTAGTTGTTTTTATGTTCTCCCTTTTGTATTTTTCATTTCCATCCTGGGCCGTGTTTGTTACCTTTGTGTTGGAGTTGGCAGAAGTCTCTTTGCTTGATTCTTTTAAGTATTCTGTTCAGGCTACTAAAACAGTCGAATCGGATTGTATTCTATGTTACACCAGGAAAAACAAGTGATAGGTGTTTGTTCTGCTTCAGTGGGTAAATGCTTTTTTTATAAATTTATTTAAAACACATAACATCTTAGTTTGTATTTCTTTCAGTAAAAGCCTTCTCTGCTGGGCAAACGCAAACTCAAACTCCGTGTGTGAAGAGTGATTTCTTTCTTTTCAGAGCTGTCCAAGATCATCCGGCAGACTCAGACTTCAATTGTAGAGTCCAAAAAGATCCCTACCCCTACAATCATGGTTACATGTTTTTAACCGTGTATTTCTTGTTTTAAAAACCTACAGATTGCTTAATCTCACAGCGCTGCCAGGGCTGTACTGGGAGGAGAAAGTCTTCCCTTGTGTTGTTGGCCCACATTAGCCCCAAGTACTTGCCATCAAAGAGCATCGAAGCCTGAACTTTCAATGTCATTTGGATGATAATCCAGGTGACCTCAGTGTGACACCAGACTAAATAGCTTGCTCATGTAAACCAGAATTAAGGATGTGCCACTGTCTCTGCAGAGGTCATTATCATTGACACGAACTAGAAGTCTCTGGTGACCTTGTTTGTCAGGTTGTAAATATGTCTTAAAATGGCCATCAAGAGGCGCTCATAGTCTAGTGGTTTAAACAGAGGCCATGGAACTTATTGCAGCCGCTGTTTTCACTCCTGGCCTGAACCCTTTGCTTATCTTCCCCGCTCTATCCTCCCTGCGTTTCCTGTCTGTTTGTCTTCAGCTGTTCTTACAAACATAAAGGCAAAATTAGCCAAAATGTAACAAACAAGAAAGAAAATCTGAGTTTAAGTCCAGCCTTTAACTGGGTTTTCTTGGCTGTTGTAGACAGCCTCAAGTGGACACTTAAGGAACTGCAGTTTTTTTTGTTCAGTATTAACCTGAGACTGCCACTAAAATAACACGCCTCTGACCACTTACCTATGGCCTGGTTTTGTAAGACTTACCAGCTCATGCTGCTAACATCCTGCTGATATTCCAAACAATTCCTCTTCTTCTCGATCTCAGTTAAACCTGACCAATCATAGTCCTTTATTTCAAAATTGGGCAGGACAACACTCTCTTTGAAAATTATGTTCACAGTATGGAGATCAAAACTTGACTATTTTAACATTTTATAAGAAAAGGTTCAGATGTCACCTTAGATACAGTTTATTGGCTTCATCTACAGATAGGTTAGTGTTATATGTTTGTACTTGTATTTTAGGCTAAAATAGATTAAACTGTCGTTACCTCAATGATACCTAGTTCCCTTTGCTCACTCTGTCCCTCTGCTTCACTAACACACACCTGATCCACCATCTGCAGATGTTCTGAAAATGAACTGCTGATGAAACAGCAGACATAGGTTTGTGAACAAACAATATAAGCTTTAGAATAAAGGTATATTGCTTGTGTGGTTAATTAGTCACATAGTAGTAAACAATCGTGGCAGGAGTAGACCAGCAACTTGTGTTTTGAAAGATTTAAAATAGCTGTCACTTGTCGATAGTGTTTAGTGGCTAAAAAAAAAAAAAGACTGAAATGTGTTTCTGTTGTCACTCAAAATAGTTAATACCCACCGCTGACAAAAACAGTAACTTCTTATAGATGTATTATCACCAAGTATAGCACAGGAGTTGCTGGTCAACCATGCCAGAGCTTGTTAGGCAATTTGTAGTAAGGCTTACACTTAAAAAAAAAAAACATATATGCAAATCGAACACAAGTACTCCCCAATAGAAACGACAGTTTATGTGCAAGGAGGCTTGACAGTCCTTTAAGAAGACAAAGTAAAAACCACTTAAAAGTTTAGTGGAAACAGGAAATACCTTTGAGGTGCAATCTAGCCTGAAATCCACATTTAGTTGTTTAATCTGAACCTAAATAAATGGGTCTTTTGAAAGTGTCAGAATTGGCAAAGTGCTGGAAGTCTGATTTTACTAAGGTGTACACTGATTTGCTGTAGACATTATTGTTGAATGTAATCGGGTATGTCAAGTTTGGAGGTATTAAGATATCTAAAACAGAAAAAATAAGACATACAGGGAGCTGGATGAAGCAGACTTTCAAAGTTAGAGTAGAGGACTTCACAGAATTCAGGGTCTAGTCAGGGTCTAGTCTCACCCTGTCAAGATTCTGGTTTAAATAACTACCCGTTCCCTCCTGTAACTGTAAAAGCAGATGTTAAATTTTATTCACAACTTTAAATGAAGGTTTTACAATCATTCTGAGTGTGTCAGAAACAGGTTGGCTTTTCAGTTTGTGCAGTGGGCACCGAGTGCTGTGACACCTGCAGCTGTACAATCTGATGCAGAGAGAAAGCAACACAAATGAAACACAACAGGTATAATAAAGAAAAGTACTATCAGACTGTTCCTCAGTTTATCTTCTACACCAGAGACCCCTATGCTGAAGCAATCAGGGGTCCAAATAAACAAGCAAACACTTGGTTTTGGTGGATCAAGACAGTAGAGAGCTTCATTGTGTGTTTACTGAATGTATTAATGCCGTTTAATGTAATAGAAGCTGTGAGAGAGGAATCACAATGTCCAATGGAAAGCATGTGGAGCAATCACCTTTGAGATGATCTCTGATTCTAATCTTTGAACTCATCATGTATCGACATCAAAGTGGAAGTGCAGTTTTGATCCAAGTGCAAAATATTTCTCATATTCACAGCTGAGAGGAAAAGAAAAACAAATCATCCAAACTCTTTTGTTGGAATTTAAGATGGAAACCGTGTGGGTGAATTTGGCAGGTTAAGAAACTCGACTCCTACAAACTCCTAAAGAAATAGTGGAACACTTTGGAAAATCAATCATTTCATGTCTCGCTGTGAGGAAATGTGAGAAGACCGAAGACCCCAAGGTAGAAGTGCAGATGTAGCTCGAAGCTTACAGAGAGACTAGAGTCAGTACTGTTCAATAAAATGTTACTAGGGGTGTCCCGATACAACTTTTGTTTTTTTTTAACCTCCAATACGATACCGATACCAAGTTTTGCACTCAGCTGCGACGTCTTTTTTGGACTTAAATGAAAAAGTCCAAAAAAGTACTCCTTGGTACTTTGTTAGTATCTTAGTACACACTGTTGTTGTGATCACATGGGCTCTACATGCTGGATCCAAGTGCTGCCGGATAGAGGTGCCGAAGCGGAGTCTGGAATGGACTGCTAATATCAGACTGCTGATATTGGAGATTTTAGATGCAGGCCGATATAATCTGATATTCGTCTTTTTGCTGATATTGGACTGATATCTGATATCAATATTGTATAGGGTCACCCCTAAATGTTACATTTGGTTTGTAAAATCTGACCACTCTGCTACTGCACAAAAAGTAGCCCTGCAGATCATGTTGGACAAATACAATTTTGCACCAAGGTTTCTGTACAGATTTGAAAAAGTTGTCCATCACGTACTGCTCTTGTCATTATGCCAAGCTGAGTTAAAGGTTTCTGGTGTTAGGGTCACATTTAGCATACATACAGTATTAAGAAGTGGAATTAATCAACTAACCAAACTCCAAAAGAGGGAAAATCAGCACAGTAAAGCTCTGGTGTTCAGGTAGAAACAGCAACTTTTCAAGATCTAGGTTCAACAGATCTTCAAGAAGGAAAGACAGTATTCCTTTTCACGCCAGAAGTGAAAGTCAGCAGCCAGATAGCTCAAATGATCTAAACAGAAACCTCTTAACAGACAGAGGGAGAGAGTTTGGGACAGAATGTAAGAGCCACCGTAAAGGAAAAAAAAGGGAGATTCTGAGATGGTGATTTTACAAAATCAGGGCAGGTCATTGGAGAACAAACTCATAACAAGAATGTATCTGCAAGATCATTACAACATATTACAAGAAACATTTTGGTATTACCAGATTAAAAAGGCGGACTTTCATTTGTAAAAAGTCATTTCATGAGAAAATGTAATTTAGGCGATGTGTAACCTATGACCCTGACTGTTTTAGTGAGGAACCTCAGAGGAGCAGCCTGTACTGAAATGAAGAGTATGGGGCATCTTAAGGAGTTTCTGAAACATCTGAACTCTGCAGAGAAGTTGCTAAAATAAAATCTATTCCAGAGTAATGGTCTGATAGGAATTTTTGTACAGATGTGTCTTTGTTCTTTTTTTTCTGGAGTGGCCCTAACACTCTGAAAATTTAAAGTAAAAACGCCAATGACCAACTTTAGTAAGCACTGCTCAAGCACTGATTTGCTTTGAGCAGAATTCAGAAGATAACAGGTATTAATGAGAGGGTTTATCAGGTTCTCTGGGGCAGGTTTTCTGGTCTGTTTCGGTTTTTACGCTAAGCTAGGTAAATCGAAAGAGCTTTTAGTACCAGAATGCAGACACTTTAACGAAGGACGTCAATCCTGTTGTCAAAATCTTGACAAGAAAATGAATACTCGGGATGCACAATATCATCGGTAGGTATGGAAATCTTGGCAGGTAGGATTAGCGACCAATAAGCTGATGATAAATCACACGTCGGTTGTGCTGCAGCAGGAAGAGGATACAGTATTTGAGACTAAGTGCGTGTTTATCATCTGTGGTCGAGTCAAATGCTGTTTGGCTTGTTGGTCTGGTTCAAAAATAAACTATCACAAGAGTATCAGGTCGATTCTGTGACAGAATAAACTCTGAAGTCTCCACACTGACAAAAAAACGTTCGTATGTATTGGTATCAGTATCTGTATTGACCAAAATGCTTCTGGAAATATCAGCATATCGGATATTGGCAGAAATCTAATATTGTGCATTCCTGTTTAACAGCATTATGAAACAAATGACAATTCTTTAAGCACACTTGGCCAGAGAAAAGAAAAATAAAAGGAACAGATGAACACGTTTGGAAATATTTCTTACAAGCTCCACCTGTAGATGGATGTCAGAGGTCTGTAGAGTAAAAATGAAGCTAAAGCTGGTAGCCTGAAAAGCTTGATTTGGTATGAAGACTGGAAACAAACAAAGACACCCTTGTTGTGATCACTTCTCATGAGACCAGAGCACTGTCTCCCTTAAAACTGATGGTAACTTTAGTTTAATACGAGTTTTGGTTCAAATTCAAGAAAAAATAACCTGTTACGGACATGTTAGTAACTGAGCTTCAGAGGATCTCTAGTATCTATTCCAGCTTATGCTAAACAAAGGGGCTTCTGGTTGTAGCCTCAGAAATAGCGTGCAGAACCTTAATCTATCTGGGTAAATATTGTATATCAGAGGGTGAAAATGAGGCTAAAGCTCATTGGTTTAACTTCTTTTAGTGTTTGAATGAGAAACAGAAATCTGTGGCCTTGTTCTGGAAGACCTTTAAAACTCAGGGATCCCAGATCAAAGTGGTTCAGTGGTAGGAATTAATACCACATGTATTTTTTTTGTTTTTTGAATATATAGGTTTGTGTAAAGGTAGAAACTGAAATTGATCATTCAGCTGTAGAGAGCAAGTTGCTAAACTTAGTTAGGCTGCTTGTAGTAACAGCTACGCACAGTAAAAGCTTCAATCTCCTCACCAAATGCCAAAACAACAAAAGAAAAATCACTACTTTTTCAAACTTGTGTTAAACATGGTCTGGGGCTTTCTTTGAGAAACATCAACTTTCACAAACTCTTAAAAAAATATAAAGTCGGGGAAACATATTGCACGTAAGAAAAAAAAAAGATGTTTGAAACGACAACAAAAAAAAAGCATTTTACATTGTTTTCTGCTACTATTCTGTACAGTTTGATGTAGTTTGACGTTCAGTCTGCGTGTTGTGTTTTTACAGCAAATATAAGAAAATCTAGTAATACTAACGGTGATGCTTCATTCAGCAGGATCAGAGTCTGTTACCGTCATCCTTAAAAAAAAAGAAACACACTCACCTTATCCTGATCCTGCTCTGCAAACACCTGCTGTGGTACGATGCTATATACACAAACACACACACTCACACACACATATGTATATATGACAATAATATGTGCACACATACAGATTCTGTTCAGTCTCGAGGCACTCCCTATCTTTAGGTTAGGTGGTGTTAGTTGACAAAAATCTCCGTATTTCAATCTGTCTAGCTATCAGAATCATCGATGTGATTAAAAATATCCATCCTCTGTAAATTCCTGGGAAGACGTCGTAAAAAGCGGCGTGTTGTTCATTCAAAAAATAACTTTCCCTCTTTTGTTCTCTGGTGTTTGGTTTGAAGTCGAGTCGGCGTCCATGTGCCTCAGTTCAGAGAAACTCCGTGAGAGAGTCTGTGAGAGACGAAAGTTTGCATCCCTGTTTGTTTGTTTGTTCGTCTTCGCTGTGAGGTTCCCCATGAGTCTGTGCTTCTCTTTCTGTGTCCTCCAATCATCTGCGGCTCGTTCACTGAGTCTGTCAGGATAATCAGGAGAAGTGCAGCGTGAGATCTCTCCTGCCTCCTCGGAAATTAAAAAAAAGGAAAGAAAGGGGGGAAAAAAAACAGGCTGTGTGATAGTGAGTCTGCAGAGGGGTCGAAGGTCATATTTTCTCATCGGTCATCTCCAGGAACTGGGCGTACACGTCTCTGGAACACTCCCCCTTCTGGTTGAAGAGGAACTTGTAGTAGCTGCCATCAGCACAAATGGCTAAAGGGTGGAGAGAGGAGACGCACAGTCAGCAAACTCAGGCAGAGAAAACTTCCTATTCTGTGTTTAACTTTAACTTAGCGTGCATGAAGAAGAGGGAACAAGTTACAGAGTGGCTTTCACTAATCCACACACTGCCACACACTCCACAGTCCAGTCAAATCATCCATCCATTCAGTGAGAGATACAGGGTCAGCTCGTCTGATAGTCTGGGTCTTCCACCATGATCAAATATGGGCAAAAATCTACTTACTTACAAATGCAGGTCAACTGTCTGAAGGGGTTTTTTCCCACAACAACCAAAAACTCATTCTTCTTACTAACACAGTGGTCTGTATGTATCATCAGTGGGTTCTGATGTGATAAAAGTCTGATGCTGTGCTCTAGTTGTACTCTGAAGTCGGTATTTTTGAGCTCCGAGTCAGAAATACATCTGGAACGCCCCTCTGAAGTCGGATTTCCGACTCGGAAAGTTGGACAATCCTCACCAACCCCAACTTGACAACAATGTCGTAATCCAAGATGGCAGCGCAGTGCATCAACAGTAAAGAGTAACAATGAAAGCTCTGGTAATGTATTATTTATTAGCACTTCTGTTTTGTTTTTGTGAAATTTTGTAAATTAGTGGTATATGTTGTACTGCCCGACGTTTAACTGTGAACACAGTGCTATGGTCTTTGTAAGAGAAAAGTACTGTGTTAAGCTTTGTTTACTGGTATAGCTAACAACAACTGACAATGGCTAACGACAGCTGACAATTGCAAGCAACAGCTAACAACGGCTAACTGTAGGAGTCCATCTTGGTTTTCTGACTTGTTAACTGGAACGCTGTCAAGTCGGGTGTGACGTCATTCCCAGCTCCAACATCCGACTTTTAAGGTAGCAGGAATGCAGCATTAGTCCATAGTCGTCCTGGATCCCCTGTAATACTCTCCCACTCCACTGTAACCACGCTCTGGCACTGAACTCACCTATGACCGCGTTGGGCTCTGTCCCAAAGGCACACACGCAGGGGGACCCCGAGGGGACCTGGAACTTGGAGAAGCTCCACTTGGAGCTGAAGTATTTGGGAAGAAAGCTGGCTGATGCCAAACTACACAAAAGAGACACAAACGTTAGTCTTTGTAACCTCTGGACTTGGTTTTGGGTCCAAATCCACCTAAAACTACAGACATATTTACAAAACAGATGTTCTCTCCTCCAGCAGAGACTGACCTTGACTGTTTGTTTCTTTTTGGGTCCTCTGCAGCAAAGATATGCACTGTGCCATGGTCACTGGACACACAGATAAGGGACGCATCCTGGTTGAAGTTAATGCTGGGAAGACAACAGGTGGTGTGCGTGAGAGCATGTCTTATACTTGTGTTGACTACAGCTGAGGCTCTGGAGTCTGTGCAGCAGGGAGGAAGGACTGTGGAGGCCACTGCCATAAAACTCACAACTTGGACACAACATGTTAAAAATTGACTCTGAAAGCTGCTGTGAGAGGTTTTTTGAAGTTTTTTTTTTTTTTCACTCTTTTTTTTTTTTACTTTACTCTGTATTTCTCTTTCCTCTCTATGGTTATTTTATTTTATTTGCATTGTGTCGGTATGATCTGATTCTGTATGATCTTGACGTTGTTTTTACTTTTACTTTAATATTTACAGATTTATTCATCTTATTCATTCATTTATTATTATTATTATTATTATTGTTATTATTAGTAGTAGTATTATTATTATTTTTATTATTATTATTATTATTACTATTACTATTAGCTGTTAAAATACATCAAAGGAAACCTTAATAAAAAGAATTTTGAGAGAAATTTTTTGATGCTTATAAACTAAGGTGGAATTCATAACAATGATGTACAAGGGAAAGCAAGTGACAAGAATGTACTGTACTTTCTAGCGTCTCAAAATGGCACGAGTGGGCAAGTGTCGACTGAAGACAGCATTTGTACACTTTCCACTCAAAATATGCACAATAAACGACAGTAGGATGAGAATTTTTGACTGAATACACTATTTATAAGGTAATACCATTTTTGTCCACAGGGGGCGCCAACCTTGAGATAAACTAAAAGTTCCTCAAAGAAGCTTTAAAAGTATTGACAACAATAACAAAATAAAAGTATCTACTGAAGTTAGTGCTGGCCTGGGTGTGTTTTACTCTGTTTTCTTACATTGTTAATGTATTTTTCCGGCTTTCTGCTGCTTCACTGCTTTGGTTTTATTAAAATAATTTTGAGCCCCAGTTGTTCTGTTTAAATTGATCTTTTTATTTTTTTTCATCGTCTGTAAATAATTCATAAAAAGTGTCTTAATGAAGGGCAATCTCCAAGGGTTGAAAATTAAAGGAAGTGTGCGAGTACAAAGAAACTGGAGTTTCTCAAGAGTCTACTTCAAACTGCCTCAAAAAGCCAAGAATCCCGGGTAAAGGCCATGTTACAACACCCTTTTATAACAGTAGAGTTAAACATGCTTACAGTCTGATACAAACAAGCTAACATAACAGACTTTAAGCTCTAATCAATACTCGTAACTTCCAACAGCCACCATAACATGCAAGTGTCCCTCTTTTCCCTGGTGGTTTTGTTTGCTTATGCAGCTCATAAAGAGACATCCGTATTCATCTCTGTGTGTTTATCAACCAGCTAAGAACTCCTCACAGGAGCTTTAACAAATAGATCTAATTGTTCTCAACATTCCAACTACCGGATACCTGGTTTTATTGCTCATGTTTGCAACAGTGGTCATAAAAATCTTTTGTGTATCAAGGTTGAGATCTGAACAGTTTGGCTGGTAGGTGCTCACCAGTAAATGTTGGCCGTCTGAGAGCCTCGTCTTAGCTCCTGTATGAGCTGACCTGCTGATGTGTCGAAAATTCTGATTAGCGTCCCCTGTGGAAACACAACATGGATCAGCAACAACAGACGTGAATAACTGCAGGCTTCTGATCTGTTTTACCTCTTCACCCATGTCTTACTTTCTCTGACGCAGTAGCTATTCTCGTGCCCTGCAGATTTAAAGCGATGCAGCACAGCGCCCCCTCATGAGCGGGGATATCAACTGGAGGCTTCTCTGTGTTGGCCAAATCAACTATCTGCACATGGCCTGAGTGAGTACCGGGGAACGCCAGCAGAGAGTTGTTGCTGTTAGGACACAGCACGCACAGACCTGAGGAGAGAGACAGGAGGAGAGAGGGAGAAAGTCAGTTTTTGTTAACAATAAAACCATTTACAAAGCTGTCACTCTAACCCGAAATAATCAACTACATGTTTGCAAAAATAAAAATAAACTTTGGAGCCATGTTTGAAAAACATTTAAATTAATGCGACTTGAGTTTGTAGCTGCTTCTTCATACGTGACTGTTTTTCTGACAGGGTCCGGTTCAAATGGTTCAGAAGTTTTTAAATTCCTGTTTATCCTGCACCTCATACTTAAATATTTGTGGACATCTTGAGGCTGCAGTCTGAAGAACCATTACTGAAACTATTGGGGTCTATTAGTCACAAAGAACTAAATATTTATAAGCCAAGCTGTAAAAAACATAGCTTTCCATTTAAAGTCACCCAGCTTGAATAAAGTGGACCAACCTTTGGGGTTGTAGCAGGTCTCAAACACGTGCAGCTGATGGGGGTTGTGGGTAAAGGTGAAGACTTTAATCATGGAGTCCAAGACTACCACAATCCTGAAGACAAAGACGAACCAACACAAGCAAACATTGAAACAACATGTCAGATAATCTACTCAAATAATCTGATCTCACACATGCAAATCTGACACAATCACACAATGAGAGCAAAAATGAGATATTAGATAGTTTGGCTGCAGTGCCTAAGTATCAGAGTGTGCCCCTGCCTCCGCCACCGCTAATAAACTCAATAGACGCTTTAGGGGGAAGGATGAAAACCAGACAATCAGATTGTTGTAATGCTCTCCTCCTGTGTAGGTTGGTATTTCTATCCCCTCCCAAAAGACAAGAAACAATCCTTGAATGGATGTCTTTTTTTTTACCTGTCACGTCGGAGCTTCACTGCTTTGACTTCTGTTGAGAACTCAATCTCAATGACTGTTTTCTTCTTCAGGTCATCCCAGATCATTACTAGGGAACAAAAAACCACAAATATTCAACAAAGTCACATGAATAAAAGACGAAGAGCTTCCTGGAGGAGTGGTGACTGTTCACTTCAAGTCTGCAGGTGTCAGAGCTGAGAAGCACCTCACACCTTAATTCCACTCTATTTCCTTTAAGTTCAAATACGTAACCAAAACAGGATCTAGATCAAATACAGTGTTTTCTACACCAGTGGTTCTCAAATCTAGTCCTTGAGGCCCACTGTCCTGCATGTTTTGGATGTTTCCCTGCTCCAACACACCTGATTCAAATGATCAGCTCGTTATCAAGCTCTGTAATGGCTTACTAACGAGCTAATCATTTGAATCAGGTGTGTTGGAGCAGGGAAACATCCAAAACATGCAGGACGGTGGGCCTCAAAGACTGGACTTGAGAACCACGGTCTGTGCTGATGGTAAGAAACTACATATCAAATTTAACTGAAATCGACCTCACATACCTTTGTTGGTCGGATACTTGGGTTTCTTCCCTCCTCCCACTAGTGCTAAATAGTTACACCTGAACAACATCTCCACGTGGCCGACCCCGCCCTCCAGGAACTCTGAAAGTAAACAGCGTAGATCATGAATAACGACAAGTCTACAGAGTAAAGTGTAAATGATTCTGAGAAGGAAACACAGCTCTTATCATCACAACTGAGTGTAACATTTGCACTCTGCTGCTGACTCATTTCTAATGGCTCCACTCTGCACCTCAGACAGTGAACCACAATGACAAGCAATCCTCTGCATTACTCACAATCAGACTACAACCCCCACCCTGAGTAGAACCGCAGTGTGCTGTAAGGACTTTCATCAAAGTACTGCGCATGGATTAACGCAGAAAGAAAAGATGAAAGAGCACACTTGGTCTGATGAACGAGCGTTGTATCGGTCAGTTCCAGGAAGAAACTCTGGAGCAGGTCATGTGCTGAGTCACATTTTCAGCCCTGTTTGGGGGACACTTCCTCTTCTATCCCTCCTTTTTTTCAGGAGCTGCAACTCTGTCACAATACTTTGTTTCTGAGTGTGACAGAGCTGGGGTTTTTTCTTTTTACTTCAGCAGCAACCACTGAGTATAATTCTTCTTCCTGAACACTTCAGGACAAAAAAATTCAAAGCAGTAACCACTGATAAACTATCCATGGTGTCCTTATCAACAGCTGGTTTGTCTACATATTTAAAATAGAATTTAATTATGTCAACAAACTGCACAGTTTTAAAGTACTACCTTTGCGAATTTGGTGGATGATTCCTTTCAATGACATGGATCAAACTTACAAAGAAAACTGTTCATAACTAAAAATAGTGAAATGTTTGACGATTCACAAATAAATGTCAACTGTTGTTAGAAGAAATGAAACAGTGAGCCACCAGGCACAACTTTCTGTGTGTCACTGATATATGATGTAATGGGCATCCACAAAAAAATCGATGTTGAGGAAGTGTGAAGTTGGTATGAGTGCCTTAAGGTGATCAGTAGAGACTTTTAAAAATCTTACTTATATTTATTGATACAGTTTATTTGATAAGGACTGTGTAAATGACAATATAGCTTCATCCGTTTCCACACATCACATTTTTCAAGTCTAACACAGCCACTAAAACTTTATTCTTAACGTTTCCACATTAGGTTCACTATAAGTTCTGCATATTTTAACTATACTGATTCAAGTTCTTAGGGATCAGTCCATTAAAACAAAAATAAATCAGGAACTTATTCAAGAGTTATTCTTTTGTAACTTGGTAGAATACACATTATGTGCTGGCATATATTAGTGTTGATATCTTCAATTTGAATGAACTGTGCAGTAGAGCAACCATTTTGTTGCAGATTTTGTCTTGAAAGCATGGAGGGAAAAGACCTAACCTTGAAATGACTCTGTTAAGATTATTGAATCACTACAACTGTATTTCTGATGTCTTGTAAACCCACAAGGGTTGTATGCTCTTTGTACATGCCTTATAAACATATTACAACCATCACCATGTAGTTCAGTATAAACCCTACTCACAATATTTCACGTAATTAAATAAACAATACTTCAAAAAGCTGTCACCTTGCTTCTCCTTCTCTTTAAGAGGGTCTGTGTTATATACACGAAATCCATTCTCCATCCCACATGCAAAGCATCCTGTAGAAACACACAAACATTAAACATTAATTCAAATGTTTTCATATCAGGGGCTTCATACAAATATTATTCAAAATGAAATAGCCTTGACAATTGACAACAAAAACAGGCAGTCACAGCAGCTATTTTAACTTGGACTAAATGTCATGGTAAAGTGTCAAGGATGAGCTGACAGGGGACATGAAGCCAATGATTAACCAAATAAAACTGGAACCCTGTATGTTGACATGCTGACTGTGATGATAGGCGCCATAGCTGCATCTTTATGGGGGTCACATGAGGTCTCCTGCCTCTGTAATTAAAATGTTACACACCCGACTGTCCTAAAAGTGTCAAGTTATTGAGAAACTTTTGTTGCATAATCCTTTTTCATCTCATAATACCTGTTAACACCAGCTATTTCATAATATTAACATACAGTCAGGCAAAGACGAGTATTTAACTTTACGGCCTATTGAAGTGGGTAAAGCTTTGAATAGAACTACGTTGAGTAAAGATGATAAAGATTGAGTGAAATTAGACATTTCTAATGCCCCAAAACAACGCGGAATCAGTCAAATATCGTGGTTATAGCGGTCAAATGAGACGAATCGAGCGGTTTAGCAGTTTGGCTAACTATGACAGAAGATGGGAGGTGCGGCTAAGTTAGCATTAGCTCATGAGTAAGGCTAACCTATAACAGGAGTTATATATTATTGCGATACCAAAAAATGTGAACTTCAAGTTTCTACGGTCAAATATAAGTATATTCAGTTTATATTAGACATAACATTAGCTTGTTTCCCAACCGTCTATTGGGCGACAGCAAAAAGTTAGTGAAATAGCTGTTAAGCTACGTCGGCTAACGTTAGCCTCGTTTGGTTTACGCTGGACATCAACCAAATGTATACTCCTTTTATTGCTGTTACTTTTGTGACACTGCAGTGAAAATGTTTAATACCAAAGAAAAATGACGCCTGTGGACTTAATAGCTGTGTTTAACATTGAAAATAAAACGTTTTAGCAACGTTAGCCTAGCATTCACGACGTTGACATTTCCAGTTGGGAGGAAGAAAAAAAAAACATATGACAGCGACACTCCTTACCATGATCCTGGTTGAATCCGGCATAAAGGAGCCCATTCCCGTGAGGATTAGACGGTAGTAAATTCATTATTCGGATGTTTTCCTATAAGCGTTTATCAGATTATCCAGAAGCAGCTGCCAGGAGAGTCAACCGAGTATCATTCCTGCGGAGTCTGCTGGGAAACAGCGGAGGCTGGTTCCTGCTCCAGGAGAGAGCTGTCAGCAAGAGTCCGGATCAAAGAGACTTTTCACCTAACTTCACCCAGTTTGAGTTTGAGTCACAACTTCAGGCCTAAATAATTTTATTTTCACTAGCTTTAACTTAATTTAAACATGTTTTAAGAGGAGAATTAACAAGAGAGGATTTTTTTTTCAGCCAGTCGAAGATTTTCAGTGTCTGCAGCCGATGATCGAGTAACTTCCGTGAACAACAGGGGTCAGTAGTGTGGTGTTTTACTAAAGGTTATTCCAAATAACGGCATGGATCGGTGGTTTAATATTGTGGAGTAAATACAAAAGTGAAAATGATGAACTCATACGCAAGGCCCTCATTGTTTATTATCACATGACGTCAAGGAGAAAAGTATGTAGCCCCAGTGGCCTAATGGATAAGGCACTGGCCTCCTAAGCCAGGGATTGTGGGTTCGAGTCCCATCTGGGGTGAATCGTTTTCAATCAAGTTAATGCGTTTGCTGATGATAGAGACTATTCCTAATAGTGATTAAAAGGATACGTTTGCAATACTGACATCATTAAAAACTGGTAAAGTGAGAGAATCAACTCCATGTGTATCTAGTATCACTGCCTATTCGTAGCTTCACTGAATCACCTTTTTAATGTAGCCACTATATTAACAGGATGTAATAACTGAAAGGGTGCAATCATCCAAAGTGCTGTAACTTTTTCATTTTGCCTTCTCTGGTGGCCTTTTTGTGAAAGTCATGAAAAAATAGCTCTTGTGGGTTCATTAAAGAAATTGTGCTGTATAAACAAGATAAACTGTAACTGTGCCCTCTTAAGTCCCTTTATAAAGGATTACGCAGGGTGAAGTTCCCTTCTGTTACTTTGACCTGATTATATACAGAATTCTTTATTGTTAGGAGAGTGATTTTTTTTTACTTTGATAGTAATTACTATCATAAAGTGTTGCATAAATTCTTACTGAACTTTTAAAGGGGAAAAAACACAGACTCCCAGCTCCCCTCTCTTATAATTCTGCCTCACTTTGATTAAACAAGTCTTGAAACAGTCTCTATAGCAAGGGTGTCAAACTCAACCACAGCAAGGGCCATAATCTGGATTTAGGTCTAACCTGAGGGCCAAACAGGCTCAACATTTCACCAAAACTGTCAACCTCCTTTTAAAAAAACAGCAATGATTGTAAATCATTTGGAAATTCAAAAAACATTTAAAAAAAAGTTTAAAGGCAATCTAAGATAGAAAATATTATTTATATATTTTTCCCCCACATTCTTGACTATTGATCAAATCTTTCTTACTCTTTCATTTCCTAGATTTTTGTGGTTCATTAAGGCCATTTTAATTAATGGTGCAACAGTTGACATTATTATACTAGAGGGAATCTGCAGACTTCATACTGGTGGGCCAATAATAATACAAATATATGATCTTGTGGGCCAGATTTGGCCTCTGGGGCTTGAGTTTGACACCTGTGCTCCATAATGTCGCCTCCAGGCAGAACCACGCTGAGCATTTACATTATGATTCCTGAATGCACAGAAAGTACAATAAATTGACTATATATATGATCGGTTTATTAATAGCTTATTTCATTAACTGAAGAGTCCTTCCTGCTGTGACATGTCAAATTTTCTTAAAGAGCCAAAAAGCTAGCCGACGGCCAGACAGTCCTATTTGAGATCACTTAAATCTAAAGGTGTTTAGTGCTGGAGATTCTCATTGAGTATGCATTTACCCTAAATAAAGCAAATGGTAGTGATTCAAACGCACAAAATCATGACTCCCATCACTCTTGGGGTTAATCCAATAACATTTGGAATCAAATGTTTAATTTATTCAAGAAAAGGAGATCAATTCAAAAAGAAAGCAAGTTTTATATCATTTATACATACAAATCTTTACTACATCAAACAGCTCTGTAAAAAATACAAAGTTAGATTTTTATTATGCATTAAACTGTACATTTACACAGTCCTGCCAACATGATCTAAGACACATGCAGAGATTGCATTATGGCAAACTTCCAACAAGACCCCCTGTTTTTTTTTCGATTTGCCAATTTCAGTCAGCACCAACTCTGCTGAAGTGTCCTTGGTCAGCTCCTCCACAGTTCTTTAAATTAAGCCGATGCTGACTTGAGCAGACATCCTTATAGGAGTTAGTTTTGTGTTAGTAACTACGCATGAACGAGTCTCCTGTGTCGTTTCAGGCCATGCAGACTTGAGAAGCCTTTATTACAGACTGCACAAACATACGGCCTCTCTCCCGTGTGGGTCCGCATGTGTAAAGTGAGGAAGCAGGACTGGACGAACCCTTTTTCACAGATGTTGCATTTGAACGGTCTCTCCCCGGTGTGGTACCTCCTGTGAATCTTTAATTCTGCCGACGATCTGAAGGACTTGTCACAGTCGTCGCACTTGAAAGGCCGCTCCCCCGTGTGGATCAGAGTGTGCCTCACCAGAGCGTCCTTTCCGAAGAATCCCTTCCCGCAGTGCTCGCATGGGAAGCGCAGCCCTTTGTGGTGGAAGTTATCGTGTTTCAGAAGGCACCTCCTGGATGTGAAGGTCTTGCCGCACTGGGCGCAGGCGAAGATCGAAGACGGTTTCTCTAATATGGGTTCTCCAGAGTGGTGCACACGCTGCACATGCCTTGTCAAAGTAACGCCATGTCTGAATTTCTTTCCACACTCCCAGCAGAGGAACGGATATGCTTTTGTGTGTTTCTTCTGGTGCTCCACGAGGTCTGAGTACGACCGGAATCTTTTGGTACAGTTGGTGCACTGAAACGGTTGGTAGCCAGTGTGTTTCCACTCGTGTCTGATGAACCGCTTCAAACTGGCGAAAGTGGTCTGACAGTGTGAGCAGGTGTAGGGCTCGGTGGGGTTGTGGGCGTCGATGTAGTGCTTGTGAAGGGCCTTGAACACGGGGAAGTGCTCCTCACAGCGGTTGCATTGAAATGGAGTGTGGGATTCCTTGTGCATGGCCAATGCCTCGGAGTCGCGCACCAGCTTCATGCACACCTCGCAGTAGAGCGGGTTGTGGGTTTGTTTGTGTGAATCCAACGTCGATTTGTACTTAAACGCCTTGTCGCATTCGTTACACTTGAAACAGTGCTTCTCATCCTCGGGCTTCTCTGGGTCCACCTGCTGCTCGCTGTAGCAAATGTTCCTCAAATGGAACCTGAAAGTCTGTTTGCACTTGAACTCGGCGCTGCAGTGAGGACAGTAAAATGGACCCTCGAGCACACTCTTGTCATCTGGGCTGGTCTGCCCTAATTCTAGGGAGGATCTCTCTGTTGAGTTATCCAGGTCCTGGTCTGCATTGTCTGACGGCTCCCCTTCATTGGAGATATCCAACTGGCTTGATGATTGTTCCCCGTCGTTTGCTGAGCTCTCAGTTTGTTGCTTTGGTTTCCTGCCGGGCCTTCCTCTTGCCTTATTTGGGCATCTGTGCTGCTGCAAGAATCGCAAGCTCTTATAGATTTTTTTACACGCAGGACAAGAGAAGGGCAGCTCTTCAGAGTGCCGATTCATGTGACGCTCCAAGAGGTGGGCACGGGCCACCACCTTTCCACACACTTTGCACGTCCGCTCATCCAGGTCGTTGCTTCTCGCTGAACCTCGGCCTCTGCCGAACTTTTTAGTGCTGTTGTTGGCGGCGTTACCAGCCTGCGTCTTCCCTGATTTCCTCCACTGAGACAGGTACCGTTTCATCTTGAGTCCGCGGTTCTTTCGCACCGGCCTCTCCCACATGGCGTCGTAGTCTGGGTCTTCTTCTTTGCTCCTCACCCTGCTTGGCACTTCGAAGTCTTCATCGACAGGAAGCTTCTTTTTGCGCCCCCGTTTTTTCGGCCTCTTCTCCTCTGCTTCCAGTACCGTCACCTGACCGTCTTCCCCGATCATCAGTGTACCAGATTGTTCCTCCGCCATTTCGCTCTCACTGGCCTCGGTGCCCTCGATCGGGTCCGTGGCAACCTCACTGTCCATTTCAGCTTTGACCTCGCTGCTGAGGCCAAACCACGGGGTCTGCACACACTCTTCAGAAGTCCTGCTTCCTTCAACGAAAACCTCCTTGTTCTCGGACTCGACTTCCATCTCTGTGCAGACTGTATACACGAGTCCACTCTCTGCATCTGTTTCTGCTTGTTCGTTGACGATCACAACTCTTTCTGAAGGGGGGAGACAGAGCGCTGACAAGATGCCGCTGTCGACGATGTAGGAATCTGAAACAGAAACCATGAGAACACTTAAACACCGGGATATCCTGGCAGTTTTGATAGATGACGTTGTGTTGTCTGGAATAAGGAACAACACTTCCGCCAAAAGAAAAATAACAAGATCAGAGCTCTGAGACACTCACCGATGTCCCCTAACTGGCTGAGGTCTTTGTGAGTGTCCAGCAGGGTTTTGAGCTCCTGTGGCTGAGCGAAACTCTCCATGCATTCATTCAGAACAGCAGACGTGTCGCTGAGCAGAGCTGCAATCTAACAAACAGAGTGGAAACTTTGTGAGACAACAAGAGGACATCTTATAAACTCTAGTTGACACTTTTTTGGAATTTACCCCTGTGGGACTAATAAAGGAATATCTTCTCTTTTTCATAGACACAGTCAGGCCGAACACTTAAACACAGGTACAAAAAAGCAGAAAGCAGCGCTGTTAGCTGGCAGCTCACAAAGATTCGTATTTTGAGGTCCAAACAAAGCCTGTAAATACTGCATTCAGTTTGCATGACACCCTGCTGTTAATTGAGAACAACAGGCTGAGTTCACGCTGAACAAAAGCATTCATCAGAATCCATGAAATGTAGGCGTCATTGCTCAGTTTAGCCTGCAGCCGTACGTGTTTTACACAGGAGATTCAGTGATATGATTCCCATAAGTACACATACATGTGAAGAGATATACTCCTGTTTCAAGTGTGTGTGCAATAACAAATATTTAACCTGACAGAAATGTACCTGTTGCAGAGTCTGAGTTGGGAGAAGCTTTTCAAGCCTGGACAAAAACAGCCACATCAGGGTCTGGATTGCTTTGTCATATGTGGGGCCAAAGTCTTCTGGAAAAACATCCTGAAACACAAAGAAAATCCACTGGAATTAAATATGCAACCCGCCAGAACATAGTATGAAATCATAACAAGAAGAACTTCCTCTAGGAGGACTTGTAAGATTTAAAAAGACAGCATAGGTGTCCAAGGTACCTCTGGCTTTTATACAGCAGTGTAATCCAACTTCTGTCCTCTATATTTATCTTATACATTAATCTTATGATCTCAAATGTTACAAGTAATACATAAAATGTGCATATGATAATGTGTTTAAATAAAAAATCCTTAAAAAATTTTACCTGGAAGAAATTTTTCCTCTCTTCAGGATCTCTCAGTAAGTTTCGGACAAGACCCATAAAATGTGAGTCAGATGGATCCTGTTCTGGATTTTCCACCTGCAAATAAAACAATGTTTAAAAAGGTGAATTTGTTTTCATAGTTCTTCAAAGATAGTATATGTACCCACAACACTCTATTTTGTTAATAAAACAGAAAGGTTCACTGCGAGCAGTACTTTCAGATCAGAGACAATGTAGACCATTTTAAAAACCTTGATCAAATAAAAGCCACTCCCGATATTACTCATGTTAAGACTCACCTCCACGTTCCACAGCGACCTGAGGCTCTGCATTCGATCAAGGTGTGGCTGAATGATCTGAAGGTCAGCCGTCTCTTCAGAGCGACACAACTCCAGGATGAGCTACAATCAGAGGAGAAGAGCAACAATGAGGACGTGAGTCAGCAGGAAGACAAAACATCTGTCTGCTGTTCTGTTCCCATACACACCGGCTCGAATGTGGTCTTGTGAATAAACCTCTGTAGGTATCAATCAACCCCTATTTTCTATGAAGACTAAATCTCGTTTTACAAAAAGACACATTTTATTTTAGATAAAAAAACAATAAAAAACAAGGTATTTTATTCACACCGCACAATGAAATGTTGTGTCCTAACACAATCAATTGTAATCATTGAGTAAAGAAGGGTTTTGTGGCATTTACAATGAAGCTGTGCCTCATTAGCTGGCTATTCAAATAGAGACTGTTCAGCTGGATAACATCTATGGCAGTGGTTCTCAAGTCCAGTCCTTGAGGCCCATTGTCCTGCATGTTTTGGATGTTTCCCTGTTCCAACACACCTGATTCAAATGATCAGCTCGTTATCTAGCTGTAATGGCTTACTAACGAGCTGATCATTTGAATCAGGTGTGTAACACCCACTGTTCTATGGTAATAGAAAAATCTATCTGTTATTCAGTAAAACATTCACACATTGTCCTGCATATCGACTAACTTATGATGAGTATGAAGACACATTAACACAGCAACAGCTTAGGCAAGAAACAGCGTACACTTTCTCTCATTTGGTTCATATTTCAGAGCTCCTGAAAACTAGGAATATCACATTTCACTCACCCTCGCTCTAAGACCCAGGAGGAGTTCAGCCCGCTGTCTCACAGAGAGAAGCTGGGGAACAATCTCCGTAATCATAAACACAAACTCCTCCAGTAGTCCATAATCGGACACGATTTTCTGCTCCACCGTCTGCCAAATGGCTGCAGAGACCAGTCGGATAGGCGGGACCAGGAGGCGCAGGGCAGAGAGGGGGAGAGTGGGACCTAAACGTGGGGAATTCAAAGGTTTGAGTCTCATAAAATAATAGAAAACAGACAGAAACTTTTTAAAAAGTGTTAGTGGGATGATATTATGACGATAATTCAAATACTCATTCACACATGAATTTAACCCATTACTGAAGAGATCACTGAGGGGTTAGCCCCGTTTGTAATGATAAGGAGATTAATTATAAGGGTTAAAAGACAGTTCACGGAGCATTTATTGAGATAAGAACAGAGACTAACTTCAGACCATTACAATGTAGTAATGACTGCGCGATAGCAATACACAGTAGTCTGAGGAGTCATAAACAAATCTTCAACAGTACATATAGGGTCCGAGCCATAGTACTTGCCAGCAAACATCTTTTCAATTGTGCCTAATTTCTTTAGCAAAGAGACTAATCACATCTAACCCACTCTCTTCCAGCAGCCACTTGTTTGTAGCGAGACCTTGGGCCAATCAATTACGGACTGCTGCAGGGTGACGCAGCATGCAGAACATTTATGATCATTTCTTTATCATTTCCTTAAAGTAATAATCGCCATATTAGTTATTTTGCACTGCAGAGGCAGTAGTTCTTCTGCCTTCGCGTCTTGGTCTGATTGTATTTCCATGAAGAAATGATCATAAATGTTCTTCCTTGAGCTGTGTCACCCAGCTGCAGTCCTAGGGGACTGGCCTGAGGTCTCGCTACAAACATGCGGCTGCTGGAAGAGAGTAGGTGAGATGTGTTTAATCTCTTTGCAAAAGAAATTAGGCAAAGTGAAAAAGATGTTTGATAGCTAGTGCTATGGCTAGGACCCTATATGTACTGGTGATGATGTTAGGTGCTGTTCTGAGCATTATTTGTGGCTATAGAGTGGTGTTTTGGTTGAGGTTTGTTTATGGCTCCTGAGACTGCTGTGTATCACTATCCTGCGGTCATTACTAAAGTTGGTTTAACTAGAGAAGCAAGCGATTTGCAACACTCATCTCTTGAGGGGGAGTCTAACTCAGTGTTACAGTGTGTTTGACCCTAAATTAATTTTACACCAGAATATCCCTTTAATAATATATGTTGATATCATTGTGAGCTATTGTATTTGCTCTGCAGAAAAGCATCAGCTTTGCTTCCTCTGGAGTCAGATCAAGTCTCAGGTCATGAAGGATGTTTAAACTCCAGTTAAGCGGTGAGAATGCTGAGCATCTGTACAGTTACTTTAGGTTCCTATTCATGCAGGTCATGGTCAACCAGTTCTTCATGAAAGGGCATCTGTGGACTTACTTTTGAGGATTTTAGAGACGTATCGCCTAGAGGCCTACAGTCGAAACGTCTCCAAGACCTTCAAGCAAGTCCTTAGATACCCTCCCAATGAAAAATTGGTGACTTTCATTTTTTTATTCTCCCTGTCACACCTTTTTATAATCATGTTGCTTAAATTGAATTGAACGTTAATTTGCCTTTTTAATTTAAACAATACATTTCCCAGCTTCATCAAACACTCTGTTGTTTTCGCAAAGTATCCAATCAAATATGCGTTTTAAAACATTTGATAACCTATAGCTTTAATATTTACTAACAATGTGCACATCGTCCCAACCAGCGTCAACATAGCACTATAAGTCGATTTTAAGTCAGTTAATCGATTTCAAATCAGCTTCGGCTCTAGCTAGCGTTAGCAGAGCCAGATAACCCCCTACCCTAACATAATCACCTTCAACTAAAGCTGTCATTTCTGCCCGTAGTTTGGGCATCTGGCAAACAAAACAATTCCAATGTAAATCCTGGTTGGTTTTAAATATTTACATATTAACTATTTTTTTAAAACAACTATTCCCCGGGAGTTAGCATTAGCATTCCCGCGCGCGGGACTTGGTTGAGGCCTAGCTAAACAAACGCTTCTGTAACCTTTAAAACTCACCGTGCGACTCTGAAATACCTCCGTCCATGATGCGCGTTCACCGCAGTTACATTACCACTGAAAACAGACACAAAACTCGTACAGTCTGGGTTAGAATGAGTTTTTAAAGACGACTGTATCCAGAGACCGAAGTCACTCAGCCGAGCTTTGTGCGTCAACGGTTGCTTTGCGTTCCGTCTGGAATAACAATCCGACTGAAAACAGTAAGGGTTGAGAAGTTCCGCAGACTGGTCTAGTCTTCCTTTCACGTTCCCACGGGAAAACTCGGTCCATCGAAAGTTAGTAATAGTTTTTGAAAACGTTTATGTCTGTACATAATATTTTCACATGCTAGACTTTGCTGAGTGGCAGCTGTGTCACATTTATCAGCCCATGAAGTAAACGACCCCTTGATAAAAAACAGTAATACAGACCCTGGTGTGTATCCCAGTTTCAGGACACATTCTGGACATTTTTTTCACATTTTCTCCCTAAATTCTATTTATATTTACTTCTTTGACATCTGAGAACACAAGGGACACAAAACCAGTCATTTGAATACTCCCAGGACTTAAGAGTTTTGGGAAATGTATAATAAACCCATATTTGTCATCAATGTGAGCCATAAATCCCTCACATCTCATCTATTTAAAGCAGTTTCAACCTCAAATCCAAAATACGCTTTCTTTGATCCATTTAAAAGTTGATCCAAAAGTAGTACATATATCTGGGCTGGCCCATGGACTAATCTTTACATTTTAAGATCCTTTAGTGAGATTGCTCCTGTTAATGAAACACTTAATTATACATTTTATCTGACAGAAAAAGTTGGGCTGCTGTGGGGAAAGTAATACAGTCAGGTTCAGCCTGTACTATTCGAGTGAGGCTGTAGTCGCTCTTAAACTTGTTCTCAGATTTAGGAGACCTTTATTCTGTTTGTAAAAATGAAAAACAACAATCTGAGTGTGTGTTTTCTTCATCTCTGGACCATGTTTTACTGTCCAGATCCAGAATCATAACTCCCCGACTTCAGATTTGGCCCAAATATTCAAGTTTTTGGGAAATTTGGGTCTGACTTTGGGATCAGGACTCTAATCACTGTGATCTATACAGAAAAAAAGTGGAATCACTCTTTCTTGAATTCATACAAATAAAACACCGAAAGGTTTCACTAATCTTAAAATGTGCGTCTTAAGAATTCTGTAGACTCCCAGATAATCTAGCCTAGAACTGACAAGTGCAAGTATTATAGTTTTGGGTTAGGACCCGGCAAATGTGGTCTGAACTATAAAAAATAACCAACAACGAAACTACCCTTTTCATGCTTTTTTTTAAATGAATGTTTCATAAATCTTAAACTCTGGTGTTAGAAGTCTGTAGACTCTCTTTCTTGATGCTGTCCAGATCTGACAAACCTTGCCGTAACCTTCCCTGTAACAGCCAGATGAAAATCCATGAATGGGATGCTAACTCAAGCAGTCAAGAACATCAATATGAATTGATTATTTTTCAGTTTTCATAAGGTTAGATCCCGGCTTGATAATTCACTGCACCCTTGAGGAAAGTAAGCAGATTATTGGTTATAAAGCACCACTTATGCTTGAACATTGACTAAACTATCCTATGATCCTATCCTATGACTTTTTGGCTGTAATTATTTTAAGTACAACTGTGAAAATTTTATAAGACATTTATAGGTTTGGTATCCACAGTGCTTGCCCACAATGAGCTGAAAAATATCAGTATTTCCAAGGGTGTGAAACACGGTTCAACAGCTGGACTTGTGAGAGAAAATGTTTATTGAGAGAATAAACCAAGGTACAAGTGGGCTCACCTTGCAGTGAAATTCTATACAGTTCTATACAATGGTTACACATACAGACGAGTCTCCCCCTACTGGACATTAAAGACATGCAGGTAGCATTTTAGCAGGTACAGCTTTTCAGACCATGATGCTAAACTTGAAGACATTGCTGATTCCTGAGTGTTACTACTCTACAGAGTTACTTTGTATGCACCAGTCTTTTGTGCCTCTGCATGCTGTAGAGTTTGGGGAAAGCTTTGCCGCAGTGGCAGACAAACGGCTTCACTCCTGAGTGTATTTTCGCGTGTGTATTGAGGTCAAACTTTTGAATGAAGCCCTTCCCGCAGCTGTCACATTTGTAGGGCCTCTCTGTGGTGTGGTGTATGAGGACATGTCTCTTCACCTCCGTGGTCGACCTGAAGTGTTTATCACACTCAGGCACGGTGCATTTATAAGGTCTCTCTCCAGTGTGGATAAGTTTGTGTCGGGCAATCGTGGAAGCGGAGACCATCTTTCCACAGTACTGGCACTGATGACGGAATAACTGCAGCAGCGTTTCAAAGTGTTTGAGCCTCTGGTGTTTCTTCAGAGCTCCTTTCTCTTTAAAGGATTTGTCACACTCAGAGCAGCGATGCCTCTTCTCATTTCGAGACTCACTGTGGAGGAGCTCGAAGTGTCGCAGTAGGTTGGACCTTTGGGAGAAAGTCTTGCCGCACTCTGCACACAGGTACGGCTTCTCTCTGGTGTGGACTCTCAAGTGTGAAATGAGATCTCCATCTGTTTTGAACCTCAAGCTACACTGAGCGCACTGAAACGGGAGATGGCCCGTGTGTTTCCACTCATGCGCGATCAAAACACGCAGCTTGGACAGAGTCTTCGGACAGTGAATGCACTTGAAGGGCTTCCTGGTTTCATGGACGTTTTGGTAATGTCTCAACAAAGGCTTGAAGAGAGTGAAGGTCTCCTCGCAGCGGTTACACTGATACAGCGTGTGGGAAGACTTGTGTCTCGCCAACGCTTCTGCGTCTCGCAACACCTTCCTGCACACGCTACAGTACAGTTCATCGTGGGTCAGTTTGTGCTTCTCCAGAGAGACTTTGTACTTGAACGCTTCCACACATTTGTCGCATTTGTAAAGGTTACTGGTCTCGTCCGGCTTGGCTGGATCCACCGGCTGCTGGACGTGCTCGAAGCAGATTCTTTTAAGGTGCTGCTTCAGAGAGGTGAAGAGTTTGAACCGGCTGTCGCACCGAGGGCAGGCGTAATCCCCGGTGGGAAAGTGAGTTTTCATGTGAGTCCTCAGGCTTGTGGACACGAGCTCTTTGCAGATAAAACACTCCACTTTTTTTTTCGTGGTGCTGCTGCTTTTGACAGCTGAGACATTTTTGGAAATCAAGAAGGTCGAATCTTCATTTGAGTGGCTTGACGATGAGTCATCGTCAGACAAGCTCCTGGCTGGAGGCTCAAACGAAGAGTCATCGTCAGAGTAATGAGACCAGGAGCCAGCCTCACTTGGACTGGAAGGTTTGTGGAAGGAATTGTCATCAGAGTAGTACGACCAGGAGTCGTCTTCACTGCAAGTGCTAATGGGAGCCATAAACGTGTCTTTGACCAAGCTGCCTGAACTCTCATCGTCTGAGACTTTTGAGCGAGCCCTGTTGTGGGTTTTTCTAGACGCTGGTTTCCAGGAAGGAGAAGCCTTCTTATTGAGATCTCTTTTCTCTTCCATCAGGAGCTTCTGCATCTTCAACCCTCTGTTTCGCCTCACAGGTCGTGTTCGCAGATAGGGCGAGACGTCGACTCTTTTCAGTTGAATCTGGCATTGTTTTAAATTTAAAGACGGATCTTCTTCTTGCCCTTGAAAAACACTTCCCTCAGGTGGTGTCGACTCTCTACAAAACACGACTGATCCGTTTCTCCTGAGAGTTGGATCACAAACCCGTGTCTGTCTGTGTGTGTTTGGGTCTGTCTTTGTTTGTGCTTCATGAGGCAGGGTTGGAGATTCCCTCTCCAGATCTGATGAAGATGACAGCCCAGCCTGCAGTTGTATTTCATGAGTCTCAGATTTTCCAACAGACGGAAGTTTGAGGGCTGTAATAATGCAGGAACCATCCAAAGAATAATCTGGAATGAGATAAAAAGAGGAAAAAAAACATGAAAAAAAACGACAGACTCACAGTTCAATTCAGATTCAATTCTTCATGTCACATTTTATCTAACCTTGATTTGATGTTGAGTGAGTAATATCTACAGATGACTGAAATACCCTGATCATTCCTTTACTATTTGTGTGCATTATTTGCACAGGTTTAGAAAAATCTGACACCAAGATTAAGTTATTCTCTGAAAATTTATAAGAAAAGAGTTCAGTGCAGCACTGTGGAAAGTATGAAGAGCTTTATAGAGCCGCTCTCTCTGCTGACTTGACAACCGCGTCCATCGAGTAATTGAAAAAAAAAAGAGCAATACAAGGGCTCACCGTTGTGCTGCAGCTGTACGAGGTCCTTCTGGTAATGCAGCAGAGTTTTGAGTTCCTCACATCCTGAGACTGAGTTCATACAGTCCTCCAGAACTGAGGACACCTCACCCAACATGGAGGCAACCTGAAGACACAAATAAAGAAAAAGATTCAATTTCTATATTGGGACTTGCTGTATACAAGAGCAAATCATTTCTGCTCAACCGGCAACATTTTAGAAAAGGGAGTACATATTCATTTTTAGTTAGCTGTTTACTGAAAGTACATTAGTAGCATATAAGCTATTAAGTGTCTATTATAAAGCATTAATCATCTGGCCATGTTGTGGTCTGAGGGTTCTTTGTAAAGCAACTTATAAATATATTTCTAAAAGGAGTCTGGTGGCTTTTGAGAGAGCTACTGGCCCTCTGTTTCTGTTTTAAATTAAATCACCTTTCTGCGATATTTTCACAACAACCTGACCCTCAATGACAAAAAACAAAATCTCTGAGCAAGTGTATTTCAAGGTTGGATCAGTGTGTAACAATCCTAAACTTTGAGTTATTTAGACCCCAAATTGAGTAAAAAAAGAAAGGAGTAAGGTTTAGGAATACCACATCACCCATTTAAAGTGATATCAACACGATATCTCTTTTTATAATTTCTACATTCTTTTTTTATTTACCTGATGGAAAGTTTGAAAAGAAAGAAAATCATCAAGTCTGGACAGAAACGTCCACATCAAAGTCTGAAGAGCGTCATCATATCTGGGTCCAAACTCTTCAGGGAACACTTGCTGCAAGAAAGAAGAAGATTAAGAAGAAAATTATTATTAATCATCAAGATCCTCAACAGGGTGGATTAAATATCATGTCTGTTTTTAATGCAGTGTTGCCCAAGGGCCCAAAGATTATAACCATCTATCTACTATAAGTTATCAGCCTTGTCCATTTTCGATAAACATTTCTCCAGATTCTCAGAATTATTTTTATTGATATTTTTAACTGTAAATGATAAAATAAAATTTTTGTAGTTTTATGCTTAGAAACATAACGTGGGAATTGTGAAATCATTTTCCCATGCAGTCTCAGACAGAGTGGTGAATCTCTCTATCTTCTTGACTTCTGAGGGACTCAGTTTCTCTATAGCACCCATTCATACCTAATCACTGTTACTGACATGTTGCAAAGTAACCTCATCAGTTAGGAGATGTGTCCTCAAATATTTGTTTTGCATTACAAAACTTCAAAACTTTTTTTCTCCCGTCACAATTTTTAAAAAATCTGTTGCTGGCATTGAATTTAAAGTGAGCATATATTTTTCATAGTTAGCATTTCACACAACATCCCAACTTTTCAGTTTGGGGTTGCAGTTAAGAGTCTTAGAAATACAGAAAAAAAATCATTTGAACTGACTTGAAAGAAATGCTCCCTCTCCTCAGGATTCTTCAGCAGGTTTTGAACCAGATCCACAAACTCAGAGTTCGGCACTTCCATAATCTCTGTTCCAGCCTGAACAACATAACATGAGCATTAGAAGTTAATAGGACAGAGAACTCAAGAGAAGAGAAATTTTCATTAGACTTAAAGGGGTATTGCAGCATAAAATTAAGTTAGGGTCAAACACCAAGTTAGACACCCCCTCTACTGATGAATGTTGCAGACCGCTTGCTTCTCTAGTGAAACCAACTTGAGTAACGACCGCACAATAGCAATACACAGCGGTCTATGGAACCACACATCAACCTCAACCAAAAAGCAACTCTATAATGCTCAGAACAGCACCTAACTTCATCAACAGTACATACAGGGTCCCAGCCATAGTACTAGCAATCAAACATCTTTTTAACTTTGCCTAATTTCTTTTGCAAAGAGACTAAACAAAACTAACCTACTCTCTTCCAGCAGCCGTTTGTTTGTAGCAAAAACCCAGAGGTCCATTACGGACTGCAGTGGGGTGACGCAGCTCAAGGAAGAACATTTATGATCATTACTGTATCATTTCCTTGAAGTAATAATCATCATAATAATCAATTTGCACTGCAGACACAGTAGTTCTTCTGTCTTAGCATCTCGGTCTGATTGCATTTCCATGAAGAAATGATCATAAATGTTCTTCTAGTACTATGGCTGGGACCTTATATGTACTGTTGATGAAGTTAGGTGCTGTTTTGAGTGTTATTTGTGGCTATAGAGTGGTGTTTTGGTTGAGGTTTGTTTATGGCTCCTTAAACCGCTGTGTATTGCTATCGTATGGTCGTTACCAAAGTTGGTATAACTAGAGAAGCGGTCGGTAACCTTCATCTCTTGAGGGGGTGTCTAACTCGGTGTAACAGTGTGTTGGACCCCAACTTAATTTTACGCCGGAATATTCCTTGAAGTAACTCCACTTGAAACTCACCTCTTCCACCCAGTCCTGGATCAGGATTCGCACATTGTCCAAGTGCGGCTGAATAAGCTCCAAGTCTGCTTCAAATCGACACAGCTCCAGAATCAGCTGGAAGAACAAAGACAGCATCATGATCAAAGTCCAAGTACAAATACTCTCCAAATGTAATTTTATATCATTCCACAGAAATCCCTCATGTTTAGATAATTTATACCTAACCAGGGGCTTTTTTTAAAAGTACTTCTTCATCTATGCCAGTAAAAAGTCCAAAATAAGATAACATAGGTTGCCAATGATAATCGTTTTAATACTTTATCATAAGTCTCCAAACTGGTTTTCAATCAGCAATCTATCTACTTCTTAAATGTTTACATCAACCCCTTATTACCAAGAGCTAGCGTTGTGTCGTTCACTAACAATTCGTTCAAAGGAACTGAATCACCTCCTCAAATGATTCGTTCGTTTCTCATTTCAGTTGAGTTGTCAGCAGTGTAGCTGCTTTAGTACGCAGTATGGCCAGGCGAGCAGCCGGCGAATGAGGGACCGCATGCATCGACGCCTGAGTCACTTGGTAAAAGAATCACACAGTGAACTACACTCTCTGGAATCATTTTTGTCGGCCACAACTAACTTTTTTTTTTCACTGCTAAATTGCCACCACAACAACTTGCATACCATCCGACACAGCATGTAACAAGTAGTACATAAAACCTGCAACATCCTATCATTGCAGTGGTTTGCGAGGGAACGGTGCATGTTCAGTGTGAATTCTTCTAAACGTTCAGAGAGCGAATCACTCACTGAGCCCAATTTACCGAGCAAACCAGATGAATAGCACACCATAGGACATAGGAAAGGGTCCACACATTCAGGTTGCTGGGAATCAAGATCTGTGACAACCTCTCCTGGTCAGCCAACATCACTGCCATCATAAAGAAGGCCCAGCAGCGGCTGCACTTCCTGAGAGTCCTCAGGAGGAACCAGCTGGACAGGAAGCTGCTGCTGGCCTTCTACCACTCATCCATTGAGAGCCTGCTGACGTACAGCATCACCACATGGTAAGGGAGCTGCACCAAGGCGGACAGAGAGAGGCTCCAGAGGACAGTCAAAACAGCACAGAGGATCATCTGCTGCCCTCTCCTCTCCCTGACGGACATCTACTCCACCCGGTGCCTCAGCAGAGCTCAAAACATCATCCATGACCCTTCACACCCTGGTGCCCAGCTGTTTGACCTGCTGCCCTCTGGGAGAAGGACTAACAGACTCAAAAACAGCTTCTTCCTTCGAGCCATCACCATCTTAAACTCCCTTAAACCAGCTCCAGCCCTCAAGATGAAGTAACAAGTGCGATACTGCCAACGTTACTGCTGCTGTGTTGATTAATATATCCTTAACCTGTGCAATACATGTCTATATAGTACATATAAAAATGTATTTATACATTATTTTACTGTTCTGTAAAATTCTTGTCTTGTATGTATAGTACCTTCGTTCTTACGACTATTTGTACTTTTACTACCTTATTTTCACTTGTCTATTACACTGGAAAAGGAGAAGCTCCCCAATCCCGTTGTACTTGTAGTATGATGACAATAAAGGACATTCTGATTCTGACAGTACAACATGACTGACATGGTTACAAACCTGTTAGCCAAAGCAACACAGCCTCACACTCTTGTCTCTCAGTCCCAGAAGCTATGAATTGAACTGACTCCTCAACCGTTCAGCTGTGTATCAGTTCAGGAGGACGGAGTCACAGGCTCTTCCCGCCAAGTACTGAATGATTCGGTGATTTGGTAAACGAATCTTTTGAACGAATCTTTTTAGTGAACCGATTCTAGACATTCAGTACACCTAAAAGAACTGCCGTGCCTATCACTACCAAGAGCATCAGTTTTCTGTATAAATTAACGAGTGAATGATAATTGATCATTCATCCTCTCACCCGTGCTCGGAGTCCCAGGACAAGTTGGGCCTTCTGCTGAGGAGTGAGTAGCTCAGGAACGTTGTCAGTCATTAAGGAAACAAACTCCTGAATAATCCCATAATCTGCCACATTTTTCATCTGGACCGTCTGCCAGATCGCTGCAGAGACCAGCCTGACAGGCGGAACCAGGAGACGCAGAGCAGAGAGGGGGAAAGGAGGACCTAAGTGGAAAGAGACGATTATTACTTGTGTTCTACAAGGGCCCCCGTACACAAAATGTCTTTGTTTGCTTAAAATGAACATTTACTTACGTTGCCCTTGTAAAATAGTGTCCCCCATCCCGTTATCCCGCTTCTTTCAGTCACAGTATGTTCTCACACACCGACAGAAAGAGTGAAATCGTCCTTTTCTCCTCTCCTGGTAAAGTTGTAGCGGCTAGTTTGAAGCGCCTGTGATGATCTGCGATGACTGGTCCGTCTGAGTTTTCGTTCCGGTTTCCGCGGATGAAAGGTTCCTAGTACGTGTTTAATTCCATTTTTGGTTACAGAGATGTTGTACTTTTATAAAAAAAAATCACGTTACCACTGCTTTTACACTAAAGGTTATGCAGCCATATACACGGGTATTTTCTGTGTGATAACTGTGAGCTGTGAAACTGACAAATTTTTCTGATGGCAATTGCTGGAGTCCACCAGGTGGAGGTGCTGTAGGACAAACAAACACAGCTGCTCTGTACAGGTGTGGATGAAACATGAATGTTGAGTTGTTGTGTTTAAGATGTTGTAACCGGTACAAACTCTATCATTGACAATATAAAAATGTTTGTTAGTCGGTGTTCAGAGTGTCAAAAGTCTGAGTCTCGCTGTATCACTCAGGCTGGACTACAGCGTCTATTCACGGGCGCGAACCCACTACTGAGCGGCACGAGGGCTTTGACCTGCTCCGTTTCCGACCTGGGCCGGTTCACCCCTCCTTAGACGACCTGCTGGTCCCGGGCTCCCCCAGGATCAGCATATCGATACCGAACTTAGTGCGGACACCCGATCGACATAGTCCACTGTAGCTCAGAGCTCCTGAACTCAAACGATCCTCCAGACTCAGCCTCCCGGGGACTTGGATTACAGGCGCGCGCCACCGCACCCGGCGACAAACAGCACGAGTCTGTGTGTTCAGACTCTGGATGTCCACGGTCTGCATGTTCAGACTGAATCTACCATCCAAACTTCATTAAACTAAATAAACGACGAGAAAAAAAAAAAAAAAACCAGCCCAAGTCATGTTATGAATCACATTTTTTCTTCCTCAATAACCTTTTATTTAATTCACCATTTAGATCATAATTTTTAGAATAGAATACAATAGAATAGAATATTCCTTTATTGATCCCCCATGGGGGAAATTTTTTTGTCACAGCAGCATCACAGACAAAGAGTGCAAAAATGCAGTTATAAAAATAAAGATCCTAATATTAAGAACTTAAATAAATGTAATAATTAAGAAAAAAATTAGAAAAAGGGAGAATAAAAATAAAACTATCTACAATATACACTATTTAAATGCCAGCAAAAAAGTGGTGGTGTAAATCCAGTTATTACAGTTCGTTGTAAAGTCTTGCAGAGGGGAGGAATGACCTGCGGTAGCGCTCTGTCTTGCAAGGTGGAAGTCTCAGTCTGCTTACCAACTTTGTTGTCTAGTGCTCAGCAGGACCCAGGCTTTAAGATCCGAAGTTGTTTTTTTATTTTATTTTTTTGCCGTATATGCGTTTTGACCGGATATGGCGAAAACACTGGTCACGCTCAGGAGTATGATAGTAGTCCCATAAATTGAGATCAGTTCTGCAACGTTCAGTTATCATTTTAACCCTTTGATGCGCAACATGGGTCAAAAAAGACCCAGCTGAGTTTAAATTTTATATATCTTTTCAATAAATTGATTCCATCAGTCGGTACTCAAGGAATTCCTCAATTAACTTGTTTTTGACGACCCTACATCCTTATGTTAATTTTTCTTTTTTTACTTTTAGAATAAAAACCGTTTTTGTATCACTACCCCTCTAATGCACAACATCGGTCTAAAATGACCCGTATCCATTTTTAATGTTATTTCATGTATGGCTGAGTGTTTCTATGGTATATCTTTGAAATAAATTAATTTTATCATTTACTATTCCCAGTATGCAGTAAAGATCTTGTTTTAGTTGAGCACAAATGATTATATTTATTTTTTCTTTCTTATGTTATGAGGAAGCACAGATTTTGTATTTCTACATCAAGTTTACATTCATGGGTCAGAAATGACCCACATACAGTGACTGTAGCATTTAGCATGAAAAGACCGTCTAATACATGTAGGTATGGTTTTTCAATTGTTCTGACATTATCTTAGAAATTATTTGATGACAATTGTGAAATATAATTGTACATAGATTTGATTTGATTAGGTTTAGGTTACCTTGAGAGTGAGGACATTACATGTTGGAAAGTTACACAGTTACAGGTAAAACAGCTAGCGTTATTTCAGCTAGCTATAATCAGACGCATGTGTATGTGACAAAATGACAAATAAACATGTTGCTGATACAAAATACAAAAGTGTTTGGCCCATAGACTGTATACAGAATGGACGCCGTCTGCCTCCTCGCTGAGTGAAGCCACTCCGAGAACAGCACCCCCTGTTTACAGGCTGCTGTATAGGTCATAAATCCCGCCTCCGCCAGCAAAGCTTATGGGGCTGTGGACAAACTTTAGAAATTTATTACACAGTACATACATTTTTCTCCCCCCTGCTTGCAATGTTGACATGTAGTTACTGTAAGACTGGTTTGTGCTCAAGTCCTCTTTTTTCTGTACAGCTCCATTTTTAAAAGTTATAAGGGGTTCATGTTTGCTATGATTGACACCTGATACAGCCTATGGGCGTTCAGGGATTGCGTAGCTCTCCCGGGGGATACGCTGTTTGAGCCGAGCGTCATCACAGCGACTCTTTTCAACTGCGCGGCCAAATGCGCGCATTGCTACTGCGCAGCGCTGGTTTCAGGAAATGAAGAAAAATCCTGGAAATATCGAGAGCTATTTGGCTCCAAATCTGTATACAGGTGGTAGGTGGAACGAAGTTGTCCATAGTATATACAGTCTATGGATACAGCCTATCGGCGTTCAGGGATTGCGTAGCTCTCCCGGGGGGATACGCTGTTTGAGCCGAGCGTCATCACAGCGACTCTCAGCGACTGCGCGGCCGAATGCGCGCATCGCAACTGCGCAGTGCTGGTTTCAGAAATGTAGAAAAATCCCGGAAATACCGAGAGCTTTTTGGCTCCAAATCTGTATACAGGTGGTAGGCGGAACCAAGTTGTCCATAGTATATACAGTCTATGGTTTGGCCCCACTCACTGCTAATTTCATTACTTGAAACAAATTATTATTATAGTGTTAGGTAATTTAATATTAAATCACACTTGGATGAATGGGTCATTTTTGACCCATGTGTGTAAACTTGATGTAAAAATATAGAAACTATATTATTTCATAAAGTATGAAAAGAAAAATAGAAATAATGATCAGTGGTGATCAAAAACACGATATTTAAAGAATACTTGGAATATTCAATCAGAAAATAAACTGATTCCAAAAGATAGAACAAAGGAAAACTCAGCCAGCATGAAATACCATTGGAAATGAATGCGGGTCTTTTTAGACCCATGTTGCGCATTAGAGGGCGTGTGGATATGTTGCGCATCAAAGGGTTAAATAATCAACTCTTGAATTGTGCATCAAAATCGATTGTCTAGATTCGGTCTATATGTAGACGTTGAAATGACGTACACATTTATACGTCTAAATCACGTCTAAAAATAGACCGAATCCCGACGTTGAAATGAAGTATAAATTTAGACTAGACGTCTAATATACGTCTTTTGCTCAGTGGGACACTCAAACCGAGGCGGTGGATTTCCACAGAGTAAATACGAAATGACGGTCACGTGGTTCAGAAATGAACAAATATGTTAAAAACCTCTATTGTTGAAATTAAGTGAATATAAAAGTGTAAAATAAATGATTGCGAATGGATTAAGAGTTTAGAGGAATAAACTGCTTTTAGATGGTGAGAAAATTTCGGTTTGTTTGAAATTATGTAATTAATAACGCCCCGTGGGAGTGGTCACAGGGTTCAAAAGAGGATCACCTGAAGCTATCGGTCCAGTCGCCAGCAAACTGAGAGGAAGCAACACCTTCGTCCAGAGCACAGGTAAGGACTCAGTTGGTGATCGTGACATGAAGCCTCTTGAGTCATTATTTCCACGCATTTGCTTTACTCTGGTCTGAAACTTCATTTGCTCAACTGTGCCATCGTGGACAATAAATGTAAAACAGGCAGAGTGATTATCAGAGACACCCCCTTTGGTGTGCGAATCTCTGAATTGAATAAATGAATGAATGAATGAATGAATGAATGTGACGCCATGTGTTTGAGATATCGATACAGAAATTATTAAGTTATTGATATTTTGTCTGTCTTTACGACACAGTAGCAGGGTGAAAAGGGGAACAGGACATAAATAGTAATGGAGACAGTTGTGATGTGAATGTGCTTGTGTGTAACTCGGTTTGTGACTGTGCGTTTGTTACAGAGACAGCATCAAACACGTTAATATTTCATTCATTTTCATTAAAAAAAACATCTCTTCGACAAGTCTTCGGACTTTTAGCGGTACTCCGTCGCGTTTCGCTGCCTGTTAGATTTTAAATCACCCGCCAAAAACCGCGAGCCGGGTCCCGAATTAGTCACGTGGTACGACTGGTGTTCTGCCGTAGATTGCACCCCTGCCGTAAAATGCACCCCCTGACGGAAGCGCGGTTGAAAGTACAGAACAAGGCGAAATAATCCAAGTTTTCCCTACCATTGGATGAATTAAAAAGTGTATGCCTGTAATGATTTTGTTCAGGTTGGCCAGATTAGCCGAAAACAACAGCCCTCTGATTGGGAATATTTGCTGTCCCGAAAATATAATGTTCTCTACCTTAACAGCGTACTGTACAGTTTATATACCCAAGTACACCTCTCTTTGTGCATTTTTTAGACACATAAAAACAGAGGGAAAGTTTGCTCCTCCATTTGACATGTTGTCATGATCTAATACTCGTGTTTTGTTTTAAATATAAGATCATTTCTTCCGACTTCAAGAAGCTAATGAGTGGAGGGGATGCATTCCACGGCATAACACCGGCTCGCGAGATTTCAAACGTTATCACATACGTCATCAACTCAAGCTTCGATACGCGCTTCGCCGAAATTTACTCGAAAAATTCGACTCATATGGTTGTTGTTTTTTTTTTTTTTTTCCTTAAATTGAGCCAAAAGGATGCAAAGCTTTAAAAGCTTAATGATTGATTTTTATATTGATGAATCTACAGGCATATACAATCTCTACTGGGCTAGTGTTTGAACAAAATGGTCTTAGGCACGCTTTCATATTTAAAATCCTTTAATTTCATGGGATTATCGTACAGGCCTGACGTGTTTAAGCACTAACAAAGTTAAACACAAGACTTTTTCCAGTAAATTTCCACCCTGGCATCAAGTTGTAGCTTGCAGAGGGTGTGTGTGTGTACACTAAATGTCCAGCAGATGGCGTTATTCAGGCCACTGGGCCTTAAAAATCCTCTGACAGCTACCCTAAACATGAATCCATGACACCTATAAAAACATTTAAGTGTTTTACTTTAATGAATATGTTTGTTTTAAGGTTTACATGATGGTGCCATGAATATAATGTTCAGAAGACTGCATTTGGCCTTATTCTTATTTTTCTGACTGTATTAAAAGACGATAAGATCTCAAAGCCCAGTGTGAAAAAGCAAAACTGCTTATTCAGATCTGTCTTAGTGTACCCTGAGTCTGCAGTAGAAAGTGCTGTTGTTGGTGTGTACTAACTGTGCTTCTGTGTTTGTTTGTTTTTTTTTCCAGCATGTTCCTCAGACCCCAGCTGACTTCATGTCCTCTCAGATGACTCCACTCCACTGAGGCCAAAGGTGAGGCTGAGGCAGGGATGCAACTTTATAAGCCTAGAAAGAAAATAAAGATGAGGCTTGAAAATGGTCTTTAAATGGTCTGATTTGGAGCATGGCTGCCAACCATCATGCAAACATGAGCCGTTTAAAATGACTGGTAACACTTTACAATAACCATAACTTATAAATGGTAAATTGACCATTTATGAATGGTAAGCAGATAGTTTATTAATATTTAAATCATTTATAAATAGCATATAGGCCATAAATAAATTGATGGTTGTGTATTTCTCTGTGTGTTAACCAGGAGCTGAAATTACGCCAGATCAGGTCAAACTGAGGCAGAACTCATGACCGGCCAACGCCTGGACCCTGTAAGGTAAGACATTGACTACTTCACTCCAGGGACAGACCATCAACGAGGGACACTGGAGGTCAGTTTGCTTTTGGTTTGACAACAACCGCACCAACAAAAACAAGAACCCCGCCATCAACAATCAAGCAGTGCAGTTGTTCTCTGCCCGAGTAGCAGGTTTTGGTCTAGTTTTGGTGATGCAATTGTGGAGAGAAAGTGTTCTCTTCTGGGGTTGCAGGTTTTGGTCTAGTTTTGGTCTGCTTTGGTGATGCAATTGTGGAGAGAAGTTGTTCTCTTCTAGAGAAGCAGATTTTTGTCTAGTTTTGCTCTGTTTTGGTGATGCAATTGTGGAGAGAAACTGTTCTCTTCCAAAACCACAAAAACAAGAATCCCCACCATTAATGATCAACCAGTGCAGCAATATAGACCCCCAAAACAAGTCTACTATCAGATTTAATTAAACAAAATAGCAACTCGGTCCTCAAAAAGGTGTAAATCAACAAATTTACCAAAACAAAAATGAGAGTTCACTCGAATTAAAATTTAACTTCCTGAGGAAAGCTTTAAAATAGTCGGGATGCGTCACAAGGATAAGGTCTGATTACGGCAATGCGTTTTTGGAAAGCAGCGTTTCTCTGCCCAAGTGGATACTCCTCCTCATCGCCCCAAACTACCTCAGATTTCCCCGACGTGCTTTTGGTCAGAGAAGAAAATGAAGATATAAGAAGACCTCCGAAAGGTGTGAAGATCTTCAACCAGGGATGGCTGCCCAGTGCACGGACCCATTTGAAGGACACCAACCAGGTTGATTATTTCATACTGCTTGTTTTTTTTTCCCTAATTTGTCTTAAAACTGTTGTTTTCACTCTTAAAATGAGTGATTATGAGAATGAAAACTCAGTAATGTTAATTACAGTGGCTGTTACAAAGATAAGGATTCAAGGCTGTTGTAAGGATAATTAGACTGGAAACAAACCCTGCTAAACTCAAGTGCACAGTATTTTGCTGTGTTTTATTTTGACACTCTTAAAATGAATGACAACAAAAATGAAAACCCAGTAATGTTAATGATGGAAACAGGAGCCGCAGTGGCTGTTACAAAGATAGGGATTCAAGGCTGTTGTAAGGATAATTAGACTGAAAACGAACCCTGCTAAACTCAAGTGCACAGTATTTTGCTGTGCTTTATTTTGACACTCTTAAAATGAATGACAACAAAAATGAAAACCCAGTAATGTTAATGATGGAAACAGGAGCCGCAGTGGCTGTTACAAAGATAGGGATTCAAGGCTGTTGTAAGGATAATTAGACTGAAAACGAACCCTGCTAAACTCTAGTGCACAGTATTTTGCTGTGCTTTATTTTGACCTTGTAGACCAGTTTAGCATTTCTATTGATTGTAAGTTGTGCAAAGTGCTGTGAGCTAACGCAGCAAGTACAACCTGAAGATATAAGAAGAAGAATGATGTGGCCATCGGGATCAGCGTGGTGACACCAGAAAGACTTGGAAGAAGCAGGGTGAAGATTTCTGCGCTACACCCGGACCAGTACCCAGGTAGAAAAAAACCTCTGAACAGGGTCTGTTTTTTTCTTCTTACATTTGACTTCAATATGATGATCACACTCCAAAAAAAACCCTAATGATAAAATGTTTGTTTTACTCTGGAGTGACATGAAAATGAAAAAGCAGTAATGTTAACTTTGATGCAGTGGCAGTAACAGATGTCAAAAATGTAAGGATAACTATGCTGAAAATGAACCCAGCTAAACTTGTCAAGTGCACAGTATTCGACTGTGCTTTATTGATTTGTCAAGCTAAACTTCAATTCTTGAATAGTATTAGGATCATGCTAATGTTAAAACTGCAAAAACCTCAAAAGTTAAGACAAGATCCAGAGGAACTACAAGAAGGACAACGAGATTTTCAAGAACAGCATGACAACGTTGACATGGCTTTTGCTGTAAGGTTGGTCATCTTTCTGAGGGTAGGTGAACATCTCATTGTTAGTGGATGTGATCATCTTGATTTAAAACTCAAAAAAAAAAAAAAAGGTTTGAGGGGTGTTTTCCAAAACTTGATCTCAAATCCAGAAACAAGGTTCAAAGGTTGCTTTTCATGACTTGATCCAAACCCAGAAATAGGTTCTCAACGTGCTTTCAAAGACTTGATTTCAAGCTCTTCAAAGATTTGTAAAAGTTGCTTCCAAAGACTTGATCTTAAAAACAAAAAACAAGTTTTAAAAGGTTTCTTTCAAAAACTGGTTCTTGAACAAGCAAAGACAGTATGTTAAAAAGGTCTGGTCTCAAAAAGGTCTGTCAAAAGCACCTAATCTAACAAGAGCACCTTCAAGCCTTAAAATAAATTGCCTCTACTCAATCAAAAAAATGGCATAAACCAAACAATCAAAGCTTTTTCTCAGCAGCACTATCACAGAGAACAAGAAGACCATTCAGAAGAACTGAAGGAGTAGAAGAAGACCTGATGGTGGACCCTGTGTGTCAACGTCCAAACCTCTGAACAGGACTGGGTCTGTTTTTTTCTTCTTACATTTGACTTCAATATGATGATCACACTCCAAAAAAACCTTAATGATAAAATGTTTGTTTTACTCTGGAGTGACATGAAAATGAAAAACTGGTAATGTTAACTTTGATGCAGTGGCAGTAACAGCTGTCAAAACTGTAAGGATAACTATGCTGAAAATGAACCCAGCTAAACTTGTCAAGTGCACAGTATTCGACTGTGCTTTATTGATATGTCCAGTTAAACTCCTATTTTTTCATAGTATCAGGATCATGCTAATGTTAAAACTGCAAAAACCTCACGAATTAAGACCAACAGATCCAGAGGAACTACAAGAACTTCAAGAACACCGTGACAACATTGACATGGATTCTGCTGTAAGGTTGGTCATCTTTCTGAGGGTAGGTGATCACCTTATTTTTTGGTGTGATCATCTTGATTTCGAACTCAGAGGTTTGAGGGGTGTTTTCCAAAACTTGATCTCAAATCCAGAAACATGGTTCAAAAGGTGCTTTCATGACTTGATCCAAACCCAGAAATAGGTTCTTAAGGTGCTTTTAAAAGACTTGATTTCAAACTAACAAACAAGGTTCCAAAGGTGCTTTCAAAGACTTGTTCTCAACCCAGAAACATGGTTCTTAAGGTGCTTTCAAAGACTTGTTCTCAAAAAAAGGTTTGAAAGGTGCTTTCAAAGACTTGTTCTCAACCCAGAAACATGGTTCAGAAGGTGCCTTCAAAGACTTGTTCTTAGATTAAAGGGTTTAAAAAAGGTGCTTTCAAAAGACTTGTTCTTAAACTCAAAAACGTGGTTCAGAAGGTGCTTTCCAAGGTATGATTTCAAGACAAAAAAAATATTCTAAAAGGTGCTTTTCAAAAATTTGATCTCAAACCAAAAAAGGCTGAAAGGTGCTTTAAAAATCTTTCTCAAACAAATGCAAGGTCCAAAAGGTGCTTTCAAAATCTTTATCTCAAACCAAAAACAAGGTTCTAATAAGGTGCTTTAAAAGATGTGATCTCAAACCCAGAAACATGGTTCCAAAGGTGCTTTCAAAAGACTTGTTCTCAAACAAAAAAATGGTTCTAAAGGTGCTTTCAAAATCTTGATCTCAAACCAAAAAAGGCTTGAAAGGTGCTTTCCAAGGTATGATTTCAAGACAAAAAAAATATTCTAAAAGGTGCTTTTCAAAAATTTGATCTCAAACCAAAAAAGGCTTGAAAGGTGCTTTAAAAATCTTTCTCAAACAAATGCAAGGTCCAAAAGGTGCTTTAAAAAACTTGATCTCGAACCAAAAACAAGGTTCTAATGAGGTGTTTTAAAAGATGTGATCTCAAACCCAGAAACATGGTTCCAAAGGTGCTTCAAAAGACTTGATCTCAAACCCAGAAACAAGGTTCTAAAGGTGCTTTCAAAGACTTGTTCTCAAAAAAAGGCTTCAAAAAAGGTGCTTTCAAAGACTTGTACTCAAACAAAAAAGGTTCAAAAGGTGCTTTCAAAGACTTGTTCTCAAACAAAAGGGTTTAAAAGGTGTTTTCAAAGCCTTAGTCTCGAACCAAAAAAGCTTCAAAAGGTGCTTTCAAATACTTTACCTCAAACCCCAAAAAAGTTTTAGAAGTTGCTTCCAAGGACTTGATCTTAAACCCAAAATACAAGGTTTAAAAGGTGCTTAAAAAAAGTGGTTCTTAAAATAGCAAAGACGGTATGTTAAAAGTCTGCTCTCAAAAGGTCTGTCAAAGCAATTTCAGCAAAATCACTATCAACTAAAACTAAGTTTCAAAACCACCAACATCACAACAACCGTCAAAGTGCTTCCAAAGGATCCAACGGAAACAACAAGACAGCAACGTTTGCACATTGTTTCTATCAGATGTAACTGTCAACACTAAACAGAACGAGGACAATAAACAAACTGTGCAGATCCTCCAACTGTTTTTTGTTAAAACTGTAGTTTTTCTTATTTTTTATTTATTCTTTGTATTTTTGTGAACCTTTGAATCTCTGAAATGGAATCCTTGAACTGTGCTTATCATGATCTGCATGACTTATTTTTTTTTTTAAACTTATTTATTTTCTGTATGTTTGGCCATGTTTCTTTTGGTGCATATGTATGTCTGCTTTCCTCCGAACATAATCAGGTCTGACGAGGTGACCACTCTTTTCCTGGAGGGACTGTTGCTGCAGAAACTCAAAGTGCCGCCTTCCTGTTCCGTCTGGGAAATCCAAGGGTGGTCATCTTGTTGAAGGTAAGATGAACTTTTCATTGTGGTAACGTTATGTTTTCATCAAAGTAACCACAAGAAAGCATGTAAGAAACCAGGTCCTGCATTCTGATAACTTCATCCATATTCAGTTTAAAACAGATTTTCTAATGCTGCACATCACCTTCACTGTTTTTAAGTCGAGTATTTTCTGCATTTGTATGTGTGTGTCTCTCTCCTTTTCCCCAACCATCACAGAAGTGAGCATCTTCAGTGTTGAACCTGGCAACCACCAATGTCTTCAGGAAGGATCTAGATCACCTCTAAGAGACGAAGTCAGGCATCCTTGTGCTGCAGGTAAATGTGACGGGGAACACCACTTAACACACTGTCCTATTGTCACCCAAATGACTGAATGCTTCAACTCCAGAAACAACTTTTCTCTGGTTATTAAATCGTTTTCACAAAGGCGCAATGCGACGTGGGTGTGCCCCAGCTGTTCTACCAAAGTTAAGGCCCACCTAAGCTCGATCTATGCCTGTTTTTATGTTGATAACATGTAAGGCTGGGTCAGTGTTTCCAATGTCGTGACTATAACCTCTCTTCGAAAACCAGTAGGTGATGCAACAGCTGTGTATTTTGTGAGTACTTTGTTGTTTGCAGGTGACTCAAGGATGTGGATGCAGGAGAATATTAGCTCTTAAGTGACGCTGCAGCCTTTTCTGATGTTTAACTGTACAGATTTGTGTGTTTCTGTCTGTAACAATCATACTCATTTTCTGTGCCTGTAAAGACATAGTTTTACATGTTATTTTTCAGAAACAAGTCCTGATGCCCTCTAGAAAAGAGCCCAGCTGGAGAAGTGTGTCCGATGTCCCAGTCGAACGATAAAAACATTTCAGCCATAAGGTGGGTTATTTTATCAAAAAGGTGAATGTCTCTATTGAAACACAACAGCTGAAACAGTCATAATACTCTGATGCAAAGATGCAACACCACAAGGTTCAACGATCAAAAACACAACAATCAAACCAAAAACAAGGTTTAAAAAGTGTTTTCAGCCACACAACCACAAACCAACAAGGTTCACAACGATGCGTTCAAAGACAATATGGAAACAGACAACAAGGTTCATGAGGTGCTTTCAGGGACATGATGGTAACACAAACAAGGTTTAAATGGTGCTTTCAATGACACAACAAAAAGGTTTAAATGGTGCTTTCAATGACAAAAGGACAAATCACCAAGGTTTAAATGGTGCTCACAGAGACACAATGGTAATACAAGGTTTAAATGGTGCTTTCAATGACAAAAGGGAAAACCACTAACAAGGTACAAAAGTTTGACAACGGTCAATAAATCAAGAAATGCTAAAAACACTACATAAAAACCAAACCAAAAAAGAAAATTCACAACTAACCGGAGAATGGTTCAGCATCACTCAAGGTTAAAAGGGTTTTATGACTTTAAAAAGGTTATTTCTGTTTTCATGAAACTTGGTTGGCATGAAAATGCCAAAAAAATGTCAGTTGCGAGTTTTACCAAATACTTAATGAGCCCACCACTAAAACAACAAAATCCAAAAAGCAAAACAACAACTCTTAAGGAAACAACAAATCGGCAAAGTTCACTCAGTTCTCCAAAAGGAAACCAACTCAACAAGGACAACCTCAACATCAACTCCAACTTCAGGCCTCACCAATGTCTCCTCTACAGCTTCAACTAAAATGAGGGGGACAATGAACTGTAACCATAAAATGGGTTTTTTTTTTGTGTCTTTTTTGACCCTCCAGTCTCTGTAAAAAATCTGAGATGTTTGTTTTCTTTGTGTTTTTTTTTTTGTTCTTTTTGTTTTGTTTCTTTTTGACCCTCCAGTCTCTGTAAAAAATCTGAGATGTTTGTTTTCTTTGTGTTTTTTTTTCTTCTTTTTGTTTTGTTTCTTCTTGACCCTCCAGTCTCTGTAAAAATCTGAGATCTGTACTTGTCATGGTTTTTTGTGTCCTGTTATTCTGTACGAGGTTTTTATGCCTCCCTTTGGCCGCACATGTATGTCTCTGCTTTTCCCCTAAACATTAAGAAGGTGTCGAGCTGTGGCATTGGATGTGCTGACCACCACCAGGTCCTGGGAGGATCTGATGCTGCCCCACTTCGATGAGCTGCTCCTCCATCCAGACTGGGAAGTTTTTAAGAGTCACCGTCAAGCTGAAGGTTTCTGAAGTTCTCTTTTAATGATTTTGAGAAACTTTTCAAAGTTCTTGTAGTTGTTTTCACCGAGGTCCAAACACTCCAGCTTTTCTGGGGGTTTGTAGACGCCCAAGAGAAAATTGATTTTAAATCTGTCTGTTGAATCTTTTAAGTCTGTTTCCAATGTAGTGACCCATCTTTCTGCTTCTCCAAAATCTATCTTGTGTTGTTACAGTCTACATCCAAGAAGACCCTGGCAGACCCCATCACCTGCTGGACTCTGAGCTCCTGTATACTGGGTTACAGGTGAGCATGGAGTACAGATTCCACCACCTACAAAAAAAACCTGGTACAGTAGTTTTATCTGATGCATCCAGATTTCCTAACCCCTGCCAATTTTAATCTCTCCCAAACACCAGTGCTTTGCCCACTTTGAGGGATGGATCTTCTTCATTCTGGACCCCTTTAACTGAAGTCTGCACCAGCACAGAAACCTGCCTCTGGACACCATCAGACTCTACTAGATGCCGTGGACACCATCCCCGAGAAACCGGTACATAAAACAGAGATAATGATTCACTTATAGGTTAAAAACTGTGCCAGTCTAAAGAATAAATTTGTCCTTTTGTTTCAGGACTACACCGAGATATCGATGACCCCCTCTTGCTCCAGGACCCGGCTGAAGAATGAAGACAAAGACTTGGTCCCCTGATTGGAGGTAAGTCAATCTTTGCAAGTGGTCTTGCTTGTTTCAGTCAAAGTTTTATGGTGATAAATTGATGTTAACAGTCCACTAACTGGATCTGATCCCTGTCTGCCTTCTGTAGTCGCCACCCTGCAGGCGGACTTCCTGTCTCACTGTGAGCCCGTAGACCTTCAACCTCGTCCAGAAAACCCTAACTCAGGACATGGTGAGTGCGCCTTTCTCTTTCAGGCTCTACTTTGAGGAGCACACATGAGCAGCTTTCTTAAATCCTTCTAACAGATGAGTCCGTTAAGATGATGATAGTTGGATGTTTTTACTCGATGGGCACAGATAAACCTCCACAACCCATGAAGAGTGCAAGCTTTGCTATGTCACTGTCACTTTATAGATCTCCTCCACCTTTATATCGCTGACATTATCAGTATTATTGACATTATTGGATTATCACTGAGACCTTTTCTGACTGATAGAAAACTAAATGAAAACGAGGCAGAATATTCACTCATGACAGTTTTCTTCATTTACAGGAGGATACTCGAGTCTCGACTGAGGACCCAGTGATGAAGATGGATGACCTGTCTGTGACACAAGGGTCATAGAGGATAGTTCTGTACTGATGAATCTATTATAAATTATTCATCTGTTTGACCAGATGATGTGTTGTTAAACTTGCTAACATTTGAGTTTCTTTGGTGCAAACCTGTAAGATCTACAGCTAGTAGAGTCTTCTTACAATTGTAACCAGGTGGTTTTTGTGTTGTACTGAATTTGATTTCTCATTATATTTGTAAAACTAAATTTTTAATCTGAGCTTCATTTATGGCTTAAATTTGTTAAATGGAGGCTGAAACTGTGACAGCATATAGAGAGCTTTTTTTCCACTGGGTTTTTTTTTTTCCTTCAATATTTTTCCCCAGCTGGTTTTTCATCTCTACCTCCACCAAACTCACTCTGTACACAAAGCTTGTCTTAAATGTCATCTTTTTGGATGCACATATTCCATTTTGCTCATATTGCTTTGTCTTTATTTTGTTCATTTTTCTGTCATGCTTTATTCCTCTCTCTGCTCCATGTTTTTTTGCATTTGTATTACACATATAACTAACTTTTCACATATTTTGTCTGAGTCAATAACTCTCTGACAGTGAAATACCGTGATTGTGTTTGGTAAAACTTGTCAACTTGACTCTGTTTTTAAATAAAGTTTTGTTTAAATGGAATCAAAAACTTTTCTCTGGAGGTCAGTTTTTTATTTTGATAACATGCACAGTAGGTTAGAAAGTTTTAAAATCAGACGTGAACACTTTTAAAATCAGTTCTCTGGCAAAATTGAGACGAGCCTTAATGTTCTTTTGTTCAGCAGTGGTTTCCGTCTTGTGACTCTGTCATGCAGGCTGCTTTTGCCCAGAGTCTCTTATGGTGGACTCATGAACACTGACTTTAACTGAGGAAAGTGAGGTCTGCAGGTCTTTGGATGTTTTTGTTGTTGTTTTGTGACTTCTTGGATGAGTAGTTGTTGTGCTTTAGAAATGGCTTTATAACCTTTTCCAGACTGATAGATTTTAATTTCTTTCTCTCATTTGTTCCTGAATTTCTTTAGCTCTCAGCATGATGTCTAGCTTTTGAGGATCTTTTGGTCTACTTCACTTTGTTGTCAGGCAGGTCCTATTTAATGGATTTCTTGACTGAGAACAGGTGTGGCAGTAATCAGGCCTGGGTGTGGCTACATTGAACTCAGGTGTGATAAACCAGTTATATTTTAACAGGGAAGGAAATCCCTATTAGTTCAGATTTTTTTTTCTCCTTTAATGGTAAAAACCTTTTTTAAAAACTGGATTTTGTGTTCACTTAGATTTGTTTGAAGATCTGAAACATTTATCTGCATGTCCAGAGGAGTCCTGTGACGCTGCAAGTGGGCTTTGGTATGCTGTATGTCTGAGTTTGGTGAAATCATTTTATTGAGATGAAGAGAATCAATTTTATTATAAAAATGAAATAGAAACAAAAATAATAAAGTTTAATTTTTTTTTCCGACATGCAACTCAAACAGTACCACTGAAGGGCTTTTTTATTTGCACAGATTTAATGGCATTTCTTTGTGTGAGCTCTTACAAGCTCTGGTCGACTGAACCTCACCTCACAAACAGGACATTTATGTGGTTTCTCACCTGTGTGGGTCATTTTGTGTCTCTTTAAAACTCCTGTAGTTTTAAAACTCTTGTCACACGTCTCACATTTATACGGCTTTTCCCCTGTGTGCATCCTCATGTGTGCTGTAAGATAATAAGACTGCACAAATCCTTTTCCACATTCTTGGCACCTGAAAGGCCTCTCCCCGGTGTGATAGCGAGTGTGTATCTTCAGCTCAGAGGCTGATCTGAAACTCTTCCCACACTCTGAGCAGGAATATGGTCTTTCCTCTGTATGTGTCAGGTCGTGTCTTGTCAAGGAGCTCACACTGCGGAACAGTTTGCCACAGTGGGAACATGGGAACCGTACACCTGTATGCAGTTTCGCCACATGGAGGTCCAAGCTTCTTCTCAGTGCGTAGGCTTTTCCACAGTGCTCGCAGCAAAAGCGCTTCTCCGTGGCGCTGCTGTGACAGCACAGCCGGTGGATTCTCAGAGCCGCGTTGGATTTGCAGCCTTTACCGCAGTCCCAGCAGAGGAAGGGAGCCTCTTTGGTGTGAGTTCGGTCATGGAGGGTCAGAGCAGAAGCATAGCTGAAGGCTTTGGGACATTTGGGGCACTTGAACGGGAGGTCGCCCGTGTGGTACCTTTCATGTCTGATCAGGCCTCTCAGATATGTGTAAGTTCGTCCACACGTGGCACAAGGAAAAGGCCCTTTGAAATCGTGAACCTCGAGGTAATGCTGGTTGAGCTCTACAAAACCTTTTAAACTCTCACCACACTTGGTGCAACTGTGCGGTTTATGTCTCAAATTGTGCGTTTTTAATCTCGCTGAATCTGGGAATGACCTGTTACATTCGACACAATACAAGGAAGCATCAGCAGGGATTTGTCCATGAACTTTTTTCAGTTTATAACCCTTCAATTTCTTGCCCTCCTGATCCCCCTGGTGAGGCTCCTTGCTATCCTCCTTTGTGTCCTCTAACTGAACTAAAGATGGGGGGAGATCTTGCACGGTTGGAAGAGTCCGCACTTCTCCCGAAGAAGCCCCTCTTTGTCGTTCCTCTTCCTCAGGCCTGACATTTAGAGGTAGAGTTTGGAGTTGGTCATGCTTTAGGTCTTGATTGCCCTCGGGAGTCTTGGGGGATGTGCGATGCAAAGTCATCTGACAGACGTTCAGCTCATGCCTCTTTAGATCGTACTGGAACTGGAAACATTTCTGACACTGTGGACATTGGAAAGGTCGCTCCCCCGTATGGCTTCTCTGATGTCGTCTCATGTCTGAAGCTCGGCTGTACGTCTTTCCACAGGTTGGACAAGTCTTGCTCTTTGTTGAGTGTTTCTTTGGCGGCTGTTTTTTAGATGCTACTAAAACTTCTCTCATCTTTCCACTTCTGTTTTGCCTGACCGGTCTTTGAGACTTAACCAGAGTGGATGCACACGGCACAGTCGAAGCCACTACATCAGATATATTGATGTTTTTCCTTTGTTCGTCAGCTGTTGAGCTGCTTCTGACCTCCTTGATTTCTTCTGCTGGACTGGTTTTAGTCTCACAAGGGCTCAAAACTTTGTAACTACAGTCCTCTGAGGCTCTGGCAAGTAATGCGATCTCTCTGATATCTATCTCTGAGTGGTCATCTTGAGGTGTCTTCTCGATCGTTACAGTCTCTTCAGCAAGAATTTCAACATTATAACCTATGTGGACCTCTACATTACAAGGGTCTACGCTAATCTTACCCTTACTTAAAGATGCCACATGTTGAACAGAGATCGAGATCTTGTCTTCTTTACCGTTACCTCTGGATGGGTCCTTTTTTGTTGCTTTCCATTGTGGTTCATCACTCTCTGTGTTTCTGTCATCTTCACTTCTTCTCAGTGTTGAAGTCTCTGCTTTAAGTTCTTTGTTGAAAGCATCCATGTAATCAGTTAACACATTTGGTTTTAATTGTGTTTCTTCTTGTTCTGTGGTCGTCAGTGGCAGACAGAGAGCTGAATAAATGCTGTCACCAACAGTCGGATCAACTGAAAAATCCAAAGACATACAGTTATGGCTAAAAAAAAGAGCAGTGGCTGAAACATACAACCAAATATTTTCACCCAAACTGTTCTGCATGCTCACCTTGTTCATTCAGTTGGTGAAGGCTCTTTTGATACTGAAGAAGAGATTTAAGCTCCTGTGACTGACTCAAAGATTTCAAACATTCAGACATCACCGAAGAAGAGTCGCTGAGCAGACGGGCAACCTGGTCAGGGAAAAGATCAAATCAGTCACTCTGTGAAACATTTTGAGAAAAAGAAATCTTTTTGTTTCTGAGCTTGAGATAAGAAGAACATCAGACTGAATGAGAGAGATGAATCTAGCCTATATAAAGTGAGTTCTTTATCCAACAGGGGGCGACCATACTGGTTGCAAACAGGTCTGATATAAGAGACAATAAGTCTTAGTCATATTACTATCAAACTTGATATTTACCAGATGACTTTATGGTCTAAGTTACATATTTTAATATTCTTTAAGACTGGTGGAATAATCACTTTGCATATGACCTCATTTAGGGGTGAGGTTTAATTTTGTCAATGCTAATTACATTTCATCTTCCATGCTGATCGATCCAATTCTTTATTGATTCTCTTATTAATTTCTGTGCAGAAAACAGCTCTATACAGTTCTGTGAAAACTTCTGATTGGGCCTTAAAAGGTCAGCTGATCATAGATACAACCCCTGATTGGTCAACAGGCCATTACAAAGATGGCAGCCGTTTTTCAGTATAGTCAGCTTTCAACAGAGATCACACTATCACTAAAATGAATACAGAAACACACAGAGTTGATCACTAAAACTACCGGTCTCACGGAGATAGTGGATTTTACAGTGAGGCAGTATGTCCTACTGTTCAGTTTATATGGCTTATAGTGTAAGCACAACACTATTGTCTTGTATATAGAAGTGATTTGGACAATTCCCATCTTCTGTGCGGCTACCTCCAGTGGTACACCATGTCATTGTTTTACAAGGCATGTAGAATTAGGCGGAAAGTATTTAAAGGGAAAGGAAATGATATTGATGATTCAAACTAGTCAGAGATAGTTGTGATTTGTTTTTTTTAAGTCCCATCCCTAATCTCATCAGAAGAAAATAGAGACTAAAGCAGCATATGCTCCACTCCTCCTCAGATCCTGCACTCGGCTCAACAGACTCTGTGGTCCCATCATGTTAATTAAATGAATTATGCTTCATTATGACAGTGTTTTCCTTTGTGTCTTTATACTTTTTGAGTAGTCATGATTCAAGTTTAAAAAACCCACAGCACACCATGTTGAACGTGTACCTGTTTTAGATCTGGTACTGGGAGTGACTTGTCAAGCTGCAGAAGGAAAATCTGCACAAGCGTCTGAAAATCCTCAGAGAACTTCTCGCCAAATCTTTCTGGGAAAACATCCTGGAAACAAGCAAGTAATCATTAAGTAATCATTAAGTAATCAAGTCAGCATTGATTATCAGTAGAAATGATAAAAATGAGTTAATTCTCACGACAGAGATGTCTACCTGGAAAAAGCGTTGTCTCTCCTGCTGGTCTTGAATTAGGGTGTGAAGAAGATCACAGAGGTTTGGCACAGACGATGCATCTCCTGAATGACTGATCTGTGTTTAGAAAATAATACCTAGTGACAAATTCAGGTCAGACAACATACAGTGCACCTAATGAAGAAAACATACCTCTTCATTCCATAGTGAAGCAATTCTCTCCAGGTGTGGCTGTATGATCTCAAGGTCTACTTTCGGTTTTGTGCGACACAGCTCCAGTGTCAACTAGAAGCCAGAGAGAGTGGCGTTAGGTTTGCTTTGTTCCAGTTTTACATAATGAGCGATAAATTCAACATTACCTGAGTCTGAAGACCAAGACTCAATAAACACCTCTGTCTGTGGTTCAGAACCTCTGGAAGGACCTCAGTGACTGCTGTAATGAACTCATCCAGCAGCCCGAAATTAGCCACAACCTTCTGCTGTACAGTTTCCCAGATCGCTGCAGAGGCTAGGTGCAGAGGTGGGACCAAGAGACGAAGACAGGACAGGGGCAGGGGAGGACCTGCATAATGAAAGAAAAATTATCTGAGTTATTTAAAGAAAGGAGGAGACCAAGATATGGAGATTTAGTAAAAGAAGCAATGGTAAATAGGCAAGCAAAATAAGGGTCAAAGAGAGGAAAAATGGTTGTGTTACTGCAGGAAGTTAAACAGGAAAAGGTGAAGCAAAAAATAAGAAAGGAGTAAAAACACTAAGAGGGTGAAACAAAATGCTGCTCAGGTGGTTTAATGGTGACACAGAAATCTGAGAGGTGAAACAACAACTGGAAAGAGTAGAAAGCCTTTTAAAAATTGGACATTTCATCCTAGAAATGCAACAAACAAACCAAGTCATGTTAAAAAGTTGAGTTGTAGCCCTGAATATTGAATTTCCCTTTGGGGATCTAAGGGAGGAGTGCCTTAGTTTTTTCGGTATAAGATAGTAAATCATTTATTGGAATAAGAGTGGAAAAGAGACTAAAATATTCCACTCAATCAAGATTAAAGTTACTATAAAGGTCAAGTGAATAGTTTTTTGGTTTTGATTTTCAAACAGACTGAAATTCATATTGTTGCCTTTTCATTATATCCGAAAGCAAACAAGACTAACATGAACAAGACTGAACATTTGTATATTGTAATTTTTAATGTCTGAGGGGGTAGGTGTCAACCAAAGACTGTATTTAGAATGGACGCCGTCTGCCTCCTCGCTGGGTGAAGCCACTCCGAGAACAGCACACCCTGGTGACGGGCTGCAGTATAGGTCATAAATCCTGCCTCCGCCAGCAATCCCTATAGAGCTGTGGACAAACTTTAAACATTTATTACACAGCATATAGATTTTTCTCCTTTCTGCTTGTGATATTGACATGTAGTTACTGTAAGACTGGTTTGTGCTTAAGTCCTCTTTTTTTCTGTACAGCTCCATTTTTTAAAGTCATTAGGGGGTTCATGTTTTCTATGATTGACACCTGATTCAGCCTATGGGTGTACGAAGATTGCACACCCGGGGGGATACTCTGTTTAAGCAGAGCGTCATCACCGCGACTCTCAGCGTCTCTCCCACCGAATGCGTACAATGTTACTGCGCAAGTGGAGAAGCACGTACAATGCTACTGCGCAATGTTGGTTTCAGGAAATGGAGAAAAATCGCAGAAATACTGAGAGCTTTTTGGCTTTAAATCCGTATACTGGCGAACGGTGGAACTGAGTTGTCCATAGTATACAGTCTTTGGTGTCAACTGAGCAGTGAAAAAAACAGCCATGTTTTTACAGTTTCCACGTAGATAACTCAAAATAAATAAAAAATCTAACCGTCAGAAGTCACCAGACATGATTTAAAGGACAAGATTAGCGAAGACTGCTTTGTCCACATGGGGTGACAGAATTGACACAAACTGAGGGTTACTCACAGCAGCTTTTAATAAAGTTTGCTTGAGCGGAAGTAAAATGAATTATGAAAAACAGGGTGCAGTTTGCTGTCTGCTTTGATATGGTTGGGAAGATATTTTGAATTTGTAAAAGCAATGTTTTTGCTGGAGAGCGCTTGACCTAGGACAGCAAAGTCGGCAAATTTTCAGCTCTTTTTTTGGTTAGTGGTGACTTGCAGTGGCTGATTAAATGTTTCACCTTAGTGTCACTGATATTGGCTAATCAGATTTATAAGCCAACCAAGTTTTCTTTCTTTTTTTATTTATTTTTAAATATTTCTGTTTCTGTTTCTCATGTGTTATATTAAAACAAAAGAAAAACCCAACTCAATCCCAGCAGACTTCTATCTAAATAAATCTTCTTCATGATACCAAACTGAATTTTGATGACACAGACACATACTGTATATTCTATAAACAGTCTATGGTCACAGTGGACTTTCAGTTTGGGCAGAACTGTGCAAAACCTTGCCATGGAAGTACACAAACTTTTTTAGAATGAATATAAAGACAGCGTGCTTTGAATAGTTATTATAACTGATTTTGCACAGTCATATTTAATGTTTTTATTTCGGGTGTGTAAAAGTGTTTTAAGCTTTAATTCCTGTGTTTTTAGGAGATGGCGACGTTAGAGTTAACCTGAACACTTTACAACATCAGGCCTGCGCAGCACAAAACAAAACTAGCAGCAGGATCAGACAAATACACTTAACTTAGAAAGAAAGAATATGTCCTGGTTAAGCCTTTCAAATGTTTTCACGTGTGGAATATCAAACAGAGTAAATGAAATGGGCTAAGCTTTAACCGCAGGAGGTATCGTATTTTAGAGGTTATGAAACGAGACCACAGAAATGGATGTCACGTGATAATAAAACCAAATTGAAGCTAATTTCAGTATTTATTGCGAGGCAAAGTGGATATTACATGAGTGTCCGAGTACCTGATTTTTCATTAATGCCATACATCGTTTTCCAGAGAGGATTTTTTTCTTATGAGGGGAAGTGGATGAAGTTAATCCAGAGACAGTTGACAGAGGAGACGGCGCAACTACATCAACTTCCGGTTTCCATGTGAGGTTACCGCCCCGCCCCCAGAGGCGGAAGACTTTGAAAACGTTCAAGGGATTTAACTGTATTATTGATTTCCCTGTGAACATTTAATATTTTAAGCATTTTTTAAAGGAAAATACATAAACACATATCCTATTATTAAAATATATTTCACATTTTTCACACATTAAATACCAGATTCTCAACGTGTGCTCCTATGTTAATTTTTTTTTTTTTTGCACAATAGTTTTCTTTTGAAAAATGTGAATAATTTGCACTTATTTCTTGAGTACTAAGCCTCTATTGTTATTTCTATGCCTCTGTCAAGAATTTGTAAAGTTTATATTCAGTTGAAAAGCATGTTAAAGTAACTATTTACTTAAGCAAAAAAGAAGAATGGGCAACACTTAACGATAGGGTACCAATTTTCTACATAACGCCTAACAATGCCTGAGTCATGATTTAGTAATCGGTGTATGGGATGTATCATGAGGTCCTGTTGCTCACATTAAATGATAATGAAGTCACTGTGACTTGATTCGGTGAGTTTGCCATTAATATATTATTTGTCAAGGATCCTTAGTTCATAGTTAATTCATGTATTGGCCTGGATCACATGGCTGGATATACAGTTTATTTAATCACAGTGCATTTGCTAAGCCCCTCTATTTATTTATAAAAACTTTATATTCCTATGAAGATTTTATTGGTACCAAATATAATATATTACAGGAGACTAGCTTTAGATAATAAGCTTTAATTAATATGAATAACATCAATATTTACTGTGACTGTTATTTAACATTGTGTGCTGTATGCTCTTCTGTCTAAATATTGTTGTCATTTATTTTTTGTAAAGCACATCAAGTGTTTTTTATATACAGGTACTACACAAATTAGTGTATTGTTTTTGATATTTGAAAGAGATAATAATAATGCAGTTAAACTCATCTTATCAACACTGAAACAAAGCAAAAGGAATTCTTGTGTATTCTTCTTTAAAATAAAAAAATGTAGGTGAACTGCTGACATATCAAAAATGAGTTTGTTATTTACTTTACAATAATTTCATGATGAGCAATAGTGAATAATAAATCCTACATCAATCCTAGAAAGTTGTAATTTATTGTGAAAAATAAAAAAATAAATAAAAGCCTGTAGTCACCAATTTAGCTATTACACATATCTTTTCACCTTAAATGTTTTCTGAATATTTTGACTCGAAATAATACTTCTCTTTCAACCTGAACTTCCAACAAAATTTGAATTGTTTTAAACGTGAAAATACGATTTATTACTGTTTCTCGGCAGTGGAAAACAGTCCTTATCCCTGTTTTCATACTGTGCCGTCTTCGTTTTGTATAATCTTTGGAAGCAGCCAAATAGTTCCGGGGACACATTTATTGGTAACTCAGGAAGTGCAGAGCATGCGGGTGTGACTTGTTGTCAAAATGGGCTGAGAGCACACAGGTAAAAGACAGTGTGAATATTTGTTATGGCTGAAATGACAATGGGTTTACAGGGCTAAGATGGAGAGTAAATAGCAGCAGGCTGCGTTAAACCCTCCGCGCCCTCAGGTTTGTTTGTTTGTTTGGAGACGTGCCCCTGTCTCCTTTTACCTTCTTTATCTCATATGAACGCCACCTCACTGCTGTCCACACTGCGGCCGCTGTCTGTCTGTCACTCAGCTGTCTTCTCAGGCTTGTTGTCGGTGTTGTTATGTGTCATCTACAGCTGAGGACTTTGATTTTTGTAGCCTGGGTGCTCGGGTACATCGCCTTTCTGCTCTCCATCAGGAGGATGTGGACGGGGAAGTACGTCCGCAGTCCGCTGGTCCGGTCTCTGTTCATGAACATGGTGAGCGAGAGCGAGGCAGCTGCGATCGATACACAAGAGGTATGAATTATTGATTATCTGTTCCGTCTTCCAACTTTTGCTACCCCAAATAAGGCCGTTTTGATCAATACTAATTAGTGTTTATGTACAAGTGAACAAAAACAGACATGTGGTTTGTAATACCATTTGGTAGGCTGCAGAGGTTAAAACTGCATTATTTTTAATGAGATTTGGCAGGGAAAACTTCATGTTCAACACCACTTCCAAAATGAGTTAGGGCCCTGTGTAAAACGTTGAAAAAGGCAGAATTTGATGCCCATTATAAGTTTGATGCAATCAACGTGTTTCAAAAAAGGTGAAATAGTGAATACAAAACTCAATTAAGTTGAGCAGTGCCAAAAAAGCTCATGGAGGAACATTTCCTAACTGGCTAGATTGGATTACTACAGGCTAGTAATGAGAGACTGAGGACTGTATAAGTAAAGATGGGAAAATATTCACCACACCACCCCAAGAGACTGTGTGAGCAAATTTTAGCATGGTGTTTCTCAGCACCAAATTGAAAAGAGTTTCTCAATTTTAACTGCTATTATTATTAAAAGACTCAGGGGATCCAGAGAAATCTTCTATGAAATGGTCAAGGCCAATTACCTAAATCAAATCAATAACTTTATTCGTCCCCCAATGGGGCAATTGGTTGTGCAACAAAGGTAGCATAAAAAAACACTTGAGCACAATAATAAAAATCAAGAAAATCATGACTAGAAAGACAACAAACTTCCTGTGACCAAAGTTTGTTGCTGCCACCACAAATGCTAAACAACTGTAACATGAAAAAAAGGAACTATATGATTCTAATTGATGATTCTGAAAAGCTAGTGGTTTCTGTGGGCTTGAGTCCATTTAAGCTGGATTGAGGTAGCATACCAAAATTTTTGTTGTTGTGGTGATTTGGTAACCGTCATTCTTTTTGGAAATTGTGATTTAATGACTTTTACAGGGAAGACCTTACATATTAAAGCAAGACAGAAGGAGAAACCCGTATTCTTCATGTGTTGGCTCAGTTTCAAGAGTTCAGTACAATGACATTTGTCTGTTTCGATGTTTGATATGTTTTCTTTGCCTTAGATCAGTGGTTCTCAAGTCCAGTCCTTGAGGCCCACTGTTCTGCATGTTTTGGATGTTTCCCTGCACCAACACACCTGATTCAACTGATCAGCTCGTTATTAAGCCATTACAGAGCTTGATAACGAGCTACTCATTTGAATCAGGTGTGTTGGAGCAGGAAAACATCCAAAACATGCAGGACAGTGGACCTCGAGGACTGGACTTGAGAACCACTGCCTTAGATTATTTGCAACCATCAAAATCTTTTTATAATAATATTTCAAAACATCCCAACTCTGAGAAAGAAAAAAAAGAGATGTAAATCCTCCTTATTCTGGTCCAAAAAAGTTAAACTTTCAGTGAAAACCTGATAAACAAATGTGCAGTGTGCAGTTATGACAGACTATTGAGCATATTCAAAATGCTATTTTCTAAATAAATATATTGTCTGCCTTGTGTGAGTGATGTAACTCTGCTGATTTGGATCATATGTATTACTTTCTCCTGTGGTCTCAGTGGTACAGGTGCTGTCCTGAGTTGCTCGGAGAATCTATGAAGCCCCTGTTCATCCAGAGCCACCTGGACACGGGTACCAAGGCTTTTTTAAAGAAGAGTGTGGAAAAGTCCGGCTGGATGTTCACACAGCTCTACCACTCGTTTGTCTCCACAGTCCTCAGCCCTTTGGTGTCACGCACCTCCATCAATGGGTGAGTATCACTGACACACTTTTGTCTCTGTTTCTCCTGCACCTTATCCTACTCTGACTCTGCGCTGTCGGTTTCTCAGGTTTCTGGGTCGCGGTTCGATGTTTGTGTTCTCTGAGGATCAGTTCAGGCAGCTGCTCCGTATTGGTCCAGAGTGGAGGGCTGAGAGACTGCTGGACCTCGGAGCGGGGGATGGAGGCGTCACAGAAGTGATGGGAACTCATTTTAGAGAAATCTATGCAACAGAAGTCTCATTACCCATGAAGTGGCATCTTCAGAGGAGGAATTACAAGTGAGTAGAAAACCGCAAGAATGTTTCAAAGTCAAAAAATAACTTCCAGTAAAGGTTGTCTTTTTATTAAGAAATAAAACTCAGAGAAAATACAGAAATAGAAAAAAACCCATATACTAGTTATCGTTTGCTAATGTCTGCAGGAGTGGTAAAGATTTTAGAGTACAGTTTATGAAATGAATGAAATAAATTCTTACCAAAGTTTCTGAAACTCCATTTACTGTGATTCTCAGGCTGCTGGATATCAATGAGTGGCAGCAGACTGGTTTCCAGTATGATGTGGTCAGCTGTCTGAACCTGCTGGACCGCTGCGAGGACCCTCTTCACCTCCTGCAGGACATCAGACAGTCTCTCGTTCCCAATACAGGGAGGCTCATCCTGGCTGCAGTGCTTCCCTTCCAGCCCTACGTTGAAGTTGGTCAGTACCATCTATGTGTAGACGTAAAAAATCACTCAATTAATGACGTGGGCCTAGATAAACATCTCCTCAGGAAAGTACCCAGCTGTTATTTGACACAGATTTGTATGTTTACAGTTCATGTCCAAGCCTTTTTTTTTTATTCTATTGCATTCAAATGAGTACAATACTTTGCAAAACTCTTTTAACACAAAACATTCTGGCCTTTCAGAGTCACTGCCTCTCCACTTCCACATTATGCATATCAAAAGAATATCCTTCATTTAATGTATAGTTGTAAATGTAGCACAAATTTCTCTCTGACTTTTTTCTGCCCTCTTGTGGCACTGAAATGTTACTACAAAATACAGGTTGGCTGAAACTTTAAAGATTTATCTGCAGTGATTTACACAAGATATTAACACTTTGAATGAGTCATTAAGTAAACAGTGTTTTAAGATTATGACTTTGTTTTGAAATATTGTAATTGTATGTTGGTGTAGCTTTTTGTTTGCATTGATTTTGGCGCCCCCTATGGACAAAGCAGTCAAACACATGAGTAATTATTTCCATTATTTTCTTATGATAATTCATTGGACTTATATACTGTATACCATGTATCCCTGATTAACATGCAATGTGTTTTTTTTCTGTTATAACATGGTTTTAACACTTTCCAAAAGAACTAAATGAAAAGTAACATGTTTTGAATCGTAACGCCTTTATCCAGTGAGGGTTTATCCAGATATTGCTAGTGCCCCGGCGTGATAGGATTTCATGTCTTACACATGATTTGATAAACCAAATTAAATCTTTTTTTCTGTATTTGTCGTAGGAGGGAGATGGCAGCGTCCCAGACAACACCTGAAAATTAAAGGAAAAACATGGGAGGAGCAAGTAACCAACCTGTCCAATGAGGTTTTCCGAAGGGTGGGGTTTGAGGTGGAGGCTGTGACACGGTTGCCGTACCTCTGTGAGGGGGACATGTACAATGATTACTACGTTCTGGATGATGCTGTGTTTGTTCTGAAGGCCTCAGAGGAGAGTACAGTGTCTGTTTATTAGACAGCAGATGCTCGGCAGGAGGACTGTGCAATTATCATCAGCTTCATTCATACACTACAGCATTTCTGACTTGTTTAGAAACAGTGAGTCTGATATGAAGCTCAGGTACTGTAGCTCCAACATTTACCAGCCATCATGCGTGACAGTGATACCTCTACTGTAAAAGCAAAAAAAAAAAAAAAAACACAACGGCAGTTTGCCTTCTCTAAAATGCTGACAAGATCAAAAAAGACATATCGTGTTGTAGGTGTTTGTACTGTAAAGTCTGTCATTTGTTGGCAGTGTTTAATGTTAGTGTTTCATCATTATGTAGGTATGGGATTATCATCAATCATGGCTTTGTGTTTTATCTGATTTTCTTGTTATCAGATGTTAGAGAGGAGAGGTGGAACTCATTTGATTTGAACAGTTTCTTTGTTTTGATGACAGAGTATATGGGCCACTTTGAAAGAAAATCTGATAAGTCACATTATAACTTGAACTAATTCATGACTTTACAAGATAAAAGCTCTAGGGGTTAAAATCCTGTTATTCGAAGTTCTCAAAGGTCAAGTTGTACTAAACCAAAGTTCTCAGAGAGTCATACTGTAATATCTAAAGAACATAGTAGTGATATGAATATAGATCTTTGATATAATGAGACTGCGGTCCCAATGTAAAGAGAATAAACTGATCAGATTTTCAGAATAAAGCTGTTAGAGAATGAAGTGCCAATACTAAAGGAGTGAAGAGCCAATACAACATGAATTAAGTCAAAATATAGCAAGAAGAAAGTTACTCTGCGATAATAAGGTCGTCATTGTGACGAAGTATTTGGACCACATTTTAAACAAAAACTCTTGGGTTCAATAACAAATAGTAACATCACAATAATTAAGTTATAATCATGTAAAAACAAAGTTGAAAGGGTTTAAACTCTCGTTACACAGAGAATAAAGTAGAATAAAGCAAAAGTTGTGGTAAAAAAAAGTGGACATATGAAGAAAAAAAAGTTATAATATCACAGCAGGATTAAGAAATAATACTGTATAACGGCACCAAAGTTGCAATGTCTCAAAAATAAAGTGATTACATTCCAAGATTAAATATTTTAATTTACCAGAAGAACGTTGCTATTTAGCAAGAACAAAGCTGTAATCTTAGCAGATTACAGTTGTTTTGGGGAATTTCATTACATTACAAGAATGAAGTGCTGTTTGTTACACATTTAAGAGAGCAATGTCGCACTACAAGGCTGCCATCCTTCAGAAGAGACACATTATCACCAAAATCTTCTCAGCGTTCATTATCAGGGGACCATTTACTCAAGTATAACTCAACTTTGCTATCGTTACTTTATTCTTGAAACACATTACACTTTTTTTCTTTGATTTGGCCCTAATTCTCTGTCATAGTTTTTGCTTACTGTGTTCAGAAATTACTCAAGTTTGATTACAAATTAAGTTGAGGCTTCTTAAAGTAAGCCTGCGTAATCTACGTGTTTAACAGCTGATTCTTTAGAAAAATGCCTGATCAAGTTGTTTAAAGCTGCTTTTCATGTGTTTTTTTTTCTTCTGTTTTTTTTTTTTTTTTTTTTTTTTACATATTGCTGGTATTACCATTGAGTTGCAAAACTTTTGTACTGTGCTCTCCGGGTAGTTGCTTACTTTATCTGTTTGCCAAAAACTGCTCATGTGTGGGATTTGGTTGGAAATTGAGTAGAGTCAGCTGCAGGTTGAAAACCAAAATAATGCACTAAATTGACTCGGTAGAACACTTAGTCATTTAAATGAAACCACAATCAAAGTTACAGAGCTGTAAAGCTGTCAGTGACACAGCAGAGTCTACATGTTGTGCTTTCACTAGGCTTCATTAGTTCCTGGTTGCACTTTGCAAAGTTGGACTGTAGCAGCAAATCTCTTATGCGTACTGAAAGGAGTGAGCATGAAGTTAAATGTTTTGTATGTAAAGGGGGTGCTTTCATCTTTAGCTTTTCTAAGATTTATGGTCTCTCTTTGGTGTGCTAAACCTTCAGTGTTACTGCAAAAAGAATCCCTCATAATGTGCCATACTTGCAACAATATTTGTATTGATAAAGTATAGGTTCAAGAATAAAAAAAAGGATCATATTTTGGGGAATTCGCTGCTTCTTCTTTTTTATATCACTTTGTTTTAGAGCCCTCGACCATATGAGTTATAGTTTACTTGATCTTCAAAAAGAGTGTTCTCCTTACTCAACACCCATCCCAGAAAAGCTGAGACAGCAAAACAAAAAAGAGGATGTCATGAAGTGCTAAAAACACACAGAAGAACATCTCCAGACAAATGATGTTTATTTGCAAGAGGGTAGTACCAAGACGAAGGAAAAGATGGGAAGAGGTTCACCTCTCTTAACTAAATAGTTCAGCAATATCAAAATCAAGTCCATTCCCATAAAACTGTTAAGAACTTTAAAATGTTCACTATATGAAATCAATAAAAGGCTCTTAGAATATGGAGAAATCAAGGCCCAAAATTTGTGTTGGTAGGATCTCTTGGTCCCCAGTAGGCAATGCTATAAAACAGACATGACTCTGCAGTGGAAATCTCTGTGTGGCCCCAAAACCCCTTCCAAAAAACATTTTCTGTGAAAAGTTGTATGTTGTAGTGAATACTCATGTCAGATGTTTAATTGACAGCCTTTCAACAATATAGAGTGTAGTACACATATAGCCCGGATTTGGATTTAGTCTAAACTTCGTCTAAACTTAGACGTCCAAAAAACTTTTTATTCAGACCTGTGGTAGCCTGATTTTAGACCAGTCGTTTAGGCTACATTTAGACGTCTATTAGACCTCTTCTAGACAAAAAAATGCTCACTGGGCAGGCAAAGGTATAACCAGAGGATTGACAGCTCCCTTAAGAAAAGCCATTCTTAACTGATTAACAGCAAATATTCACACAGTGCCAAAAAATCATATTCAAAAAAGAAGGATGAAAGTTTATATCAGAAAACGTGACAAAATCAGCAAAGACGGATGAAATATTATATCATATCATCTTAAACCATATCAAATCAATATTCTTTTTAAAATGTGAGGTTTAAATGATTGCAAACCATCAAAATATGTCATTATTTACAATTTACACAGTTTTTTGAGGATGGGCTTGTGGCTGTAGGGTCTATGTTTCAACTTGACTCATATGCTTTTGATTTAGGCTACTTCACTTGTACTCAATATTAAAACGGTTCACGCAGACTCCCGACTTAAATGTCTGGACAACACGTTAAAGAGTCACTTTTACGTGAAAAGACCACAACAAAGTGAAGTGTATTGCGGAAGCTACTTCTGGTAGCGGTTTGAACTTTATACACGTAGCCTTAACGCGCTATATTTACATTAACGTAAGAAGACTAGATTATTCTTCATGTAAAATTCAAGCACATATTTAGAAAATTAAAGCTTTGTTTTAAAAAAAGTACAGTTATTCTTAATTTAACTTGAGCTACTTAATCACATTAGCTAAGATTTATTCACTAGTTTTTGTCCTGGCAAGTGACAAACAGCACAAAAGCTTTATTTTGCTACTTTTTCTGTGTACTTGAAGGCAGCACTCGTACAGCATAAATTACGCAAATCACGCATCCCTGCACTCTGATTGGCTGAGCTCCTGACCGCTTCCCGTCGAGCATTGGATACCGATGTGTTGGCCACGTCCCCGAGCCACGTCGCGCTTTGCTCGCCATTTTCCCGTCTTCTGAAGCTAGAATCATCCTCTTTTAGTGTCACAGTGTCACTGACACACTGTCAGGACACCTATTAAACCTAAGAGGGGACGAATTGAGCTCTCTGTAGAGTCTTTGACCGGCTAACTTCTGCTGAAGTTCCGTTTCAAAATGAATATCTTCAGGCTAACCGGCGATCTCTCTCACCTAGCAGCCATCATCATCCTGCTGCTCAAAATATGGAAAACCAGGTCATGTGCCGGTAAGTGGACGGAGACGCTTAACCCACACTCAGAGTTAAACTTTTAATGTAAAAAAAATCATGTTCACATGTAGTTAGAGGCATTTTTTGTGACAGACTTCCCCTGCAGTTGGAGCTGGGAAGCTAGTTTCGGCTAGTGTGGCTAACGTGGCTCTTACCAAGGCTGTACACAGTCTATGTTTCTGGCAGACACTTTTAAGAAATAATCACATTGATAAAAGCTCCTGTTTGCAAGAAATACTGAAATGGCAGCCTGTCGTGACTGTCAGCATTATAGCATAGCGCTTAGTGCATAACAGAGGCTAGTTAGAAGGAGACCAGAGGGCCCCATTAGAGATAGTTTGGCATGCTGGGCCTCTGTCATCTCAATGATATAGTAGTAAACTGTGTTAGCTCTCCTTTTACTCCTTCACATCAGCTGTGTGTGACCCCTCTGACGTGGCAGCAGGGAGTACTCACAGGTTGACAGCTGGAGGTGCATTGACTGGATAGAAGAAGAGGAAGAAGAAAAGGAAGTTTGTATTATCAGGATCAAAAACTCAGTTGTGCTCTCCTGGTTCAAAGATCACAGCTGTATCACCTCAAGACAAGCAGCAGCCTTCAGATATGTCTGCATGAGATTAAAGCAGACACATCTACATGCAGATCAAATGCATGTTGGAGTTACACCCAGACACAGCTGTATGTTTGCTGTGTTTGGATGGACAGTCACTAAATAACCTCATTGACATCTTGTATTATCACTGCTTGGATAATACATTATCTTAAAATGCAGCAGAGTCAGCATGGCTTTCATTGTCTGTGCATCTAAAGGTGCAAACACACAGTGTCCTAAACTGTGATCTTTGACCTCTGACCATAAACACTACCGAGCACTCTTCGTCTCAGAATGTGTAATGCATCTGTAAATCAGGAGACACGTGGCTGAACAGCAGAAAAGAATAGAAATGTAGTATTTTTTAGCCAATAAGCACCACTTTGTAACTGTTTAACACACTTATTGACAGTAAGACTTGGAACGAAGTTATCACACATCACTGTGGTGTGGTACAAGTGTGGTACAAGTATGCAAGAGATGCTGGTTAACTCTTCATTGTAAATGTATCCAATATATATTTAGTACTCCCTCTATTTATGGCTTAACTTCCTGTTCTTTTTCATTCGCCAGTAAAAATCACAGAATTATAAAAAATATTCCTGTGTCAGTTTTTCCCAAAATTGTGCTGCCCTACTTTTAATATTTACCTAATGCACAGTTTGCACACAAAAGCACACACAGACTGCACATTGCACTTTGATACTTTAACATTTTTAGGTTTTTATATGTATTTTTTGGATTCTTACGACAAGAATGCTCCTTTTTGAGAGTTTAACAGTGAGTGTTTTTGCAGAACAGTCATTGCGTTTCACTGCCCACCTGTGAGAGCATGTGACAGAAACAGTTCTCATATTCAGCTGATCATGAATGCAGGGAACACGTTGGCAGGTTCAGATTTGTCCTGCTATTAAACAGGGTGGTTTAAAATGAAGGGATGTCAGTTCAGGTTAAATTGGATTGTTCCTGCAGAAATACTGAGGGACTATTTGGAGAGATGTGACAAAATAAAAGGAAAAATCTGCTGCGTCACCAACCTGGCTGCAATGTCCATAAAAATAAAACATCTAAAAGTGGATTATCATCAAGCTCAAAGTATCTTTCAAAAATGGTTTGCAGCCTTACACCTGTCTTTTGACAGCTTCTAGCTTGTTTGCTGCAACCTTGGACTATTCACCTGTGGGTTTTTCTCCGCAGGACAAAGATCTGGGCTTGATAAAGATAAAGAAAACACTTTTTTCATAAGATGTAAATGCGAAGATCTGATCAGATCACTTGACAACTTTGTGACTCATTCATATTCAGAGTAAAGGTGAAATCAAGTTGTATTTCTGGCTGCTGGAAATGTAATGATTACTGATTTTGCCCCTCTAGTAGTCTCACACTGGGTGTGTCTGAAGGAACGTGTTGTCACTTGCCAGCACACAAGATAAACAAAGAGACGTCATACTTAACATGCAGCTAAGGATGACGATGTACACCGGCAGCTGGAGGACTGCAAATTTGAATATTGCAAATTGTAGGATTTGGTTATATTTTTCCCAGGCTGAGCTGTAGCTGTAACCTGGAAACATCAAGAGGTTGAACCAAAATTGTCTCTAATCCAGAGTTCGTTCCATGAGTGATGTGTTGTATTTGTAACCTGTCTTTGTTGTCCTCTTGTGTCTCCTCGCAGGTATTTCCGGTAAGAGTCAGGTCCTGTTCGCCTTAGTGTTCACCACTCGCTACCTGGACCTGCTCACCTCCTTCATCTCCCTCTACAACACCAGCATGAAGGTGAGACATGCTGCTTCTAACACTCACATCCTGCAGCTCTATTAGCGCACAGTGCTACTCACTACAATACTGAGCAGACACACCTATGTTTGCTAAAGGAAGCTGATATAACGGACTTGAATCTATTGTTACACATGATGTGTATCATCACAGACCAGAACATGTAGTGAATATTAATCGTTGTGGGTGATCTCATGTCTTTGTTTCAGATCATCTACATCGGATGTGCGTACGCCACTGTGTACCTGATCTACCTGAAGTTCAAGGCCACTTACGATGGGAACCACGACACATTCAGAGTGGAGTTCCTGGTCGTACCCGTTGGTGGTCTGGCTTTCCTGGTTAACCACGACTTCTCTCCTCTGGAGGTTAGACACGCCATAGAAACACATATTGAGCCTGATCCATCAGCTGTTCTTAAAACCTCAACTTTGCACAGTTTAAAGTTTTCTTATCCGGGATTGATTCATAACTTTGAACAAACTCCAGGAGAACTCACACACATCCTTCAGTGTTCATTTAGCATTTAAAGCCAATCATAAGCCAATCATATTTTTTATTCTAAAACAACAAAATATTCAAGTATGAGTAGAGATGAGTAAAACAAATGATTCATCAGTGCGCTGCAATATATTTTTCCTATCTCAGTATCAGTTCAGACAATCCTGGAATTCCACAAAAGCTAGCTGTCGACCAAATAGCTGGCCTCTAGTAACACTCACCTCTGCTCACATGAATACAAGCATGAGAGGTTATCAAAGGCAAATTATTTGCCAATCAAACTTAAGTTTTGTCAGCATTCTTTCATAATGCTAATGTCGATGTCAGCTTTATTTATGAAGCACATTTAAAAACAGCCAGTAGCCTACCAAAGTGCTGATAATAAAATAGCCAGAGACAGTAAAAACAATAAAAACAATAAAAGCTAAAAACATATAAAAAACATTAAACAACAATATAGGTAAACATGGCAAATAAATTAAATACCCAATAAAAGTAGCTATACTTCCCCAAAATCTAAAGTGAACAGGTGCGTGTTCAGATGTGTTTTAAAAGTGGAAAGGCTGTTAGCAGTGCGCACTGTCAGAGGTAAAGCGTTCCACAAAGTGGGAGCCAAGACAGAAAATGCTCGATCTCCTCTAGATTTTAAAAAGGATCGAGGAACGTCTAAAACCATCCCAAACTTTTCGGAGATGAGGTAAAACTTGAAAAATAAAGTCCATCTTTAATCTAGGATTTTCATTTGTAATGTTTATCTGAGTCTGTCAGGGACAAAAACAGCAACTTTTGTTGACGTACTTTGACCCAGCAAATTTACTCCAAAGATTTTGTTGCTGATTGTTACAGCCCGATTTCCCACTGCTGGCTGGAGAGATCTGCTAGAGCAGTTTTAAAACGTTTGAGCCCTTTACTCAGACTCCAGAATATACAAATATCTCGGAAAACAGTTATGTATGTTGAATTTGATAGTATATTGAACACAGCATTTTGATCAGGGACTATTTCTTCTAAGGAGGGTCAGAATATAATCCTTTCGGTTTTATTCTGGTCAGTTAGCGGGAGACTGTAATGTCACTCAAGATTTACTGAAACTTTTTTTTTTTACATCCCTCTGAAATGAAAGGAAATTTCTAGAAGAGGTCGTGCCTTGCCAGTGTGTAAATACAGCAGATTAATTTACAGGGAAGAATCAAGTGGGCTCATTTCGATTGTGCAATTAGGGACACACACAAAACTGGGTCAATCCGCTGGGCAGCGGTGCTGGCAGGGCTGACACTCGATGTGAAAAGCATTAGTGAGGAGCTTCTTTACATGCCCTGTAGTAGTGCTGGACGATAATTCGATAACAATATATATCGATCGATAGACGTGTGGTGCGATAGAAAAAAAACGGGTCGATAAAAAATTCGATAGAAAAACACAGTTTCCCTTTCTTTTTCATCATAGCCTATCATGTAGCTTTTACTACAGTCATTACTTCCTCCCAACCAATCACAAACGCAGACCCAGGTACGCTACGGCACCAAGCCCAGCCCCTCTCAAACCACAACAGACAGCACGTGTATTAGAAAAAATGATACAGCACGGAGAAGCGGAGGAAATTGTCCCGAAAAAAGGTTTCAGTAGTTCACCAGCATGACAATGTTTTGGTTTTTAGAAGTCTGACAAAAAGCGAACAGCGGTCGTTTGCAAAATTTGCAGAGAATTAGTAAAAACCAAGTCTGGTAACACAACCGACTTGTTTTACCATCTAAACCGATCGCACCCGCAGGAGTACGAGCTGTGTCGGCCGCGCCGCGGCTCCACATCGTCGTCGGAGGAGGAATCCTCTGGAACCGCTGCCAGCACCAGCACAAAGCATGGGAAGCAGACCAAACTGGACTTCGTTTCTTGTCAAAATACGACAAAGCGTCCGAGCGGCATAAGGACATCACCCATGCAGTAACATGCTTCATAGCGAGGGACATACTGCCAATAACTACCGTTGAAGAGCCTGGCTTCGACCAGCTTCTAGCCACTCTCGACCCGCGATATGAAGTGCCCGGCCGCAAGTATTTCTCAAACACAGCGCTTCAGGCATGAAAATGGGTCAGGGGTTGAAAAGGTGAGAAGGGTGCGGAGGAAATACGTTCCGGTGTAGCTTCTTAAAGTGGAAGAAAATGAGCTCATATTTTACAAAGACGCGAGTATTTGGATCATGGCTACTAGCAGGGGGTGCATTCGGCAGGGGTGCATTCTAAGACACAACACCGGCTTGGATAAGTCCTGCTTCTCGTGCTTAGTTTGTGTATTAAGTTAATCACATGATAATTAAAAAAAATAAATCTCCCGACCCCGGGAGAAATATTTCAGTGTTCAGACACCAGGCTGTGGGCAGTTTCCCACACAGTTAAAACTGGTAGTATGCTATTCCCACCTAAAGCTATTCTGTTTATTTATATATTTGTTTGTTTTGTTTATTTTCATCAAAAGACTATTTAAATATTTATTTATCAGATTTTCTGGTCACTTTAGTCTTTATGTTTGTCAGTATTTACTGACGTCACTCAGGCCACTTAAGTTGATTTCTTTTTTTTTTTCTTCTTTTTTAAAAAACTTTCAGTTGTGGTAAAATAAAAAAGGTGGTTGAATAAAGGTTTGAATTTGAATTCAGTGCTTGTGTGTTCTTTATTAAAAGTAGGTCATTAAGCAATAGCATAAAACATCCAGGGCTGCAATTAAAATATATGTTAAATAATTATAATAATTATATCGATAATTATCGATATCGATCAATATGATTTATTTTTTATCAATATGCTTTTTTTCTATATCGTCCAGGCCTACCCTGTAGTTCATGTTAGGCTACAAGTGAGAAGTGGAACCACTGAGGGACAGGAAATGAACTTACATGAAAAGCTGCACAATAATTAGCAATTTCATCACTATTGCAATATTAACTTTTGCAATAAAGACATCTCAAGAGTCCACATTTGTGGCAGTTAAAGAAAAAATAAGTTATGGAAATAATAAATTCTTTCTTACTGATTTCCAACTTTTTAAAATTGGGAGTTGGGGTGTCCTGAAACTGATTAGGAATATCTGGCTAAAGTAGCTATGACTGAAGGCTTATACACTCCGACAACTTAAATCTGTCTGACTGGATCGTTGAAAAAGTACCAGTTTTAGTTCATTGTAGAATCTATATTTCTATACTGTAGTTACCTACCAGTTTAACACGTGTGTGCATCCTTAAGCGTCATGCAGTCAAACTTCCTGGAAGTGCCCTAACAGGATTCTTAAGCACAAACTTATCTCTCAGTCAGACATGGTTAAATAGTTCTGTAAAAAGTGTGCAAACGTCTTTTCAGCTCAGCAAATTCGCATCAATGCTCCCCTCTTATGACGTTGTCTTCTTCTCTCCTCAGATTCTCTGGACGTTCTCCATCTACCTGGAGTCGGTGGCCATCCTGCCCCAGCTCTTCATGATCAGCAAGACAGGTGAGGCTGAGACCATCACCACCCACTACCTGTTCTTCCTGGGACTCTACAGAGCGCTTTACCTCATCAACTGGATATGGAGGTTCTACTTCGAGGGATTCTTTGATATGATCGCCATCGTCGCCGGGGTGGTGCAGACCATCCTTTACTGCGATTTCTTCTATTTGTATGTAACAAAAGGTGAGTGATGCTGCACTTTTGTTCCTGTTTTACTCTTTTTAAGGTGCTTTTATACATCACCTGTTGTGATTTGGTGCAGCTCATTTTGGCTTGTGTAAAAGCTGTCAAATCAAATCATGGTGCAATGCAGACCTAACAGCCATGCTGAGATTGCTTGAAAACGGGTGCTTTTTATTTTTAGTTGGAGCATAAACCAACCTAGATTTGACATAACTGCAGCAAGCATTCTGAATTTAACCAGCTACTGTAACCAGTCTCGCATGTTAAAACCACAGCTATACCTTATCTCAAGAAATAATTGCATAAGGGCCTTCTTTTTCCACTCTCAGCCTGTTTATATGAGAAATATTCAAAACACAATGTATTACCAGAATTCTACACGTAGACTTGGCCTTGGCGTCACTCCCTGGTGTAATAAATGTCAGTTGATTTATTTATTTTTGGAGAAACGAAGCGATCTGAGATCAAAACGCACGATCTCTTCTTGTTCTTCTTGCTGTGACAGAAACACTCTGAGCTTTAGAGCTCTCTCATTATAATCCTCCTGCAAACAGAGATGTGTGCTCATGATGTCGCTTATCACAGAGGTTTAGATTGTTTCAATACATGATTTAATAAAGCTACTACAAGGAGACATTTATGAAATAAACTGAAATTCACATCGGTGCTCTTTTATGATATCAAAGGCAAACATTTGTAATGCCTGAAACTGATTCAAGAGGGTGAGCAGCGAAAGAGACAGCCTTGTTTTACATTCAAATAATCACAATAAATGGTACATTTGACTGTCAAAGGCCAGCAGGAGATTTTTCTGTCAGTAGATTCTACTTAAGCATATAGAAGATAAATAGAAGAAGCTGCTTTGTCCAAAGGGGGCGCCAAAACTGACACAAACCAAGAGTTTAACCAAGTTATCCCTTTCAAGTAATTATGCTGTCATAATATCCAGTCAATGGGCAGAAACCGAATAGATTAATGTTAAGTTCTGTTTAAAACTGAAAAGTAAGGAGGGGCTTTTCAAACATCACGTGAATATCGCAATCAGAAAATTTGTTCTGCAAATTATACCCCAAAGTATACCCCAATGACAATTGCTTGGCAGTTTCCTAATTGTTAATTGAAGTATGATATGACTTAGGCCAAAGTCACAAAGCTGCATATCCGTATACTTAAATATGTATTCATAAATCGCAAGAAGTTTCAAGCTATTAAAGAGCATTTTCAACACACAACACATACTTAAGTCTGCTTGTAGATCCATTTTTGTTCATTTTTGTGAACGCAGACCAAACTTCAAGTAATTTTGTAACAATGAACCAAGTGATAAGGCCAGATGTGATGAAACCACAGTAGTGAAAAGGCCCGTAGTCACTGAGGTTCAAGTGATGCTGCATTTTACTGTCAACAGAGTGGTTGATTGGTCTATCTGATTATCTAGTTTGTATGGTTTAAGTTTTTTTGAATCAAATTTACAGTGTCAAGAGTATAAAATCAAATGTCCAGTTCTGTGTTAACTTCATATTTCAACACAGAAAGAAGACTGTTGCGCTGGTTAATCATAATAGGAAGTTAGAGACTTTGTATTAAACTGAAAGTCCATCATTACATCCTTCTTCAGAGAACACGAGGATACTCATGCCAAATTTGTGCTGCACATTTTTTTAGGGATTTTTTTTTAGCTTGTAAATGACTTACTGGTACAAACAAAATATATTTTTTTATCTTTCTGCTGCAAACCAGGCTGTAATGACTACAACAGTCCTCAGAGTAGTCAGTAACATCCAGTTAAAGCTCTTCTGGGTCACTGTACTCTCGCTGCTCTGATTGCCTCTAATTTTCTCCTCCGGTTTTGTTTCAGTTCTTAAAGGGAAGAAGTTGAGTCTGCCAGCTTAAGTGCCAAAGAGGAGAGTTTAAGCAGACTCATGGACGGGTATCGGAGGGGAGGAGGAGCAGAAGTGGACACCTCTGATGATCCCCGCCCCATCCTCCACCACCTCCTCTACGTCTTCCTCCTCCTCTTCCTCCTCTCCTCCCGTCAGAGTAAGATGCCTGAGACAGAGAGCGAGCGGGAGCTGCTTCTGATCCAGAACCAGTGGAACCAGAACCCCAGCAGAAGCTCATCCACAGCCCTCGGATTTCTGTTTGATGCATCTTGCCTTAACTTTTTTTATTACTCTGTAAAAAGGAAGAAAAAAGTGAGAAAGTTTTCTACAGAAAAAAAGTGTACACATTGGTGAATGCGAGCTGAAGGTGTAAAATTGCCTGTGATTTGGCGTTGTATGATACTGAAGCGGACTTCTTGTGGTGGGCTGTTATTGACTCGAGCGTTTGTAAAAGTATTTGCAATCGAAATAAATGTGCTTTGTTTTTCCTGTTAAATCTGGGGGAGGAATTTGTTGAATCTTCACAACTTTGGAGGTCAAATAATTCATGTTTTGCTTTTATATTTTTGACCAACATGCATTCCCATGTATAAAGAAAAAAAGAATTTAAGTTTCCATTATATTCCACGTAAATGCCACAATTTAGTATTCCTAATTTCATAAAAAGAATTTCAGGCTTAAGTTGATGTTTTGTTGTCATTGAAATGCCTTCAGAATTGACTGATATGAGATTTTTCTACATTAATGAAAGTAAATGCTTGAAAGAACCCTGGTCTCTGAAAACTGACTCTGTTAATTAGCCAAATTGGACAGATCAATTTGCTGGTAGGGACAATTCACCACTGAGCAAGTTTTTAAAGAAGGCTAGCTCAAATGTTTGAGATGATTCTTCTGTTAATGTGCTGTTTGTGATTTATCACAACACAAATGAAAGCCTATAATTTTTCTTTTAGGTGCCACTGTATTTATTTTTTATTTTCCTCCTGGTTCAATAAACACAGTCCGTTGAATTGTCCACCTGTTGTGCCTGATTTCAAGAACAGAATTCAAATTCAACTTTATTTGTATGGCACTTTTCATACAAAAAATGAAATTCAAAGTGCCTCACAGAGGCTAAAAACAACAATAACGACAATAAAACCTGACCCTCCTACCCACATACACACAAAGGCACACACCTACCCTCACTCTCTCACCCACACATACACACACACAACCGCACACTTGTAAGAATTTAAGATATATTGTTAGAGAGACATGGCCTGACACCGAGACATTACGTGAGGAAAGAACTACCTTTAGGAAACACTGGAGATAAAAAGAAAAAATAGAGATAAAAATGGTAAAAAGAAAAAGTAACACCTGATGGACTAAAACAAGAAAATATTAAATGAACAGGTAAGTAAAAGCTCTTTACCATAAAAAAAAGGGGTAAAGGAAGTAAAAACCTGTGACCGGAATTCAGAAAAAAGACTAAGAACTGGGATAATTAATAAAATGACATAAAATTAACAATAAGAACTTTGATTAAACTGATCATTTGCAATAAGAGAAATATAAAAAGGCAATTAGTAAAAAGCCTGGTTAAAAAGGTGAGTCTTGAGCCTCTTCTTAAAAACATCTAACCACAAAGAATCAAACCCCTTTGTCAGAGATGAATTGAAAATGTTACAATCCTTGACAGTGTTTAACACATTTTAGTTCTTGGGCTCATGCTGATCAATCTGACTCTTATCGTCTTGCTTCCTTACATTTTCCTTTAACCAGAGCTTTTGTGCGACATTCCCACTACAAATAAACACATTTCAGGTTGACATAACTGGTAATTCTGCTTTGACAAGGAGGTAAATTCTTGTCTTACTTCTGTCATCAAGAGCAAAGGGTGGCTACTTTAAAGAAACTAGAATATAAAACATGCTTTCAGTTATTACACACTTTTTTTTCAAAGTACAAAATTCTACACGTGTTCATTCATAGTTTTGATGCCTTCACTGATAATCTACAATGTAAATAGTCATATAAAAAATAAAGAAAAGACATTGAATGAGAAGCTGTGTCCAAACTTTTGGCCTGTACTTTATATCATTTTTTAAATGCATTTAAATATAAGATCCAAAGACAGAAATAAAGGATGTTACTTTAAGTAGTAGCATTAGCAGCATTTCTCCAGCGGATGTCGCCATCTTACAACTGAAGTGTGTAGGAACTTAACTCACCAAGAAGGTCCATGGGGTATATTCATAATTACAGAGTCTATGATTCAGTCAAATGAGTGACATCAAACCAATAAAATTCAGTAAAGAAACACCGAAATTAATAGTGCAAAAAAAAAACTAAATAAAGAGGAAATTCAGGAATAGATGAGCAAAACATTTGAGGTCATATAAAGAAGGGCCACATTTCACAGGAAACAAACAAAATGATAAATTTTTGTATGTGTTTCGCAGCTATTTTGTAATTTCTTCTCTTTTATTTATAGGATTTACACAAATTTTCTTTGATCTTGATCTTGAGAAGCATTTAAAACCTTGGCATTAAGACCCACACAGCAAACTGATATTGGTTAGCTTTTTACAAGACAAAAAAAGCAAATATTAAGGAAGAATATAGAAGAATAGGAGTGAATAAGTGTATAAGTGTAAAATAAGTCCCTTATATCACACATTTGTTTGTTTTAATACACTTTTGTACGGTCATAGCTATTTACACAAATACATTGGGTCTTTTATCAACCTATTGTTGTTATTATTTGTCCTATCCATGCATAATATTTCTTATTTTATACAGATGCCATAATATGCATGAATGAATGAATGAATCAATGAATTCACCTTGACCGTGCAGGTACATCAGCAAGGTCTGACTTATAATGCTTTGTTTGACGCAACATCCACACCCTGTTTGCAGAGGTTCCCGTAGTTTATACCTTGTGTTGTAGTGTGGGATCCCGGTTACCCAGGAATAGCTTGAAGAGCCACTGTTCACAGTTAAATTAGGCGGAGTTAAGAAGGATAATACATGTTACCAAAGTTATGTAATTAAGCCTTCAAAATAAAATCAAAGTTGCGGGTAGATCTATAAAGAGATAGCTGCTTGGTTGTAAATAAAGATTTTCTCTTTTCTGATAAAATATGCTATCACCCAATGGTAAAGTAAGTCGAAATAAACCTATAAACATCAAATATGACAACCCGTGTTTCAATAATTTGGCGTTGTAATTGTCAAAAGCTTCACTTTGAAAATCCCGCCCGGAAACTGCACGTATATAGCATCAACTTGACGCAAGCTCCTCTCCACTCTGTCTCGTGCCGCCCAGCGCTCCTTCGGCAGTTTCTCTACTGTGAACTCGTCCGTCACCACCTGCGGTTCACCGTCTACAACAGGTGAGAACAAATTCATTTTGAAGAGCTAATTTGTTACCAAAAGCTGAGATAACTAGTTCAACTAAAAAAACTTTGAGTGACCGCGTTGTAAGATGTAGAGACGAGTGTTGTGGGAGTTTGCGTGACCTGGAGACGAACACCTGGACAGTTGGGAAGAGCAAGTGAGCTTAACTAGGAGAGGCTAAAATAAACGCACAAAGGTTAAATATAATGTTTAGCAGCGGGAAACTACACTAAAATGCCCAAAAAGGCAAGCTGTCTGCTGGGTTTAGAAACGGTCCCCCTTCACCTGAAGATAGAGGCTGAATTTCCGCGGGTCAGATGACATTATTCCTGCGCCTGGATATGACAACTTTGTACCTGCAAGTAAACCAGTTTCTTCACCTCAGACATTACAATTAGTGTGCTATTATATATTTGCATACACACAACACATCATGCAAAACCCAGTTAACTTCAAACATCTGGTTCATCCTCTACGTTGCCCCCTCATCCCTAACCCACCAACATCCATGGTCTTAATTGTAGACATGAAAAAAGTGCTAAAATTATGCATTTCCTTAACAGTAAGGCCACTTTAACTTTATTCTAACTAAATAGAAGCAATGTGACTACTCATGTAAAAGTAAAAGGTACTTGTCTTAAAATTTTGAGTATTTTATCTCCAGTAGGGACCCTTAAAAATATGCACATTATGCCCATTCTGCAGAACTGATTGCAGCATTGATGCTTTTCACCAATTGCATGATTGGTGAAAGGTATTATTTAATGTAGTGAAATACAATACATTGCACAGAAAACACAGGTACAAGAAGTATTGATATATGAAACTTCTCAAGAAAGTGCAACTACTCATAAAGCTACTCAGTGAAGGCAACATAATCAGTGTTGTTAGTTTCCATCCCTACTTACTTGAGTTAAGAGAGGCAATCATATTTCAAAGATGATAAAGTTATGCCAGTGGAGTAGTTCTTGAAGCATTTGAAGTTGTGGATGACAGCACTTAACTGAATAAACTACAGAGGTGTGGAATCAGGGAAGTTGTTCTAAATTGGGTGAGTAGCACCTTAAAAAATAATAAGGATCAATACAAAAGATCTACTGAATCCAGCTAAGAGAGAGGAGCTGTCCACCACCATTGGTCCTTTAGTTCATCAAGGTGTTATGAAGTGGGTGATCAATGTTCTTTAGAGTAGTCTCCACCTTCCTCAGTGTAGATCTCTCCACCACATCCTCCACTCAGTCCAGCTTGAGTCCAACCACAGAGCCAGCCTTTTTCACCAGTTTGTTCAGACGTCTTGCATCTTTGTGTTTGATGCTTCCTCCCCAGCAGACTGCAGCGTAGAACAGAACACTGTCGACACCACAGACTGATAAAACACCTGCAGCATCTGACTACAGATGTCTATTGATCGGAGTCTTCTCAGGCAAAAGAGGCGGCTCTGCCCCTTTCTGTACATGAAGTCTATATTCTAAGACAGCGGTTCTCTAGTCCAGTCCTCGAGGTCCACTGTTCTGCATGTTTTGGATGTTTCCCTGCTCCAACACACCTGATTCAAATGACCAGCTCGTTATCAAGCTCTGTAATGGCTTAGATTCTGTTATATTGACATTTTATACATGTTCTCGACATCTCTTAAATTAGGGTTGTAAAAGTTACCGAGAAATCTGTGCTTCGTTGTACAATACCGATTCTTTTAGAGGCAATAATATTAACAGCAAAGACAGCATATTGTGAGACTTTAACCTGTTTCTTTATACAATTATTCACTTGGATAATGTGAATACAGAGAAAGAAAAGGATTTGTTTCAAACTCTCTCTCTTATGTGTGTCACCTGTCCCTCAGTGAACCGTAATAAAGCCAGCCAGGATCATCCTTTCTGCTCATTGGCATTTAAGCTAACAAGCCCATTTTGGAATCCTTGTTTACATCCTGGCTCACATCAGCGAAGGGCTGGGCAGTTGTTTACAGCCTGGCAAGGTGCCTGGCTAGTTTTAGATCATGTGTCAGTGCAAAGACTTGCTTTGGCATCTGCTGCTGCTGCTGCTTGGCTACATTGCTGCATGATCACCTGGTAGTACAGGGGACTCACTGAGCTATCCGTACCCCAAAATAGGCTGGAAGACAAGATAGCTGAATCTGTTTTTGATATGAGAAGTGCACAAATCAGTTAGGAATCCAGTTTTTGAGGAATACAATAGAATGTAAGGAGAATAACACTTTAGAGGTCTGCCAAACAATATCAGCTGATCTTTTTAAAGTTGATAAACAGTTTGGAGGAGCTTAGAATTTGGAAACCTCTGTGTTTTTTTTATCAGTTTGGAGCTACAGCACTTTGCTTCATCTAATAATGCAATATTAGGTTGTAATTAGGGCCCAACCGATATGGATTTTTTGGGGCCGATGCTGATACCGATTATTTTTTGGGGGGGTCCTATTACGGATTAATTGGCCAATTTTTAAATTTTTTAATAAAGTTATAGAAAATACATATATACTGTAGATATACTGTAGGCTACTGCTCATCACACCGACGGGAAGACCGACTGATCAAACTCGGACCAGAAAAGCGTTTCACCCGCCGACGCTGCCGATTGGTGCCTTCGCGTCTCAACTCACGTAACTTATTTCTAGTCTGGTCTCATCTGGAGACATGCAGCTGCCTCAGTAAGAGAAGTAGCTCGATCACGTAATGCGTACTGTTGTTTATTCTACCGTTACTGACACGGCTAACAGTGTAGCAAGGCTAATAGCAGGTGGCTAACTCTAACTTTAGCTTGCATATTACATGGTGCTAACTCGGCGTGACCGAGACCAGCACAGCGGGGAACATCGTGAAGTGGGTTGAACTGAAACTTGTTGACTTATTGTGTATTTTACAAACTGGTTTATTTACCGTTGAGGCGGACCGCTCTCCTCTGTGCGTCACTGAGCTGCCTGCTTCAAATCCGTCACTCTGCTGTGCTGTGAGGTAGTTAGTGGATGAAGAGTGTCATGAGGTCGCTGCGCCATCTACAGGATAAGTGGGGGAATCTTTTCAAATGGCGAAACATTTTCAAAGTGAAACCGAATCTTATTCTCAGCTTTTTATTTCTGAAAATATCAGCAAAAATCGGCGAGTTTTGGCCGATTACAGATCAGTCTCAAATGGGCTAAAGTTGGCTGATCTAATTGGCTTGCCGGTAAATCGGTTGGGCCCTAGTTGTAATGGCTGAAACGTTGCCCCTGTGGGGTAAGAAGCTTGATAGAAGTTATTGTTTTTGCCAAAGACAGAATAAGGTTTTTATTCTGACAATATTAAAGAAAGGATTTTTACAGAGGTTAACCTTTTAATTGTAATAAAGTCTGCACTTTATTCTCTTAAAACAGACCACATCTGTTGACAAAAGCAGCGATTTCACTTGGCACAACAGAGAAGTATGTGGTATACTGCTGCCTCAATCTTTCAGTCTGTGTTTCGTGGGACTCTGGTGTTTTCAGTGGTTTGATTATATAGACAAAAACCTAAAGAGCCAACTGATTAAAGCAGCGGTGGTAGATCATGTCTTGTTTTGTGAGGTTTGGTGTGTTTGAGAAAAGAAATGTAAGAGTTGCAGATGTGGTTACAAAAAATAATGATCCCTCTGTAAGTCTGAGGAAGCTGCAGCCATTACAACTCTATTCTAAAAAAACACCACCAGAGGCATTTCTAAACTTTTCTCTACTCATGAGCCATTGAGACTTCAAAATCGGTTATAGGTGAGCAAAGGTAAAAATAGCAGTATTCCCCTTTAATATTTCTTCTGATTCTATTATAACAAATCTAAAAGAGATGGGGTAAACATCACAGAGCTCTATCCAATTGCCTCTTTTAGCTTCCTTTGGAGTCCTAATTGGGGTTTTGTTTTGCATGCAGAACTGGACTCCTGTTGTAATTGCAGGCTCCATGTTTCACAGAAACAGCCTGTTTGTTTGAGCCTGAGCAGAACAGACAGGGGGACTGTTTTGATTTTTTGTCTCAGAAGAGTTGTTTCGTCACTCTGCTGTCTCACTAGATTGAATTTTCAGGCAAATTGGTTTTGTGGCTGCAGTCAACGCTGCTTCGCTCTCCGTCTTAGAGAGAGGAATAATTATTTTCCCCCAAAGACTTAAACCGGCAGAGAGCCAGACTGAGCTCTGACTGAAAAGATGCTTCCTTAAAGTTTGGAAAGTGTTATCAATGGATGGAGACTGTGTTCCTGTACGGGAAGAGTGAGAGATTAGTTTCACGCTCCTGAGGGGTTCAGCTTCCTGGAACTAAGAAAACAAACAAAAGTTGGGTCAAGTTAGTGTCACACGTTTTATCCTGACAGCTGTCAAAAACTGTTCTGCTGTTTCCCAATGAGGCATAAACATCTACTTTGGCAGGAATGCTAATGCAAGAGAACTGAAAAAAAATCTGTGTGAGTTTTGCACTGAATATAAAAGAATATAAACAAACCAGGGTAAAGTTAGAGTGATATGGGAACTACTGATTAAAAAAGTAAAAAATTCGGAGTCTTTTTTTTTGTCCAAAATGACTCTACAAAGGTGTTCAGAAGGCTGTTATTTTAAAATAAGTAACAGAATATTTGATATCATACTGTGAGAAATTTAAGGGTTGTGGTGTTAATTCTAGAAACACCTTAATGATAAAACTGATAGTATTCGTCCTTTATGAAGACTGCATTTCCCATGATCACCATCACTCTCATGCATTTGTTGTTAAAGCAAATAAAAATGACACACCCACATTTGTTTTAGTGCCAGGCCCTGGTTGTAAAGGTTCTTCATATAAAGCAATTCTTCAACAGAACACACAGCATGGCATTTTGTTAATTCTGCTCCGCTTTCTGCCATAAGTAAAACATTTTTTTCATGTAATTCTTCATTAAAATCAAAAGAAATAATGTACTCATCCTATAGCCATTATAATGAACATACATTCATATACACTTCTTCATGACTAAATCAGCAGAAGCAGAGCTTATATACCAAAAACAAACATCGTCAGAAAATAATCTAGAGGAAAAAAAATCCTCTTGCTTGAAAAAATGACTTCTCACTGAAAAACTGAACCAGCAATAACCACCTTTGGGTGAATCACAAATGTCAACTCATCTTTTTTTTGTGGGAAATCCAACCTGAACACAGGAGTTAAAATTCAGTACAGAGAGCCAATGTTGTTGCAGATAATCCCATTTCGCTATGTGGGTCACATAGAAACATCAGTATTTAAAATCTCCTCACACTGACTATAATAATGTCTATTCTGTACACATCATGAATAAAAAATACAAGTTTGTACAAGATAGATATCTACCCATAAAAAGTAGGGAACTTTTATTTTGATAAAGCTAGTGGGTGTCTCAGCACAGACAAAGTCACTGCAAAGTTAAGGTACTTACACACCGGGGCCAACGCAAATATAGAACGCGAAATTACAAAATATTCGAAGGCGAATTGTGACACGCCTGACTATACACATCAAGTCTGATGTGATTTTGCGACTTTCCGGGGGGAAAAGACACATCCCGGGAAGACTTTTCCCGGGGAAAGTCCCGCCTCCTTCATCTCTGATTGGCTAGAAAAGCTTGAAACATCATCACATTCTCAAGCCAAACGGTCAGCACTTATAGCCAATCAGAGGCGAGAAAATAAGCACATGAAACTATGGTAACAATTGTTTGCTTATGTTAGCACAGATGAAAGTTAAAACAAAGACGTTTAGCAAACTGTTAAAGCACACAAACCATCGTCATATGAGAGATCCAACGCTATGACTCTCCACAAGTTGTCCTTCAGGTCGTTATCTTTGTAATGTGTGTGTAAACGATCTTAAACAATCAGCCGGTCAGCCATGTTGGATATATCGGTAAATGTGACGTCACAACAACACGAAATCTGATTGGTCAGAAGTGAACACACAGTATGCAAAACTTTGGAAAAATCGACCATGATCCGGAAAAATAAATGCCGCAATATTGCAGGACGAGAAAACATCGCTGATGTAAACTCTTGTATTGACAGGATACGGGTTTGAAATAATCGCACAACAAAAACGGTCCCAGTGTGAAAGGACCTTAAAACTCATAAAAAGGCTGTTCTGTTTCATATTCTTGTTTAAAATAAAAGGGGGGGGGGGTATCCCAAATATAGACTAATGTCCATGTCCATGTCCATTGGTTGAATTTCAAAGAAAATCCCAGCAACTAACCATATCATTAAAGACGGAAATACTGAAACACACCAGTCGTATGTAACTTTCTGCTCGCTGAACTACAAAGGAATGTTTTGGTCGATCATCAATCCTGCTCCTCTACATTTTCTTATCACACCAGAGCTGTTGTCTGTCATCATATGTGTTTGTCTGTGGTGTTAACAGTCTACTTTTGTTTGAAGCCATCTTAAAATGATCTTTGCCTGATCTCTTCTGTTTCTTTTTATTCCAGGATGCCCTTTGTTGCGTGATGGCAGCTTGAATGATACCCACACTCAGCCCTGCAGACATCTACACGTCTGTAAATCTGATTGTATCTGCAGAGGATATGGACCCACATTTCAATACCAAAAGCACCTCCTGGACCGGTTCACCTAAGGCTCCCTTACTGTAGAAGCTGCTGCATCATCACATGGCTGGGATTCAGCAGCTGCCTGTTAACTCACAGACAAATGTTTGCTGAAACTGCCTGAAGAAGCACTGAAAAGAGAAAGAGGGGGAAAAAAAACCTTGGCATTGGCCTGTTAGACATTTGTGTGTCTGTGGTTGGATCTGCAATCATGGGGAAGGAGCAGGATCTGCTGGTGGCTGTGAAGAGTGGAGATCTTCTTCTGGCACACAAACTTCTCTCCAAAGTCAAGTGCAACAAAACCAGTGAGTACAGAGTCAATCTTTACTTCGAGTGGATGTAAAGGCTTTTATATGTGAAGGGTGCTGGTTTGCCTTTGGTCTACATTACTGGTTGGAATTGACCAGCCAGAATGGAGTAAAAACCGCAAGATCATCTTGTCCAATTTTGAACCGCTTTCCCATTTGCGACAGAAGTCAACAAAAGCCCTGATATTTTTAAAGTTTGTTGATCTTGCTAAATCTTGGTTTTCACTTGGTGTGATGTGAAGAGCCATTTTAATCTCCCTGATCTGCATGGAAGAACATTGGAGCCACCCTGATTTGCCGTCTTTACTATTAAACATGTTCAGTTTTTATGATCAGATATCCTGTTATATCGCTAAAGAGGGGAACACAACAAATATATGGCAACAATAGGAAACGCTGTGTAGGGCTGGGAGATAAACTGAATATTTACAAAGTTAATGTGGGAGGGGGTGAACAGCTTGTGGAGTAGTTATCGTGCATTTATCATTATCAAGGTGAACTGCTCAATATATTGTGATATTGATTTGAGGCCATATCGCCCAGCGCTAACTCTGAGCATTAACTTAGATGGATAAATGGAGGGCAGCAACATGAGTGTTTTCTACAACATGTCCTGTGGAACATACTACAAACAAAGAGAGTGCTCTCATGAATGAAATCTGTCTGTGTTGGCCTGCTGTTATTGCATGCCACACACCGTAACAGCAAACCTCTTAAAACTCTCATTATTTGTCATTATGTTTGTGGTAATTTTAAACTTGTGCATGATGAATGAATTTATTCTCCTATGTTTGCTGTGCTGATCCTTTGCTGCTGTTAACACAGCAAATTTCCCCGTCCTTGGATTAATAAAGGTTTATCTTATCTTGGTTATGATTTCATAAGTCTCTTAGCAGGCTGGAGCAGCTAAGAGACACACTTAGTGCTGTAAAAACACAGTGGGTGCAGTGGTTTCCATATGCTGGTTATTTTGCTCCCTTCCTTGGAGATAGCTTTACAAAAAAGCCCAACAGACTTATTTAGCATGCAAACTCACCATGGTCAGCGGGTTAACGTACAAATCACGCTAACATCACGAATCATCACAATTAGTAATGACCTAAAAGCTTTCACATTTTAGTTTTTTATACCATGACTTCTTCTAACTGCACAATTACAACAAACAGTGAAACTGGCCCAAATCTAACAATGTTATTACAGGTTTTATTTTTTGGTACTAAGTCAGAGTTAAACCTTGGTGTACCTTACTATTTACAGTGAAACTGGGACTCAACAGAAACAGCTTCACAGGACCTCTTCAAGAACATGTAGCGAACCAAGAATTGATTTTGTTTACGAAGCTGAAATATTGAATTTTCTCAAAATTTTGCCACGTTTGGATCACAAATCTAAAGTTGCAAATTGGCCTCAGGTCTTGTATCCTGCTGTGCAGACACCAGGATGCACGAGTTCTTAGTCATCATCCCGAGAGAAGAAGGCATGTTTTGTCAGAAGATAGCTGATTGGTCTTGACATTGGCATGGAGCTAATGGAGGCTTTCTGCCCTTACTAAGTGATTTTGTTTTTTTTTCTGAGTGTAATTGTTTCCATCATGAAACAGAGCTTAGATATCAGAGGGAGAGCTGACGCCGTGGGCCTTTTTGTTGTTTCCCTGAGATAACCACTAGATCAGATTCTGCCGTGGACCACAAACAAAGTCCCCTCCAGCAGTCAGGTCGGGGACAATTTGGTACAAAGTAGGCTCATACTGCAGCACAACTCAAGCTAATCTGCCAAATGCAGACCCATGCAGCTCGTGCGTCTCTCTGTGTGCGTTGTGGGAGGCTTTTTTTCTTCCTGCAGAGTTTCTTATCAGCGTAGATTCCAAGTCAGGCGACAAGCAAGCTCGCTTTACAGCAGCATTGTTGCAAATGACAGGGTCCTCCCTCATCCCAGCCTGGGGAAAGTTGAGGCCACGCAGGCATTGAAGTTGAAGCGTCTCTTTGTGGCGTTATCTGCTCTGGGCTTTCATCAGCGAGGCTGGCTGCTCAATGACGAGCTCTGGGAACAAAGCTGAAGCTGTCAGGAAAAAGCCTGTTACACACTTTGAACATTATACAGACAGAAAGCGCTGCCTGGCAGACAATATTAAAAGTGATATTGTCTGTTTTTGTTCTTCTGTTTGCAGACAACCAATGACTGCCAAACTGGCTGTGAAAAGTGCAGCCGGGGAAAAAGAATGGGTCACGTTCTGGGATGTTTGTAAACTACCGTGAAGGTGCCCTTGAGCAAGGCACTCCAACTCTTTTAGAGGAGTAGCTAAGTAGCCAAGTGCAAAAGTGAAAATCTGCAAACCAGAAAGAGATGCATGATTCAATAAACGAAAAGAAAGGAAAACAAGTAAAAACGCTCTCTAAAAAGGTAGTTTTGTGTTTTATCAGTTTTTAAAACTTTTAATTTCACAAACAGTTTAATTTGAGGTAAAAGTAAAAGTACAAACATCAAAAGCAGATTAAGTGTATTGAGTAAAAACTCAGTGTGAAATCAGTTTATGTCTGATACAGGGCTGCTCCTAGCTGACTGATATACAGTACATAGTAGGGCTGGGCGATATGGGCTGAAAATTTGATCACGATAAGATTTGGCATTCTGGTGATAACGGTTAAAGTCCAGATAAAAAATATTATAATTCCAATCTATATTTTTGACTCGTTCTGTCTTAAGAACACCAGTTGGAGTAATCAAACAAGATACTTAACCACAAGTTTGAGTGGTAGGCTATGGAGAAAACTAATGACATCAAACAAGTCTCAAATGTGAAAATTCTTATTGCACAGAGTGAACAGCAGCAGATCTACTGTCCGATGTCAGGCATATCTGATTGTGTTCATCTGAGCCCCAATCTTGAAGGAAATCCGCCATGTGAAGCCTTGTTCAGTAACAAGCTGCTCAGAAACGTCTTCTTCATCACCTTCGCCATGTTTGTTTGTTATTCTGCTCTGTGTGGGCTTTGGCTGTGAATCCGTTGCTGCGCTTACGTCAGCAACCTGCATTTATCATGAGACGACAAATATTTATCATGGAGGATTTTTCTGTCAATATATCGTGAACAATAATTTATCGCCCATCCCTAGTACATAGTATTAGTGATCAAGTTATTAGTTTAGCTAAAACTTGAAACAAATAATGAGTTAATAAAATAACATAAAAGGCGACCACAAAGCTGCTTTTGTATATTTTCACTCAATTCAAATACAGTTCAGTGTCTGTATGGCTGTGATGTTCTGCTCCATGTGCTACAGACTGTGTTAAGAGAACAGTAAATTCTAGGGCGAAGGCAGAGTGCCTTCTGATTTAGTCCATGTCATCACCCACTTTCTCCCCACATTACCGTCCTCTCTGTCAAACTGTCCTTTCCTATATATACAGAAAAAAACAGAAAAATGATGTGTAGTTGTCAAGTGGCTGATTTTTACACTTCAAAGTAAAAAAATTATGTCACATCATTTCAGGAGCTTTGTATGTTACACAAAGTAATGTGGGCTAGAAAGTATCCAGCTTATGCACAAAAGGGAAAAACAGGCATTCGACTTCTGTCTAAATATCCCTTTGTCACACTCACCCCCCACACACAGACATACGCTGCTTTCATCCCCACTGATCCTCGAGGACCCCCACACAACGTCGTCAACAGTTTAGTCATTTGTCACATCATCACAGCCCGCAGTGTCTGACTGCAGATGCTGCAGCTGGCTGTGACGTTGTGAGGCCTGTGCAGCTGACCTCTTACTGTCTCCATTTACAGAACAAACCTGTCAATAAGACTGATTGATCAGTCAGAAATGACCTGCTTTGGTTTGTGTTTAGAGCTATAGCTGCCCTAATAATAGAGTCGTACATTGTGTTGCCAGTGGGTTATTTATAATCATATGTATAGACTCTTACCCTTTGACTGTTGCTCATAAAAAATTAACAAAATGTCTAGACGATCTTGAGTTTTAGTGCCAAAAATTGTAATTTTAAATATTTTCCCATTAAAAAAAAGAAATTAGAAAAAAAACTCCCCTAATTTAATATAACTTAAATAATTCAAAATTCAATTTTTACTTCATTTACATCTGTTTTTATTTTTGCATTTTTTTCAGTTTTGAAAAATTTTAAAATCCTCATGGTCAATTTTTCCAACTTTATTCTCAAAGTTTCACTTTATATGTTACATTTAGACTTTTCTGAGCTCTTTATCCAACAGCTTTGTTAAATTTTATCATTCACATTTTGGCTTTAAGCTTATTTTCATTCATAGTTTCCTGTATTATAGATTTAACATTTGTGTTATTTATTTCTCAACCATTCTACTTAATCACATTCATTTTTCAACATTTTTGTGTTATCTTCATTTTGATTTTTTGGCCAAAACTTAAAAAAAAAAAAATGCCCCTCAGCATGTTTATTTTCCATCTGGCCCTGCTCCTTTTCCTGTAAAACCCCACCTTTAAGTTCCATTCTGAGAAAAACCAAAAACCTGTGGGTCTGGTAAGCCTCTGTGGAAGGTCAGGTGTCTTTAAAGCTGTTATGTTGTTGTCGGGCTGACATGCGACCTCCAGGCTAAGCTTCAGGGCCGGGATGGGATCAGATGGAGGAGGGAGGCACCTGCACATGGACTGAACTCTTATAGCCAGAGGGAGAGGAGGGGGGACATGAGGTCAGGGAGAGACCAGCCATGTGGTGGACAAAAACACAAAGGCATGGTGTGGAGGGGGCTGAGGTCAGCTGGTCTGGCCTGATGTTTGGACCTTATGGACCTTAGAAAAAAAGCACTGACTGTGTGTGTTTATGCAGTGCAATACAAAGCCGACACATGAAGTGTAAAGTTACATAACAGGACCTCACATACAAAGGATAAACACAAGTAGATATGCAGTAGTTAGATTCAGCATTATTCTCAGCTGAGGGAAGGACATGTGTCATGATTGTACCAGCGCAGGAGGTTTCGCTTCTTGTTCTTTTTTATTTTGATTTGCTCAAGATATTTTTCAACCCTGTCAACACTTTGTTTCACACTGCTGTATTTTAAGACATTTTTTTGGACTTTTCACACCTTTACTGGAAGGAAGTGACAATGAATAGAGAAGGAAACCGGGGGAGAGAAGGGAGTGACAGGCAGAAAAAAGAACATGGGTCAGATTCAAAACCGGCTGCCCAGTTGGAGAACAACCTCGTCTGGACATGAAGTGCTCAGCTTCTACTTAGTCAAACTGCTGCTCCTTTACAGTTTGTTATAGTTATTTTTAAGAACAGTTAAAGACAGTTAAATGCTAGATATTAGTTAGTGTTAGATCCCATTTTGAAACAGGAGAAGCAGTGGTTTCTGCTGCCCTCTTTAGTTTTATGTTCATTATTTAACTGTTAAGAGTTACTGTGCTGTAACAATACACACATGCATCAGTTTTTGTTAGCTCATGCAGCCAAACTCCTCAAATTGTCCAGAAATTGCCCAAGTGCAGCTGATTGTGTGAAGACAAACAACAGATTTTTTTACACAAACTTTATCTAGACTTTCCCTCTCATAAAGTTTCCCTTAAGAAGTTGGGGTCAGCAAATGTGGTAATGCAGTAGGTCATAGAAAATTCACCAAACACAGGTTTGTGGAGTTGATGACCCTTATACAATTTGACCCATGCAACTTTCTTGCACAGAATGAGGGTGTTTCATTCTTTTTAAAAATTGTCAGCATGTTCTTTTGTACTCATTTGTTGATACAGTAAATACATCACTTTCTTCAGGGGCTGGTGGCCTTGAAACCTTCTTGAAACTGTAAGAAGTGAATGTGTGGAAAGGGCTTTAGAGTTTTTTCCTCACAGAAAATTATTGTCTCTCCGGTGTTTTTCAGTCTCCTTTTGAGACCCTGCATGACTCCTCTCCAACATCTGTTCCGATAGCACAGTGCCTCTGCAGTTTTACAAGTATCTAGTGTCTAGTGCTGAGCCTATTCAATTAATCTAGTCTCAAATCTTTAGAAAACTGCTTAATGAAAGGAATTAGTAAATCAAAAATACCTGAAGTTATCTAATTCTAAGTTGCCCTTTGTGTTGATTTACTTGTAAGGTGAAATTCCTTGCTTTCCTTATGGATTCTGTCTGCAATGTAATGATTTTGCTGAGTCTACTCTAAGTCTTCCCTTATAGTAAAACATTCTGAGATAACTTTTGTCAGGATTTTAAACTTTTACAAAACTTTTATAAACATTTACTTAACTTTTACGTGGTTAAACAGTTACAAACTGTAAATCGGTCTACGTTATAACTCTGCAAAAGAAAAACACAACGAGGACTTGTAGTTCTTGATCTGAGTTCGTAGGTCTCTTAAGTCACTGTGGCAACAATTTGTCTTGTGACAGTCATGGCAAACTGGCAACACCAGAAGTTTGTTTGTGTAATGATATTCAAACATTAATCCCAAGAGTACTTTAAGATCCTCAGAGAGATGATCAGGCAGGTTCAGGAGCAATAAGAAGTGTCTTTTTGTGCCTTGTTGTTGGAGATGTAGATGAGGAAATAGCTAATGAAGGCATTTTTGTGATCACATTTCACAGCAGTCAGCTACAAGTTCTTAAAATATTGAAGTTAATGGCTAAGGAAAGACTAAATGCTGGTGGTGCTAGCTCTGCTAATATTAGTCGTGCATTGCTAACCAATTTGTAAATAATTAAATGTGGCTGAGTTTTGACTTTTTTCTAGGATGTTTTTTTTCTTTTACCCCTGAACCAACCAGTCTGTCTGAATTCAAATTTGTATCTAAATAAATAGAAAATTTGTTTTGATACCAATATCAGGAGATGCCTGAAAGTACAGCTTTAAAAGCAGGTATCAAGCATTTATGAGCACAAAAATCATGTGGAAATCAGTTTTGTTAAAGAAAAGCAGCCTACATAGCAAGTTGTGCTCAAAGTTCAAATCTGTTCAACAACCATGAATGTACAGTATTATTGCTAACACCAGCAAGATGAACTGATGAAGATCTTAACTGCATTTAGCTTTCAGCAGCTCTTCTGCACGCATCAGTTTTTCTCAAGTATTATGTGACCGTACCAGACGACAGTGGCATGCTCGCAGAGGGTGTGATGTTGAATCTAAGCTGAGTGATGCTGTTTCATGTTGAAAATCAGACATTCCTCAGCACTGTCATGTCTGCTAAGTTTCTTTTTACTTCGGTTTATTCATTGGTTAAGTTTCCTTTGTTTTTGCACATTCATGTTTCATGTCATGTCCTTCCTGTTTTATTTTGTTGATCACTTACCCTCGTTTCTGTCTTCTAGACTTGTCCCTGTCTTGTCACACCTGCCTCCTGATTGTTTCTCCCCACCTGTTTCCTATCACCCTCATTACCTCTTGTATTTTACCCTGTGTGTCTCACTGTCTCGTCTTGAGTTCGTTGCACTTCTTGTCTCATTCCAGCATTATTCATATTTATTGATACTTGTTTACTTGTGTACTTTTTTTGTATACTGACCTCTGCCTGAGCTTTAATAAACCCTGTCTGTTAGACATACTGATTCGGTGTCTTGCCATTGTGTCTCCCGTTCTGCGCCTCGTTTCATGACAAGCACAGCTGAGTGGAAAGATCTGCAGGCTGATCCACTGATATTACTTTGTTTACTTTCATACATTTGGAAACACTGAAGTTAGGGTGACCACATTCTGAATCCCCAAAAAGAGGACATGACTACGGGGGGAGTAAATTTTGAAAGTTTTTTTGGGTCGGGGTGAGTGTTTTTTATGCGCTTCTAACTCAGTTAGTCCACCGACACAAAATCAAAACTCCCATACAAAACCCCAGACATTTGAAGGATTTTATAAATTCCCCCGGACAAGGCCGGACAATTCCCCCAAAAAGAGGTCATGTCCGAATAAAGAGGACATATGGTCACCCTAACTCAAGTACACATTTGATCCTAGATTTCTCCAGATAGTCCTCTTTCTTTTTGCTAATATCTGAAAAATTTGGACTTTTAGGTATGAAAATATTTATTAGTAAGAAATAGATTTTTATCATCTGTTTTTTGATTCTTGAATGTCAGTACAGTAGACAAGCTGAATAAAAATTGTATAGTACTAGTATGATACTGTAAATAGTAAGTTGGTGTTTGTGTACAGGCAGCAGTGGCTGCTGTGATTCAGGGTGAAGAGACCCGATGTTACAGCTTGTTGGGAGGTGGCAGGGCAGGCTAGTGCTGTCCTCAGGGGATTAAGAGCAGAACTGATGGACAGCGAGCTGAGATGGGAGGTTTCTCCTCCAATCAGCCATCTGCTGACATCAGGATGGTGAGTGGTCAATTTAAGTGGACTTACCACTGCCTCCATCTTTTTGCTTAGCTGTTGCGTGCTGACACATCAGGTGTACCCATCGTGGATAAAGTGGTCTCAGAGAAGTCTTCAGCTTCTGTCCTGATACACTCTTGGTGTTTCTTTTTCTCTTAAGAGTAGCAGCTTGGCTTGTAAAGTCATCGCTCTCATGCACTCTTTCTTTGGGGTTAACTGAAGTGGGTGTTGTTGCTCCTCCCTGAATGGGACCATTAGAGACCAGAGGTTCTTCAAAGGCTTTCAAGATCACAATGTCTTTTGTTGTAACACATGCTTGCTTTCATGTTGACTCAAGGCCCAGCCCTCCTCTCTGTCATGGTAAATATAAGGCCTTTAGGTGTTTCTCAACGGACAGATGGACAAACAGCAAACACACAAAGCCAGAAGATCATATTTGAACATCTATTGTGTAAGCTATTTGATCTGAACATAATGAAGTGATGACTCAGACCTTCACAGCTATTGTTCACTTTTTCAACAGACAGCAGAAAGCCAGGCCTAGGGTCTGATTTATGAACCACTTGAGATCACTTCAGTACAACAGCTATGTCTTTCAGTAGATGAACATGAGTAGATCATGGGTCAGAAGATGGAGTGTTGTAGTAAAAGAATTTTAAGGTAAGGGACCGAAAACTTTGCCGAACTTGATTTACTTTCAGATGTTCAAGTTTACTGTAACAGTTGATGCTTAAAGGAATATTCCAGCGTAAATATAAATTAGGGTCAAACACACCGTAACACCGAGTTAGACTTCCCCTCGAGAGATGAATATTGCCGACTGCTTACTTCTCTAGTTTTACCAACTTTAGTAATGACCCCAGATAGCAATACACAGTGGTCTACGTCTCCACGTGTAAACTTCAACCAAAACGCCACTCTATAGCCACAAATAATGCTCAGAACAGCACCTAACTTCATCAACAGTACATATAGGGTCCCAGCCATAGTACTAGCCACCAAACATCTTTTTAACTTTGCCTAATTTCTTCAGCAAAGTAAACACAACTCACCGACTCTCCTCCAGCAGCTGCTTGTTTGTGGGGGAAGCCCTGAGGAGTGGTCTGATTGCATTTCCATGAAGTAATGATCATAAATGTTCTTCCTTGAGCTGCGAAACTCCACTGCACTCAGTGATCGGTGCGTTTGACCCTAACTTAATTTCATGCTGGAATATCCCTTCAAAAGAGACATGTCTAATGTGCCTTATCTCCAATTACTTTGCTGATGGATTCCCATGATAAGCAAGTTCCAGTTTACATATCTTGCAGGCGGCTCTTTTCTGTCTAGAAGTTTTAAGACGTAATGATGTTGCATCAGCCGCCACTGTTTTCTATGTCTTGTTGCTTCCTGCCACTGTTCTGCGTGTGGCACACTCAGCAGAGGTAAAAAGGATGTGAGATGTCTCGCGCCTCAGCAATTTATTTTGCTGTATTTTGTTCACCTGTTGCTGTCTGGTTGCTGTTTCTATCCTCGCCATTCTCGGAAGACATGGTGCAAGATGTCTCACTTCACTTTAATTTAACACCATCCAAATCAATCTTTTTACCTGTCTGTCAAAACACCCAGTTTTCTCCCCCTTATTTGTGGGTTGTGTTGGCAGTGTCTCAAGTGAGGTATTCGAGACTACCTTCCCCTGAGAACATTTCAAGGCCAGACAAGACATTTAATCTCATGAGCAAGTTCTCAGTCTATCCCTGGGTGTCCCCCTACTTGTGCATTCCTGATAAATCTCCAAAGGGAGGTGCCGAGGATAACCCCCCTCAGTCGGCTCCTCTAGATGGAGCCTCTTCAGAGTTCTTTGGGTGTCTGAGCTCCCAGCCTCTCTGAAAGGAAACCCGACTCAGCTGCATATGTGTGTGATCGCACTCTTAAGGTCCTTTTCTCCACAGCTGATAAACACAGATATGTTCTTGAGTGTAGATCGACTGGTAAATCTAAAGGCTTTCCCTCTGGCAGGTTTCCATAATTGTCTGATACAACCACTCAGCTGTTTTTTTACCCTCACTTTCACCAGACACGAGAAACATGAGATCTTTTTTTGGCCTGATACCTGGAAGTGGCTACTCTCAACTTGAGCACTCTGTCTCACCTATGAACCACATACTGAAAAACCTGGATGTGGTCTTAGTGACGTCACCCATCAGTTTCAGCAGAGATGTTATTAACCCCAGCGATGACAGTTTTGGTTTTTAACATTAATGCATCAAAATCTTGAATCAATAATCAACGGGGACATTTCCCACCAGGTTTTCATCCATTAAACTCCTCAGTTTAGAGTTCATTGTTGCAGAAGAGTGATATATCATTTAAATAAATAATGATAGTCACAGTTATGACACTGCTTATTTCAGCTTTGCAGAAAAATCTGCTTCACCAGCAATTAAAAGCCTGGAAATGCTGTCTTCTCAGTGAGAGTAACAGTGAGAGCAATGCTGAATAATTCTGTTAAAACTTGAAAAACAGAATTTCACAATCATCTCTGTAGCTGTTTTCCTGTGATAAATTTTTTATCTCCTTTCTTTAATTAGTCATACTCTCCAAGTTTCTTTTGCAGACATCAGCCCTGTCATTTCATTTTGGGATTTCCCTTTTCACATCTTTGTTTCTCCGATATATTTTCCTCTGCTTCAAAGTATCATTGAAGCTCTGTTTGTACTTATCATTTAGTAATTTCTCCTTTTTTAAAGAGGCGTTTTTTGTGCGATTGTTGAATGGTTGATGAGTTCTTCTTTGACAGTTTATGCAGTTTCTTTTTGTCATAATGTCCCACAAGATCAGAAATCACATCACTGCTATCGTGTTCAATTTCACTCATTAGATAAGAAAGAACGAAGCCAGTGTCGTAGAGTACTCTTGTTCCAAGAGCCTTGAGTAGACACATTCAGAAATTTTGCCCCAGCTACTGGTTATTTTTAGCACTGATTAATCTGTTGTAATTTTTCATTATTGTTCATAAATGATCTGAAAGTTATAAGAAGAAGCTTACCAAAATTTCATAAAGCCCAGTCATAGTTTTTTTTACAGATTCTGAAAAGAGTGTAGAATCTCTTCATAGGGGTTTGGATTTCACTTTGGGAAGTTTACCCACCAGATTGTCGGATCCCTCATTCTCAACAGCTTGCATCAACTTGAAACAACTTGCACCTTGTCGAGACGATCAATTCAAAAGCCTTCTGTTATATTTGACACTTTCAAACCGTCATTGAGTAGTTTCCAGCGTCTTTGGAATAAAACTAACAATGCTGACAGCTATGCTTTGGCTTTGGCTCTTTTTGGTGTTCTTTGACATGATGAGTCTTGAGATGCTTGATTTAATTTGCTGGCATAATGCAATTTATGCAGCAACTTTCAGCCCCGAAGAGCATCAGCTTCACACATATTGTAAGTTTTTCCCCAGAGTTGAGGAAGAGGCAGCACTGACAAGCTGTGCAACAGCAAATGTTGAATCCCAGATGCAAGTACCTTGCGAACAGGTACTTTGCAAGAGGCTCAGAGAAAAATCACCACTGATAAGACTGCAAAGTATGCACGAATCAGATCAAGTGTTCAGTAGTAATTTAAAACTGATTTTTTTGAAAACGTGACAGTCCTCATGGTTGGGGATGGATTTTCTCCTGCATGTCTACGCCTCAGTGGGACTCAAACTGGTTTAAACCTTTCTCTGCATGGTCCACAGTTTGCACACAGTGCTTGGACCTGGAAGACACACAATAAATGTTTTGAAAGTAGTTGATAAAACCTCAACAGAAAAAGGGAAGAAAAGAAAATCACCAACTTGTTGTATTGTATGTCTGAAAAGTCACAGGGCGGCAGTAGCTTAGGAGGTAGAGCAGTCGTCCATCAACTGGAAAGTTGACATTGGACTCTCCCCCTATCCCTTGTCTGTCCATTGTGTCCTTAGGCAAGACACTTAACCTACCTTGCTCCCAGTGTGTGTCCTCCGCTGGTGTATGATTCCTATGTAAGTCACTTTGGATAAAAGCGTCAACTAAATGGCATTGTAATCTTGTAAAGGTACGGATCTGTAACATTGCTGGCTTTGTTCTCACCAGGAAGCCTCTTGCTAACTTTTTGGTCGATTGTTTTCGCATGTCGACATAAGTCAACCAGTAGACAGACCGATAATAGCTGTAAGTGTACATATCATCACCAGACGTAGTAGAGGTCAAGAAATGGTTTTTGCCCAGTGCTTGTATGCTGAGACAAGGACAGTCTTTCAGTTTGTATTTTCTGTCTGTACGCTTTATCTGTATTCTTATGTTTAATGACTGCAAAAATGAATGAATGAATGCATAAATAAATGAATGTGGTTGTAAAATCTGTAAAAAAACAAGTTGAAAAAGCCAGCTTTTAATATCCGGTTGTAGCATTTGAAGTTCATGTCCGTCAAAACTTGAGATCGTTTTGATGGGATAGGAAAAGATCTCCTCCTAAGGCATCTTCTTTAGTAAATCAACAAGTGCCTATTCTTGAATAATCCCCATCTTCACCTGCAACTCTACCTCCACCCCCACACTCTTCATCCTCGTACCATGAATCAAGGATAACCCATTTGTCCTCTTGCTAGATTAATCTCTTTGACAGTAAGAGCAGGACAAAGTGTGTTTATACAAGAGTCTAAAAGTTTGTTGGCATGTGTGAAATGTAGTGTTGTCTCTATGCATACACCTAAAACACCCGCATACGTTATTTTTCTTATTTGTGAATGTGTGTGCGTGCTTTGAGTCTAAAGCAGCAGCAGGAGGTCGTAGTAGTTAGCCCATTAGCCAACTGGCTAACTGGGCTAATCAGTCTTCCACTTTATTGGCCAGACAGTTGGATAAAAGCCAAGTAGGGTGTGAACAGCTACTCTTGCTGTGTATTACACACACACACACACACACACACACACACACACACACACACACACACACACACACACACACACACACACATTAATCCTGAGCCCTTTCCTCCCCTGACAGATGGGCTAGCCTGTCAGGGATTGCTAAGGAATTTACCAGAGGAATTAGGAATTGTTTGTGTGTCTATGTGTGTGTGTGCTTTGTATCTTAGCGTATGTTAGCTTGTGCGTCTGTGTGCGTGCTAACAGCAGACAGTGTCATCTAATCTAGCATAACTAGCCTTTTTTTATGACTCGCTCCAGGCTGCACATAGTTGAGTCTGGCACTCATCCTCATTGAGCGTTTCTCTTGTTACTGAAAAACAAGCCGTCATTCAGCCAGGTCCTTGAATGCATCGGGCAGAGCATGGAGGCATAGTGTCACTGTTCTCTGCCATGCTGCTACATGCCCTGAAACTGTGTTCAAGTGTTTGTATAAAACAAAACCAAACATATCTGTTGGCGGAGTATTCTGAGTTCATGGAGATGTTTTTGTGTGCATAGAGACAGATGATGTGATCGCCTGACAAAGAGTTCTCGTTGTGTGTGTGTGTGTACTGACATGATTGTGCAGCTTTACTCTGCGTTTGTGTTCCCAATGGGAAATATGCTCTCTGAGTATCTGGTAGTTGTAATGAGAATCAGCAGGAGGGGTTGATGCGGCTTTGATCCTCTACGTTATCACACAGTTTTTTTTTTTCCCCCTCTTTTAACATCTGAATTTCATCCCCCGATTCTTCCCACCTCTAACCCCAAATTGAAAGCAAAAGGAAATCTGTGCTGGCTGTTCATATCTCCAGGCTTTGTAGTTGTTTGATAAGCTTTAGAGTAAGATGTTATCATTGTAATGAGAAGTTACTTGACAGATCAGTGGCTCTATGTTTGGGAAACTGTAACAAGGGAGGGAGGAGGGGAATCGGAGGTTGCTCCACTGATGTTTCCAAGTTTCAGAGCAACTTTTAAGCAGTTTGTTTTTTATTATGTGGCTTCCCTGAAGACCTAAGCAGGATGTGCACTATTCAGAGGGTTAAGTTATAAAAGCAATAGACCACTCATCTTTTCTTTCAGCTACCTAAATATGGGCTGTTATTTGAAGGGGTATTTGGAAATATTATAATACATTACCATGTTATGCCATCTACTAATTCTTTTATTGGGGTCAGTACTTTCCCTCTCATCAGTGAGCTTACCTTTCTTCCTTTCAGCTCTGTTGCTCACCTTATTTCCCCTTTCACACAGAGCACCTGCTTCTCTCTCTTTAAACACATAACAGCACATCACACCCACCTGCTGATTTGTCACCTTCGTACGTGTCTGATCATTCGACAGTATCCGTCAGCAGTTCTTTATGTTAAGACGCCAGACTTGGAAATAATGGTATCAATAATAATGCGTATAATCCACCTTTCAAAACCAGTTGCATTACAAACATAAAAATGTGTGTAAAGCTGATAATACATAGTTACAGCGAGTGATCTGTGTGTGAATGTTGCAGTTTGCAGTGATCATGCTGGAGGAAACTGCAGAAACCAGCTGCTCAATTTTAACACAGCAGAGTGGGAAAGTTTATATTTGTCAAAACATAGTGTCTTTATCATACATAAAAGAGATTTACTGTTGGAGTTCTCTCTCTCGCTGCATAGATCATGCTGCAGGTCATTAGATGCAAAGGGCAGAAAGAAACAAGAGATTGTCTAGTTAATTGATCGCTGATAGCAATCTTACAGCCTACTGGTATTTCATACAGAGAGAAAAAGTAATAACAGTATAATTTGGCCCATGTTGTAAGATTTAGACTAATTGTAATCTCATGTTTAACACATCTGGGTAACAGGTAAGGGATAATGTAGTGAGATGTAGTGAGATTGGTGATTAATGATTGTTCAGCCTTTAACTACTAATATAAAGTTTACACTCTCCAAATAAATTCAATTATATCCTAAATGTTGTCCATGAAGCGTATTGCATTCACCAAAAAAAAAAAAAGATATGTATTTCAGACGAATTGTTTTTTCCTATTCTCTGGGATAATGATCATTTTCATCCCCCTCTGCTCGATTTATTGGAAGCAAACATGGCCCACTTGTTTAGTTGAGTCAAGTTTTACTTTCTTTTGGGCTTAAGACACTGGTAGGGAGACTCCTTTCTTTAAGTCCGATAGATGGAATCATCATATGTTTGTCTACTTTGCGCAGGCGCTTCAGGATTTGCATACCCTATGTTTAACTAATAACATGCCTTACTCTCATTGACCCCGTTGTTGAAGTTATCTAGGAGCTGGAGAATCCGCTGATTTGGAGCAATGCTATCTGATTGTATGAGATTCTTGCAGGATTTTGAAGTATCTCATTTAGTCGGAAAAAAAAAAAAAACATGAAAAAAAATAGTACGAAAAACAGAAATAGGGAAAAAAATATTCGTACAAAAAACAGAAAGAAGAAAAAAATGTTAGTACAAAAAAAAACAGCAAAGAAAAGAGAAATACTCAAAAAAACAATTTCCTTTTTTGTAAGTGAATGCAAAATGTTGGGTACTGCAATAATGTAAAAAAGTTGTTTTTTGTCAACTTTGGTTAAGTTAAATAAAACTGCAGGGAGTAGTATGAGCTGCAAATGACAGAATTTTATCAAGAATGTGTTACAAGATGAATATGATGAGATGCAATAATGATCCATCCATCTCTTGAAAAAACAGTAAAATTATGATATATTTTGAATGATGAATCACAGAGCCTAAAGCTGGGTACAGAATTTTTCGTAATTGCCTTAAAGCACCAGTCAACAGTAAAGGTAAGCTTTGCAGTAAATTGTTAGGTGTTGACGGTAAAACTGCTGTTGTCTGCACTTTGTGGAGCGGTGGGAAATTTACATCTCATTTAAAATCAGGTTTCTTTATCCCCTGCTGCAATGTTTTTGACAGTCATTTCAGTGATGCCCTGCACATCGCTTGATTTTATGGAGGAGCATTACTTATTTTCTGTGATACCCATTTTAGAAAGTTCATCTCTCAAGGGGGGAGTAATGAATAAGCCTGAGTGTTTATTGATGATAGCAATAAAACTTTCCAATATTGGTCAGGCCATATTCTCTCAAGTGCCGACCACAAATGATCTTTTTATGTCTAACCAACAAAGGCATTTAATTCTCAGATCAAGCAGAGGAATATCAAGCTTCAACCGCCAGCAGAGACTGATTGGAAAAATACTTTAACATATAGATGTTGGGCATGCTTGATCAATCTACAACTGCCATAAAAAGCGATGTTAAGTATTTGATCTGACAAGTTTATTGCCTCACGCCCAAAACAAACATTAAAATAACATAAGTTGGTATCTTTTTCATTCTGATTTCAGTGTGATGTGGTGTCAGCAGTGTTTCGATCCATGCCCCTTTACCTAAATGAGAAACATAACGACTTTTCCGTCCATGTGGGAGTATGTGACCTCATACTGGTGTTTGGGATAGTCCAATAATCACAACAGTTAAACAACCAGCGGGAGGGGGGTCATTGAGCAAAGTGGCCTCTGGGAAATTGATTTCATTGTTTGTTGTTTTGACCTCAGCAACGTAAACGGTAATGACCTCCAGGGTTTGCTCCAGTTTTTTCACTGTGATAAATGAGGTTGGTGAAAAATGATCAAACTTAATTAGATCAGGTCCTCAGATTACACTTATTTAAGACTGTGAGTCTTTTCCAACACGAGTGTGACTTTGAAGGAGGAAACTTTCCATCCAAAACAAGTTTTTTGGAAAGGAAATCCCTGTTATTAGGCTGATGAGGAAGTCTTGGCTTTATGAACAGAAGTTTTTCCACTTCAGGCAGGTGAACTCTGCATGAACTTGTGTCATATTTCCTCTCATTACACCCCGGTCCTCCTCAGTAATAGCTGTGGGTCTAGGACATGGATTGGTTTCTGTCATCACTCAGCCATCTTGTTACAGGACACACAGTATAAAGAAGAAAAGGAACATCTCATTAGTCTAATATGGACAGGGATGGAGTTCTTGCTGCTTTGAGTGTTTGTCGTTGGTTGAGAATAATCTGGGTTTCTTTTGGACGAATATATTCAGTATATTCAGATGTCCTTGCAGCTACAGTTTCATGAAGACTTATTGGGTTGGGTTTCCTGCTCAAGCAAAAATGTTCAAAAGATGACTGAATGTGATTTTCTGTTCTTGACCTCCTTAGGAAATTGAATTTTGGAGGGGTCCTGATATGAGATTTTGAAGTCAATACGACAAAACTTAACAAATCAAGAAGGCGCTGACTCAGCACAGTCACTCTACATACTTGTAGTTTTATTTGTTGGTATAACGGAGAAGAAGAAGAAGAAGAAGAGCAACAAGAACAGCTAGAACAACAAGAACAAGAACAACAGGAAGAACAACAGCAAGAACAACAAGAACAACAGCAAGAAGAAGAAGAACAGCAACAAGAACAACAACAAGAAGAAGAACAACAAGAACAAGAACAAGAACAAGAACAAAAACAACAACAAGAACTCAGGCAGCACAGTCCTCAGTGTCCCTCTTGTCACTCACTATTCATCTTCATCAACTTGTAGTAACTTGTGTAGACTGTGGTGCCTTAATGCTGTTGGTAGAACCTGTGCAGCATGTCAATAATTATGACGTGGCATTTGAGTGTAAATGAGGAATTTACGCCTTTAATATACGCCTCTTTATAAGGCTTATATCCCACTTTTCCAATTGTATGTCAGATATGTATCCAAGGGTAAAGGGAAACGACTGTGGCTAAGTGGTTCACAAATGGGAGGATGGGGTTAGGTCCCATTTCCCACTGTCCACATTTGGAAGTGTCCCTCGACAAGATGTTTATCACCAAACTGCCCCCAACGCTGTGCTATCAGTGTATAATGGGATTAGCTGATGGGCTCTTTAGATAGGGGCCTTGGCCTTCAGTGCGTGAAAACAATGTTAATAGGTTGAAGTGATATGTAAATGCACTTTAAATGGACAGAGGACTTGAGAAAGTGCCATAAACATAGTCTATTTACCATTTACAGGGCCGTGCATTGTGCAGCATCAAACCATAAGTTGATCGGATCTTTACATCCTCATGAATAGAGCTAACAGATTTATTTTCCTCCATAGTAAAGGACAAAGTTGCAAAGTGTTTTCAAGCTTCATGCCTGCTTTTTACAGAGTACATGGAAATAAAGGAGGAACCATCCATTGAATGGGATAAGTTGAGCAAACATGATTTGAATGGTATGTAAAGTGTTTTGTCCCCCAGGTGTGGAGTCCAGACATGTTATGCAACATGAAGCCTGCAGGTGTGTTTAATCTCATGTTGTTTTGCAGGAGAACATACATGTAACAACCCTTGTACATACCAACAAACCTACCCTCACACTACAGACTATCTGTTTCATTTCCACATGGCTCATTGTCAGAGAATATTGAATGAGTCTGACCTAGTTGCCAGCGGCACCACGGGAAATTACTCTCTGCATTTTTAACAATGGAGTAAATTTATTGGATAATGTGGCCTGGAGCTGTTTTGATGTGAAGTTCTTTTTTTTTTCTCTAAGACCCAGTTCTAGCTTTTATTCTTACAGTAAAGATGCAGCCGTGGAGCAGCTGATGAAGAATTGATGAGGCTAAAGTGTGTCACTTTGCAGATGTCGTGTATGCCTATGCCCTGGAGTGTGGCGTGCACTGTTTACACTGTCCTCTCTTTCCTCTGTAGTGTTAGGATACTCCGTCAGTGAACTCCAGCTGCATCAACAGTACTGCCTGTTAACTCACACAGTCATGAACAGACACACACACACTCATACTCACATGTGGACCTGTTTCTAAGCTAAGTCAGAGTCTCCCAGTACAACCAGAGGTAAAACAAAAGGTTGAAGCCGGTTCGTCTGTAGCCCGCTCAGCTGTATTTAAATTGTTTCTGATGTAGCTTCAGGGGGTGTCTGCAGTCCTCACTTAGCCCTCAGCATTAACATTCATCTCATATCAGACCGTGACATAGCAGGATTACAGCTGATAACGCCTCAAAATCGGATGTTTCTCCTAAGCTCATTCAACTGACATTTAAGTGAAGTACATATACAACTTAAGCCTTACTGAGGATATGCTAAAACAACATTTTGTCACATAACTTTACAGAAAACTTTGAAAGAGTTTTGAAAGTAAAACGTTTTTTGATGGTCTTAAAAGTGCCAGCCATAGGAAGCTACTCAAGTCATCCTGTCACAATATTTAACATCCTATTAAACGCCTAACATTACTCAGACACTGTGATGAAAATTTCAAGAAATTGTCCTAGTGGGCTGCATGTGTGAATGCGAACGGCTGGATATGCTGGCCTCGACTTTGCGCAGCTTTGCCCCTGCAAGCCTGCCACCTTTACATGAAGTCTGATGGGAGGTCAGGCAATGCCAATGTCGATTGGTTTTGTGACACATCATTGAGAAAAAATGCGTCTCAGTGTAAACGTTGGATCTAGAATACGTATACTAGCTGTTGCAAACAGATTTCTGTTTATAGGGGGAAACAATTCATTCTTAAAATAGCTGACCGCATACACCAAATCTGCTGAGGTAATTTCTCAGACTTATAAAAATACCAGAATTTACATTTCTTTACCAAATTTTCTATAGCAAATTTGTTTTTCTTGATTTCCAACCCGCACACAGTGCTGCAACAGAAAGTCGGTGAACACAGATCAACATTTCGCTGATATGAAAGGCAAACTAAATTACATTTTTCCTAAAATGTAGGCCTACGACCGAAATAAGATCTCCTCACTGGATTATCATTCTTAATCTGAACCCGCGCACAAGGACACCACACTCTGCTGTTCACCGTGCGTGCACACTCATTCAGTCCCTTCTGTTCCTCTGTGTACCAGATGATGATCACAGTTTGAGTTCACAGCACAAAGTGATCACAAATAAATAACTCAGTCTGTTTTTGAGGTAGTTTTCTTTTGAGAGTCACTGTTTCGAAACTGATGTTTAGGTAACAAGAAAGGTGCCCGTGCTGTGCAGTGTGCTCCATTTTTCGTGCCTTTGTTAATGCTAATACAGCGCTTTACAAAGATATTCTCTCAAACCTTTAGTGGGTGTAATAGACAGACACAGAGCACAGGACTGCAGCAGCAAGCAAATCAAATCAAATCCAGCACCTTCTTCTACACTTGTGCAGAGATGTGGATGCGTTTATAAGTTCTTTAGAGTGTAACCTCAGCAAAACAATCAGAGAAAGATTTCATTTTTCACTTTTGCAGTGTTGCTGTTGACTTTATCAGCGCTCCCTCTTCACTTTGTTGCTATGCCAGTCGACCTTCACTCTCTCACTTTCATTTTCAGTCACTCACAGCAATTTAGTTTATTTTTCTTAGACTCTGGTACCTTTTGATGCTTTCAAATGTAAAATAAAATGTTTTATTGTTTTAAAATATGTGATATTAAATAGGGGTGTCCTGATACAACTTTTTTTTTTACCTCCAATACGATACCGATATTGTAGCCTTCAATACTGGCCAATACCGATATTGATCTGATATTAGAACAAACTTGTGCATGACAAGTTTTGTACTCAGCTGCCATGTATTTTTCAGACTTTTATGAAAAATACTGCCACACAGCCGACATCACTCCTTGGTATTTTGTTTGTACCTTAGTACACACTGTTGTTGTGATCACATGGGCTCTACCTGCTGGATTCGGATGCTGTTGGATAGAGGTGCTGGAGCGGAGTCTGGAATGGACTGCTAATATCGGAGTGCTGATATCGGAAATTTTAAGCTAGTTTAGCGCTTGGCTATAAGGCAAGCGCTAAAATCACCTTTGTATATGTAGCCATCTTGTTTCTGCCTCCGATTTAGCTTTTTTCCGACTTGGTAACGGAAACGCTGGTAACTCGGGTGTGACGTCATTTTCAGCTCTGACATCTGACTTCCGAGGTAGGTCGAATGCTGATGTAATCTGATGTTTGATCTTTTGTTGATATTGGACCAATACCCGATATCGGTATTGTATCAGGACACCCCTGATATTAAACCTTATCAAAGTGTTGCAAATTTTGACAAATTTATCTCAGATTACAAATGTACTACAAACAGAAATAAAAATCTCCCCCATACCAAAAGCTAGACCCTGAGCATGGTTTTCTCAGTTGATACTGATGAGGTAATACCCAGCTGTACTTCGCCTAAACAGACTGACCATGATCCTAAACTAAAGCGTTTCCTCTCTGTTCTTTTGGAGGGCTTTGCAGGAAGCTTCAGTTTCCTTGTCTCTTCAGGTAAATGAAGTCATTTAAAATCCTTTACAGATAATATGTCACATGTGTAACCATAGACGTATAGCAATAACAAAAGGGCCTCTAGCAGAAACAAACACGTTCACAATCATGTGTTTGAAGCCGTATTAGGAGCTGAGTGGGACGGTGGGAGTGCAGCCAGGTCTCTGCCTCGGTGGTTTGGTTTGAGGCCTGTGTTTACCCTCTCAGTAATCAGTGCACTTAGATGGATGTGTTTCTCAGATAAGTGTTCCTCTTGATGAGGTCCTTACCTGACCGCAAGTCATTTATCTGCACAGACACATGATGACCTTAAATTACCCCCTTTTTCTCGCTCCCCTGTACTTTGGTGTCGCCTGGGGCTTCTGCGACTGCTCTGTTTTTCTGCCGGGTTACTCCTCCTCACCACCAGTCCTGAATCAAGTGTCCTGTTCTGCTTTTGTTAATGAGACGCCAGTGTGGGCGGAAGTGGGTTTGAATTCCCTGCGGCAAAACTACTCTAAGGAATATTTTCCAGCTATAGATTAGAGGAAGAGGCCCTGTGTAAAGGCTTTATTTTACCAGATAAAAGCAGAGTATTTTAGTGCTTGGAAACAATTAAACATTTTAGTAACACAATTGTCATTATTTAAAATTTTTACCTTCAAGTCTTTTTCTGCTTACAAATCAAATCCCTCGCCCATTTGGATTTTCACATCACAGCGAGGAACATGCACTGCTGGTGTAGATTCTGAAAGTAAACACCATGTGACCCTCTTAGTTAACTAGTCTGTTTGTGTGCCTCAGACATTAACCGAGCACAGAGTAGAGCAGGACATCATTGTCTAATCTGCCCCTCTAATCAAGTGTTTTCTAGCAACCGTCATGATGTGCCTGCATGTTTAAATTTGACGGCCATGTGACGCAGATACGGACACTGCCTGCACAGCAATCAAAAGGTTTAAAAAACAGCTTCATGTACGGGATTTCAAACAGAAATTTCTTGTAGATTACTCCTGGACGACAAGGAAGTAGTGTCAGCATGATGCCTTTCAGGTCATATAGCAGATACGAATATTACAGATATGACTCTTATCTTTTGGCCTCTGTCTCTTTGTAGAGAGCCGCCGAACCAGATTTCTTCAAAGTCCACCACAGAAAAATGACTGTAGGCTTTTAGCTATATACTCAGTAGGGGTGGGAATCACTAGTGGCCCAATGATGCGATATTATCACGATGCTTGGTGTACGATACAATATTATAATGTATCGTGGACCAAGTATCGTGATAATATCCTATCAACATAATATCAACAATAAGATATTATCACGATACTTGGTCCACGATACAATATAATCACGATACTTGGGCCATGATACGATATAATTGCAATTTTGACGTTTTGCAGTACAGTGGGTATTACGATACAGTATATTGCGATTTATATTTATATTTAGCATTTGCCTTTCCTTTATGTTTTTCTTATTTACACTGTATTTTATTTTCATGTTGCACATCTTGCAAACCTTAAATATATATTTGTTGTACTAACTTTCTCCTGCTCTATGATGTCACCTCTGCCAACCTCACTGGACAAACAGTTGATTTTATTTCTCAATTACCATAGATTTGACTTCATATTAGCAATTAATTTGAAAAAATCAATACTTGGTAAATGAAACAATATGATATACCACCTGACAAACTATCACGATACTCTGCTGTATCAATTTTTTTCTCCCACCCCTAATACTCAGTGTCTTGCTCTCTTCGGCTCTCACACTGGAATGGGAAGGTTAGGATGTAAACACTTTATTTTGTTTTGTTGGATTTATGTCCCAAACATCAAACCACTGTTTAATACCATCACAGGCCTTCAGTGACACTTGATGAAGCTTTGATATCATGGGACACTTTTGTCCTGTAGAACTGCAAAGTCAGTGATGCAGTTAGATTTAATAGAGAATATCAATCGACCGAGGCACATTTATTCTGTACTGGAGATGTTATTTGATTGGAGATATTGATTTATTGAGATACACCTCCAATGAAACCTTAAAAGAAAACATACTCATCTTATTCCTGCAGTTCAATTTTCTCTGTTTATGACCTGAAAACATTAATAAACAGCACACACTGACTGCCTCTGCTTTCAGTTAGCTAACCAACCAAGCGGAAAACTGTTCAAAACACCAGCTGCATAATATGAACATCAACCGCTCTCCTGCCCGCTTACTGCTAATTCTCCAGGAGATGCACTGCTGCTTTCTCACTTGAGCTTACCCCTGAATTCACCCTGGAGATATACCAGGGGGCTGGAAGGAAAATACCCAAGGTGAAGTCAGGATAGCGAGTTTGGATGATTGTGGTTAAAGGTGAAGATCACCTGGGTAATTTTGGGAAGTTTAATCAAATGATTTTGAGTGCAAAATTGAATGAATGTGCTGCAAACATTGATCAAGTATGAAAGAGTGAAAACTTATCAAAAAGTTCTGTCATGTTAAAGTAAACCCACAGCAAACAGTCTTTTTAGAAGTATGTTTTTATGCATACTCTCCTCTTTTTCACATGAAAAGACCCCATTCAAAGACGTCTCAAAACGTGTTTTACAGCCAGAACATCAGATGCCTCTGCCAGCTGCAGTCTGGTTGAAGACTCAAACACAAACCAGCATGCTCTTCATGCTCTGAAATCTTTTATTTACATTTCCAGCTTTTCTCTCTCCTCAGTATTCTCTCTCTGAGCTGTGTGCGCACTCTTCTGATCTTGCAGCGAGTGTTTTGTAAGGACCTTTGCATGTTTTCTTGTTTATCCACCTGACTCACTGAAAAACAGAACAGATTCATCTCCTCCTCCTCCTCCTCATCTTCCTCTCTCCAATTCCCTCTTCTTTTAAATGCTTCTTCGCTTCTCCGTGAACTTAACATCAAAGCACTCAGATCCCTTTCTTCTGTGCAGGATGCTTCAGCTGCTCTGAAAAGGTGCAGAGGGAGCACAACAGCAGTAGCTTGCATGTGCATCTGTTAAGGTTATCAAAACACAGCATCACATGCTCTCTAGGCTTTGTTTTCCATAACCACAGGAAACAATAGAAAGATTGTACCCCAACATCTCCTCTCCTCGCTGCAGTAATTTGCGTTTCCTTACACTTGAGCTGTCAGCGGGGAGCAAAGGCTGTAATTTCCCTGTCTCAGCTAGAAAACAAATGTTTCAGATTTACTACACATCTGTTTGTAGCAGCTCTGAGGGGCGAGGGGTAGGGACACGCACTCACACCCCCATAGATCCAACACGCTGGTGATTTAATTGATCGCCAGAAGGAGCCCCCTACTACTTTTGTGCGAGGAGAGAACGAAGAAGGGAGGGGGGTAGGGAGCAGAGGGGAGAAAAGGGAGTTGACAGCTCTGCAGACACAGTCAGGGAGACAGTGAGCGAGTGGGGTAGCGTGGTGGGTGTGCTATGTGAGGAATGCCGGCTCATGTTGTAACTAGAACTCCTGAAAGGCCCTGTTCTTTCCATACCGCTGGGACACTTTAGACCCCGTTTTGGCAAGAAGCCCAACGCCCAACCCCTCTATCTGTCTCATCATCAATGTGACTTTTTGTGCCTGCAGGCTCTTGTTTTTATGCTCTCGAGTCCTCAGCAGCAGCAGCAGCAGCTCTATCATTCTCCTAAATGTAAATGTTAGACGACTACTGCAACAACACTTTGCCATTCACAAATCATGAAACTTTCCTGCTTGGTCAGCAGCCCAACACTTATTTATGATCTACACTTTGATATCGACTGCTCAGTGGTGTAATAAAGCTGTCTGGTGTGTGATTTTACATGATATTGTGGTGTTCTAGTGCTGCGTTCCAGTTACCTCGGAAGGTGGATGTCGGAGCTTGTTAGATGTTACACCTGAGTTGACGGCGTTCCAGTTAACAAGTTGAAAACCAAGATGGATGCCTACAGCTACCTGTTGTTAGGTGTTGTAAACAATTGTCAGCTGTTGTTACCCGTTGTTAGCGGTTGTTAGTTGTCATTAGCATTACCAGTTGTAAACAACACATAACACAGTATTTTACTCGTACAAACACCATAGCACCGTGTTCACAGTTAGACATTGGGCAGTACAACATATACCACTTATTTAATTTCTCAAAAACAAAACAGAAGTACTAATAAATAATACATTACAAGAGCTTTCAATGTTACTCTTTACTGTTGATGCACTACACTGCCATCTTAAATTAACAAAATAAACAGGGGGGCGTTCCAGATGAATTTCCGACTCGGAGCTGGGAAATCCTGACTTCCGAGTACAACTGGAATGAAGCATGTCAGCAAAAGTGTGCAGAGTTGGAAGCTTGTGCACTAGGGGTAGGAGAAAAAATGGATACAGCATATTTTGTCTGGTGATACATTGTATCATCTCATTTATGGAGTGTTGATTTTCTTTAATTAATTGCTAATATGAAGTCGAATCTATGATAATGGAAAAAATGAATTCAACTGTTTGTCCAGTGAGGTTGGCAGGGGTGACATCATAGAGCAGGAGAAAGTTAGTGCAACAAATATATATAAGGTTTGTAGGATGTGCTACATGAAAATAAAATACAGTGTAAATAAGACAAACATAAAGGAAAGACAAATGCTAAATTAGCTAAACAGTTGAAAAATAGTATAAATTGCATTATCATGTATCGCAATACTCGCTGTATTGCAGAATATTAAAAATTGCAATAATATCATATTGTCTGGCTGCTAGTGATTCCCACCCCTATTGTGCACGTCTGAAAAATTTGAAATGAATCCTCCAAACATTAAAGTGAGAGTGCTGCACTCGTTCCATCTTAACTTGAAAAAAAATGTTGGTCAATCAATCTCCAATAAGTTTGAAACTTTGGTGTATTTATGAATGTATTTTAAAGTAAGTTCTGAAGCACAAGTGTAGAATGTTTCTTTAATTTTTTTGTGTTCGTGACCATTTTTTCTAATTCACCGAAAATCCAATTACTCTGTAATTCTGCTAATTTTCTTTTTTTCTACAATTCTGAACTGAAAAATAACATTAATAAAACAGAAAGAAATAGAGAATTAAATATTAAATCAGGGCTCCAGCAGGAACCCATTTATATGATACAAATGCAGAAACTGCTTCATCTTCTCCTCTTCCTCTCATGTCTTATATATAATATTTATTGTAAAAGTCTTTTCTACAGAAACTTTTCTGTGTCAGCTGCCATGAATCACTTCTTTTGATTGTGTAATACATTCTTCTTTCCCGAAAGTTAAAGTCACGCATTTCAGCAGAAAATAAGCTAGGGGATTCATTAAAGATTGGGTCTTCTTGTAATTTTTTCTGCATATGTTTTAAATATTATGACTTGATGCTGCAGAAAGCAGGGACATCACTCAAAAGGGACTGACTGTCTGTCTGGCTGCCAACCATATTAGCAAAGCCCTGGATCTGTCAGAAATATTGGAAAAGAAAGCAAAGAAATTTACATACTTAATAAATGATCTCCTCTCTTTGGCTGTGCAAATGAGGGATTAGGGGGAGGTAGAGTGCACAGCATAACCTGGGGTGAGTCCTACTTCAACAAGCCTCTGTGGTTTATCCTTCCCAGTCCTCTTTCTGGGATCTCTATACGATTTAAAAAAATAAGTTGAGAATTTAAGTCCCTATTCAATCTTTCTTTTTTTACTACTTAAAGTGTTCTCAGTGGTCTTTAAATTGTGACTATGAAGCCAAAATCCCAGTACCTGTGTCATTTTAAAGGGCTTTTCTTCTTCAGAGCTCCAGTAGCTCATTAGTAATTTGCCTCTGAGTCGTGGGCAGAGACAGCGCTGATCTCTCTTCTTCACGTTAGCTTGTAGCCCAACATTACCGGTGCGGTAGAAAAAGCAGGTAACATAGCTATTCAGCTCTGATTCACTAATGTCTTTGAGGACATGATGAAAGTTAATATCATAATTAGCTTTCTTACAAGCATTGCTATTCCGCAAATGCAAACGCTTGTTCAAGGATCGTAATCTCTATTTCTCAGAGTCTGGCCTGCATAGCGGGGCTCTGGGGGCGGAGCTTGTAGTTGTGACGTAAGAAATCTCTCTGTGTCTGGACCTGCTGTTTGGGTCTGCCAGAGATTCACAGTGATATGAATGCAGAAATACTCAGACATGCAACTTAGCACTTAGTTTTCTCATGATATGTCCTGCAGCATCAGAAAAATGACATACGAACATGTAGACAAGAAAAACAAGACTTTCATCAGAGTGGGTCTTTAAGGTGGAAAATTACCCTCAAAGCTGAAACACCAATTTGAGAACAAAACGGCAAATATAAATCTGCAATGTGCCAATCATATTCTAGAAATACAGGTACTAGAAATTTTTTCTTCTCTCGTTTGAGTCTAACATTCACTCTTAACAAGCAACTGCTCCTAGTTAACACATTTTCATGCAGAGGTAAAATCCAGTGTCAGTGCATTGGGAGATAAACAATAAACAATTATCATTCCAAAAATACATGACACCAAAATAAACGTCATAAATCTTCTGGAACCAGATTAAAGAAAAAGAGCAGCCCACATCAGTGCCCCTTTTTATATCGCAGCAGAAATACCTCGGAGGGAAATAAACAATGAATCACTTAACATCACTTAACATACGCTTCCTTTATTCCTTTACATTAGCCATACTTTTAGGAGGTGAGCAAAAGTTTTATTTGTAAGTCCAGGATTGGAGTTCAAATCTTTGAGATTTATTTTTTGATGATAAAAGGATACATGAGATGAGACATGAGATGCAGATTAAAGTGTACATACAGCCTCTCAGCAGATGGAAGCATGAAGTGCTCTGAAGTGTCCTCGAGGGCTTCAGGCTGTGTTGACTCTAGAGTTGATAAAACAGAGTGAACAACACCAGAAGGTATGGCATCCAAAATGAACATAGACTGTGGAAACTTCACGCTGGATTGTAAGAACTGACAAGAAAGTGGACTTTTTCAAGACAAAGTCTTTAAACTTTTCACTTTGTGTGCAATGACTCAGAATAAGGGATGGGAGAAAAAAAAAACATACAGCACAGTATTGTGATATTTTGTCTGGTGATATATCGTATTGTCTCATTGACCAATTATCGATTTTTCAAATTAATTGCTAATATGACATCAAATCTATGATAATGGAAAAATAAAATCAACTGTTTGTCCAGTGAAGTTGGCAGAGGTGACATTGTAGAGCAGGAGAAAGTTAGTACAAGAAATACAACGTTTGCAAGATATTCTTCAATAATAAAATGTGAATAAAATAATAAAATAAGACAAACATAAAGGAAAGCCAAATGCTAAATTAGCTAAACAGTTGAAAAAATCGTATAAATCACACTATATTGTATCCCAATACTTGAAAATTGCAATAATATTGTATGGTGACCCAGGTCTCGTCATAATATTGTATCGTCGGACCACTGGTGATTCCCACCCCTACCCAGAATGTACGAAAGTTTTACTTTTTGAATTAAATTATGAGAAATAAAAAAAGAAACTCAGACAGGTGTGTGTTAATGTGCATGTGTGTGTGCATGAGGTTGAGTCAGAAGAGTGAAATGAAAGAGTCACAGTGTCTTGGTTGACGACATGCAGATTAGAAAATAAAGCCCTACCTGTGGCTGTCTCCTCTTTGTCTTCAGTCGTCACAGAGTGACTCATTACTAAATCACATACATGTTCTGACACCTGAGAGGAATTGCCTCACCTTTAAGGTGTGTTCACACATACAAACTCAATGCAAAGATTCTATTTCTTTTCAGCCTGAACTTAAAAGTTTGTGACGCCAAAGTTGATCTGAGAAGAGGTTTCCAGAAATAGTTAAACTGAACTAGTTTTAAGGAACTTTTTTATGGATGTTCTAGTTTGTTGACCTGTCCTCGTGTTGTGAAGCTTGCCAACCTGCTTTCTAAATGTTGGTATTGGCCTTAAATAATGATAGAGGTTAATTACTTTAACATGATGGACATGACAATTAGAGATTGGATAAATATTTGATATAACCTTGTGTGATTGTGGATTAACACTCCTTACCACCTTCGCATAACTAAGTGCCGTCTCAATCAAATCTGGACACGCCTTTGTAGCTTTGCCCTCAGATTTTTGTGATTAAAAAACCTGTTTTTGTGGCTTTGTTCTGGATCCGGGAAACATAGTTGCAAAATAAAGTATTGTGACATCAATCAAAACGCCTTTTGCACCTCAAATACTGAATAATGTCTTTGCATGTTGCATATTTTTCCTCTTTCTCTCTAATGCAAAACTTGATTTAAAAGCTCTCGCTTGTTCACTTTTCTTTCCTCCCTTCTCTCCCTCTTTCCTTCCCTCTCGCACACACATTTTTAGATTTTTCACACCTACTTTGGAGAAAACAGTGAAGCAGATTGACTGCAATGAATGGCTCTGTATCCAGTCTGGTTCCTGTGTGGGTACAGGGGGACAGTAGGGCCTTTAGAGTCAGACTCTGCCGTAGGATGTCTGACAGTATTTAGCTGCGTGAGGAGAGTTTCCAGCCCCTCTTTGCAGGCTGCAGACAGAGGCATAACATGGAGATGGATGCATGATATGTGGAGTTAAATGTGTTGTAGAGTGAGACTTTGAGGGCTGGGTAAAGGTTTAGGATGATGGAGTCAGGGAGAGAGGATTATGCATGTCGATGAGGATGTTAGTGTTGTCAAAATAAAACAAGTTTACTTTTTTGCAAACTTTTCCTGAGTTTGAGCTGACTTCAGAAAAAGTATAACCATTATGTAACTGTCAGGGCAAGTTCAGACTGCAATACATAAATTTTGGAAAAATGTATAAATATTTTAAAGTAAATAGAAAATAGTGACTTAGAGTTTAGAATAGAAGAGAGGCAGGGGAGGAGAATAAATAAAGAGACTAGAGTATGTTCACAGAAAATGACAAAGATATGGGACAGGTAGCAGTCTGTCTGCTTCAAGGTGAGTAAAAATCCACTTGTTCAGTCTTGTTAAGTGACTATTTTTGCACTGATTGCTGCTGTGCAAAAAGAAATCGAGGTTTGTTTTATCTTTGTGTGCTTGTGTTTTATAGTTTTCGCTCTACGCTGTGATTAGAAAGCAGTGTGAATTATGCATTTCAGAGAGGCACAATCATATGAATCATTTGGCTGCTATGAGGGTGTCAGGAGCGCTGAGAGAGGGAAGGGTGAGGCAGCAGGGAGGTGAGGAAAGCTCCCTGTCCTGTCTGGGCTGTCAGGTTGTTTGAAGGAAGGAGTGATGACGGGGGGAGAAAAAAAAAAAAACAGTGAAAACACATGTAGGGTCCTGCAGGGATGGAGGGATTTCTGGAGAGCGCTGTGATGAAAGGAAAAATATGTCACCAAGTAATGATGGTCTTTTTCCATCTCTCCTTCTCTCTCTCTCTTCCTCTCTGTCTGTTTCCAGAGCTGCTGGGCTCCACAAAGAGACTCAATATCAACTACCAGGACTCAGACGGGTAAGACAAGTGTGTGTCAATGAATGTGCATGTGAGTGAGTGTGCATGCAGTTGAGTCAGAAGAGTGCAATGAAAGCTTCACATTGTCTTAGCTGACATGCAGATTAGAAAATAAAGCCCTCCTTGTAGCTGTCTCCTCTTTGTCTTCAGTCCTCACAGAGTGACTCATTACTAAATCACATACATGTTCTGACACCTGAGAGGAATTGCCTCACCTTCAAGGTGTGTTCACACATACAAACTCAATGCAAAGACAACATTTCCTTTAAGCTTGAACCAAACAGTTTGTGACAACACAGTTGATCTTCTCTACATGACCCGAGGTTACCTCAGAAGTAGTCAAACTTTACTCATTCTTAGGTTTTGTTTGTGGGATACTCTGATTAAGCGGGCATAAGGATAGAGATATACCGTATATCAAATCTGTCTGAGAGCTGGATATTAAGACCGTTATTATGATAAAGAGAAAGTGGAGATCAGTGTATTAAAGTAAATCATTTTTCAATTCAATCCAATCCAATCCATTTTATTTATAAAGCACGATTTAAGCAAACACATGGTTTCCAAAAAGCTGCACAGCAAGATAAAAATACAATAAATAACACAACGGATAAAAATAAAAAATAAAATGAGATAAAACACAATAAAATCAAATAAAAACAAATACAATATATAAAATAATAGAATAAAATTAATGAAGTCAACCTCCTGCTTGGTGTTAAGATGGGATTTAAAAACAGGCAAAAGGGAGGCCTGTCTGATGTGCTGAGGCAGGTTGTTCCAAAGTTTTGGAGCTGCGACAGCAAAGGTACTGTCCCCTCTGAGCTTGTGCTTTGTTTTAGGCTCTCTCAGGAGCAGCTGATCAGCTGACCTGAAAGACCAAAAGAAAAGACAGGTGGGCGTTCACTATTTGAGGTAAACCAAAACTGTGATCATATTGTGAAATAAAGCATGTATTTGGGCCAAATGTTTTTTGTTTTTTTAATCATTCGTCTAAAAAGAAAAGATCCTTGTGTAGAGTCGGTATACTTGGTCTTCATATCGAGACATGTAGGCATCATGAAAGAAGATACAATTTGTACTAAGTGTGATCTCAATGATGTGGAGAATGAGATGCATTTTGTGTTATATTGTCTCTTCTATGAGCCTCTCAGAAAATGATTTTTTGTAAGGTAGACAGGAAATTTTCATTCATTCCAGACTTTTTACAAATCTACAGTAGTTATTCCAGCTTCCATTCAACCTGTCACTAACAAATCACAGCAAAGTTTGTTCAATATGAGCCCATAGCTCTGTTGTAAACCAGATTTTGGCTTATGTGGTTTGTACCTACCAGTTAGACTACCACACAACATAGACAGATGGACAGATTCCCTACAGCCAAAACAGAGTGCCTGTGGTTGGTGCTCATCAGAAAAAAAATTTGTTTAAGTAGCTGGAAGCAGCAGCAAAGTTCATCCAGCTCATTAGAACAGAGGAAAGTAACCCAGCTGAGTGCACCTCAAATAGTTTAAAGAGCCAAGATATGAAAGAAGAAGGTTTTCTGAGGAATTATTAAGGTTTTTTTAACCGAGGTAAACTTTCATGTAGAAACTAGTGTCACTTTTGCAAAATCCTGACGCAGAGAGCAACAGCACTTCTGCATTTTTAGTTTTTGGCTTTTGTACCCTGTATATTTGATGACTTCAAGTTTGGACTGCAGCAGATTTATATGTTTTGTTTTGATGTGTTTCTTCGACAGTGGTTGGTCTACTTTCCCAGATATATATCAATGCAGGTCATCAGACATACAGAAAATACCTCAGTTTCTGTGTCAGCCAACTTGCAGTTTGTGTGTGTGTTAACTCAGGTCTGCTGCGTGTGTCTACATGCAGAGTCAATGCAGCGTGTGGGAGGTGACATATAATAGGGGTGTTGAAATTAAACATGTCCACCCATGATGGAGTGTGTTTGTCTGTCTGTGTGTGTGTGTGTGTGTGTGTGTGTGTGTGTGTGTGTGTGTGTGTGTGTGGTGCAGATGGAGGGGTTACCTGTGATATTTGAGAACAGTGCAGAGGGGCTGAACAGAGGAGGGGAGGTAAGCAAACAGTCGCTGTCACTGAGTCAACACCAGAGAGGGATTCAGACGGTGTGTGTCTGTTAAGTGTAAGTAAGTCAGGAAATGACGAGAGTGAGGTCCGCTGGTCTGTGGATGAATGGATAAATAAACATGTGGCTTTGGGTTTGAGTGTGTGTGTGTGTGTGTGCTCTGAGCATAGAGGTCTAGACTTTGATAAGACAGTCCACCTCATAGTCTAGAGATCCTTCAGATTTCATTTTAGGAAAGAATCACATCTTAATGTCTTAATAATGTTTAGTCTTAAACTGCACCAAAAGTTTCCTCACCTCCATAAGAAATACAGAGAACTAGAAACTTTGTACCAGAGCTACTTTGAAGGAACTGAAAAACTGTTTTTTTTTTTTTGTCAGCAGTTCCTCTCCAGATTGAAGGTTTATTCTCAGTTTTTAGACTTTCAAGAATAAAACAGGTTAGTCTGCTGGTGATTAAAAAAGCTGTGGCTGTTTTTATGGGTTCAAGCTTTACAGCCATTGTGATGCCAAAGCTTCATTTGAATGCTGCAAGTATCTGACCAATCAATAACATTCAGCAATCAGCACTGCAAGTCCCCAAAGTTCCATCACTTTTTGAATGTAATATACTTTACAGAAGGAATTAAGTTTCTGAATTACTTTTCCACATGGCTCAAATGACATGATAATTTTACATTAAAACACGCCCCCGCTGATACAGCCAGATATAGAATCATATATCTAGCTATTTTTTTCAATTACCATTCATAATCTGCGACTCACCTCTACAGTATCCAATGATTTTGAGGAAAGGCTGTCTTTTAGCATCACAAAGATGGTCCAACAAGGTGCCAATTTCAGCAGGAGTATGTTTTGATTGGCCATTTCACTGTAGATTTGCACCCTATCGAATTGTATTCACATTAAATGCGCATGCGCAAAATTTTCAATGGGGTAGCAAGAAATGACAGTACACATGTCACACGGTGTCATGTCACATCCTAAACACTGCCGCAAATGGGATTAAATAATGTGTTTTATCGCGACCGTGTGCACGCATATGTCTTCACAACTAAAGACATAGTGGCAAGGTATAACACATTGGCTGCTCTTACGTTTGGATATTTTCATTGTTTCATGTAGCGCGACAGCTGGGTGACACCTGTACAAGGCAGCACAGACAGCAGCTTGTTAGGGTTCCTCCTGTAGCGGCGATGTACCAATCTCCAAAACAGGGGTCTAAATTTGTAAATCAGTCCTTTCGAGATAAAGTAACGGCACATTTTAAATTTAAACAGCTATGTTCTCATCTAAAATGGTTTTAAAACTGTATTTGGTGATTGGTAAGAGTCATATAGCATTTATATCTCTCCATGAGTTATACAAAGGGCCCGTGTGGTACCTCAGTCGACCTGCGGAGGCACTTGTTAGTAAATGTTCCATTGGGTTGTATTTCAGTGCATGAAAAAATGACCCATTAGGTCGTTATGGATCTGAGAACTTGTTGGGGCGATGAAAGGAGGCTTATGTGCAGATGGCTCTCAATGTCCATGTTACAGTTTGTAGGATACTGGACAGTTGTGATATATTAATTCTGTACCTCATGTAAAGCGAGCTGCTATGCATCAAGTAAATTCAATGTATTGCACACCCCTAGCTTGAAGCAGACACTCATGGATATGGAAAGTTCAGTGACTCTTGTCCTGGTGTTTGTTGTTTCCTCTCACTGTTCTTTCTTTTGCTCTGATTATCCAGCACACACAGTCAGTTATGGTGTTATTCTCTTCATGGTAGCATCAAATAAACAGTTAAAAATAAACCTTATAAACTATACTATAAGATAAATAAGAATGATACGAACAACAGAAATCATGTTTAAGAAAAACTTACTTGACATGTATTTGATTTAGGAGGTGACTCAGTGACTAATATAAATGCAGTCACTCAGTAGACAGAGCTCCAAATCTCTTGGTTTCACTTTTGGGGAGAAGTCGTTGTCACTTATTTTTTACAGTCAGTGGCATCCAAGCTGTCGAAAACAATGATAACTCTGTGGTGCAACTTATTTTTGTTTTTGACATGCTATAAAGTTACTGCAAGTTTTTCTCTCCAAATGCATCCAGGCTGTTTATCACCACACTGCTCCCAGTATGACTGCCTGAGGCTGTGTGAAACCAGCTGAAAGCCCTCTGCACTGCAGTTGTCATTTCAGTTCCGCATGAGGGACATTTTTTTTTTAGTTTGGGCTCTGCTTGTGTCTTCCCTTGGAGGCTCACTTTCCCTGAAGCTCTCATTGTGTTGGTGTTGCCCAAAGCTAAAGGCAAAACTTGTCCCAAGAATTTATGCTTTTAACTTCTCCCTCCACAAACAACCTGAGAGACAAACACACATTTCATCTCTGGTGCTTTAGCAAGCTCACACAGAAGTGTAAAGTGTTGATGGTTGGATATGGATACAGTCATAAAACACATAAATTCTCCTCCAAGGCTGCAGTTTGTAATGGGATCAAACAGATACACATACACACACATTAACATGTCTCAGTCTGGAGTTTGAAAAGGGCTCACCTGCTGTAAAATCATCAGAATGATTTATTACCCCTCTCATCTCCTTGTCTAATTCCTTGACCCACTCGTTCTCCTTCTCTTTCTCTCTTTTTCTTTCTTACAGCTTCTCGGCGCTGCACCACGCTGCTCTGACGGGCACCACGGAGCTGCTGTCTCTGCTTCTGGAGGCCCAGGCCACAGTGGATATCAAGGACATCAATGGTATCAAGATGGCAGAACAGATTAAACAGCTCAACCCACATCATAAGACAAACCCACAATACAGAAAAAAAAAAAACTGTTCACACTCCGGAAGTCATTTGGGTTAAATAGTGCTTTAAAAACTTCCCTTAATAGCTTTGTGACACTCTCTGCTGAAAAATAAGTTTGACCCACATGAATAAATATGATTCACTTTGAAGTCTTTCTGCCATGCGGTGACAGCGGCACTGCAGCAAATATCTGCACGCTCACAGCCGAGCGCATACAGTAGAATTTGTTGGAGCGAGAGTGGCAGCTCAGATACTCAGACCAGAAGCGCATGTGCTTAAAGCTAAGTGTCTGAGGTCGGCTGTAGGTTTCTGAAGGAAACATTATGATAGTTTAATTTTACTCCTTCGAAGCCTTTGCAGAGTGTGAGTTTTGAAATTCAAGGTGTCATGCAAGTGAAGTTCAGTGCAAAGCTGCTGCATCACAAAGCACCAAACCACTTTGATAGCTAAAGCTCCAAAAATTGGTCATAAAATCAGTCAAAACATGCCAGCAAATTTGAAAGTGAACTAATTAGTGCTGGGTGATATGGCTTTAAATCAATATCACTATATATTGAGCAGTTCACCTTGATAAAGATAAATGGACGATAACTACTCCACAAGCCTCTACAACTTTTGAACCGTCCTCCATCTCCTTACCTGTCTTTCCCTCTCTGTTACGGACCAGAGGGGGTGGAGTCTCATCTCCAACGTAGGACGGCATCTTAAAGGGACATGAGACCATAGCCTACGTACACACATTCAAAATCGACTTTTATTTATTTATTTATTTGACACCGAATATATTGACATGGGCAAAATGAAGTCAGTTATTGTGGTAAATTTTGATATCTGTAAATGTTTGGTTTATCGCCCAGCCCTACAACTAATCATTGATGTTGATTGTGAAAATGGCAATATACATCACAATGTAATTTTTTTCCCTCTTACAACAGGTAGTTTCTGCATTTTTGTGCTGTTTATCACATGTAATCAAATATATCTTGGATTGAAAATGATCAAATATGACATTTAAATTAAAGTAAGCCAAGGAGTACAACTCAAAATTAAAAGAAGTTCAGGCACTTTGTAAAATGTTGTTAAAAATTATGATGGTTTGAAGTATTAACAAGGGAATATTTATTGTTTGATTAAAAATATTTGCTCATTTTAAATTGGATGGCAGCAACAGGTTTAAAACCGTTAGGAAATGTTATGTCATGAAATTAAAAGAAAACACCTTGAGGGATATCTACCGATGATAAAGGTCAGTTTTCTAACAGGTTAGTGAAAAACTGAGGGGAAAAAAAAGCCCACAGAGAGGCTGCTGAGTCCTTTGAAAGGAAATTGTTGGGAATTTAGATATTTAGGGTAGAATTTGGAAAAATCTTTGCTCAAAGATGAAAGGCTGAAAACCAGTACTGGATGACTGTTATCTTCAGGGTTTCAGTTGGCATTTGACTTCTAGCTCAAACCCTTCTAAGATGGACTGAGTCAGAGGGAAACAGTATTTATGATGTGGGGTGAAAGCCTGCTCCAAAAGTTGCAAATCAAGGAGTCCACTTCCACCCTCATTTTGCCAATGAAGTCTTTGCACTTTCGCCTCGTTTTTTAAATACTGAAACTTTTAGAAATTTGTCTCTTAAAACATGGGGCAGATTGGGGATAGATACTTTCTCCACCAATGTTTTGTTTTAGCTGTTTCATCATAAGCAGAGCTGTGAAAGAACAAATCTCGACAAGCTGATATACATCACGACTGATTTATTAGTTATAATCAGTACACATTTTCCTAATGAGTTTATGGTCTTCACAGCTTGTGTCAAGTCTTCACAAGTACAATATAATGTTCGTTTTGTAAGAGGTGGTCCCATTTAGTGTCAAATAGGCCATAAATCAGGATGTGCTTTAGGGCAGGGCTACTTTACAGCTTGTTATTAAATACCATGACCTCATTGTGACTTGGATGGGATTGTAGCAATGTATTTTTATTTTATTGTAAGAAAGACACAGCAGTGTTGAGCCAGAGTGTAGTTACTTTTACACCAAATAACAATGACATGGTTACAGCCATACTGGTTTTATGTCAGCAGCAGGAACTACATGAGCTTGAGGGTGAGAACCAAAGACAACGCAGCAATGAAAGAGGAATATTTGATCAATATTTTCATGGTAGTTCTCTATTACATTACTTATTCATGATATCACTGAGATTACATCCATGTTGTTCCCTCAGACTAGCGTAGAGCTTTCCCAAAGCCACAGAGAACATTTTAATACTTCACAGACTGAGTCGACCCTCCGTGACTATTAAATAGACCTTGACACGTTAAATCGGTAGAACTTCCTTTAAGCTCTTCTTACTGCTCTTTCTTTCACATCTCATCGGCTCCATGTCTTACTCTTGTTTCTGTCTCCAGGCATGCGTCCTCTCCACTATGCAGCGTGGCAGGGGAAAGCAGACTCCGTGTTGTTACTGCTGAGAGCTGGAGCTGCAGTCAACTCCCCTTCCCTTGATGGACAGATACCGTTACATCTGTCTGCTCAGTATGGACACTATGAGGTGGTGAGTACACGTACACGCACACTCACTCTCACTAAGACAGCTCAGGTTTCCGAGGGTGAGAGTGAATGGATGCAGGTTTGAGCAGATATTCTCATCCATAGGCCCCCCTCAGGGCTTTGTGCTGAAAAATACTCAACAGGACAACAGATACATTTTAAGAGTTTGTGCGTGTCTCTGTTAGAGCCTCCTCCATCTGGGAGTAAACACTATCCTGGGTTTTAGTGTGTTTGTGTTAGGCGGATAACTGTGGTCTTTCAGTCTACTCTTTAAAAAAACCCACTCTGCAGTAGTTACTCATTGCTCAGTAATGATACAGAGCCAGTACCAGCTAACTTCTAAGGACACATCTAGAGTAGCTTTGCATGATTTACAGCTCAGAAAACATCTTTATTCTTTTTGTGCTGGCTTCAGCGAAAACCCCAGTATCAGCATTATTCAGAGTTTGTTTTGGCTGCTTTATATTGATATTAAATCAAACACAGCGTGTGGGTGTTACTTTTTACACAGCTTTGTGTTGATGAAATAAAATGAAAGCAATGCCTTTGCAGGAAACATCTCAAGATAAGCCATTAGTGCCTACTGAGCGCATTTGTCCTCTTTAGCATACATCTGCTGTAGTCACAACCCCTGTGAAATACTCAGAGAATGACTCTTCATCTCACTGTTTTGCCACGTTATTTACTTTACTGGCAATCTCTCACCTGATGTCATTTTGATGTTGATCCACTGTCGGTGCTCGCTTTCTCACTTTAATCACTTGTGGTAGCTTCCATTTGAAAATATATGTGATTCTTTTTTTCATGGGTTTTATTGCTTTTTGATACTACTACTAATAATAATATAGGAAGAGATACAGTAATTAGATGCATCCATTAGATGCAATATGACCAGTTACTACAGAGTAATGTAGTGCATATTATGATACGATATGATAGACGTAATCAGTACAAGAAATTCTTGGTTTACTAAAACCCTGAAATTTTCGAAAAAAATTGACTAATATTTTTTAGCCACGTCGTCCCTGCTCGGCTTACATGAAAGTTGAAACGCTCAAAATAAAAATAAATATTCAGCAACCCACCGGACGTTGATTAGCATGGGCGCTCTTCAATTTTCCTGTCTCCAGCTGGTCTCTAGTGGGTTGGGCGAATCCATAATGGTAAAAAAAAGGGAAAAACAAGGTGGGGGTTCCGAGTGTTCTGAGACAGTCTGCTACATATGAAATGAGGGTGCTCTGAAAACACCCCCATTAGCACTCGATATCGGTACCAGTTGACTAGCACTTGACAGCCCTAATATAGATAGATCCACATGGTACAGCTTGATCAGATATGATATGACAAGACTTGATATAAGCTCATGGATCATTACAAAAGTGAAAGGCATAATAGTAGGTAACTTACAGGTAAGACATACAGGTCTGCAATAAGATAGAAATAAAATGTCTATATTGATTTGTATTATTACTGGAAATGGGTCAGAGTGGGTTTTAGGACATCGGCACATTTTCAATATGGTGCTTCTCTTTACTATAAAAATGTTGAACACTTAGTCTTTAATATATTAATAGATTCTTTGGTGTTTGGTAAAAATGACAAATTGAAGTTGAAGCTCAGCCTCCAGATGCAAAGTAGCGAGTCAAACCCAGTCCTCATATTTCACTGTAATCCACCCTCTTTGTGTATCATCCTTCATTGTCCACCAACAATACCAGTAATACCATTAATGCCATCACACGTTTGTCACAGGAGTCTGAATGCACACATTCCTCTTCTACGGCCTCTTCTGTGTCGATCCTGGAATGTCTTTATGGAGTGAAACACACATACACACTCCTCTCAGTGTGTCATATGACCCTCAAGATGGCATGACCTCTTCATTACAACACCATCTAACACTACTCTGACAACCCTAAACAGGGCTATCATATGTTCCTCTCTTGTGTTCAAAGACAAAACATCAACACACATACGCGCACTGGGTGTCAGGAAGACTGTGTGCATAAAACATAAGGTGATATCACTTACCTTTATCCTTTCTCTTTCAGTCTGAGATGCTGCTGCAGCATCAGTCCAATCCCTGCCTTATGAACAAGGCTAAGAAGACACCTCTAGACCTGGCCTGCGAGTTTGGGAGATTAAAGGTATGTCATTTCCATGTATGTGTGTGAAACCACTATACCTGCATGATACCATATGTTTAAAGCCTTTTGGAGTCTCAAATAAATGTAGGATCATGCAATGCAGAAGGAATTTTTTTTTTACTTTTGGCCTCAAGAAGAAAACTTTAAGCTGCAAAAAAGTATTCATCATTAGTCACAGAACCATCAAGCAAAAAATTCTTGATCATTTATCAGTTCATAGCTTTTCCACATTAAGGCTATGGCCAGAGACTGTATATAGAATGGACGCTGTCTGCCTCCTCATTGGGTGAAGCCACTGCAAGAACAGCACCCTCTAGTGATGGGCTGCAGTATAGGGCATAAATCCCGCCCCCTCCAGCAATCCCTATGGAGCTGTGGACAAACTTTAGAAATTTATTACACAGAATATAATTTTTTCCCCCCTGGTTGCAATGTTGACATGTAGTTACTGTAAGACTGGTTTGTGCTCAAGTCCTCTTTTTTCTGTACAGCTCCATTTTTAAATGTTATTAGGGGGTTCATGTTTTCTATGATTGACACTTGATCCATCCTACGGGCGTACCAAGATTGCATAGCTCATGCAGGGGACACGCTGTTTGAGCGGAGTGTCATCTCAGCGATACTTAGCGACTCTTTAAAAACTCATTTTCCCATCTCTCTCCAGATTCTGCACAGGAAGTGTTTTTTGAATTAATGTCTGTTCACGCAACAACATAAATTTGTCAGACCAGTAGAGGCAATAATTTAAAGCACCTCAGAAGAATGTTGTGCGTATGTGTACATATGGAGCGTCTTCTTGGCTGGCTGCAATCATAAACATTGTTCTATGAACTGTGTTCAGAGTGGTGAATCAAAAACTATTGAGTGTGGTACATTTATTTGTCACTGTGCTGTGGTATAATGCGGTTTCCTTGAGCACATGCATTTTAACCTGGCAGCTCTGAGCAGTCATGACCAAACAGGCAGCCTTTGTAAGTGTGCCAGCATTTTTTAAAACCTTCATTATTGCTATTCACATGGAAACGAGTAAGCAGAGTTTTCGAAACCTTCACCTGAGAGTGTTTTTTTTTCCTAGTCTGCTACTTTCAGTGACCTAGAACTCTGTTACGTTTGGACGAAAGCCAAAATGCAATGGTTTTAAAAATATCTGCATGCGTGTGAACGAGGCCCAAGTCAAACTAAGTTTATGTTTTTCTTACTTGTTGGCTCAGGTTAGTAATCAAAGTGAGAACTTTTTGTATCCCTCTCCTTAAGATCACTGACTGCTGACAAATGAATGCTTGATTTTTCTCTGGTGTACACACTAGGTTCCTTCACTGAATATGAGTATACAGTACAAAAGTTTGGACACACCTTCTCATTCATTGTCTTTTCTTTATTTTTTTATATGACTGTTTACATTGTAGATTATTACTGAAGGCATTAAAACTATGAATGAACACATGTAGAATTTTGTACTTATAAAAAAATTGTGAAATAACCGAAAACATGTTTTATATTCTAGTTTCTTTAAAATACCACCCTTTGCTCTTGATGACAGAAGTACCTTGTCAGGGTTACTTCAGGCACTCCTGTGAAGTAAAAACCATTTCAGGTGACTACCTCATGAAGCTCATTGAGAGAACAGCTAAAGTTTGCAGCGCTATCAAAAAAGCAAAGGTTGGCTACTTTGAGAAATCTAAAATATAAAACATGTTTTCAGTTATTTCACACTTTTTTCTTAAGCACATGATTCCACATGTGTTCATTCATAGTTTTGAGAATCTATAATTTAAATAGTAATAAAAACAAAGAAAATGCATTGAATGAGAAGGTGTGTCCAAACTTTTGGCCTGTACTGTATATCTGACTGAATCTGGGCACGTGTCCACTTGCTAATATCTTCTGTCCACTCAATGTCCCACAGATCTAGAAGTTGGTTACCACTTTGTTCTGAAAGTTTGTTCAGGAAGCATTTCTTTACTCTCACACAGTTACGAAACTAAGGAAACTTTTTCACAAACTTGTCGTTGGCCTGCACAAATAAAGTTGTTGGAATTATCACCCACAACTTAGATAAAGTGACCTGATCTATTTTGAGCAAAAGAAAAGTATGATCCCTTTTTTTTTTTATTCTGGACACATAATCACTGTAACATTATACGGTTCACTTGTTCAGTGAGCTTTACAATGTGTCTGACACATCAGCAGATAAACCCTGAACTTCAGACTAAAAATAAGCATGTTTCCGTGCCTGCTGAGTATTCTCTCGTCTGATCTGAGTTTGCAGTTTAGCTGTTAAAAATGGCAGCTTCTGGCTGTTTCTGAGACTTAATGCGTGAGTGGATGCTGCAGTTTCTTTATACAGCAGCTGCTGAGTGGCGGTTAAGCCTCTGTGTACCAGCCTGACCCTATATTTTAGTCACCATATGTAATTTTGATCCATATATTCTCTTGAGCAAGTGTGGCTTTGCATATATATATATATATATTCACGTCTCCTGTTAATGCTGTAATTCTTGCTCTGATTCTGCCACTCTTCCCTCCTCGCAGCCAAATCTTCAGCCTAACTTTTCTGCGTTAAATTCCTCTTCAGGTGGCTCAGCTGCTGCTGAGCAGTAACATGGTGGCAGCGCTGCTAGAAGGGGAGGGGGGAGACGACAACACGGCAGCTCCATCCATCACTCCTCTCCACCTGGCAGCCAGGAATGGACACAAAGACATCATCAGGTACGATCACAGCGAGAAGCAGTTTTGAAATGTACTGAAGCAGAACTCTTTCATACTTTTACCCACATCTCTATCTTATACCTCCTACAGTTTTAATGTTGTAAATTTCATCTTAAACATACTGGGATTCATAAGATTTAATTCTGCTGGTCTGATGTATCTTAAAGTAAAGTCTGTAGGGGCTCAATGTTTTCCGTTGGACCTACAGTTACTTCTTTTGTCTTTTGTAGATAACTGTGAAAGTATCAGTGCCAAAACTTTTACTCCATTTACAGACTTTGCTGATATACAAGGGTGTTTGCAAATAAAGCTTCCTGCAGCTCAAACCTTCAAATAAATGATAGATAGATATAGATATTCGAGATCTTCTACCTGCATTTTTCCTCAAATTAATGTCTAATAAAACGAGGAGGGCTTTGATTCAAACCCTCATTTACAGTCCTCTTGTAATTTGTGATCTTCATTGGTCATCCATTTAAGGATCTACCACTCAAGGAAGGAAAGGAATACTGCCAGGAAATGATCGATGCTGAAACTATCATTCATGCTTTTATTTCCTCGTGGTTGAATTATCGTAATGGTCTTCGAAGAGATAAAGACTCTCAAGGCCAGATTCACAACAGGATTGAGCAGCTTTTACTCCTGTTAAATCTGTGCAAATGAAACAAAAGGGCATAATCGTATTCAGACAGCACATGCAAGAATGTATATGCACAAAGACAGCGCTGCAGAATAAACAGTGTCTCTGTGCTCAGGGTCTGTTTCACTCTAACTACCCTAACAATTCTAGTAGTTAGGGCAGCTAGAGTGAATTTCTCACTGACAGTTGGGCAGCATGGATATGACACTCTAACTTTCATGACAAAAAATTCACCCCTGGAAAATCTAAAAATGAAACATCATCACATAAAGTCTGTAAATATAACTTTAATTTTTACTGTCTCAATCAAGAGTAATATAAATCAGGCACACTTTGAGGACAGCCTGGAACCATTACCCCCCGACATGTACTTTTTATCTCAGTTAGCTGCTCTTGCTGACTCTCTCCAGGGGAGGAAGCTCTGTTAATAATCTGGACATTTGTGTACCACAGCTGTCATCAAAAGAATTCATAATATACTGGTTAGAAATGTCCCCTTCTCATTCAGTTCACCAGCTGCATGTGGACAGATTCAAGTTCTGAGAGCTCACAGTCACAGAGCTGTATTCATTGTGCATGAGTGTCATTTGCTTTGTGATTGGACCTTGAGTCAGAGCAGATACTGGAGGGAAATAATGTGCAATCAAAAAGAGAACATGTTTTTTCCAAATTTTATGACCATACAGGACAATTGGCTGACAGTTCACTGATTTATTAAATAGTATATTTTTGATGCTGTAACGCAGTATTGACCTACTGCTTATAAACGTGACTTGTTACATCACACTGTTACTGTCAGTAAATAGTAAATTTTCACAATCCTGTTACTTGCAAACACAGGTAACATAACAACGTCAGAGTCTCCTCGATTGGCAGGATCAAGAGTCAATAGGTCTTTGTCACGTCCTCTCTTAGCTGAACCAAAAGCCAGACATTGCTGTTTAGGAGATTTAGCACCACTGTCATTGTTCTCCTCCTCAATCAGCCTCATTATTATGAGAGTTGTGTTTAACTTGCAGATGTTTCTTCAGATTTATAGTAGAGCCATCAAGCTTTTACCTGGGCACAGCCAACATTTCACCATGATGTTTCCTTGTCCTTATTGCTCAAAAACTCAAAATGATAGAAAGATTTCCACAAATTAAACAGTGTCTGCTCTGCCGTCCCTCTCAAGCACTAGACATATCAACTAGCTATGCATTATCTACACACAGACACAATTTTAGGTTTACCCTCCGCTGGTTCTTGACATGAACTTGGATGAAAACAGAAATGATGCAAAGGCTTCAGGGCTTTTCTTTTCCTTGATAGCAGCAAGAAAGCATCAAAGCACTCTTAACAGATTATCACAGAAAACCTGACCCCAATACTGATAACACTTCACGCTAAAAATAAAACCTCACTGTGATGTTATTTTTAGATTGTACAGCATTTACAAGCAGGTTGTAAAGCCAGTTTAGGTCAGTACTATAGGAATAGACTTCATTCTTGGTTTTGCTTCTAAAAATACGAGCATAAGCTACAACCACTGCTATATATGTCCCTTTTAATTCCACTACAGCAACAATTCAAGCTATTAAAAGCATTATGATCCTTGGTGAACCACTTATGCCACTTTACCACCTCTTACATAGTTACCACCATTACAGCCCGGGCCTCTAACAGAACGATTACTGCAGCTGCTGTTACTCCAATAATGTGTCGGTCCTTTATTTAAAGCTGCTTGTTCTCATTTTTTTCCCCACAGGTAGAAACAGAAACAGACCTGTGAAAGCAGAACATTCAGAGAAAACCCTCTCTGTGCTGCAGCGATATTTAATACCAATGACTTCACACTATAGATACCCTGCAGGGGCTTGGTTTGTGTTTTTATGCCAGGGTATGAGTGTAAATATGTGTGAACTCAGCCAAGTAACTCCACCCAGCCTCACAGACATGCTGCTAATGATTCCCATCCTGAATTATCACATCTCCTCCTCCTCCTCCTCCTCCTTCTCCTCTCTGCTCCCGGTTGAAAAATAAGACACTGAGGGGGGGAAACGTTGAGCATTCAACAAAAAAAAAAAAAAAATGACTGCATTTGCACACGAGTTTATTTGGAGTTTAGTCAGCAGAATTTGGCTGTCATCTCTCACTGAGGGATTTATGTCTCTTCAAAGACTCTCAGAGTTTGAGCAAACATCTTATGTTACCTACTTTTTGTGTCGCTGGAGGTGTTTTCAGGTCTGGTTAGAAGTGAGGAGCTAACATATTGTACCAGGCAGAATAAGATAATCAATATGACACTTTTGTCATTAATTAAGATAAAGCTAAATGAAATCTTGTCAAGAAATGATGTGGACGGGGATACCTCATAATGATATTTGATCATCTTTGCCATAAACCGATGCTATTTGAAGTCTACTGGGATAAGATGTTATTATCCAGCCCTCCCAAATGTTAAAAAAACACCCTTTTTTTCAGCTTTCACCCAGACTCTGAGCTTTTGCACACTCTTATTTGAATGTACACATGAAGTGCAGTATATGAGAGTGTATGAGTGCAGACCAGCTCCTTATCTCTTGGACTAAGATGGAGTCTCAGCTTTGAAGCAGCTTTCAGACATTCAGCCATCTCCAGGTTTCAAAAGTGAGATTAAAACGGTTGCTGCTGAGCAAAGAAGAAGGTTGGGGTTACAAAAGGTTTGCTTCAGGCTCATTTTTTTTTTTCATCACACCGAACAGATTAATATTTCTGCTGTCCAACACCTGCTGTGCTGTGCCGTGCTGTCCCACTTTCAGTGATCCTGTGAAGTCAGGGTGTGTGTCAGCAGCTTTCACATTTAACAAGTCACCTCTTAGCCTGAACATGGGGTCAGCTCAAAGTACGAGCTGAATTTGCATTAGAATTATTTTCCCGTTTCAGCCTGCAAGAGATCATTTATAAGCGATCTGGTTTCAGTCAGTCTTGAACAAAAAAACTTTAGTACCTAAGACTTTTATACTTTCTACAGCTGAGAGATTGTCTTTGGCGGTTTGATCTTTTTTCTTTTTGGCATCGACTCATTTCACTTTTTTTCACTTAGGTGCAGCTTGAATGGTGAAAAACGTAGAATCTGTTAGTTGTGATTGAGTGAGAAACAGATGAATGAACGTTACTTGATGAGTGTAGGGCTGCACGATTAATTGATTTCAAATCGTAATCAGATTGTTTGATTATGACGAGGTAAAAAAAAAATGAAATTGTCAAATCGATTTTTCTCTCTATCATGTCTTATGCCTCTAGGCCACCGTAGTCTCCCTCTTCCTGCGGGAGCGCTCCCCAGCTCTCACACACACCAGTGTAAACAAACATGGCGTTTGTGAAAGAAGGCGATAATTTCATGGCTAAAAGGAGCAAGAGCAAGAGAGTAGCGTGGAATTGGTACGGCTTTGCAGTTTCGGATGAAGAGCGAACCACTCCCCGCTGCACTGTCTGTCTGAAGGTGGTATCGACTCGTACACACCAAAACAAATTCAAGTGTAAAGTCAAACATTTTTTGTTGTATCAGCGTTTCATCCACATGGAAACGGTGTTTCGAGTGACTGTATACGGTACTCTTTGAAAATGGGTCAGAGAGTGCATTAATCCATTAACAACTACTGTTTTATCTCCATGTGGATGCCTATCTGCATCTCTCTCGAAACGATTATGTCACACACAGTGTAACTCCTTTATGGCGCCTGCGGGTGTCCGGCCAAAACAACCTTTATACTCATGCTCTGTACTCTTCTTCTGTCTTTTGTGCATTTCCTTGGAAACGTTACAGCACCACTCACTGGCATTGGCATATGTACGACATCATTTTTAATGGTTTTGTTTTCAAAGATGATAGAAAAACTTTTTATTTTTAAAGTGACGTTTGGTGAAGTTGTCACAGAATATAAAATCGAAACCGAAAATGACGTTTTCAGAGAAAAAAATTGGGATTGTATTTTTGGCCAAAATCGTGCAGCCCTACATGAGTGAATATCTTTTTGCTTTATCACACGGTCACCTCTCAAGTTGCTCAAAAGGAAGTTTTAGCGCAGAGTCATTCAGCGCTAACCTCCTGCTACGTGACAAATGCCTGAGCAGTTCACCATCGCTCGCAGAGGCTTAAATTGTGGTCTGATGACGGCCAGAAGGCTCTTTGATCAGAGAGTCTGGCTTTGTAGCCTCGTGTGACACCTGAGTGGAAACATGCAGCAATAATGAAGAAACATGGTGGCAAGACTGTTTGGACTGAGTAAACACCACGAGTCCTGCAAATATCCCACAGCAGTGCTTTGGTGTTGTTTACATCTTCAGAACTTGACTCAACCTTCACACTACAAGCAAAGTCCTCCTCCTCCTCCTCCAAACAGCATTCCTACATATGAGCCTCTGTGAGTGTGAGTGTGCGTATGTGTGTGGGTGTATGAGAGGGTAGTACACGGCTTAATGAGATGTTGCAGATGTCTGAAACAGTTGAGAGGGTGAATCTCTCTGAGTGTCGCCTGCGGCCGAGCATCACTCTGTCTGCTTTGTTTTTGTAGGTTGCTGCTCAAAGCCGGTATCGACATCAACAGAGCCACCAAAGCGGGGACGGCTCTGCACGAGGCCGCCCTCTACGGCAAAACAGAAGTTGTGCGACTGTTGCTTGATGTAAGCCAAAAAGTAAACTCATATATTATTTTATTTCAGCCGGTATTTGATTAAGGAAAATTGGCAAGACTCGAAAAAGAAATGAAGCTGCCTGCATCCTGGACTATTTTCACGACATAGTTTCTTGGAGATTTTTAGCTCCACGTTTTATGTAACAGAAAGTTCCTCATGAGAGCTTTATTCAATTATATGAAGTTATTTTATTAGATTAAAAAATTGTTAAAAGTTGAAAACCATCACAGAAACATGCAGTTCAAACTGAGGAAAAAGCATTTTTAATCATTGCAACTTGTGTTATACCCAACATTATGATTTACAGCATGTGTAAAGGAATTAAGATTTGGCTCTTATAACTTGTCAGGTGTAAAAACAGACCTCCCATTAGCAGCCCGGGGCGATTCATGTCGACATGATCCTGTAAGAACCGGTCTTGATAGCAAGAGCTTTACATTTGCCAACGAAAGATAAGATTTGAATCATTTACTCTTTAGCTGTATCGATAAAGTACTTAGTGGGTTAACTTTCAGTGTTGTTTTCCTTTAGTGTTTTATATGTTGCTTTATGAGAATCACATGAAATATCAGTATTTGACCCAATTATTAAATCAATAGTCAGCTTTATTGTCTTAAATTCCCCTTAGAGTTGAGGTTATATTAAAGGTTCAAAGAATAAACCAAGTTATCCTCTTGCAAACTGTTCCTATTGCAGCAGTCAAGGGATCATTTACTGTCTTTTTTTTTTTTAGTATATTTTTAGTGTCACAAAAAACAATATTGCAGTTTTTAAGAGTAAAGATGTTTTGTAATACATACATATATCCTTCAAAATGTTGATAGAAAGAGGATGTGTTAAACAATCCAGTCTTCACACGGCCTTTCCTGTGTTTTCTTTAATAAATGAGCAAACCATCTGAGGGAGGATTTGTTTTAAAAAGTGCTCCTCACCCACACTAATAAGATGGTGTGTGTCTCTGTGTGTGTTTATGTTTGTGTGTGCGATTAGGCGGGCATCAACGTGAACATGCGCAACACGTACAACCAGACCGCTCTGGACATCGTCAACCAGTTCACCACCTCCACAGCCAGCAGGGAAATCAAACAGCTGCTCAGAGGTCAGGAGGTTTTCTGATGTCTTTATTAAGTTTTGGATGAGAGGAGGGAGTTTAGTATCTGTAAGAAATGCCACATAAGAGTCAGGAGTTTTAGTTTGTTTTCTGAAGTTGTGTTTCTTTCTTTTGTTCTCGGTGCAGAGGCGTCCAGCTCCCTCCAGGTCAGAGCAGTGAAGGACTACTGGAACCTCCACGATCCGACTGCCCTTAACCTCCGAGCTGGAGAACTTATTATGGTTTGTGTTTTGTTTCTCCTCCGCTTTCCTCAATAGCTTGATTTTGAACATCAAGTTCTGACAAGATTTAGACGTGGCGAATACAAATCTCTCTGATGGCCAGAGGGGGGCAAATTAATAGGACTGGAAGGATAGATGACACGCCGCCATGAAGTCTTACCCCTTTCCCAAACCCCAAATCAAATTTAACTCACAGATTGAACTGCAAAGATCCCTCAGGTCTATATAATTCACTGCAAAACAGATTCTTGTGGGGTTTGAAGCAGACACTGTGGTTATGGGAAATTCAGTGGCTCTTATGTTTGTGCTCGTTTTGTTTCCACAGCACTTCAGGAGTCTCGTTTTGAGATGTCAGTCACAGTGTTAAAGCTCTCTCTACCAAATCAAATATCTACTCTGTAAGGCTGGGCGATATGGCCTCAAATCAATATCATGATATATTAACCAGTTCACCTCGATAACCATAAATGGACGATAACTACTCCACAAACTGCTTACCCCCTCCCACATTAACTCCGTCTACTTCAGCAACAACTTTTGAACCGTCCTCCATCTCCTTATCTGTCTCCGTCACGTCTCCGATGTAGGGCAGCGTCTTAAAGGGACATGAGACCATAGCCGACCCACACACATCCAAAACCAACTTTTATTTCTTCATTATTTTGACACAGAATATATTGACATGGGCGAAATAACTTTCAATTTCGTTATTGGTAAATTTTCGGTTTATCGCCCAGCCCTACTACTCTCTGTCTTTGGAAAAACAAGCTTTACCAGCATGTTCAGAAAATCATCAAAATGATAATGATGCTGCTATTTTACAGTCTAATATGTTTTGTATACAGAGGATACATTGCCCTATACTCTGTCTTATGAATATCATTGTCAGAAAGTAATTTATTGAGCCAGATAACCTAAAGATACCCCGGGTATGTTGAGCTGGCTTCACAGGTGTTTGCCCCCGGTGTCTCATAATCCATTATCATAAGACGCTGCTGGACTGTAAATTGATGCAGCTCAGATTACTTGATTGCCTGCTGCTTCTGCCTTCCTGTTGACAGGCGGCGTATTTATACGATGATTATATGGTAAAGACTTTATGAGTGAGGTCTTGTTGTTGGATTTGTTTGGGATGTTGCAGTGTAATTTGGTGTACCCAACACGAGAGACCACAGCAGAGGAACAGGCTCAAACTTGCCGCCGTCACTCTCTCATTACAATCTTTGTTTGCTCTTGCGTGCGTTTTTTTTTACTGTGTTTTTGTGCCATGTATTTTGATATCTTGATACGAGTCTTTGTGATGTGTCAGACTCCTGTGCGAACTCGTATGTTGTTGTGTGGTTCCCTCATGAGAGCCGAGGTGTTTGTTTTCTCTTCTCCAGGCGTTTTGTTAACACTCATGATGAATGGGTTGTGTATTTCCAGCTCATTGGCTCTCTCATTATAGTCTTAAAGCATGCCTGGAGGGGTTACACACACGGCCTGCATGCTTAGAGGGGATGTACGGTTGATGAGGGGGAATGTTTTCAAAGAAATCCAGGACTTTCACTATAATCGAACCTCTAACTCTCACATCCCTGTAGAATTTGTTAGTAATTTGTTTATGTCTCACAGTCTGATGTGATTGTGCAAACTCTCTCAAGGCTAACGCTATTCCAGCAAACCTTTCAGCTTAAGTTTGCAAATGAATTTTTTTTTACCATCAGGTCCTGGAGCAGCACTCAGACGGCCGCTGGAAAGGTCACATCCATGACACCCAGCGGGGGACCGACCGGGTGGGCTTCTTCCCCCCCTCAGTGGTGGAGGTGCTCAGCAGACGAGCAGGTACACAAACAAACACAAACAAACACAACAAGTACTCACCTCAATTATATGAAGGTGAAAGAAGTTAATTGTATTTGTTTACGTAGATTGGAGGTACTTCACATGAGTGTTTCCTTTTCCACTATTCGCAAATATGTTTAGGAGTTTGCATTGGTACTTATCCCTGAATGAATCAAGGCATCAATAACCTGGAAGATAGTCTGGTAGCAGGGTTATTTGGAGTCTTGGGTTTCTGCAAACCTGCATCATAGAGATGTGTAGTTTTCTGAGTGTAGCACCAAAGATACTAAGAATAACACTAACTGTAACACACATTGATTTATCTGCCATTTTTTTAGGATTTAAGATGTAGTAGATGAAGTATGAAAATACTCAACAGATTTTTTTCAAATCTGCTAGTGTTGTTGTCTAATTTTTTAGTAACCAAGAGGTTTTATCTAGGGTCCCACAACGGCCAATCTTTGAGTTTGAAGCCTCAGTGAGGAGTTGTATCTGGTTATGACATAAACTGAAATAATTTTTTTTTTGGCTTAAAAAAAGTAAGCAAGACTATCAGCGAAATGATTTGTTATTTCTACAAAGTTATTATTATTCTATTGCCTGAAACAGTAGACACCAGTACCGCATCAAATGGAAAAGAAGCCGCTTTTTCTGAGCCAGCTGTCCAATTTACAAAAGTATACTAAACCTCAAGACCAATTGAAATAAAGCTAAAAGGAAGAAGACCATATATGGGCAACTTTTGTTAACTCTCTGGTCATGATTGGTGTTATCTTTTAGACCAGTGGTCCCCAACCTTTTTTGTACCAGGGACCAGTTTCACGCAGGAAACTTTTTCCAAAGCCCGGGTAGGGGCATGGAGGTTCCAATGACAAAAACCTTAATCAGTACACAGTATGTACTGTACATAGTATGTAATCTGGAAACAACAATTACATTTTATATTAGGCATTTTTCGTTACACTTTAACATCAACTCACCATAATGCAGAATCAACCCTTTCTCTCTCCAGCTCACTTTTTGCAAGGGTGTCAAGAGTCAACCGCAAAAGTGAGGCGATGGCGGAAGTGGTGGTCTTTCAAAATAAGATGCTTGGAGGACGGATGAAAAGAAAAAAAAATTACATAATCATTGTTATTTTTTTTGCGGCCCAGTACTAATTGATCCACGGACCGGTACCAGTCTGGGGCCCAGTGGTTGGGGACCTCCTCCTTAAACGGCATGCTATTTGCCAGTGTTAATAGACTGCATAGATAACCAGGTGACATGTGGTGTTTCTATATGCCCATCAGAGCCCTGGTGGCACAGTGGTGTAGTGGTTAGCATTGACGCCTCACAGCAAGAAGGTCCTGGGTTCGAATCCGGGTCAGGGTGTTTCTGTGTGGAGTTTGCGTGTTCCCTCTGTGTCTGTGTGGGTTTACTCCGGGTACTCCGGTTTCCTCCCACATCCCAAAAACATGCAGGAGTGAGGTTAGGTTAATTGGTCACTTTCAAATTGCTCGTAGGTGTAAATGTGAGTGTGGATGGTTGTTCGTCTCTATATGTCAGCCCTGCGATGAACTGGCGACTTATCCAGGGTGTCTCCTGCCTTTGCCCCAAGACGCTGGGATAGGCTCCAGCCCCCCACCCCCTCGACCCCCAATGGGATAAGTGGTAGAAAATGGAGGGATGGATAATTAAAGCCCTTTCCAAACATGCACTCTAGAAAATTTCAGAAGCTCTCAACCGGTAATGTCCATGACTACATCTGGGAAATTAAACACTCGTCCTCACCCCCAAAATTATATCAGAAGGCTAGCAGGAAATATTCCAGGTGAAGTCAGGGTGAAAAACTGAAATGAGTGCATGTTTGGTCCAGTGATATTTGCACTTAGAGGGGAAATTTTCACTTCCTTTTGGACCCGATCATACATTCACATCTGCCACTAAATTTGAGATGGCTGCATTAGTAAAGTAGGCACACATTTGCACGTGTGACGAATGGATTTTGAAAATTTCCGCTGTGAGTATCGAGTACGTCTTTTAAGAGGAGAGGACTACTGGGAGCACAGCAAGGCTAAATGTTTCTCATCCCACACTGTGATTGCAGTAACTCTGTCCCAAGGCCAGATTAAAACCTCCACACTGGAGGTCTGAGCTGACAGAGTGGTGTTAAAGGGCTAACTGAAGCCATCGGTTAGAACTGGGCTAAGAATATAACTCGACCCTTGTACACAAGTAGGATCTGTCATGCTGGCATGCATGATCGCTGGACGCCTCAGTAAATCATCAGATTTAATCCCGGAGAATAAAAGGAATATGATCTCAACGCTTGTTTCGCAGCTGTAAAGCCGCTGACATTCAAACAGCGAGACAGGCTACGCAGTGAGGAGTCCAATAACAGCAGCGGACCGACACACAAACACACACACACTCACACATGAGTTAAAACATTTCTGGGTCTGAAACAAGCCGGGCAACACACACAGAAACGCAGATACTCACACACACAGACACACATTAATAGGATTACTATGGCCAGATTGCAAAGTGTCAGCTCAATGCTAAAGCCCTTACAGACTGCATCGGGATATATTGTGTGTGTTTTCCTGTGTGTGTGTGTATGCGTATGTATGTGTGTGTGTGTGTCTGCTCATGCTTGAGGGAGAAGAGACAACAGAAAGAGAGTTTGACTTTAAGTCGTTGACAGGCTCTTTGCGTCTGAGGCAAACTCAGCAGAGTGGGTGCGGAAATGTGTGTGTGTTTCTGCTCGTGTGTTTGCGTCTGCTTGTGTGTGCCTGAGCTGTGCGATAATGTCAATGGTGTCAGCAACTGAGGACCAACAACGCACAAAAGGAAAGTAAGCTCTTCTAGCGTCGCTGGTGATCTTACATTCCCATTCAGCGGCCTCTTATGTAACTCCAGAGGGGATTGACTCTGACTTAATCCGTTTTTTACTCGTTGTTTAATAAACTTAAGAATCAACAAAACATGCTCAAGTTAGTAATGTGCTCACACGACTTCCAAAAGGTGGATCTCATTGCAGTCTTGCAGCTTGTTCTCATTCCTGCGTTTGCAGCTCAAACTAACCACCACACATGCATGAACATGAACCTCTCGCCCTCACTCATGCATGCACACTTCTCTTCCTCACACTAGGGGGCACTCTCTCCCGCCAAGCTTCAAAATCTTGCCAACGACAGCACTTTGCATCTCGAGCTCCTTCCTCAAGCAACGGCCACGCCCCTCAGACCGAAGACTCGCTCGGCTATGATCCCACAGGTAGAAAAACACACACGCGCACACCTGCTTCTTCCCATCTGTTTGTTTTACATTCAACACCTGTGATGCGTTCAAGGTCTGCAGGACAAAGATGGATTAGTGAGCGGGTCAAGGGGTCAGGGGCAACAAGGAGTAGGAAACTATCTTTGCACGTACTGAAAGACTACAAAGCTACCAGGGTGGGATGCTTAATGCTTGAAAAAGAACAAGTATTTTCCTTTTTATATTTGAAATCAAACTTTTTCTTTCACACCAAATTGTATTGATCCTTTTAAAATACCATCCTGTTTGTGACTCACTCCAGCAGCACCACCTCTTTGAGTATTTTTTCACTCAAAGGTTTTAGATTTTGCATTCCTATGCCTCGCTACTTCCCCTGTTCATTCTTGTGTGATTTCTGTGTGCGCACGTTGCCCTGCAGTCTAACGTCCTTATATGGGCATCAGAGGAGGCGATTTTTCTTTACTAATTATGAAAAACTGGCACAAGCTTCAAAAATCACAAGGACGTGGCTCTCCTCAATTCTGCAGTTCAAGATCGAGTTCAAGAATTTGCGTCTGATTTCTCTGAGAAACCCTCATGAGAACTAATTAAGAAAAAAATCAGAGGCAGTTTGTTGGTGAATTTGGCTAAAAATGAGGGTGAGAGAAAAATAAACACATGAACATCCAGAAAACTGCCTCAGAGTCACACACTGATAAAAAAATGACCATTGAGACAACAAAACTGACTAAGATGACATTCAGATAGACAATGACTATGAAAAGAAACATACCAAAAAAGAGAGCAAATTTAAGGATGTATTTATGTTATATCATGGTGGTCAATTCTGGACAGAGGATCACATTTTTTTAATGTTTGTTTTTAAAGCTCTTAATGGCCTCATCGCTCCCATCTATTTCACTGAGCTTTTAACCGTTCGGGAGCCTGGTAGCGCTCTGAAGTCATCAAACCAACTTCTGCTGGAGGTGCCCACATCAAAATACAAACACTGGGGTGACCGAGCCTTTTCGGTTGCTGCTCCCAGGCTCTGGAATAAGCTCCCCACTGAAATGTGACTTATTTCTGACCTGGGCCTTTTCAAATCTCAACTGAAAACGTATTTATTTATGCTGGCTTTCAATACCCAGTAGCGTGGTGACACTTCTACTTTATTTTATTGCATTCAATCTTCTTTTTTTGATTGCTTTTACTGATTTTATTTATTCATTTTTATTTATTATGTGTTGTAGAGCACTTTGGTTCACCAAAAGGGTTGTTGTAAAGGGTTGTATAAATAAAGAACATTTACATTTACATTCATATCGGAGTAGAGGTCTAATGGTGACCCACTCTCCTCTACTAATGACAGCATCCTTGTGTATAGTTTGTCGTTACTTTGTCTCTTTTAGCTTGTTTGTGTGTTTCAAATATCGAAGAGACTTCAGGGTCCATGACTGTGTCCGAGTATCTGCTTGTTGATAATCCTTCGTTGTTCCCAGGTTTCGTATTTCCTTCCAAACAGACCCCTGTCTCCATCAGTCCTCCGGTGCTCGGCTTTGATAGGTCCACTCCCAGCAGCAGTTTGTGGAGTAAACAGTGCGTGTGTCTAAAGTGCGTGTGTGTGTTTGTTAGGTGCAGCTAATCCTGCTAGCCCCACTCAGGACATTTGGGTCCTCAGGAGCTCGCCCACTGGTAAGGGTGTGTGGTCCCCAAAAACTCCCGCTACCCCCACCTGACCCTGCGTGAACCTGTAGACCAGATCCCATCCCAGTCTGATGACAAACTGGGCTTCTTTTAGGAAGCTTATTCCCGTCCTCATCCCTTTTTATCCCAACGCCTTGACCTTACTGTGCCACCCTGCAAATCCCCACCCCCAATAATCCAGAAAAATAATCATAGTTGTCTCACAGCAGGATGAAATGGTGAGTGAGCAGCTCTGCTTTACAGCCCTCTCTGTGACTCCTGTGACTCTCATCCACTATTTTATCTGAGGGTTTTTTTTTTGTAAGGCTGTCCAGCTCTGATAGTCTGCACTGCAAAAATGTATCAGAAATCTTCTAAACAAGTCATTTCATCTGGCATTGTGTTAATTTTCATAGATGAACAAATGAGTTATTTATGTTCAACCGTATTAACAAACTGGATAATTCCTCACAGGAACATTTTCATGATTTGGAGAATATATCAAAAAAGAAGTAACAAAAAGTAATCATTTTCTTTTTGGTTTTTACACAATATATAAAAGCCACATCAGGCAAACTCAGAATCATAAGAGTGTAAAGTTGTGATATCATGAGAACAAACTTGTTATCTCATTCTCTTAATACAATGTCAGTCTCCTAATCTTAAAAAAGAAATTATAAGTGAAGTCTTTTTCAAGAATTACTTTATTTTCCTGCTACATCATTCTCATGATTCTTACACTTGTCTTCTTCAGATTGGCCCTAACACTACACCCCACTAAATCAGTGTCATGTCAGTGTGTTAGGATAGAAACTGGGCTTGAGAATTCTTAAAAATCCAAGTGCATCATCTGTCTGTGGAGGATCTTGTTTGTTAGGTTTCCTCCTGTTGTTCCTCCTCTGCTCTGATAATCAGGTACAGGAGTCTGCATTTGTCAACAGAGCTGCTAATCATGATCTCACCTGTTTTTTTCTTGATTTAATAACTGATTAAAACCAAACCTCTCATAGAAAATGAATACTAACACGTGAATCAGTGCAATAAGAACAAACTATAATAATTACAGAAGCATGCCTTTTAAAAACTGCATTTGAAGTGTATTTTTGTCTTATAGTTTTTCTAACAGAGGTCAGGTTTATGACCTGCACACACACACATATATATTCATACACAGAGGGGGCATCAAGATAAACTTCCTCCATTCTCACTCATCCACATGCTGCCAGCTTTGTTACCCGGAGCGAATATGCGTTTAGTGTCTTTCCCAAGGACATTTCAGCATGTGACTGCAGGGATCAAAGTGTCAATCATACGTTTGGAAGACTCAGCCACACTCACCCCTGTCACTAAAAATGATGACAGTTGATTTGCAGCGTTTCAGCTCCAGGCTTTCACTGGGCAAACAGTCTACCACTGAAACCTCCATTGTCTTTTTTGCTCAGAAAGACAGTGATAGACACAGTAAAGCCCTTCTTTTCATATCACGTGACAGCTGTACAGATGCAGATGTGCGAAGAGTCTCTTTACGCTTGTAGCATCACGAAAGCCAGACCTGGAGTTAACTGCTGCTAGTCAAATTATATACTTTAAGAATGAATAAAGAACCACACTCACTGTAAATAACACCTGATTAGCAAAGCAGCCTTATTAACTTTGGCTTGATCATTTCTTAAAGTCTGTTGCTTGACTGAAAGACAAAACCAGACCTAGAGCTCCTGGGTTAAGGGACCTAAAATGCTAGAATAGAGTCAACTTTGGGTTAACATGTATCAAAATTGAAAATACTTTTGGATGAAATTTGTCTACGTAGCATCAGCCAAGCTAACAAAAAACAAATACATCCCAAAATGACAAGCGAACCTTCCTCAGTAGAATTGTAAATGACTTGTTAAGTTCTTTTGTCTTTTGCAGTGCACCCAGGCCACAAACTTTCAGCTTTAATTCAAAACTGCGCTTTCTCACGACTTCCTCGCATTGACAGTCTCTCCAAGTATCATTTAACATTGTGATCGCTATCTGTCTGTGTCTCTTTTTTTGTAAATTTCTCTCTCAGGCGACAGAAACAGTGTTGGCAGCTCGGGCAGTGTGGGCAGCAGCCGCAGCGCCGGCAGCGGGCAGAGCTCAGAAAGCGGACACAAACAGAACGGGATTCAAGGCCGCCACAATGCTGAAAACGGGAAGGTGAGATCAGCTCAGGAGAGATATTACTCTCAAATTAAGGAGAATAAACACAATAAATGACGTAGTTCTCCGTATGTTCTCAAGTTTTTATCCTGTCAATCTTTCTGTCTTACCCACTTCAGTTTTTCTTGTTTCATAGTTACCTACAGCCTGACTGTAATGACTAAAAACAGAAGACTTCTTATTTAGCTTTATGTTCCTAAGTCCTTTTTGTAGTTCATGTTTCACAAAACTTGATTGTTTGATTTCCTGAACTTGTTATGGATAATTTTCTGCAGAGTGCTGTATTAAACAGAGCTGGTTATCATTACAATTTCCTCTATTTGTCTTTGTGTGCAGCTGGCTCCCTCTGCTGGTGAATTAGGAGAACATCTCCATACCTCAGGAACAGACGAAAACAAACATGCAGATGGAAGTTTAAGTGAGTCGGGCTGCTTATCCTCTTTCCTTTTTGTTTGTTTATTAAAAAAATCCTTTAATTCTGGTAATATGTTACAAATAGACACACTCTCTGCACCTTCATAAAGCTGTAATGTGGCTGCAATGGCAGTGCTGGAAGACTATGACTAATAGAGGGGAACAAGTGTTCAGAAAGCAAAAGATTTACTGTATATACCATTATAGATACAAAACAAACAAGTAATGTGAGAGATTTCTCTTTTTTACAAAAATCATACACAAGTTCATATTTAAATTTACGCTGAGAAAGTTGTTAAATTTGCATGGATGTTTACGAAGGCATTAAATGTGCAAATTGTGGGGGGAAAGTGTCTGTTTGTAGTTAAAGCTCCTGTTGGGAATTTTTGGTTTGTGCTATTCTGGCGCCCCCTGTGGTCACAGCAGTTTTCACTTATCTTGTCCTCTACCAACTTGGAACCACATCTGGCTGGCTTTGACAGTCACATGTGTCATTGATTGTGATATCTACTGGTGGAAATAGTCATAACAGGGGCTGTTTCTTGAGATACATTACTGACACCTACCCCCTTGCAACAGTCTCAGGCATTAAAAATGAGGATATGAAAATTTCCAATCTTGTTGCTGAAGGTCTTGTTTATCATGAAAAGGCATCAATAGGATTTTCAGTGGATTTCACAAATGTCAAAAAACTTTGCGCAGGGGCTTTAATCTGCCAAGACGTACTTTTTCGAGACATTTCATCAGAGTGTCACATGAGGTACTCAGGCTCTTTGACTCTGCCATCACTTAATGTGCAGTCATAGAAGGCTGAAAATACAGGTCATCACTGTCTCTGTCTCTCCCTTCATCTTTCACTCCACTTTTGTCAGCCCTAAAAAAAAGCAAAAGACAGAAACACAGATGCAGACAGAGAGACGGAGAGCTGAGATAACGTGTGTGATCTGCAGTTCTTCTATTGATCAGTTTAAAATGAGAGCTGAACTTCATCCGATTACAGTACAAAATATGGAAATTCTGCAATAAACCCGCTGATCTCTGCTGTAAAATATCTGTATCTTCAATCAGATGAATTATTATGGACCGCAGTGAGCTGCTTCCAGGTTTTATCTTCTGATCGTGCAAAGTAAAGCATGTGGAGCAGATCATGTTTGAACTCAAAGTGCTGTACATAAATAGACAAAGCAACGCAGACATCAAAAACGATCAAAAAACAATTAAAACAGTGGATAAAATAAAAGCAGATATTAAAAAGTCAGATATAGTTTCAATGTTTTTAAAAACTAATTTAAAAACAATAGAAACAAGTAACTAAAAACCAACCATAAAACACTAAAACTGGAGCCGAGTCTCATGCGGGGTTGAAAGCCAATGAATAAAAATGGGTTTTAAAACGAGCACAGTGCGCTTGATGGGAAAATGCAGATCACCACATACTAATGCAAGACAAAAATAGGGATTTAAACATGCCTACATGTGCAAACTCACACCAGAGGAATCTCACAGGTGTTGTATAAAGTAGAGCTGCAGGTTGATGTTGTTATTGCATGCCTGTCTGATAGGAAATAAGGTGGAAGGAGGAGGGAAACCTCACCTCACCACAGAAACCAATAAAACCACGATCTGCTCTCAACCACAAGACCCATAAAAGACCCGATCACCTCCCTGAGGAAACACTCAAACGTGTCTCTGTGTGAATGTGTCAGATCTGAGCAGCAGGTGCACAAAAATCTCAGACACATGCTTCTGCTTTCCTTGGGGATCTTAAAAAATGTTTAGGAGTGTCCTGCTGGATGAGGCCGAGGATAGCTGTTTGACCTCCGGCTGAGTAAGGAGTGCCAGAATGAAGGAGTAGAGAAGTGAGGAGTTGGAGGGAGGGGTCAGGGAGGAGGAGACAGGAACAGAGAGAAGAGCCGAGGGAGAAAAACACATCAGTTAAATGAAGGGGACGGTCTGAGGGAGACAGATTAGTTCACTGAAGGTGTGGGAACATCTGCTCTGCATGAAGGACAAAAGGAAGGATGAAGTGCAAAACATCAGGAGGTCTGTCCCTCTTGTTTCTCTTGAAGGGTAAGAAACATGATGAGATGATTTATTCTGACTGCAGGGGTTTGAGGATTTCTCCAGATTTCACATTTTTTGAGTCTGTTATTGTAGTTTTTCTCTAACCTCAGTGTTTGTTGATGCAGACGGAGAAAGGTCTGTGGTGGATTTGTCAAGTTTTCTCAGACAAATTTGACTATCAGTCCTGTTTCTTAATAACACTCTGGAAGAAAAGAAGAAGTGAGTGAAGATGCAGTGGTTAAACTTGTAGTCCTGTCTTGTTTTGACAAAATTTCAGAGTCAGATGTTCGGTGGAGTGTACAGACTCAGCCCAAAAGCTGATGAAGTTTTGTCTTGTGCCCTGAGGATAAATACCTCTCTGCTAGGTGTGTTTGGCTCACTCAGGTGTGCAGGGCCTCTGACCTCAAAAACAAGAACAGAAACATAAAGTCCAAAAGCAGAACGAGTGAAGAAAACTGTGAGCAGAAACTCAATTGTGTGCGGTATAGATTTTAAAAATGCATGGACATCTTGCTTACTGATGCATATAATCTTTTGGACTAATTTCAAAATGTGAAGAAATGTGCTTATCCATTTTTTCCTGCAGGATTTGGATTGACAGGTGTAAATTTGTTGATTTGCATTGAGCAAAAAGTCTTGTTGGGACAGGGCTAGCCTTGTTCCCTACGACCTGTTTCTTTGCTCAGAAGTGGTTGAAATTAAAAGCACCTCTTGGTTTAAATGAAAATGTCCAGTAAGAAGAGTTTTAGATTATTATGCAAAATACACCTTTTCATTTTCTTTCCTTTGTATTAAAGGGATATTCCGGCGTAAAATTAAGTTAGTGTCAAAAACACTGTAACGCTGAGTTAGACACCCCGTCGTGAGATGAATGTTGCCGACCGCTTGCTTCTCTAGTTATACCAACTTTAGTAATGACCACATGACCAAACTGCCACTCTATAGCCACAAATAATGCTCAGAAGAGCACCTAATTTCATCAACAGCCATAGCACTTGCCATCAAACATCTTTTTAGGTTTGCCTAATTTCTTTAGCAAAGAGACTAAACACAACTCACCTACTTTCTTCCAGCAGCCTCTTGGCGAGACCTCCGGGCCAGTCCATTACTGACTACAGCAGGGTGACGCAGCTCAAGGAAGAACATTTATGATCATTTCTTCATGGAAATGCTATCAGACCGAGACGCTAAGGCAGAAGAACTAGCGTGTCTGCAGTGCAAAATGATTAATATAGTGATTATTACTTAAAGGAAATGATAAAGAAATTATCATAAATGTTCTTCCTTGAGCTGCGTCACCCCGCAGCAGTCTGTAATAGACTGGCCTGATGTCTCGCTACAAACAAGCTGCTGAATCTGTTATATTGCTTTGATAATTTAAGCTGAGGTTGATCATGTAGTGAGCCTAGTTTAGCAATACAACTTGAAGGTTTTAAAATGATAAAAAATTTAAAGAGTATTTGCCTCGCTTGTATTTAAACTTTCTCATGACACTTAAACTTATGTACCCTGTTAGGAATTTTCATGTTGTGTGGATACAATGACGTGTGTGTGTGTGTGTGTGTGTGTGTGTGTGTGTGTGTGTGTGTGTGTGTGTGTGTGTGTGTGTGTGTGTGTGTGTGTGTGTGTGTGTGTGTGTGTTGGTGTGATCAGGTCATTTCCCACTTAAAGTCAAATATTTAAAGCTTCTAAAGAAGTTTTAACTCGTTTCGAAAACTGATTAAATTTAAGCTTTATGAACTAAAACAGCGAAAAAATACCATCATCATTTTTAATGTCTGAGAGGGTCAAACTAGACCATTGAGTGCATGCTGAGGAGCCAACATTTCTTCACATGGTCCAATACAACATACAGAAGGAATAACACAGCTTATTTTATTGTATTAAACTACCTTGATGTAAAGGACAAGATCAGGAAAGTGATAAGATGTGTATCTTTGCCTGCAGGGGCGTTCTGAAGTTGACTTGAACAATAAGTCTCCACAGGAGCTTTAACACAGCCAGGTAATTAGTAAGACAGCAGGGTAATTATGTCTTCGGGTTTTAATCCCAGTAGAGCCTGTTTTTTCCTCAGCCATCATTAGCCTCCAAATGGTTAGGTTACAGTGTATCTTGCTCCTTCCTCATCTACACTTTTCTACTCTGGCACCAAAAATAAAAACGGAGAAGGCTGAAATGCCAGACCTAGGTCTCTAAAGTAGTAGGTAACATAAATAAGAGGTGTCATGTTGGCTAATTGTGCAGATAGTTTCTGTTTTACCAAAGTGGAGGCGGATATCTCAGAGGGAGTTTTATCTACACAAGGATACAGAAAACTCTCGATCTGGTGAGACAAACCAGATTCATATCACATTATTTTCAGTGATCCCTCACATCATTTACTCTGACTACTTTACTGTTTGTTTGGAGACTTCTTAAAGACGACTGTAAATGGTATAAACCAAAAAACAAGAGGGAGCATTCAAACCACTGACCTGGGGCTAAAGAGAGGCCGAGACAGGAAAACTGGAGTAAAGGTGCATTCCTGAGTGATGTGTGGTGAAGTGTCTCGACTCAGAGAGAGATGAGTCAGGAGTGTGTTCAAGTGTGTTTTCAGATCACGTAGATAACAAAACTTCAGTCAACTGAAGAGACACAACAACACCAACCCCCACCCTTACCCTGACAGCTCCAGGCAGCAGATTTAATAAGTCTTTACTGTCTGCGGTAGAGTTGAGTCTGTCTTCAGTCTCTACAGTCACTCACAAACTGAACATGGTAGAAGATGTCATCCTTTATGACTGATCATGTGTGCTTTCTAGGTGGATCCCGTCGGCAGGTCAACGGCACGCCTCAGAAAGGCTTCGTGAGGCCAGAGCACCTTCTGGAGGGCAAGGTGAGCTCACTAAAAAAGAGCGTCTTTGATAACCTGGGAGAAAGAGAGAAAGAGAGAGAGTGAATGTAGAGAGATCTTTACTCTCTTTCTTTGTTTCCAGGACGCTGAAGCCATCTATCAGTGGCTGTGTGAGTTCCAGTTGGAGCAGTACACCTCCAACTTCATCAACGCAGGATATGATGTACCCACCATCAGCAGGATGACCCCAGAGGTTTGTATGACACAGATTACTGCAACAGTCCATGTTTTTACCTATTTTAGGGTTCAAATGATGAATGCGTTCAAGTCACTCAAACTCCTGTATTTGACAGTGATTTAAGTTTTAATCAAATCACAGAGAAAATGATTAAGTCTTGTTTCTTTTAAGCTCAACGAGATCAGGCCAATTTTACAACCCCATTCTCAAAAATTAAGTCATTGTGGAAAAATGCTGATTTAAACCAGTTTTGATGGTTTGCAGATTTTTAGAATGCTACTTTTGATTAAAAACATTGTAAAGACAAGATGTCAATGCATGAAACCTAGAAATTACCCCTGTGGTCCCTCTCCTTTTCAGATATTTAAGTAGACTATGTTTTTGTAAGTACTTGAAGATACTATATTACAGCAATGGAGGAAAGGATATTTTAAAGTGTAATAAAGAGAAATCAAAACATTGCTTGTTAAGATCGGGCATTCTCCACAGCTGCCCCTACCCTCTGGAACTCCCTACCTCCCTCCATCAGACACTGCCCTGACCCCACTACTTTTAAATCCCTTTTAAAAACTCACTTATTTAAAATTGCTTTTAATATTTAACTGTTTTGTTCATCTTACTGTTTTCATGTCTTTGTTTTATTATCTTGAATTTGACGTAAAGCGTCTTTGAGTGTTTTTAAAAGCGCTGTACAAATAAAATGAATTATTATTATTATTATTAAAGACCTTTATTATTCAACTAATGAAACAATATTTCACAGATTTTCACTATGGTGAATGATTTAGTTGAGTTTTTCATTGATAAAATTGCCCCAAAATGCAGGATACTGTTATCTAGTTAAAGCCTGATTAATTATAAATACATTGTAAAGGATTTTTTATGTCTGTTCTTGGTTACAAAAAGCATGTAGGTGTTTTTTTCACATTGAGTAATTATTAGATTATGTAAAACCCTTAATCCAGAATAAGTCTTCTCTATCAAATAATGATGTTTTGTCAGACAGTGAACAAAAATGTTACTCATTACACACGAATCATTCACATATATAAGGAAAAGCTGGGGACCAAGGATAGATCCTTGATGTACTCCTTATTTTAACTCTCTCTAGCTTAAGTCACTACTATTAAAGAAAGTTATAGTGTTTTTGATTGTCTGAGAAAGACATTTTAATGACGATACATTTTACTCCTGTGTTCTTGTGAGTCCTTCATTAACCAGCTGCTTTCATGTGTTTGTCCTCTAGGACCTGACAGCCATCGGAGTGACCAAACCAGGCCACCGGAAGAAAATCTCAATAGAAATTAGCAAACTCAGCATCCCTGAGTGGCTGCCTGATTACATCCCTGTAAGAAAACGACTCTTAACGACTCTTTGTGAATTTAAGCTACTGTCTCTTTGTTTTAACCAAAAAAGTGATCCTGCTTATTAAAACCTACAGAGGACAACATCACTATATCTTATCTTTGTGTTTGTGTATTGCTGCTCAGGCGGACCTGGGGGAGTGGCTGAGCGTGATCGGACTTCCTCAGTACCAGAAGAGATTGTGTGACAATGGATACGACTCCATCACAATCGTCAAAGACATCACCTGGGAGGACTTGCAGGAGATCGGCATCACCAAGCTAGGTGAGGAAAATGAGACTTGTTTTATCTGTTTTTGTTCTCTTTGACATTGAATCGTTTTTACTGCATTGAATACAGTGTGATAAATGCAATGCTTTTGTTTCAGGCCATCAGAAGAAGCTCATGTTGGCGGTGAAGAGACTCTGTGACCTGCAGCGCTCTCGTAACCAAGCTGACAGAGGTGGGACTCTCAGGCGGAAGCCCCCTGCTGCCCTGGAACTGGTGGCCATCGAACACACGCCGACACATGTCGTGCACACTCACACTCGCCCTGACACTGCGTCTGATGACTGCTGCCCTTCCCCTCGCACACCCAAGACCCTCCTCTCCTTCCAGGACAGCGAGTTGAGCGCCGAGCTGCAGAGCGCAATGATGGGCAGGGCAGGAGGCGGATCAGCAGAGGCGTTCGGCATCAGGGGCGTGACATCCGCCGCAGCTATTTCTTCCATGTCAGTCAGTCAGGACAGTATCAGCGTGCGGTCACGGGGGTCTGGGAATTCTGGGAATTCTGGGAATTCAAATTCAGGATATTCTCAAGATCATCAAGCGGCGCCGCCAGGGCGGATATGCAGCCGGTCAGAGGAGAGTCTGGGGAGTGGTGCGGGGGAGGAGGCCAAGCGTGGAGGAAGCAGTCCTGCAGGGAGGAGTAGACAGAGACCCACAGAGATGTGGGAGCAGCAGAGTCGATCTACTACACCCAACAAACTCCTTTTCTCACCCCTGACTCCCCCTCTCACCCCCAGCAAGATGCCCCGTTTTGCTTACCCAGCCGTCCCACCCAAAACGAAACACTTCCAATCTCCGAACCGCCTCTATCAGCCTCAGCACCACCCGCCGTCCTCCCCCTCCTCACCGTCTCCACAGCCTTCCCCCACACAGAAAGGCTTCAGTTACCTTCAGGCCCAGGCAGGAGGTGTCAACGGGGGTCAGTGGGTGCTCCCGAAACCACTACCTGGAGCTGTCCCTGTACTGGGACCCCGACCTGGACAGATCCCCGCTGATGACACCCAGAGGGGCCCGCACAAGAAGCGAGCGCAAAGCCTGACTCGCTACGCTCTGTCCGACGGCGAGCCAGACGAGGACGATGACCTTAATCCTCCCTGCACCACTACTTCCTCTGCGGCGATGCCTTCATACGCCACTCTGTCACGCAGGCCAGGACGCGGACACACGGCCCCCTCAGGAGCCCAACGCAACCTTAACCGCAGCCACTCGTTCGCTGTCAGATCCCGACGCAAGGGCCCTCCTCCTCCGCCACCAAAGAGGATGAGCTCAGTGAGCAGCAGCCCTGCACGCCAACCAGGAAATGGGAAAGTGGTGGAGGACGAAGTTAAGGGAGGAGTGGAGACAGAGAGCACAGGGAGCGTGAGGAGCATCGCGGCCCGGCTGGAAGGAAGCACCAGCAGCAGCAGCGGCAGTCCGTCCAGGAGGATTGATATCCCACCAACAAATATCCCAGTTTCTCCCGTTTTCAGCCCAGTTTCCTCTCCAGTTCCACACACCATGTCTCCACACAACCTCTCAATGCACTCCAAACCCGTCCCTGCTCTTGGCCTGGGGGGTCTGAGGAGGACTGGTAGCGAGAGGATGGAGGGAACGCATGATGAAAGAGAGAAAGCGAGAAAAATCGAAAGAACGTCAAAAAGCGCGACCGCATCCCCGAAGCACATCGCTGTCGACCGCCTCGCTTTTGCTGAAGAAGGAAACCTCACCATCAAACAGAGACCGAGGGTAACGCCCATGAACCAACCAGACGCCGAAGTCAAGACGCCTCTAGAAGGTCAGGTCCAGACCCCCAACAGCCTGGACCTCCCAGAGTTCAATCTAAAAGAGTCTGACACGGTTAAAAGACGACACAAACCAAAAGACCCGCTATCACCTGAGGAGGCAACCACCCCTACTAGAGAAGACAACTACAACCCACAAACCGGGAGCCTCCAGATACACAACTGTGTCAGTCCACAGAGTGACGATGAATCTCAGAGGCCAGGGAGGGTCTTCCAGAGAGTCGGCTCCATGGGAAAAGGTCCAAAACCTCCAGTGTCTTCAAAACCATCCAGTCCTTTCAGACAGTCCCCCAGCAGCAGACCGGTCACCCCTCTGAAAGTAGTCCAAGCCAGTGCGCAGACAGCCATTCCCAAACTGACCAGTGTCCAGATTCACACGGTCTCTCCAAAGCTTGGTTCCAGTGTACACACACACACAAACATACCAAGCCCTAAACCTGGGAAACACCCGCAGACAACGTCCCCAAAACCAGAGAGTCCACAGAGGGCTTCAGGTTTGCCCGTATCAAGACTCCCTCAGCCCGGCATGGTCTCAGCTTCAACAGCAGGTAAAAAAAAAACTGTAAAACCAAAATTTGGGTGTCATTCAGTGACATTGGGATGAGATAGAAGTAGAGGATACAGGCAGAGAGGGACTACACTGTACTGAAAACGAGGTTACTCACTAGGGGTGTTCTGATACGATATTGATATCAGATATTGGTCCAACATCAGCAAAAGAAACTATATCGGATTATATCGGCCTGCATCTAATCTCCGATTACTGACTAATCTGCCGATTTTTAAAATTTTTCATGAAGTTATAAAAAATATATAGTATACAGTAGATATCTACAGTATACTATATACTGTAGATATACTGTAGGCTACTGCTCTTTACGCCGACAGGAAGACCGACTGATTAAACTCAGACCAGAAAAGCTTTTTCAACTAATAACCCTACCCCCACCCCCCCACCCTGATTGGTGCCTCCGTTTCATAACTCACGTTACTCATTTCCGGTCCGGTCTCATCTGGAGACATGCAGCTGCCAGCTACGTAGCGTGTACTGTTGTTTATTATACCGTTACTGACACGGCTAACAGTGTAGCAAGGCTAATAGCAGGTGGCTAACTCTAACTTTAGCTTGTATATTACATGGTGCTTCACCGTTACCTCGGAGTGACCGAGACCAGCACAGCAGGGAACATCGTGAAGTGGGTCAAACTGAAACTTGTTGACTTATTGTGTATTTCACAAACTGGTTTATTAACCGTTGAGGCGGACCACTCTCCTCTGTGCGTCACTGAGCTGCCTGCTTCAGATCTGTCACTTTGCTGTGCTGTGAGGTAGTTAGTGGATGAAGAGTGTCATGAGGTCGCTGCGCCATCTACAGGATAAGTCGGGGGATCTTTCAAATGGTAGAACATTTTCGAAGTGAAATCGAATCTTATTCTCCACTTTTTATTTCTGAAAATATTGGCAAAAATCGGTGAATTTTGGCCGATTACCGATTAGTCTCAAACTGGCTAAAATTAGCTGATTTAATCAGCTCGCTGATAAATCGGTTGGGCCCTAATATTGGTATTGGTCAATATTGAAGGCTACAATATTGGTATCGTCTTGGAAGTTAAAAAAGTTGTATCAGGACACCCGTATGACATATACAAATATTTTTTTGAATTCTTCAGGAACGAACCTCTCCTCAGTCCAGTGTGTTGCATTCCCTGCTCAGCCTTCTCCGGCTCCAGCACACTCATACCCCACCTCTGCAGGGAGAGCAGGGACACCTGTGGGTGGGGTTGCTGGTCTGGAGGCTATAGCACAAAAGCGACTGGAGCAGACCAGCACGTCGCTGGAGGCTGCTCTAAAAGTGGTGGAGAACAGACTGGCACAGGGGAGCGGCAGTGTCGACGGGTAAGGACACCGACTGCTTCAGTGTCACTTTGACTCTATCTGCTGTATCAAAGGTTTGTAACATTTTCTGTCTCCCTCACAGCGGCAGCAGCACCGTGAAGGCGGCGGGGAATATCCTGGACGACATCGGCAGCATGTTTGACGACCTGGCTGACCAGCTGGACGCCATGTTAGAATAACGCCCCCAAAACTCTGCCTCGGCGGGATGAATTTTTTTTACTAAAAGAGAAAAAAAAAAAGCCATAAAAATGGAGTTTGAAAACCAGCGTAGAGGAGATAAAACTGAACTTTTAATGCTGGTGAGATGAGAGAAAAGAGTTTTGATTCTGGATAAAAGAGTCTGAGGATTTCCTGCACATTGTCTCCTCAGTATTACAAAGTCCTTCAACGCAGCACTTCGCCTCAGGATGCACACCTGGGAATGTTATTGGAGCGACAACAAACATCTTCCAGATGTGTGTGTGTGTGTGTTTAGACTATTATCACTAAAGGGAAAGAGGGTCCATTAGGTTCATGTTACCTGTAAATGTAAAAATAATAGAGGCTCTATGAGTGTATGTATGTGTAGTCAGAAATCTTTATACTGAATATATTTATAAACTTTTTTTTTAACAAATGGAGCTCCTATCCACTGTATATATTTGCTGCTTATTGTCTATAACATGGGGACATATTTTATTTGTTGTATTAAAGCAAAGTATTCCACATGTATGTAAAAAAATAGACTAAACTTGATTTTTCATGTCTTTACCAAAGTTTTTATTCCCCTCAGGAGGCACAGGAAGAGGAAACATCATTTCTTTAGAGCAGGTAGCAGACGCGTTTATGTGTGTTCACAGTGTAAAGGGTCGACAGCTCACCTCAGGACGCTCAGGAAGTGACTTTACTGTAAGTTTCCAAAGAACAGGAGAGGATTTTACAACATCGGTCTGTTACAAAACATTTCATTACTATAAATATGTTCATATTTGAAAGTGACCGAACACTGTAAGAGGAACTGTTCATAAATAAAAGAGTTATGTTTCTTACAGGTTCACACCACTACTATGTTAGAGGTCTGTGTTAACCTCTATAGCTTCTTATTAACTCATTTGATTCATTGGTAATTCTTGTATCTCTAAAGCTTGGCTGCTTTTGCTCTTATGGTGTGAGACATACAAAAAAGGACAAAATTGCCTCTGATATTTCCTCAGCTGGAGGCCTGAAACAGGCTGTTACAGCAGTATTTGTATCCTCGTAAGCAGTGGTGGCTGGTGCATTTTTTTACATTTTTTTCTGAAAGGAGTATTTTTTTGCAAAATCCAAGAAACATGACCAACAAAATGTTAAACAACAGGTGTTACAACAGCAAATGTAATGAAATCTACACAGTTTTTGATGCTAAATAACATTTATTTTTTAATCACCAGCGTGGACCAATGGAGCTGTGCCAAAGTGCAGTTCCTTCAACGTCCACTAGAGTGTTCCCTAAAGTCGAGGGATTCACTTCATTACAGTTTCTTTACCAGTTACCAGCCTGGCATGCTGCTGTTTTCAGCATCTGCCATGTCACATTGTTTTCACAGCGTTGTCATAGGAACACTTATTTTTTTTAATGTATATATTTTATTTCTCCTAGCACAGCACCTTGGGGTGGCTACCTCCGCTTGGGAGCAACCACTACACAAGTTAAGACTGTCCACTGAAAGTGTTCGAAAGGCACAGATCATTACTCCAAATGTCTTAAATCGATTCAGAAAGAATCTTTGCAGGGAGAACTTTTTTTTTTTTCAATCACTCTCTTAATCTGAGACACAGAAAAGAACTTTGACCTGTTATGTTTACTTGCTTATGCTGCAGATGCTGTACCCGTCACCGCCTGTTTCACTGCTGCAGGCTGAGGATATCCACTGAGGCAATTCCCAAACTTGTAGTTGAGTTTTCCACAAAGCACTCAATGGGTCAGTCAGTCTGATTAGATCTGAATTCCTGCTTACTTTTTGACTTAATCACTTTAAAGAATTCATCCTGTCTTTGGTTATATGATCATTTCTTTGGCTATGATCAAAAATTTGGGCTGAATGTCTAAAAGGAATTAAAAGTGGATCATTTTTTTCTCTTTCCTTTACTTCCTCCTGACACTCTCTCTCCCTCTCGTTATGCACCTTCTAATGTTTTCATCAATATTTTATCCTCGCACACTGACCGGTTCTACTAACAGCTGTGCAGGTGAATGCCACCTTTGATAAGAAAATGATTTCCTTTATTATTTCTGCAAATGTATTCAGATTTTTATGAACCCTGAACTGTGTTTTCAGGAAAACTTTGGAGTGTTTATTCTTTAGCAAAGTGAAAGCACTGTTTGTTAACCATTTCTCATTTTTAAAGATGCCTGTTAGTTTTTTATACATATTTAAAGAAAAGTTCTGTATCATCCTGGAAATGATTAAAAGGAGAATTTGTACTGAAACATGTTGGTGAGTTTTGGAACTGTAATGTGCATAACTGACCTTTTAATACTGGATTACATTACTTATGATACCGTGGAGAGATATGCAGCATAGTATAGATGTAGACGTCATTTACACGTATAAATTTATACTTCATTTCAACGTCGGGATTCGGTCTATTTTTAGACGTCATTTACACGTATAAATTTATACTTCATTTCAACGTCTAGATTCAGTCTATTTCTAGACGTGTTTTATACTTCGCCCTCAACTTCATTTTTCGATAACTTTTTATGCAATAAACAACTGTAATGTGCATAACTGACCTTTTAATACTGGATAACATTACTTATGATACCGTGGAGAGATATGCAGCTTAGTATAGATGAAGACGTCATTTACACGTATAGATTTATACTTCATTTCAACGTCGGGATTCGGTCTATTTTTAGACGTCATTTACACGTATAAATTTATACTTCATTTCAACGTCTAGATTCAGTCTTTTTTTAGACGTGATTTATACTTCGCCCTCAACTTCATTTTTCGATAACTTTTTATGCAATAAACAACTGTAATGTGCATAACTGACCTTTTAATACTGGATTACATTACTTATGATACCGTGGAGAGATATGCAGCATAGTATAGATGTAGACGTCATTTACACGTATAGATTTATACTTCATTTCAACGTCTAGATTCAGTCTATTTCTAGACGTGATTTATACTTCGCCCTCAACTTCATTTTTCGATAACTTTTTATGCAATAAACAACTGTAATGTGCATAACTGACCTTTTAATACTGGATTACATTACTTATGATACCGTGGAGAGAGATGCAGCATAGTATAGATGTAGACGTCATTTACACGTATAGATTTATACTTCATTTCAACGTCTAGATTCAGTCTATTTCTAGACGTGATTTATACTTCGCCCTCAACTTCATTTTTCGATAACTTTTTATGCAATAAACAACTGTAATGTGCGTAACTGACCTTTTAATACTGGATTACATTACTTATGATACCGTGGAGAGATATGCAGCATAGTATAGATGTAGACGTCATTTACACGTATAGATTTATACTTCATTTCAACGTCTAGATTCAGTCTATTTCTAGACGTGATTTATACTTCGCCCTCAACTTCATTTTTCGATAACTTTTTATGCAATAAACAACTGTAATGTTCATAACTGACCTTTTAATACTGGATTACATTACTTGTGATACCGTGGAGAGATATGCAGCATAGTATAGATGTACACGTCATTTACACGTATAAATTTATACTTCATTTCAACGTCGGGATTCGGTCTATTTTTAAACGTCATTTACACGTATAAATTTATACTTCATTTCAACGTCTAGATTCAGTCTATTTCTAGATGTGATTTATACTTCGCCCTCAACTTCATTTTTCGATAACTTTTTATGCAATAAACAACTGTAATGTGCATAACTGACCTTTTAATACTGGATTACATTACTTATCATACCGTGGAGAGATATGCAGCTTAGTATAGATGTAGACGTCATTTACACGTATAGATTTATACTTCATTTCAACGTCGGGATTCGGTCTATTTTTAGACGTCATTTACACGTATAGATTTATACTTCATTTCAACGTCGGGATTCGGTCTATTTTTAGACGTCATTTACACGTATAAATTTATACTTCATTTCAACGTCGAGATTCGGTCTATTTTTAGACGTCATTTACACGTATTAATTTATACTTCATTTCAACGTCGGGATTCGGTCTATTTTTAGACGTCATTTACACGTATAAATTTATACTTCATTTCAACGTCTAGATTCAGTCTATTTCTAGATGTGATTTATACTTCGCCCTCAACTTCATTTTTCGATAACTTTTTATGCAATAAACAACTGTAATGTGCATAACTGACCTTTTAATACTGGATTACATTACTTATCATACCGTGGAGAGATATGCAGCATAGTATAGATGTAGACGTCATTTACACGTATAGATTTATACTTCATTTCAACGTCGGGATTCGGTCTATTTTTAGACGTCATTTACACGTATAAATTTATACTTCATTTCAACGTCGAGATTCGGTCTATTTTTAGACGTCATTTACACGTATTAATTTATACTTCATTTCAACGTCGGGATTCGGTCTATTTTTAGACGTCATTTACACGTATAAATTTATACTTCATTTCAACGTCTAGATTCAGTCTATTTCTAGACGTGTTTTATACTTCGCCCTCAACTTCATTTTTCGATAACTTTTTATGCAATAAACAACTGTAATGTACATAACTGACCTTTTAATACTGGATTACATTACTTGTGATACCGTGGAGAGATATGCAGCTTAGTATAGATGTAGACGTCATTTACACGTATAGATTTATACTTCATTTCAACGTCGGGATTCGGTCTATTTTTAGACGTCATTTACACGTATAAATTTATACTTCATTTCAACGTCGAGATTCGGTCTATTTTTAGACGTCATTTACACGTATAAATTTATACTTCATTTCAACGTCGAGATTCGGTCTATTTTTAGACGTCATTTACACGTATTAATTTATACTTCATTTCAACGTCGGGATTCGGTCTATTTTTAGACGTCATTTACACGTATAAATTTATACTTCATTTCAACGTCTAGATTCAGTGTATTTCTAGACGTGTTTTATACTTCGCCCTCAACTTCATTTTTCGATAACTTTTTATGCAATAAACAACTGTAATGTACATAACTGACCTTTTAATACTGGATTACATTACTTGTGATACCGTGGAGAGATATGCAGCTTAGTATAGATGTAGACGTCATTTACACGTATAGATTTATACTTCATTTCAACGTCGGGATTCGGTCTATTTTTAGACGTCATTTACACGTATAAATTTATACTTCATTTCAACGTCGAGATTCGGTCTATTTTTAGACGTCATTTACACGTATTAATTTATACTTCATTTCAACGTCGGGATTCGGTCTATTTTTAGACGTCATTTACACGTATAAATTTATACTTCATTTCAACGTCTAGATTCAGTCTATTTCTAGACGTGTTTTATACTTCGCCCTCAACTTCATTTTTCGATAACTTTTTATGCAATAAACAACTGTAATGTGCATAACTGACTTTTTAATACTGGATTACATTACTTATGATACCGTGGAGAGATATGCAGCTTAGTATAGATGTAGACGTCATTTACACGTATAGATTTATACTTCATTTCAACGTCGGGATTCGGTCTATTTTTAGACGTCATTTACACGTATAAATTTATACTTCATTTCAACGTCTAGATTCAGTCTTTTTTTAGACGTGATTTATACTTCGCCCTCAACTTCATTTTTCGATAACTTTTTATGCAATAAACAACTGTAATGTGCATAACTGACCTTTTAATACTGGATTACATTACTTATGATACCGTGGAGAGATATGCAGCATAGTATAGATGTAGACGTCATTTACACGTATAGATTTATACTTCATTTCAACGTCTAGATTCAGTCTATTTCTAGACGTGATTTATACTTCGCCCTCAACTTCATTTTTCGATAACTTTTTATGCAATAAACAACTGTAATGTGCATAACTGACCTTTTAATACTGGATTACATTACTTATGATACCGTGGAGAGATATGCAGCATAGTATAGATGTAGACGTCATTTACACGTATAGATTTATACTTCATTTCAACGTCGGGATTCGGTCTATTTTTAGACGTCATTTACACGTATAAATTTATACTTCATTTCAACGTCGAGATTCGGTCTATTTTTAGACGTCATTTACACGTATTAATTTATACTTCATTTCAACGTCGGGATTCGGTCTATTTTTAGACGTCATTTACACGTATAAATTTATACTTCATTTCAACGTCTAGATTCAGTCTATTTCTAGACGTGTTTTATACTTCGCCCTCAACTTCATTTTTCGATAACTTTTTATGCAATAAACAACTGTAATGTACATAACTGACCTTTTAATACTGGATTACATTACTTATGATACCGTGGAGAGATATGCAGCTTAGTATAGATGTAGACGTCATTTACACGTATAGATTTATACTTCATTTCAACGTCGGGATTCGGTCTATTTTTAGACGTCATTTACACGTATAAATTTATACTTCATTTCAACGTCGAGATTCGGTCTATTTTTAGACTTCATTTACACGTATAAATTTATACTTCATTTCAACGTCGAGATTCGGTCTATTTTTAGACGTCATTTACACGTATAAATTTATACTTCATTTCAACGTCGGGATTCGGTCTATTTTTAGACGTCATTTACACGTATAAATTTATACTTCATTTCAACGTCTAGATTCAGTCTATTTCTAGACGTGTTTTATACTTCGCCCTCAACTTCATTTTTCGATAACTTTTTATGCAATAAACAACTGTAATGTACATAACTGACCTTTTAATACTGGATTACATTACTTGTGATACCGTGGAGAGATATGCAGCTTAGTATAGATGTAGACGTCATTTACACGTATAGATTTATACTTCATTTCAACGTCGGGATTCGGTCTATTTTTAGACGTCATTTACACGTATAAATTTATACTTCATTTCAACGTCGAGATTCGGTCTATTTTTAGACGTCATTTACACGTATTAATTTATACTTCATTTCAACGTCGGGATTCGGTCTATTTTTAGACGTCATTTACACGTATAAATTTATACTTCATTTCAACGTCTAGATTCAGTCTATTTCTAGACGTGTTTTATACTTCGCCCTCAACTTCATTTTTTGATAACTTTTTATGCAATAAACAACTGTAATGTGCATAACTGACCTTTTAATACTGGATTACATTACTTATGATACCGTGGAGAGATATGCAGCTTAGTATAGATGAAGACGTCATTTACACGTATAGATTTATACTTCATTTCAACGTCGGGATTCGGTCTATTTTTAGACGTCATTTACACGTATAAATTTATACTTCATTTCAACGTCGGGATTCTGTCTTTTTTTAGACGTCATTTACACGTATAAATTTAGACTTCATTTCAACGTCTAGATTCAGTCTATTTCTAGACGTGATTTATACTTCGCCCTCAACTTCATTTTTCGATAACTTTTTATGCAATAAACAACTGTAATGTGCGTAACTGACCTTTCAATACTGGATAACATTACTTATGATACCGTGGAGAGATATGCAGCATAGTATATATGTAGACGTCATTTACACGTATAGATTTATACTTCATTTCAACGTCGGGATTCGGTCTATTTTTAGACGTCATTTACACGTATAAATCTATACTTCATTTCAACGTCTAGATTCAGTCTATTTCTAGACGTGATTTATACTTCGCCCTCAACTTCATTTTTCGATAACTTTTTATGCAATAAACAACTGTAATGTACATAACTGACCTTTTAATACTGGATTACATTACTTATGATACCGTGGAGAGATATGCAGCATAGTATAGATGTAGAAGTCATTTACACGTATGGATTTATACTTTATTTCAACGTCTAGATTCAGTCTATTTCTAGACGTGATTTATACTTCGCCCTCATATGTACTACTATATTATTTGTTTTTGTTTTCTACTTCTGTGCTTTACTACTTCTTTGCGGTTAAACTCCTCTTGACAGGATCTACCAGAATTTGAGAAAATGTGTCCCTTTGACGGAGACCCTCCTGGTTTTTCTTGCCTTTTTCTTTTTTGGCATTCTGTTTCTGCATGTGCCTAAAAAAAATTTGAAAAAAAAAAAAGGAAGGGGGTTAGGTAGGAAGTTAGGAAGGGAGCAGGAAGGGGATTAAGGTTAGGATGGCGGTTAGTGGGGGGTAAGGAAGAAAGTAAGGAAATTAGGAAAAGGGGTTCAGGTTGGGAAGGGGGTTAGGAGGTTTTGAGAAGAAAATCTATCTCCTCTTCTGTCCTCCTCTTTTCCTCTTTTTCCCATGCTTCTTTTAGGTCTCCTTTCCAGAGTGCTCATTCTGTTCTTTGAGCTCTTCAGCTGTCCACTCTCCTCCTTCTTCATCTTGTCTTCATTTGACTGTTTCCCAGTCTCATCTCTCTCCTCTTTGTTGCCTGTCTTCCCCTCAGCATCTTTCGATGTCCCCTTTTCCTGGGAATTATTCTGCTCCTCTATTTTCTCCTCCATGTCTTGTTGTGTCTCCTCATCTCTTCTTTTCTCCTCCTCCTGCTCTTTCATTGCATCCAGCACCTTCTGCTGTTGCAGTTTTGTGTCGAGGTCAAGTATCGGAGGGGAGATCTGAGAAAGAAACTGTGTGTTAGTTGATTCAGCAGAAACCTGAACATATTTCATAGAGAATCAAAGAAGTGTTTTATTTTGGTCATCAGTTACTGTCATATATCTGAACTCTGAAGTACCTGCAGATCGTTGGTCTTGTTACAAAGACGTTTCTGCAGATCCTCATACTTGCTCCTCCAGTGGTCCTCTGTTCTTTTTAGTTCCAGATCCTTCTGGTTCAGCAGGTCCAAGGTCTCTATGTGGGCTTTGGTTCTCATTCGTCGTTGTTTGATGACCCTGTGTTGGAGCTCGGTCATAAACTTGAGCTCCTCTTGAAGCCTGATGATCTTTGAGTTTTTCTGGGCCAGCTGATCTTCATAGACCTGGGAAATATCAATTTCCTTTTTATTAGCTGTTTCAAGGAGGTTTCCCTTGCCTTTCAGCTGCTCTTGAAGTTTATTTACCTTGGCCACTTTTTGGGCCAGCAGGTCCAGTTCTGTCTCATGGTCCCTCACTCCGTCCTGCTCCTTCTTTGCCACTTTGATGAGGAGGTCATCTTTCTTCTTCAGCTCTTCTCTGAGCTTCTTCACCTCCTCCTCCCTTTGGGCCAGCAGGTCCAGAGTGTTAGCATGGACCTGTCCTATGTCCTCCTGCATTTTTGTCACTTCAGCCTGTTTGAGCTCTTGCTGGCTGATGGTGTCTCTGAGGGTTTTGTTCTACTCCTTGAGAGTCTTGAGCTCATTGATGGTTGAGCAGAGGGTCTCTCTCAGACCCTTGATGATTTGATCATCAGAGAGCTGAGGACTGGGTTGCTGCTGCTGAACAGCTGGAGGTACATTCACGCCGTGCACAGAAACAACTGGCACACAAGGCTAAAAGAGACAAAGTTACATGAGGTTGATTTGAAAAAAAAAACCAAAAAAAAAACAACCCAGAACTTTGTAGACATAGATACATCGCTAATGTAGTTAGTTATAGAGGGTCCAATTAGAAACCCTCTAAACTGCTGACCCCAGGCTTTTTAAGCCTCCCTGACCACTTGTCAATAATTTTCTTTTTTTCTTTTCCTGTATGTTCCATGTCACTATCCTGTCTTTAAAAACAATTAAATAAAAGCACAGTTTAACAGGATTTTGTTGTAAAATGTTGCCAAAGGTCAAAAGCCAGATTTAGCCCAGAAAGGTCTGTAGAGTTTGAGAACTCTGCATTGAAATCTGGTCTTCAATGTCAGTCCATTCGTTGGTCATTTCCTCAATTTCGGATCATTTAAAGAGCTTCTACCAGCTGGTGTTTAAGATTATTTTTGTTTACAGTGGTTGAGCAGTTGGGGCTCTAAATTGGCTCTTGTGTTTGACTAAAAAGCTTACAAAGTTCCTCTACAGGGGGTTTCTTGAATCTTAGATAGTTCATTGTCCCTATGGTGCAGAATCCTTGCACATTATTCTAAAGTTCCTTATTTTGGTGTGCATCTGGATCAGCTTAGTTTAATAAATAAGCCAAAAATAAGCTTGGTCAGCTAGAAGAGAGCTTCATCTGATGTATTTGGTTTATTTGTGCTACTATTAAATATTGAATTGTAAAAACACATTCTCTCAGGTGAATAATTTCAACAGACTCGTGTTAACTTGATCCAAACGTTATATTTGTCTACAGCACAGAGCAAAGATACGTCTTTTTTTCCATGACATGATGATAAAAGTCTTCAGTGGCGTCGACATTCAGACCAAAATCTGCAGCAGAATCAAACTTACAGAGGAGCTTCATTTCTCTCAAGTCGGTCAAAATAAACTTTCAATCATTTATTCATGTATTTACAAATCTATAGAGAGCTACATGAAAAAATAATCTGTGATTTTATCCTGGAATCAGAAATCCTGACAGGAGAGACAGACAGACAGAAAGGATGGTTTCCAGAACTTCCAGTCCTTCAAACATGTAAGACTCAAACAGGTTGAAATAGTTCATATTGGACTTGATGAGCACTGATCATTCACACACACAGACTAGAGAAAATCTTTCATTCTAGACGCTGATTTACAGAAAAGAAAATATGACATTATTCAACTTCGGACTCAAATCCTGCCTGTGATTTCCTCTCTGCCCTCTTCTTCTTCCTCACTGAGCTGTACATTCTTCTTCTTCATTTTCTCCTCTTCATATATTAACATTCATTCCTGTGTGGGACATTTATTCAGACATGACAGAAAAGTGGCAAAAACCCTCAATTAAAACATAAAATCATCACGTAATACTGTTTGAACACAGAGTTTAAAATGGGTCTGTTCGGAGTGACGGCGTAAAAATAAAACCCAGAGAGCAGACGGATGGGCAGGAGATGATGATGATGATGATGATGATGATGACGATGTTCATAAAGATGAAGGTGTTTATAGGTTGCTGAACAGTTCGTTCCTCTTGCTCCAGTCCATGGGCGGGGCTTTCTTGGCGGAACGTTTCTGGTGAGCTCGCTCTCTCGCCTGAGCCAAAGACATACCCAGACCAAGACCATCTGCGTCAGGGGCCGGCTCAGGGATCCTCTCAGCCTGAAAACACAAACAGATGCATGCTTTATGTTTATCCTTGATGCACATCCACACTTTTAAACATGAATCACTTCCTGAAGTTTATCTTCTGGACTGGATTTGATTAGTAAAACCTTCACTCATTACCTCTGAAAGGTTGATGGCGACTGCTGGCGTGGATGTGTTGGATGAGGCACTTGAGCTCTCAGACACGGTGCGTTTAATCTCTTCTGCTGCAGCCTGTAAAAAAGATTAAAAAAGTATAAGGCAACAAAAAAGCTAAATAAATGCACTAAAAACAGCAGCTCAATGGCGATCACCTCTTTAAAGCTCAAACAGAAACTACGCCAAAACATCATGAAATAGGTGGATTTTTATGTCAACACTACTTGAATAAATAGACATAAAAGTAGGTGGCACATTCTACTTTAATATGATGTGAAAAATGTGAAAGTTTGTTTGCAATCCAACAGATAATTAAGTGTATTATTCCTTTAATTTAATTACATCAAACCCAAACATACTGACAGAGACGAAACAAGTGTCTGGCAGACTCTCTCCACCTGTTTTAGTCATGTGGGTAATCTTTTCTGTGTTGCCCAGCAGGGGGCAGCAGAGCCCTCCTGTCAGTGATCCTGACTCACAGCGGGTCTTAATCAGTCCTCATCTCTCACTCATTAAAGCAGAAGCTCAGTGTCAGCTTTAATCTGTGTGCAGGATGTTCAGCTGGATGAAATATTAACTCATTGCTGAGCTACACCGCGACCCCGTGTGACTCACTACATGTATGATCGGTAAACAGCTGCTCGGCTAAAAATACACTCTGTAAGTGGCTTTAGACAAACGCTTCAACATGCTGCATGACCGCTCAAACTGACCCACTCTGAGTGCAGTTTAATCCAGACACTCCTCCTTTAATGTCCTTTCTATTTCCACTGATTAAACTTATAAACCTCTTAAGATGTTAGCTGTAATTGACTGGCTGCTGTTTATTTCTATCCCCTGAGTTTAGCTACAGAAGCCCTGAGCGGCGAATGAAAAACTAGCTCCTCCTTTGTCGGATCTGAATTATTTTACTTGAAGTAATTTAATTATTTACAGGAGAACATTTTTTTCTGAAATAAAATATCAAAATAAAAACAAACCAACAAAAAAGACACACACACAAAAAAAAAAAAAACGAAAATTTTTAATGCTGTTATTACAGGCAGGGTTTAGCTGGATAGCTGAAGCTCACTCATCAGCACATATATCCGACCCGCAGTATCGCTCTGATGTTGACTTTTACTCCAGACACAATCGCTCGCACCATGAGCAGATCAGTAAACAGCACCTGCTGCTTCACTGCAGCAACAGTTTGCACCTCCTGTTTTGGCCTTTTGCCTACCAAAAAAAGTGAAACTGTTTGTCTGTTTGAAACCTCTTGAATACCAATTTGGCAGCAGACTACAGAACAGGCTCGGCAGTTTGCTGACAGTTTCAACTGAGCAATTTCATGCCTTTGTCTGGAGCAGAAAGGCCACTTTGAAGATGTTTCATGCTGTTCTGAAATCTTACATTATGGTCCCAGAATAAAGCTATGAGACGCAAGTGATTAAGATTAACATATCTGCTTTGTTCACTGTCAGCTTCTCTCTTTGGAGACTTTTTCTCTGCTGGCTCAGATATTCATCTAAATACTCTATCAAACAGTGAATAATGACAATGATTGTGCTGCTCATGAGTGAGGAGAGAGAGTCACTGATGCAAAGCAGCAATAATTCTGAAAGTGAAAATCTGTCAAACAAGCGTGAGAATAAGTTTAGCTATTGTGTGTTATAGAGAATCAGTATCCTTTCTTCAACATACACATGTAGATTTTTGTTTGAGAAGAAAAAAAGTTAAGTGTATTTTATGAGCCAAATGCAGTGATGAATTAAGTCACTATTTTATGGCTTTGTGTAGATCAAAAACTCTGAACTTACTAAAAGACACCATTGCAGTCCAACCAACCCCATTAATTATCCTTTGATTATGCAGGTAAATATAGAAACTGAATCTGAGGTTGATGATTCATTGATTTTGAACATTTTTTTTTTTAAGTATAAGATATATGATGGGTTTTTTTCTTTTTTTTTTTCTACACTTAACTTCAACAAAAAGTTTGACTTCAGTGACTTCCTAACATCATTGACAAAAAAAAGGAACTTAAATACTTCCATCTCCAAACTCTCTGTTTGTGACCTCAGAAAGGGAAGTGTACCTAATTATTGTTTTTTCAAAGAGGGTACTTCTATTTAAATTTTAAAACAAATCTAAATACAAAATAATTTAAAGTTAATTTTAATTTGTTTTTCTTTAGTCGGTCTAACATAAAAACAGTTTTGGTCTCTGACATGGTGGAAAAAGTCATGCTGTATAAATTTTTAGACCAAACTCTAAAATGGAAAAAAAAAAATCACTGCTATTAAAAATGAGCAGATCGCAGAAACAGTCTCCCACTCCTCAACTTTTAACTTCATTTCCTGTAATATGTTGTCAACGAAAAGTAAAGATTAGTTTCAAAGAGGGATTTGGGAGCGCTTTGCCTTTTTTTTTGTATATTTCAAACTTTTTTTGGCAGACTTGAGTACTTTTTTGTTAAATGCTTTTTTTCCACCTTTAAAAACTATAAAACATTTTTTTTTTTTTTTTTTAACTTTTCACTATTAAGAAATTTACAAAGTAGTATCCAGACATGTCCAAGTATATTATCTGTTCCTCAATCAGAGACACAGGTGAAAGCAACTGTATCAACAAGAAATTAATTTTGCTTCACTGTCACCTCAGGGCCCCCCTACCTCTCATTAAATCCTACAGCAGGGGAGGGGGAGGTTTGCTGATATGTAGGTCCCAGCCTTTCAATTACTTTTAGATGAAACAGAGTGCGGTACACACACACACACACACACACACACACTGTCACATGACTAAGGCCAGAGGTGGTCATTAGCATTTACTCGACATACTCTGTGCTGTGTTACATAATTTCAGCTGAATGACTGATTGTTGTTTTTGTTGTTGCTGCAGAGAAAAAGAGTCTGTCTACGTGTGTGTGTGTTTGTGTGTGTGTGTGTATGTGAACAGCACTTGTTAGTCTTCTCATTAACATAATCCCCAACTCCCCCTGAGAGTTAAACCCACTTCAATCCCATGATCCTCTGGGACGTGAGTGAGCCAGAGAGAGGGAAACACTCGGGTGAGCTCTTGTTGCCATGGTGAAGGGTCAGCAACAGTGTCACCACAGAGGCCAATCCACTTTTCCCATGTTGTCATTGTGTGTGAGTGTGTGAGTGCGCGCGTGTGTGTGTGGGGGCGAGTATTTACTTTTGATAAACTGGCCCTGCTGTGTTGTTCGTATGTCACACGACCACATGGTGCTGATGCTTATTACTCATTAAAGGGGTATTCCACCAATTTAAGAAAACAAACTATGAGCAGAGTGAGAGACAAACTGTTGAAACAGGTATGAAAGTAACCCTGATGGTACCACAAACCTGGATCTTTAAAAAAACAAAATAAAAAAGTGGATTTACCAGGCAATGAGGGTCTAATAATAACTTTACGGTGCACTCTGGGAAGTGTAGGATCCATCACTTTGTGGGTTTGACAGAACAAAGTGACTTAAAAACATGATTTTTTAAGACACTCCCTATTTATCTTAAACTGGTGTCTATGAAAACCCTCATTCCTGCCCTTTGCAGACTCATCCTGAAACACTTCTTCACACTGTTTTGTGGTCATGAAATTACCCAGAGGTTATGCCTTTTTGGAAAACACCACTGTCTCTCCAGGGTTCTGTCACAGCTGAGATGTAAATCCAGCTCATTCTGGTCTTTGTTTTCAAAGGAGTCGCCGTGAAGTGGCGAACAGAAACTCTGGCCGTTGCTTTTTTTTTCTTTTAAATCAACTTTGAGGGAATATCGAACATGACATGCAAACGTTACGTTTTAGTTTTTCAGTCCTATCAGTGTGGGCTTTTTTCTGAGCCTCTGGCAGAGGGGCTTCTATAATAAAGGCGGTCATGCAGGGTTGATTACTTGCTGTTGTGCTGTTCAAAGGTGATGCCTCCCCCGCTGCCGTCGTTTCACTTGGGTCATTGGGTGAGCCCATAAACTTGTTGTTCCTGATGAGTAAGGTGGTGTTGTGATTGTCAGCTCGGCGCAGCTTTGCCTGATCATGTCCTCCATTTTTGTCAAAAATAGTTACTGTTTAAATCTACTTAGGTCAAGAGTGCAGGGATTGGCCAGGTTACGAAGAAAGCGCCCTCTGCTGGATCATACGGCAAGCTACTGATGAAGCGTTCAAACTCATATTAAATCAGTGTACTAGAGCAGTGGTTCTCAAGTCCAGTCTTTGAGGCCCACTGATTCAACACACCTGATTCAAATGATGAGCTCGTTATTAAGCCATTCCAGAGCTTGATAACGAGCTGATCATTTGAATCAGGTGTGTTGGAGCAGGGAAACATCCAAAACATGCAGGACAGTGGGCCTCGAGGACTAGACTTGAGAACCACTGCTCTAGTATACTGATTTAATATGAGTTTGAACGTCTCATCACAGTTTGAATATGAACGTTTCCCCCAGAGCTCAAATAGAGGTTCAAATTTTATAAACAAAGTGACACTAATACACAAAATATACACTTTTTTTTAACCTCTCAAGCCACTCTTTTAAGTTTATGTTGTCTTTCCTGCTAAACTATTCTTGTTGCACTATTTTTATATGGACTGGATTGATTGGATTTATTTTTAGCAATGATGAAGAGACAGCAGTAAGGGAGGTGTACCAAAAGAAACACAGACCCTTACAGGTTATCTGGGCTCCCCTGGTCATCCCTCTTAAATGCTATCAGTCTCACACAGCTTTGCATCTGTGTGATGATTGTGTGTGTGTATGTATGTGTGTGTGTGTGTGTCAGATTTTTACAGTTAGTCCTGACAAGAAACACACAAAGACAGACCGACCTCTTCTGAACACTGTCCAGAACTCTTAATCTGATACCGGGAACGTTCAGAGAGGATCAGTGAGGCTTTCCCAGGACACTATCTGTAACTCTTTGTGTGTGTGTGTGTGTGTTTGTGTGTGTGTGTGTGACCTCACCTCCTCCTCTGATGCTCTCTCTGACACTGGCTCTGGAAGAGGTCCTGCAGGGAGCAAGAAGATGTTTACTTTTCATGAAATTGAATTGTGTTCATGTATCCTTCTCTTGTTTTTAGACTCTGACTATAAAGATGCAATGCATTGTGGGTAATAATCATGTGCTGTGTACCAGTAAGGTGTTCCTCAGATGGCACAACGTTGCAGCTTTTGAAGAATTCGTCAGCCTCGGCATCGACCACCAGAAGCCTGCTCTCGTCTCCTCCTGCTTTAATGGCCGCCACCACCTCTGAGTGCTGCATCCCAATCACACACACTCCATTTACCTGAGGGAGGAGGAGAGAAGGAGGACAGGGAGAAGAGAGGGACAAGGAGGGCAAGGATAGGAGGACAAAGACAGCAGGAGAGTAGAGGGTGGGGGATGGGAGAGAAAGAGTAGGAAAGAGGTAGAGAGGAGAAGAAAAGGAAAGGAAGGAGGGAGGATAGGAGCAAGGGAGGAGGTAAAGAGGAGGAGGGATGGAAAGGAGAAAACAAGGAGGAAAGGAGGATGAGAAAGAAAGAAAACATTGAATGAGAAACTTTGGCTTTCAAATCGATAATACTGAAATCATTTAGGGTTCAATGCACCAAAATATGTAAAAAACAAAACAAAACAAAAAATAACATTTAAACTAAAGTCACACTAAGTGTGTCAGATTTTCTGTAAAGAGCAACCTGTAGGTTACAGTTTTTTACAACATTAACACAAAACTGTGACTAAAAAAGGCTGCTGAAAAATTTCGGAAACTGTATTTTTTTGTTTTCAAAGTCTTTACCGACAAGACTAGTACTCAGATCCGATTGAGGATCTGCTAAATCAAGCAGGACTTCCTCACATTGGATCACACTCATATTTGGTTGCATTTATACATTCATGTTAATCTTCCTCCAGACTGATTCACTGGGGTCGGTAATCTGCTGGACTCCAGTTTAGAAACGTAATGAATGAACAGACAGCTGACAGAGCAGTCCTGGTGCTGCTGATGGAAACATTCAGTAACACTGTTGTTACAGGGCGCGGCCTACAAGCAAACTCCCAGAGCTGGAACTAATCAAGCATCCAGGGAGATAAGGCGCTGAGGAATCCTGGGGGAGGAAGATCGGGAATACCATTGTGGATTTCACCCTCTCCCACGATGGACAGGTGGTACAGAACACTCTGTTATCCTCCTTCACAGCGACCCTCCCTCCCGACCTACTCTCTGACCTCCACAGCGTTAAACTCGGCATTTCTCTTTCCTGACATCACCGTCCTACCAGGGTTTTCAACATGACTCAAGAGTCCAAATGACAAAATGTCTCGAAACAAGCTGAAACGGCGGCAAAGTAATCCCTGGAGCAAAAAACAGAGTATACCAAACACATAGAGACGGACTCTGGGTTACAGAAAAGATCAGGACGGTGACAGAACAGAGAATTTAACACTTTCTGTCAAAGCAGAGGCTGAATTTTCTCCACATGACTCAGTTAATCAAACAGTTATCTAACCCTGCTGGTCTAAAGGTCAATCGGTTAGTTTTATGTGTTACTTTTTGACTCTGGTGTCGTACAACTGCTTTACATTCAACGTTATTGTAACCAAAGACGAGACAATTTGAATGAAACCTAAATTTTGCACATTATAAATCATTCGTAAACATGTTTTCATTATCATCCTGATGAAGGTGAAGCTGCTGTACGAGTCTACCGTGCCTTCGAGGAGAGCGATATAACAGCTGTTTCTGGTTTCTGAGGCATTCCAGTGTTTTAAACCTGGGGATTACTGACCCAAAGGTACAAAAGTTTGGAGTTACTCCAGCAGATTGCTTAAGCCGCTGCGGAACAGGCTGTAGTGGCCGCACCACTATCCTTGGAAACAAATGTGCTGTGAAAGTGAGGAAGTGTTTGTTTTCCTTCCGCTGACAGCCTGGGGATGTTCTCGTAAGTGTGGGAAACATTACAGATGGATTCCCACGGAGACAGACTGTTAAGGCAAATCAAACCTTCACTCACAAGTTTATTGATTTATACCTTAAATCTACAATTAACATTTAACTGAGGCAGCCCGTCTCCTTTATTTCACACAGGGAGAGCTGACCACGAACATGCAGAGTATGTGTGTCACATGAATGTAAAATGTAAACATGCATGCGACTACAGATGGGAATGGAGAACCAGTTCTAACTAGTTTGAGCTGTTGACATAATTTGCTTTCATTACTGATGCCTTCTGCTTCGTTAAATATCCAAATGATAAAAGTATACTTGTGTTAAAGTTAATACTTTTCTGTCTGTTTCAATATCCTAGTAGATAGTACGATCCATTTCTTAGCCATCAAACTCCACTGACAAAGACAGTCATCCAAGCCTCAAGGGCACTGGAGTAGTTCACTTCATGCTGCCTTGATCAACTAGTTTTTTGTTATTTTGTGCAACATAAATCCTGTTTTAGCTCCATACAAACTCAAAAGTCAGTACCACCTTCAACTTAAAGGGATATTCCAGAGTAAAATTAAGTTAGGGTCAAACACAACATAACACCGAGTTAGACACCTCCTCGAGAGATGAATGTTGCCGACTGCTTACTTCTCTAGTTATTGCAACTTCAGCAACGACCGCATGATAGAAATACAGAGCGGTCTATGTCTTCACGTGCAAACCTCAACCAAAATGCCACTCTATAACCACAAATAATTCTCAGAACAGCACCTAAATTCATCAAGAGTATACATAGGGTCCCAGCCACAGTACTAGCCATCAAACATATTTTTTGCTTTGCCTAATTCTTTAGCAAAGAAACCACACACAACTCACCCACTCTCCTCCAGCAGCTGTTTGTTTGTGGGCTCAAACTAGCCCTGACGAGTTGATCACAGAGTGGAGCGGATCATCATAATAATCATTTTGCACCACAGACCCGGTAGTTTTTCTGCCTTCGCGTCTCGGTCAGATTACATTTCCATTAAGTAATAATCATAAATGTTCTTCTTTAAGCTGTGAAACTCCCCTGCACTCGGTGACCAACTCTTCAGGGCTCCCCCACAAACAAGCCGCTGTTGGAGGAGAGTGGGTGAGTTGTGTTTGGTCTTTTGGTTCTGAACATTGTTTGTTGCTAGGAGTGGCTTTTTGGTTGAGGTTTGCACATGGAGATGTAGAGATTACTGTGTATTGCTATCGTGTGGTCGTTGCTTAAGTTGGTATAACTAGAGAAGTAAGCAGTCCGCAACTTCGAGGGGGTGTCTAACTCTGTGTTACGGTGTGTTTGACCCTAGCTTTATTTTACGCCAGAACATTCCTTTAAGAGTTCTGCAGCCTGAACGATATATTGTTGTAACATAGCAACTGCGATGCATGCATCAGTCACATCCATAGTCACGTGTAACGACACAGCCGAGAGCTTTTCTTTTCAGCACATAGTAGCAATGTGAGACCCACTATGATCTACCTCGTCCATGTCCCCCTAATGCTGGGGAGTCCCTCATCGCACTTAAGAGCCCCAAAGCTTACAGCTAATTTACTTCAGGGTGGATTAATGATCCTGAGGTTCATCCTGGGGAGATGAAGACCCTTTTCTTGATTAAAAGGAATATAGGATACTGGGGGTTACGAGAGGTTGAATTAACAGTAATGATTAATATTTGCTAGGTAGTTCATAATGAACGATTTGTCAACTACCATAAAAATAATCAAGGTGATAAAACAGAGCGCTTTCTAGATTAATGTGAGCTGTCTCGATTTTGAACCATATGGGTTTATCTAGTTGTAGCTAAGCTCCATTGACTTATAAACAGTGTTGTTAACTGCAGGTGGAGCATTTAGTATTACCCTAACACTCCCTGGGTCACACAGCAGGAGGATGGGATGGCCCTTATGGCTCACTGCAGCTGTAAGAAAGGCTTAAATAGATTTATACTCCTAAGTAAAAAAGGTCAGTACAGTCTGTTTGTGCTTTACTTTTGCTGCATCCCACAGCTTCAGTGGAGGATTATGGTCCCCCGGTGGCTTTGAGGAGGGCTGTTTCTAGTTAAAAAAGATCTAACCTCTTATCAGTCTGTAGAGGGATCCTGTCTGATGTTAAAATAACAATCTGAGCCTGTTGGTGGCAAAAACAAACATTTTTATTCAATATTCTGTCATTTGGGAAACTTTACCTTGAGGGTTTCTTTGCAGCTATCACAGCCCTGTGAAGCAATCTGCTGGAGCTGCACCAAAACCTTTATAGCTGCTAAAATATGTAAAAAGTGATCTCAAAATATCATAATTCCCCTCTTAAACTCTTACATGCCAAGTGTAAAACCTCTATTTTGATACGGGTTCAGTCGGTACAGTTGTGGAGTCCCCTCATTTACATCATCCCCCGCCCCCCGCCTCGTCTCTCCTGCACGTGAGCGGCCCTCAGACTGTGCGAGAAGCCTGTAATTCAGCCCTCAGACGCAGTAAGTGGATTAACTGTGACCCTGCATGTTCTACAAGGCCAACATGACGGTCATCACACACTCGCAGCGTGGGGGGAAACTTGTATTTCGACACATACACGCTCGGATAAATACTACGAAAAAAAACCACAAGAACCTGAAGGTGAACACCTCTGAGCTCTTACAGAAGCCCACCCACATCACAGCTGCAGGAACTCGCAGTCTAATAATAACCTAATACCTCCTGGGATTTCAGTTTGCCCACTCTGGTAATAGGATTAAAGCCGATACACATACAAACAAAATAAAACTTCTTGCACTTTCATAAGAGGCTGTTTGTGGGTGCATGTTGTGTACCTCGATGATCTTGTCCTTTGGTTTGAGTCCGGCTCTCTGTGCCGGAGAGTCCTCGTCCACAGCTCTGATGAACTGACCTGGTTTAGATTTCTCACTGTGCAGGTTGAAGCCGTATCCGTTTGGTCCTTTCTTCAGGCTGCAGAGACGAGGCCGCGGCCCGCTTCTCTCCTCCTGCACACAGAGAAGAAAATTCAAGAAAGGCGTTACCGAATACTGCAGGATGCTTTACTGGTGAAAAATGCTTTCAGCCCCTGATGTGCAGTGTCATTTCTGCTTCTGCTTCTTATCAACTGTGGTCCATCAATGTAAAGAAGTGCAGGCCAGGCAAAGTGCTTAAAATCTCATAGATAACAGTCTGAAATATGTGCTTTGAAAGACAAATGACAAAACTGGAGACAAATGTATCCTACCCAAGATTTTTTTTTTCTATTTCCTGCACTGTTTACAGATCAATCAGTGACTTCAGAAACAACTATGTGTTCAGATTAGAGAAAAATATCTGCAAAATATACATAATTTCTTGGTTTACCATAATCCTTTGCCCATCAGTACTGGTGAGTCTCAGTTTCACTGTAAATAACAATTCAAAAAGAGACTCAACTCTGACTTTCTTTGGCGGTATAAACCTGAGAGAGGAACCACAACTTCTCTTTGAATACGCTTGCAATAACTGAGCCTTTTGTTTGCAGAATAACAACATCATGATGTGCAAAATTCAAACTCTGTCAGGTCTGTATTCAAAAGGAGTAAAACACAACTTTTGAAATGTTTAAAGCTCTTGAGGGAATTTTTTTGGTATCTTTAAAACAGACTGAATTTGTATCAGTGTCTAATTATGAAACCCTACAGCAAACAAAACTATCAGCAACATAACTGCTGAGTTTTATGTCCTAATTCTGAATGTTTTTTATTGTTTTTATAGAGGGAAAGATAAGTAAAGTTTTGTCCACGGGAGGCGCCAAAACGGACACAAATTTAAAGTTTCTTACATTAGCTTTAAAACTCCAATGAGGAGTTTTTGGTCCTGATAGGCATCTGCAGGATAACTATCCAGCACAGTAACACACACTACTTGAGTTAGTAGTGAATTAAATATAAGCAAATTAGTTAAAATTAATAGCATTGAGGGGAAGGATGGACTTTTAGTGGGAAGTAAACAAATGCAAAGTGACATGAAGTCTTATATATGTTAGCGATGTTGTGAAATTAATAGGCGCCTAATTATCATGACTTGTGAAACCACAATTATTACTCAGACTATCACATCTCAATCTCTCTTTCTCGCTGTAGTTTCTGTCAATAAAAATAATAGTCTTGTTTGCTACAGTAGGATCAACAGAATCACTGGTGTTAAGTCTCCTCTCCGAAGGTATAAGTATGACAAAATTTAAATTATTTGAATTCTGATAAATATTAACTCTTATCTCTAACATGAGAGGTCAGAAATTTTTAAAATTTGTTTCAACATCTGGCATTTTTGTTTGATCTATAATGATTGAACTAATCATCTCAAATATCATATTTTATATTTTAGTTGCTTTAAAGAAAAAAATTACATCTCTTTTTTTTTTTTGCTGCAACTCAGCTTGACGTCTACCAAGCTAGAGTATCGAGCTCTGCTTTATTCACCCTTGGCCAGCTTTAAATTCTCAGTCTGTTCATTTTAAGAGGGGAATACCTCTGTGGATAAACAGGCCTTGGGTAAATCCTTGAGATGCCTAAATCCAAGCTGAGCTATTGTACTGGCAGCTCAGCTTGCAGCCTCTCCAGACATGACCAACAAGCCATAAAGCCTTCAGAAAAGAGTGATTTTTAACAGTAAAACCACTTTATTTAGATTGTAGACCTCCAGGTAAAACCTTTTACTGGTTTACACTTGAAGTAGTAAAAACATTAACCAATCAATTTAGGTAGCACACTGATTAATAACCATCTTTTCCAAGAGAAAACTGCGTAATGAGGTGTTTTAAGGAGGATAAAGCATCAGAGAATAAGTCAGCCTCCATTATTTATCAAATATATAAAAAAAGAGACACAACAGGATGGTTCATGGTGTTACAGCCTGCCAATGTTATGTGCAATGAGACAACTACAAGGAGGAGATAAAAAGGTCAGATCTTACAGACAGAAAGGGAGTCAAACTGATGATCTCAGGGATTGACTTTTAGGGGACAGCCCCTCCTTTTAAACTGCTGCATGTTACATGAGCATGAGGCAGTACTCATGCTCTGATAAAAAAAAAAGTCCCACGCCCACTTGTCACCTGATAAACCTGGAGCTATCTGTAAGACATCGTCAGCTATCCGCGGTTATCTCGGTGTTATTCCCCGACAGGAGTGAGTTTGAGATGAGGCAGTGCAGCCTCAGCAGACGCACCCTCTCACACAGGATGATGTATTAATCTCAAGAGTTTATATGAAATCAGCAGGGTTGATGATTGTTGAGTGAGGGAGCGAGTGAGCGTTCAGGTGAGATGATAGTCAGGTTGGACCTTTGAATAGAGTCGCACATTTACGACAGAGGACACATAACCAGGAGCAGTAAAGATGATAAGGATGATACAGTGAGGTGCAAAGTACAATCCAGGAACACCAACTTATCTCATCCTGCAAGCTCAATCATACACCTATAAATGTTCCCCTTGTATGCATGTATCACATAACAACTATTGACAGAACTGCAAGTCCTGAAAATGTCACTAGGCTTGGAAAGAAGTTAACATGTCGCAACCCCCATTCTTGGAGATGATGTCGAAGTGCAAACTGCAGTTCCTCAAGCGTCCACTTGAGACTGAAGCTCACGTCAGAGGTTTTTTGAAGCCTAATACAAAAGACCAAGTTTGTTCCTTTATTCATCAAACTGGGGTGATGATGCATCCAGTCTGAATGCATTAAACCAGAGTTATGCATAAATCTACATAAAGAGGGGCATGACTGGGTTGTTTGAAAGGTGGAGGCTTTGTAGTCCTTTGCCAGGAAGCTCAGCTCCACCTCTTTGCTCCTTTCTCTGCTGGAAAGTCCTGATGAAGTCAGCATTTCTGTTGTGCGTCCTACAAAAACTAATGTGTGGTATCACTGAGACTTCACCCATGTTTTTTTCACTGTCCATAGAAGGAAGAGACACAAACTCTTTGACCTCTTAAATAAAATGAAAAGTGTCCTCAAAGATGAATTTGTTGGTGTGGTATAATCTCCAGTAAATGCTTCATTTCCCAGTAAGTGTTCAACCTCAGCCACTTAAGGTCATTTCAGTCAGTGAGCCACAATAACCATAAATAAAAACTGAAAATGAATGATTGATAAATATTTTTCTGAACTGAGGAACATGGACAAATGATGTGTGAAAAACCACGGGTCTTTTTATGTTTCCATGTTTAGAGAGACTATAAAGCTTTACCATCACTTAGGGATGTGCACATTTGGTCAACTATGAGAAATACAACTAACGTAGTTACTGTGTTTGAGTTGTAGTGCAGTCATCCACCACTAGCAGGAGCTCTAGCTTTGGTTAAAGGGATATTCCGGCGTAAAATTAAGTTAGAGTCAAACACAGCATAACACTGAGTTAGACAACCCCTTGAAAAATGAATGTTACTGACTACCAACTCTAGTAACGACCGCACGATAGCAATACACAGCGGTCTACGTCTCCACGCGCAAACCTCAACCAAAAAGCCACTCTATAGCCACAAATAATGCTCAGAACAGCACCTAACTTCATCAACAGTCAAATAGGCTCCCAGCCATAGTACTAGCCACCAAACATCTTTTTAACTTTGCCTGATTTCTTTAGCAAAGAGACTAAACACAACTCACCCACTCTCTTCTAGCAGCCGCTTGTTTGTGGGGGAGCCCTGACGAGTCGATCACAGAGTGCAGTGGAAAATTTATGATTATTACTTCATGGAAATGCAATCAGACTGAGATGCTTAGGCATAAGAACTACCATGTCTGCAGTGCAAAATGATTATTATGATGATTATTACTTCATGGAAATGATCCACTGCACTCAGTGATCGACTTGTCAGGGCTTAAAAATGTAGAATATATAAAAAAAATATACTTCAAAATTGTAGTTAGTTAGAATTTCCAATTTTGGTTTAAACAATCAATAAATTATTTGCTCAAGAAAATCCCTTTGTAATAGAAACACTTGAGCTACACCTGTATTTTTGCATACTGTTGCGTCATAACCCAAATGCTTAATATCCTTAAATGTTAATGAGGTTTTGCTCTGGCTATTATGTTTTTACTTTGGAGCAATTAAAACTGGATTATTGAAACTCCCAAACAGCAAAAGAACAGCAAGCAATAAAACAACTAACAGATATATTAAAAATCAATATAAAAATGTCTACATGCAATGATAAATGTGCATAACATGTCTTATCATTATTACTATTTATAGAGCATCCAACTCCAATACCTCTTGTTTGTTTTCATTGTTATAATTTTAGAGCTCTTCTCTATTTAGTTTTTTATTAAATTGGCTTTAGATGCACAAAGATTCTCGTGAGACCTACACTGCCTTAAACCTGTGCAAATGGTTATGAACAATCCCCTACTGCGAGGCCATGGCTTTCCCCGTCATTGTTTCCTTTTTTCATGCATGACATATGAGGAGAGTCAACAACAAACTAACAATCCGCTGATGCAATATCATTATTCTCAGTGTTTTAAGCTCGTACAGCACCACCCTGGTCAAGTAAATTTAGACTTGTGTTTCTGATGCTGAAGGATTAGTTGTGTTGATAATACTGTTGTTAACTTAAACTGATCCTGAGTGCAGCGTTTGTGTTTCTGGTCCTCTTACTACTCGAAGTGCTTTCTATTGCATGCAAACATTCACCCATTCATGCAGTGTTTATGCAATGACTCCACAAAATCCAATATAAATACACATTAACAGCCACACCTTTGGCAGTCACTTGGAGTTCAACATCCTGCCCAAGGTCACCCGGACAGGTGGACAGGTGGGGCCAAACTGGGGATCAAACTGCTGACATTCAGATAAGTGGATGACCCGCCCTGTTTTTTGCACCACATACAGTAAATACATATAAGTGAAAGGTCTTACTTGTTGTCAAAAGAAAAATCACCTGGTACCATCAGCTGTTGGAGTTTAACTAGCATCAGTTGACTAACTGTTTTGTCCTTCTGGCCCACACTTTTATCGTTGTTTTAACTCTCACAACATCATCATCTACCTCATTGTGCTGTCTCAGCTGCAGGCTGTTGTCAGTTAAACACTGTCTGTGTGTAAAGTCTGGATATCAACCACATCTTAGACTTCACGCTGTGCAACTACTAAGTACGCACGCAAACCTAGCACAGGCTCAGCACTGTAAAAACCTTCAACCAATCCCAACAGAAAAGTAAATCAGGCATGACACATAATTCAAAAAAATCGAATAAAAAGAGCATGGACGAAGCATGACGCCGGATTTATATCTGATCTAGTCATGGGAAGAAGAAAACTCAAAAATAATCCAGTTATGACCCTTCAGGGAAGAAAACTCTTCCTGGCAAAGATCCATCTATTGCTCAAACTTGTTTGTGTGCCAATATCAATGAATCTATGCACATTAAGTTTAATACAGGCATAAAATTAAAGCTTATACTATAAAAGAGACATCTCTTTAGCTTATTATCTCTGTAAATCCAACCATGTAATGTGTAATTCTGGTAACATATGAGTAATTTGTGGCATTCAAGGTTTCTCTCTCTCTCTCTCTCTCTCTCTTTGGCAGTCTGTACAGGAAAACCACAGCATCAGCAAAGCGACACACAGCAGAGGAGTGCAGTGACAGCAGGAGCCGTGTGCTAACGACAGCTCAGAGTAAAGTCCAGCTGAGAGGCTCTTTGATACAATAAACTATGATGCATGTTACCAAAGGAACACACACCTGCAGATAAACAACAGAGAGGAGGACACACCTCCTCCTGCATGTGACTGACCAATGACATGATACTTTACGTAAGGTTGGAGTGCGGCGCTACGATTGTGTTATAGAGATCTAAATGGCGTGCTCCTGAAACAGAACAGAAAAAGTAAGTTTCATATTGTAGAGGGAGAAAGACAGCATTCACTGACAACATAATGGGCGTTATGTGACTCTTCTGTCAAGAATAAACGGGAAAAACGAGCTCAGGAGAAGAGGCCATCATGAGAGTCAGACCTGTGGTTTCTGCTCATCAACAGCATGTCCTAACATGTCCCTCCATCTGGAACAGTCTCCCATAATCATTAAATCATAAGCATTATAACATTATTATGATTCAAGGCTGCAGTAAGTTATAAGAGGTGTAGTTTGGTTTGGGAATCAGAATCATGCTTTACATAAACCTCTAAGAAGCCCTACTTTGTTTTCTCTCTCCGTCATGTCACCATATTTAAGTATCCTGTATGACTGTGAAGTGGTGAGTACAAATCTCTATGTTGTGGATTTGGTCCTGAAAAACATACTAAATTCACACCGCTTTCTGGTGCCTTTGACTTTGGAAAACAGCTGTGGTTTTTTTCTCACAACCAAACAAAAATAGGAGAAACTTTCTGAGACATACAGAGAAAAAAAAAGACAAAAAACTGACTTTCCAGTTTCCAACATTTAGTGTAACATTATATGTATTATCAAAGTGTGGATCAGCTTAAGAGACTTAATGTAGCCTCTGTGAAAACACCAGCCATGCACAATAACTGAGTGATATAATGTCAATAACAAGTTACGTAATGTAACACTGAATTGGTTAAATAAATAAATAAACGTGTCAGTGACTATCCATAGCAGCATAATACTATAAATGTAGTACTCAGACTATAGTTATAACATCTAACTCTCCAGTTGTTGCATCTCTCTGCCCACACCTGTGAAAGAGGCCTCAGTGAAACCAGTAGATGCTAACTTTGCTGCAGCATTCAGGCGATGACTTTTTGCACACACACGAACACAGAGACATAAAAACTGACGTGCCACAAACACCCTCAGTGTGGCTTCAGCGTTAGCAGAGTTATAGTGCGAGGTGGCGGGGCGGTCCTTGTAAACATCCTCTGAGCTGAGTCGAAAACCAAAGGTTAATGGTTTTACAGCTCGTTGTAGTTAAACATCAGATCCCCTGCTCCAACATAATGAGGAGTGACTTGTTGTTGGAGGACCTTGAACTGAGGGTGAAACCCTCAACTCTGAGTGAAGGGAGGCTTCTCTGATTACCTCTGGCACAGATCCACACTGAGGGAACAAGGTGCGCTCCACACATGAAGTAAATTATTCATCAATTTTGGGTTTGATTCAATCAAATCAAGATTTATTGATTGTTTACTGTGGACAGTTTGTCTGAAGACAGCGGACGCTCTCACATCGGCCTAAGGAGTAAAACAGTCTATTAGAGGTTTATTGCAACAGACGCTTCAACAGGAAGCGTTACACAACCGAGTTAAGCTGCTCCTCACTGAATGTAAACAGTCAAAATAGGATGGTTATTATATTTGAATGGGGAACTGTAACACTTCACAGTGGAGTTGGACAGATCAGTCGGTTGACCTCTTCATTAGGCCGATAATTTGTATTTGATACCAGCACTAACAAAGGTTTTCCCATCCTTAATAACAGCATCTCTGATCTATTACAGTTAGTGGCTCATGTTTTGCACTGATCAGGCCACTTATTCAGGTTAATTATGGTATTTTGAAATCATTGCCAACAGACTATATGTGGGCTCACAAAATAGATTCCATATCTCCTTTTTCCATTTTTCCCTTTCGCATTAATACTGATTTAAAACGGTTTTCAATCAGGTCGTTTATCCGTCTTATTTTAACTCGTGATAAACAGATTATAGGTTTTTAACAGGTGATGCTGATACTGTTAATGTGAGAGGAGGTCTGCAGATGGCCAATACAAAGTGCTGATATCACAGTGTTGTTGTTTGCATTTGACAAAATATAACAACTTAATGAATCTATTAATTGAGAAACAAAATAGATCAACTTAAGTGTAGTTTTCTATCAAATAAATGTAGACAGAAAAAGTCAAAAGTATCAATAAAAAGTATCGGCACAAGGGACTTTAGGTTCCCTGTCTAACAATGTGGAATTATTGAGAAAGAAAAATGAACATTTGGGTTAAAATTCAAAAAGAAAGTCGTGTTTAAAAAAGATATTTTGTTGTTGGGGATGGAAAAATGTGATTTCATTCAGAGAATCTAATGGTGGTATCGGCTTTTAGCTGTGATATCAGCATCATATCTCCACTTTTAACGCCTTTTTTGTTTAACTCTCACTTATTTGTCTACTTAGTGTGAATAATAAAACTCTGTATTACTTCTTTACATTTAAAGTGGTCACCTTTTTCTTGTAGAAAGCTGTTTTTACTAAAAATAAATCCTCTTTTGTGAGGCTGTGAGGTGATTTAGTGGGTGATGTCCCGTTTAAGCTCTACATTCTAGCTGCCTGCTAACTTCTGCTTTAAATTGACTTCAATAGGAAGGTGTAAACTGACATAATCTACACAAACTACACAAACATGCAGCCTTATGGTACCATTAACCTACGAAAAGACAAAAACAAACACTGCCGCTTCTGCCGGCTCTATAGCAACTCTCTGCAGGGACAGGAAGTGGTTTCCTCAGAGGCTCCACCCGACACACGGCAGCTCGTCTGCCAACAGAGGAAGCCCGCTGTTTGTGAGTGTGAAACGAAAATTATACACAGCCTAAAAGAGCAAATACAAGTGTGATTTCACTGAACATTTAGCTGTATTAGGAGTTGAAGGAAAGGTCAACACTTTAATGTACTATCATCCTGTTTTGTGAGATGCGATCAGTGATCTGGCTAATTCTGGATGTTAATTAAAATGCCAAATTCAGTCACAGCATCACTACTTTACTTTGCAATAAGTGCAGTCCTCCTAAGTGGTGAGTACTGGATATAATATTATTGCCAACAAGTGGAAAATTCAAATGTGCTAAAATAAAGTTAACGTTTCGAAGAGAAGTCATAAACATGAACAGGTTTCTGTGTATTAAGGTCAAGATCTGAATTTTTGAATGTGCCTTCCTGGAAAGAAATAAGTTATTTTCCTCTGATTTTATTTGCTCCTCAATGAGTCTTTGAAATCTTTGAAATGTGGTTCAATTGTAAAAAGAGCAAATAGTGGCAGAGCTGTGTATATAAGTGATCCACATTTCAGAGTATCCACATCTCCCCCAGCAAACTCCCACTTGTTTCTCTGCATACAATCATCCCAATCTGATTGGTCATGCTGAATTCTGGATTTACAGCTGCTGACAGATTAGCGTTAAAAGCGGGCCGAGTCCAGAGCTTGATAACAAAGCTTTATATGTTACATAGAATGAATGCAGTCACAATGTGAGAGGGGGGGTGGACTTCAAAGATGGTTTCCTAATTGCTTGAACCAAATGTAATTATAATCCGTCTCACACTAAAGATTAAATCTAGATGGAGCTGCAGCCTGAGCTTGCAGCGGTCCGATCAGAGCCGGAGGAAGGATCCGGTCACAGAGCAATGGTTGAAATTCAGCTGTCAGAAACATGTCCTCGGTTAAACTCAGGCAGAAAATGCAGAAAATGAAGGAGCAGCTGACTTTCCTCTGAGAGTAGAAAAAATGACCGGCAGGCGTTTTTGTTTCTGAGGCTTATTTAGACGACGTCACGGGGGAGAACTGCGAGGCAGAGAGGAGCTCAGACAGATGACGCCAACAGGACTTTTATGGCGTTTGTTTTGGACGGCAGCCTGAATGAGAAATCATCTGATTGAAAGTTGCTTTATCACGCTAAGTGATCGAGATTCAGACTCAGAAACAAAACTCCACAATACACCGTTTTGACTTATCATTAAAGCACAGTACACAACTCTAACAGACTATACAATCAGATAAACCTAATCTTACTCCCTCACTAATTTTTTTGTGTATTTCAAGTGGTTGCTTTGCTGCAAGGCGCTCTGGGATACAGAGCATTGCTTACCAGGCTGGTCACACCACTTTTTAAACAGCCTCTCTCTGTCATTTGGTCGTATTTTTAAGAAAACAGTGGATTGAACCTTTAAGAGTAAGAATATTCTTCTTCAGAGTACACGCTCACATGTGACAGGAAACAGCATGTCCACTAAAATCAACTTCGGAAAAGGCTGCTGCACCGAAACAACAAACTCTAGATTTTAAAAGGAAGAATAAATGTCCCAGAGAGACAGAAAAAGCTGTAAAGAGAAAGTGCTGAATACATCCCTTTGGATGACCAGCCTTCCTCCGGGGTAGAGACAGCAGGTTTTTTTAACTTCTTTTGGAGTTTTTGGAGTCTTATCACTACATTTCAGACAACCACAGAGCAGTATGGGAAAGTTTATGATGATAGAAAACATGATGTGACTGCTGTTAGTTTTCTCACACTAGATTGATTCATCCACATGGAATAAACTAAGGGCAACTACTGATTCTTCTCACAGCACTGCTAATGCTTACAAAATAAATGCAAACCCCGAAGAGAGAGTGAGAGAAGCATAAGCACAGCTCGATTAGACGCGGACATTCACACAGGAGTACACAACCTTTTCTGTGAAGAAGTCTGTGCGTAACGTTATCAGAAAAAGACTCTCCACATTAGTTCAGCAGATTTCCACGCTGCCTACAGGATCTCTCAAAGGGCTGATTCTCTCAGCCGTCAAACCTGTAAAATGCTCAGAGATGTGATCAATAAAACACGGTGAGGAAATCACGGTTTCTCAGTCGAACAGGTTATAAAAGCGCAGGGCCGAGCCCGTCTCAAATCTATCGGTGTTCTCTCATAACTACAGAGATTTAATCAATGGAACATAATGAGTAACATGACGGTACTGTTGATTTACGGCATTCCCTGCTTATGAATCAGTAAAACACCAGATTAATTGTTCTCTCTTCGGGGTATATGAGCTCAGAGATAAGAGATGATTACAAAATGCTGAAGAAGAAAAAAAGTCTCTTGGAAAGAAGAAGAAGAAGAGCGGCCTCAAGGCCTTTCTGCTGAGTGTGTGGATCAAAGTCTTCATAACGTTGTGTAATCTTTCAGAGCGAGTGTGGCCAATCAAAGTCTGTCCAGTGAAAGTTCTGAGTCTGACAAGGCTGGATCTGTACGACAAGAGTCTGAAAAACCATAAGGATTCCTACAGAGATAGATCTGACAGTTAAAGAGTTAATACTTATTTTTAACAGAAACAACAGAAAACTACTAATAAATAAATGTAATAGTTAAAAGTAAATAGAGTCCGGCTGCCTCTTTGGTTGGTTGCTTTGCTATGATCCAGTCTAAGGGGGTTTTCACGCCTGAAAGACCGGACTAAGATCCAAAACCAAGGTTTGTTTTTTTTACATTGTTTATACTTGATTTGATCTGTTAGGTTTCACACTGTCATTATTGCAACTAGAGTAACAGACTTTACATGATGAACCTACGTGATATCATCATCAACTAGGTGCTTTGCATGTCTCTGTAGTTTACAGTGATTGGTCAATTGGCCGGCGGCAAATGACGTCAACACGTTGAAAAGCACGGGTCTTGAATGCTGTAAACATGGATGAAATCGTCATTCCCACCATCAGACTATTTTTGATATTCTACCTCCATCAGCAACAACTTGAAGAGCTGTTCATGAGGCTCGTCCAAGGAAGTCTCATCAATTTGATCATAAGACCACAACTTTATCGACATGGACAGGAAAGGAGAAAAAAGTATACAATCCTGCGAGTCATTGCAACACCAGCTCGAGAGGAAAGTATGTGTAGTAAAACTCTTGAAAAGATGAGCTGTCAATAGTAAAGAATGACTTTATCTACAATATTATAAAATTTACCATTATTGGGCAATCTCCATTCAACATAATAACGGATACTTCTACTCCTTGCGTCATTTCCTGTCTTTGGTGCGATAGTCCAAATCTTTCAAATTAAAGCTTTCACACTGGGCATGAACCAGACCATGGTTCAGTTTGGTCCGGACCGAGACCACCTCTTTTGGTTGGACCAAGGTCCGGCTGTTTGGTCCAGACCAAGGTCCTGGGGAGGTTTCACACCTATCATTTTGGTTCAGACAAAACAGAAAAGTCTGAAAGTCTGTAAAGTCTGAAACGATGTGGGTATGAAGGCCCTTTAAGAGTCTAATATTGAGTCGAGAAGTTTCTACAGTCAGTCAGCTGTTGATCAGAAACTGTTATCGTCAGTGGGGTTAGGCTGCTTTGACAGACAGATGTAATATCTGGTTCTGCTTTAATAAAAAGTTCCTTAATTTGTTCTCTAATCTCTAATATAAGGTCTCTATTTGCAGGGATGTCTACTGTAATTTTGTCAGACACTTTAAATAACAGGTTCAGCCTGGAAATGACCAAAACACTAACTTCCCTGACCTGACTGTTGCCTCTGAAGATCAAGTTGCGGCTTTTCCACCCTCTTTCACTCGAGCTGGCTTGAGCAATCTTCTGGCACAATCCCAAAACTTTTTGTACATTTAAGTCGACAAAACGCCCAAAATGAAAAAAAGAGGCCCTGGTTTTACTCATTTGAACTTTTCAGTAAGAGCCATTAATTGTGGCGCTCTTATTCCAACATTTGACCTCTGTTCTTCTACAAGCACATGTCAGATGGCTGTTTAATCCTGGTGAGAGCCCCATCTTGCCCAAATCAACACACACATGTTCACTTTGCTGCAGCACTATTGACAGTATGTCTGCAGAGGGTGTGTAGGTATTTCAGGGTCAGCATGGCCTCCTTGTTGAGGCGTGAGAGTCCGCTCTGCTTTCCTCCCTGGCCCAGAAGCCTTTCTCCCCATGCAAACACTGCGGACAAAGCCTCTTTCTGCTGCTGGGGATCTCCATGGAGACCGATCGACGGCTCCTGGGTGAGGAGGAGGACTGAGCTGCTGGAGGCCAGGATGTTACCATAATATGATGACATGCTCATTTGGTTTGTGCTTTTATCTCCTGGGATAAAGAAGCCTTTTGAAGAATTAGATGTCCAAGTTTTTGTTCGGACCATCATCACAAGGACGCCGCTTAGCCGATAGAGAAAAAGTTTGACCGCTGAGACCTGGGCTGTTACACGGAGTCCAATCCAAGGCGATGACGTGAAAGGAGCTATTGTTTGTGGCGTTAGCAAGCCTGGTTTCTCGTCATCACCGGCCAGCCTACTCAAGTGTATCCCACTGGGAGGCCGACCATCAGTCAGGCTGTGCTGTGCCAAGTTTCCCATCAGGGAGGAATTTAACTGGAGGTTTGCAGCATCCCAACTAGCCTGCCTGGGCTTGGACTCAAAAGAGGTCTTAGAAAAGAGGCAAAGAATGAGAGAGAGAGTGACCAGGACGTCCTACATGCAGCAGCAGGACAGAGTGCACACATGCTAGAGTCCCACATGGCAGTAAGCGAAGGCGTGCACATGGATGGACGATGCAGACATGGGTCATAAATCTAGATATCACTATTTAAAGATTCTGCATTGAAAGATTGAATAAGGCTTCAAATTTTACTGCAACAGAAAAATGAATTAAAGGACGGATTTAATGAATTAAAGAGTGGGCAGTATCCATTTTTCTGAGCTACCTGTTATTAATAGTGCTACTATCTAGGGGTGGGAATCACCAGTTGCCCTACGATACGATATTATCACAATACTTGGGCCACAATAAGATTTTTAACATTTTGTAATACAGTGAGAATTGCGATATGTTGTGATTTATACAATTTTTCAACTGTTTAGCTAATTTAGCATTTGTCGTTCCTTTATGTTTGTCTTATTTATGCTGTATTTTATTTTCATGTAGCACATCTTTCAAACCTTATATATATATTTGTTGTACTAACTTTCTCCTGCTCTGTGACGTCACCTCTGCCAACCTCACTGGACAAACAGTTGATTTTATTTTTCCACTATCATAGATTTGACTTCATATCCGCAATTAATTTGAAAAAAATCGATACTTGGTAAATGAGACGATACAATATATCACCAGACAAAATATTACAACACTATGCTGTATCGATTTTTCCTACCACACCTACTACTATCACAGAGTTAGTTTAAATGCCTCTAAGCTAATGTTTAATCAAAACTGAGACCTTTAATATCATATGTAATAGTTAACAGTTTACTAGTTATATTGCAGCAGTGTGATGTTTAGCCAATCAGATAGAGGTGTTGCCAAACCAGGGCACTCTTCTATAAACTGATTCTGTAGATAAGCGGTAAAACAAAACACTGATACAGATAATTTATCAGATGCCAAATATCAGCCTGAATATACAGCCCTTCTGGGAATAATACATATTGAGCGTGGACTGCTAATCGCTCAAAACAACACTATCTGATCTGGACGTCACACAGTGTGACATAACTGTGCTGTTACCGTTAACTCATGTATATGATATTGAACGTTTCTCCTCTGATTTAACATTCACTTAAGGCAGAGTTATATCTTAGAGTTTGTGTTAATCCCAATTATAAGTGTTTTATTTTTACCCTCAGTGCATATCAGCTCTTAATATTGATCCTCAGTCTCATGAACTATAAATAATTGTTGTCGATACCAGCCCTGAAAAAGCAGTATTGGTCTACCCTGATGTAATACTTGTACTTTCAACTATTTTCCTGCAGTCAAATGAGGCTAAAGATATTTATCTGCTACCTTCAGACCAATCAGTGCTGATTTAGCATCAAAGATAACTTGTCTTTAGGAGTAAAGAAAGATAATATGAAGTTTTGAATCGCAATCCTCTTGGTGATGTAGTGTAAATAAGGCCGCAACTAACGACAGTTCCTCTTTTCTTTTTCTATTTCTAACACTCTTGTTCACACAACTTTTACATGATGAGAAAGAAAGTGACAGACATTGTAATCTTTGTTATTGTGCTTGTGGCTAGCCCTGCAGTCCTAATTGCAGCGGAGGGCAAGTCTAAAAATAACAAGGAATCCCATTATTTTGGGTAATCCCTAAATAAAACCGCCTCACATCCTCAGAGCTTGACAGCGGCTAAATTCCTCCACAATGAGGCCATTTAACATTCCAGTTACACAACATTTAAACTAGAGCCCAGGTTTCCTCTGGTTAAAACACTCACAGCAATGTTTGTGGCGGTTTCAAATAATATAGGTATGATTTTGTTTCATAACAGACAACAAAAGCTTGCAGTCATGAGCACACGGGATTATAGTAATCCAGGAAAAGAAATGCAATTCAAAGAACTTCAAAGTTTCTGCAGGCTCTCTCTGTGGTAGAGCACCTGACAGCTCTTGACTGCATCAATAAATGCTAATTATTTCTCTCTGGTCTTCAACAAAGCTCATGCAAAAATATTTAAAAAAAATCTCATGCATCTTCATTTGAGGCTGACGGCTGATAATTGGTGTTTTCGATCTTCCGTGGAGTGTGAAATCATTGCAGCCTTGCCTGTTATATTTGAACATCCTCTTATTGATGACCACTTCACATTTTCATACAGTATTTTTAATCTGTCACCGAGAAGTTATGTTGACTTTTCCTACTGATACCCTTTTCTTTGAGCTTAATATTTCAACCATTTATCAAAAAAATATATATATATATTAAATTGTCTGTTTCCCTTGGTTTGTAATCAACAGGTTGGACACCTACCTCCTCACGGCTGTTTAAGGCTTCACAAATGTAACAGAAATCATGATCCCAAAAGTCCAATCAGCTTTTGTAAAGCGTGAAAAGGTACAATTATTCATTTTAATGTTTCACAACCAGTTACAAAACTTCTCTCAGGGCTTTAAAGTTTTATTGAGATTTTTCAGAAGCTTTCTCCCTCAAAAGGTCATTTTTTCACTTTTAAATACAAATTAACCAACAGAAGGGGATGGTACAACTCTAGGCTAACTGGTCGTGGGCACTGGGTCCAAATCAAGAGCTGCACAGCTGCACAGAAACTGCACATTGCTGCATATAAAGTAATGCATTGTGGTTTTGCTTCTCATCTGGGAAACTTTCACTTTCAATTCAAAGATGAAACTGATTCATTTGAAAGATTTAGAGAATATGTGCACATTGACGAGCATTACGAGGTCTCTGAGAAAGATCGGTAACATGTTTGTAGATTTGTTCTAGAGAATTATTTAGAGGGACATTAAAGGAAGGAACCAGCTACTATTTAAATACATTAAATCTGATGGCTTATTAAAAATAAGACCAAAAAAAGTTATGCTAAAACAAGTAAACTGCTAAACCGTAATCCTGAATATCAGATCAGTCATGCATCTAGGACCATTAGATTGCTGCAAAGAAACAATGCTGTGATCATAAGCATTAGCTGTTACAAAAGAACAAACCCCTGTAGAAATCCTCAAACGGGACAGTGTTTAAACATTTTCCCTCCCAAAAACAGGCTGTGTATTTATATATATCTGTGCGGCTAATACTCCTGATTTTATGGGAACACTGATGCCCTTTTATGACCTACAACAACATATCAGATCATCTGCAACAAGAGTGATTATTTTTAACATTTTTAGGGTTAGGTAATCAAAGAAGTGACCTAAAGTGAACTTAGCTTTTGTTTACAGTTTCTACTGCAAAGTTTCACTGTTAGTAAGAGGTTTCATAGTGACGGGATGCTATTAAACAGAAAGAGGAGCTTTTTCATCAGAAAACACAACCAACACATGACTTCTGAGCTCAGGAATAAACCAGTGTTCACGCTGCTTTAGATGCTTTGGGTGTGTGGAATAAAAGAACTGTACTTTTAACCCACGTGTCAATTCATATTTCAAAAATAACCCATCAAAATTTGATAACAGCTCTAAAGAAAAGATGCCATGTTTGTCTGACATGCTTCAAAGTAACAAAGCCTCTGGTCAGACAAGCCAAACCTGACGGGGAATTCAAGCGGAGATACTGACAGACATTTATATGACAAAGAGTCTGTTCACCAGGAAAGAGTAGAGGCCCGGCAGGTTTCACTGAGTTGTGTCACCTCTCTGTCTGAGCTTACAGCCTTTCACTTTGCCCTGGAAGTAACTACTTAATGAGGGATCTAGTTCCAAATAACCTTTGCGGCTTAAAAGTGCAACTAGCCTCAGTACAGGCAGGACAATAGAGCCTTGGACACTTCTATTTTCTCTGATAGCTACATGTCAACACAGAGAGCTGTAATGTTTGTACCATGGAAATTATCTCATCAGCATCTTTGGACATGTTTGAGTATTAAAATTACTTCTGCATACAAATGAGAATGGATGCCGTATCATGGTCATTTTGTTGTTTATGACTTTTTACTAGTCATATAACTCAAATTTTTGTACCAAATGCTGTTTTTTGTCATTCCTAATAAATTTAAATGATGTTTTTATTGATATCTTTCAAATAAATATGTATGATACAGAGGATTTTATCCACTTTTGATAATGAGTTACAGATAAAACAGCTGACCTTTGACCTGACAGTTCTCAAAGTTCAGCTCAGAGGGCATGAGGGAAAAAGCCTGGAAAAGTACTGGAAATTATTGCCATACAAGTAACCAAGGTGCTTTACAAAATGAAAAAGATTGCCTCAGCTGTTTATTTTACAAATAGAAGATAATATTAATGATTTAAAAGTGCATCACTTTGCTCTGCTGACATTGCATCTTCACCTTTGGGTCTGTTTTCTTGCACCAGTTTGCCTCATCCAACACACAACACTATCTGATTGGCCAAGGTGTCACATGACTGTGTGACACAACTGTACTGTCATTATAACAGGTTAACTGTATATGATGTTGAATGTTCCAGCTTTAACTAAACATTTCAGCTACTACTTGGTATCTGTATCAGCCTGGAAAAACCAATACTGGTCGACCCCCTAGAACAGACTACAGCAAATGCCCATTGAAACATAAAGTGTTTACACATCATAACAAGCGAGCGAACATGGCTGCTTGCATGGATACAGTAAAAAATAACCAGGCAACAAAACACAAACACCATCAGCCTCTGAATCCACAACATTAGATTTAATTACCCTGAGCGTGGAGGCGGTCTGGCTTTGGAAATGGTGAAGCTGGTGCTCACAAGATGCAAACACAAACTATGTAAAAATGATAAAAAACTGTTTAACAACAAGCTTGTTTACCATCTGCAAATGAACCATCACACTGACAGCTTTTTAACTGTATTTTAAAAGGCAATGAATAATATCGTTAGTTATTACAGAACATTTCTCAGATAATGAGATAATTTGTTATCAGAGTATGGGGATTTAAATCACCTCACCAACTTTTTAATGTAATAATATAATGTCAAATATGATCCACATTTTTCCTACTTATTTCCCTTGAAGTTCACTCTCTCTGCCATTAAAACATCATAATTACATTGACAAATACACACTTGAAGCATCAGGAATCAGTCAGCTGACCTTCGACCTGGCAGATCTTAAAGTTTGGCTGAGAAGAGATTTACTACACAGCTATAGGAACAGAAAAAGGGCTTAGCATTTGTTTTCTTTAGGTTTTGTAGTCATTAACTTGTTTATTCAACTCTTCAAACTGACACTTGTGGACAGGATTTATATGTTTTGTCAGGGAACTTTCTCCAGGTGTCACATGAAAGTCTTTGGATTCCAAGGCCAGGTTGATTTACAACACTGACTGATCCAAAGGTCAGAGAAACTTTCATCAAGCTTTCTTAATTGATTTATTTAGATAAAACACTTGACATTAAGCAGCTTTTTCATTACTCTGTTGGATGTTATCAGCATTTCTAACGTCTTTGTTCATTGTGGATTAAAAAGTTGACCCCTTGACTTGATAGTCATGGGAGTTTGGCCAGGAAGGGATTAATGAAGTCTAAAAGGAGAGGTCAAATTTATATTAAATCAATGGCAAAGCTACTTAATTAAACCAGTTTACTCTATGTTGCAGTCTAGTGGTAGATCAAACGGAGTCTACTACACTCTCTCTGTGTTACCTTGGTGCTGGAGCTCACACTCAGCCTCTCGGACCTCACCGAGGAGGCGTCTCCGTTCTCCCCCGGGGCAGGGGTGGACTCCCTCGGGGTGCCGTTGCTCTGTGTGTCCCCGCGGTCCGAGTCGTTGTCCCCGCCCGGCAGGGGAATCCCCTCCGTGACATATTCTTTCCGGCACTGCAGGTTGTGTTTCTTCAGCAGCTCAGACGTATCGGCGTCCACAACGATAAGCTCGAGCAGCCCGGTGGTGGCCCGTATCTTCGCAACCACCTGCTGATGGCTCTCGCCCTCCACGCTCTCTCCGTTCACGAACGCCAGACGGTCCCCTGCCCGGACTCCGGCGTCAGAGGCGGGAGTGTCGGGCTCCACGAGCCGGATGAACTGCCCGGTCTTCCCTTTCTCTCCGTGGAGGTGGAACCCGTAGCCGTTTGAGCTTTTCTCCAGCACACACAGTCTCGGTCGGAGGTGTGACATGTTTTAAAACTTATGCCCTCACTTCTAACCACTTCAAAGTTTTTCAATCAAGACTCAGAATTCTCGTTCAGGAAAAAGCTTACACCTGTTGCGTACACGGAACTAAGTCACAGTAAACTTTCCACGGGTAATGCTGCGTTTTCACTCCGCCCGCCCGCCTCCCAGATCCTCCCCTCAGAACTGCTGTGTTGCAATCTCCTCTCTCACATCCAATCCGACCGCGGCCCGTCCTCAGAGGAGAAATTACCGTCAAACTACCGTCAAACGAACAGATAATCGATTAACCGACTTCCACGGGCTTTCAAAATCAAATATCGTCATTTTCTGAGTTAAATCTTTCAAGGAGTAGATACAGCAAAAAAGTCCCACATAATCAGACTGTTTTTACGAATAGATACGAACAGATAATCGATTAACCGGCTTCCGAGGGCTTTCAAAATCAATTACCGTCACGTTTGGAGTTAAATTTTACAAGGATTAGATACAGCAAAAAAGTCCCACATAATCAGACTGTTTTTTACAAACTTATACGAACAGATAATCGATTAACCGACTTCCACGGGCCTTCAAAATGAAATACCGTCATGTTTGGAGTTAAATTTCACCTGGAATTAGACACAGAAAAAGGTCCCACATAAACAGGCTGTTTTTAAGCAGGCTCCCATCCAGGCTGAGCAGGAATACCAACTACATAAGGCTAAACTTCAGTACTTTGTTGTAAAAAGTTGAACCTAGTAGGCTATAATCTATAGTTTTCAAAACAAACACTAACTTTTAAAATGCTTCATTTAGCATGTTTGGGGTTTTTACAGTAATGTAATAATAATAATAATTCTTGTACCAAACTTTACATAATAAAAATGTACATAATCATGTATTTAAAAGTGTCAGAACACTATGAAACTATTTTTATTTGATAAGGTCAAGCTACTTTTTAAGAACAGACACAAATGTGAAGTATGCACACTATCTTCATTTTTACATATTTTCTTTGTCAATTTTGTCAGCCTAAGTTTTGTTCAGGTTCTGTTAATTACATTTTACATCATTCAAACAATTGATTTTTTTTTCTATTTAAGGTTATTGACGGCTGTAAAAAGTTTTATCTATGTGTGTATGTTGTGATTTTCATCTTTACATTTCTCCTTTTCATCTTTCTCTTTCATTTCTAGCACCAAAACACCAAAACATATCCCTGTATGTGTAAAAGTACTTGGCAATAAATCTAATTCTAATTGTCTAATTTCTGGGATAATGTGTTTTTGCAGTTGTAAACTTAATATCTCAACATAAGTCATCTTAAGATAACACATTTCTGGTGTTAGACTACAGGATACAAAACAATCAAAAATAAGTGACAACAGGGAACACACCAGTGTCCCAAATAACATTTTTTAATTCTGTAACAAAAGCAGACATGACCTGCTGAATAAAACTTTTTGATCCTTCGAAATTAACTCGCCACTCAAGTCTTGGGCTTTTATTTTGAAGGCAAAACCTGGAAGCAGGAAAACTCTACCTGCTTGATAAATTTCTAGCTTCACCGGAATTTACATGTTGATCATAACACGTGGTTCAGTAATGTTCTAGGAGTTTATAACAGTGGATAATCCTTTATTTTATTTACTTCTCTGGTCATCTGTGTTGCTTATTAAAAAGCACACACACACAGACCCTCATAGTCATGACTTGCGTGGCTACAACCACATGTAGAGGAAACTTCTGTCCATATAAGCCATGCTCGGTCAAAAATACTTTTATTTTTGCAGCATACAAGACATCATAGACAACTTTTTGCAGCGTGGACTGACATCAAACAACTGTAAAAATATACAGTCATAGAGGACGTTATTTGAATATATTTAGATTATAAACTGTATCAGACCTGAACTGTGCACAGCAGGGCAGAGCATCCAAATAGTACGTAAATGTTTACAGAAAAGCTTTGCATACTGTTGCCCTGCAGAGGTTCCTCTTGTTTGTAAAGTCTAATGAAGAGAACTGCTATTCTGACATCATTGTTTTCTCAAGGGTTGCTCCTATATTTAAATTTTACATACGGACCCAATAAATGTGCAACACAATAATTGTTTTAAAAAAGCACAATTTAGCTTCTAGTTTTTGATTGGGTTGAATTGTTTCAGTTTGGTCAGGTTCAGACACCAGGACTCCAGGATTCTGGACACATCAACCAATTATGTCGATAACTGGATTCATACTTATATCAGGAGAGCCTTGAACCAGGTAATAATTGGCTATTTTGGCTGAAGAAACACTGAAATGATTCACCAATTGACATTGTTATATTCGACTTACTGAAAATAATCCATTGAGAATTTAAACCACTAAAAAAAAAAAAAAAAACTCTGAACTAAAGAAGGAAGCAAAATGGTCAATACTCGCAAAAAAGTCTTATGTATACACCAAAATCTGACATTTGTCTTCCTAAACAACTTTAAAAAAAAAAAGACAAATTGAGCAAGGTGCAGACCCCAGGTAAAGGACGGAGTTTCAGGAAGTACCTTCTCAGTTGTTAAAAAAGGAAACTGTGAAACATCTGTAAACTTCAATAAAGAAACTGGCATAACTGAAATGTTTAAATGTTAAAAAGCCTGAGGCTTTCTCTGGTGGAGACCAAAACAGAGCATGAAGAAACCAAAGCGACTCCCACAAAGTGATATTATGTCAGAGTCATGTTAACACCATGAGCTGCTGCCCTCAGAGGCCAAAAAAGTCATTTAAAGGAGACAGCATTATTGTAGCATTAAAATGAAGATAAATCTATTTTTGGATAAAATTTAACCCTGAGCTCTGAGTTAAAATCTGAAGGTAAACTCGAATTCTATGTGTAACACTTTTATCCCCATCTTGATACAAATATAAACAGATTTTTATATGATCAGGAGGCACTGAGCACAGATTTGGTACATGCAAACCAGCAAACATGCAGCTGAGCTTTTAAATCCATTGACTGTCCACACAAAAGCAAAATAGATTTTCTGGAATGAGGAAAATAATGCAGCAAACATGTCAGTAAACCTTTGACATAAATCTGATCACTCCTGTACAAATACAGTATATACATTTCTTAAATGAAAAGGAACATTACACCACAATTCCAGCTGCTCTCAATTCATACTAATGAAATAAAGCACTTTGGTTAGTGGTCTAAAACTTCAAAATACAACAGTTTTGGCTCCTCTCAAGCTTAATAAAGTAGATGCTGGTCATTTGGTTGTTGATGTTTAGTGCTTTCGGTGAATTTACCACAAAAACAAATACTCCAATATTGACTACTTCTTAAGACTCACCAAAAAATTAGACCCAAATTGATGGAATTGTCATGCTTATTTGTTGAAGTACTTCTGTTAATCTTGTTGTTGATGGTTCTTGGTTAAGGTTTGCCATCCTGCTAGTTTATTTACTTGCTTCTTCACGCTCATTTGATGCTGTAACACCCGTACCTGCAAAACCAAAGCTTAAGAAGTACCCAGATTCTGGTATTTTGAAGCACAGGACCACTTACACAAGCAGCTGTATTTCACTGGCTTGAAGTGGGGACACATTTCTAGATCCACTGTTGTCTTATTGTATGTTTGGCCTTTTGTTGTAATCCCCCTCTAAAGACATATTTAAAGTGACTTAAACCTTTTTTTTTTAGTCATAACACCTTCAACCTCTTTGTTATCCTCCAGATGCCCACAGCCTGTCTTCTCCAGCTGTGTCCCTGAGCTTCTCTTGACTCACTGAGCGTTCAACAGCAGCCGACTGCCACCATTATACAACAAATGAACTGGTCTGACAGAGTGGTGGACAGACGGGGCTTTAGTCCATGTTCTTGGCTCTGAACTGCATCCATGACACAGTGTGTGGCCTTTGCCTGAAGCTGTTGCTTGTTGCATGATACATAGTGTTGATTTTTCCGAGCAGATCCAAACTTATATAAGTCCGCCTTCAAACTGTGTTTTCTTCTGGTTTCTGTCAGCTCTGTGTGGGTGTTTGAAGTTTGAATAAAAGCCTTCCCTTTAGCAAACTGGGGTACTTGTATTGTCCTTGTACTTCCATCACAGAAGATTTAATAGAAAGGGGAGGAAAAAAAGTTATGTAAGGCAAGCAACAACGACTGTAGTTTAAAAAAGTCTTTGTTCAAAGAAGAAAACTTGTGTAATTCTTCCAAGAACAAGTTCAGAGAAAAGGTTTTCTGGACAGTGTTAATGTTTCTTTGATGAGAAGAGCTGTATTAATATCATGTCTGTGTTCACTCACAAGCTCCACTCAGGATGGGGTTGGTCTGGTTTAGTATGCTTGACATATAATTTCCTCCCACACCACAGAGACTGCTTTCAATGTGCTTTAAAGATTGGCCATGCATGCCACTCAGCCAGTTCTATTAAGAGCTATTTGATGCACAATTTAAAGAGACCATTGTATATTTAAGACGAGGCTGTATTTTCATAGGTGTCAATCTGTGAGTTGTAGTTTCACATCTTTCAGCGGGCTGCTTTGGCAGAAATGTGGTTTAACTACAGAAGTATGAAGAAAGACAGACAGATTTTGCTTTCCTAGTTGTACAACTGCAGAAAAAGAGTGCAGAAAAAACCATGTGATGATGCAGACTTAGAGAAGTTTAACTTTGTGCCTCTGCAGGATGAAACAAGTCAACAGCAGCTGGGTCCCTTCTGTCAAGACCAAACAGCAACCTGAGGTGATTAAGAAATGAAGCAAACTGCAGCTCCTTGGAAAAACTCAGAAATCCTAATTTTTACAGCCCGACACAGACAAGATTTTGGCCTAAATCAATCATTGTATTTCAACATTAATGCTGCTGTTACATCTGTCATGATAGAGTGTACAGTAAGTGTAGCTTATGTGTTGTTTTGTTGTTTACTCTGTAAAAAATGTCCAAATTTTACAAATAAATAAAATGAATAAAAACACAATTTTAGAAAATCTTTCTAGGAGGTCAGGAGAATGATTTGCGCCTTTTTTGCGTTGCATTGATTCAAATTTTTTGTTTTGCTTTTGCTTCTGGTCTAAACGCACCTTCAGAAGTTACATCAGTGAAGCATATGCGCGAATAAAACTGACTATTCTGATCAAAACTGACTGAAATGCATACATCTATAAAGGATCATAAATAGTCAGAACTTGTGGTTATTTTAGTGCTCTGAAATTTTAAAAATTTGTGATTGTAGTTTATAACTTGTGTGTTACAGACCTGCATGACAGCACTTTCTCATCTTACTCAGGAGAAGAAAACAATGGTAAAAGGGTATCCTTTATGTACTTTAAATGACTTCCATACTGCATCCTAAAAATAGATCTAGTCACTCAAAATGTCAGCCTTTAGAGTAAACTCTTTCCAGCTGAAGAGAGCCGTGGGTTTGCTGAGTCTATCTTGGCTTCCCCTCCTCTCACTCATTGATCTACTTTTGGCTCGCAGTCTTGAATGAATGGCAGCGTCACACTTTAGGAGCAGCAGTGGATTTTTCAGGCTCCCTCCCACTCAACCGCTCCGGTGTGTCTCTGACAGTCTGAACACCCGGAGCGGTGGGAGGAGGACGAGGACTCAGAGACGAGGTTTAGAAGTAGCTGCAGCAGCCCGACTTCTCCTTCTGTGCTTCGATGTATTCGTGGATCTGGAACTTGGGTTCATTGGGATGCTGGACGGCTCGGTGCTTGAGCTCCCTGGGGAACAGAAACAGGCATCAGTCTCTTTAGAAAGTACTAAAACAACAATTTTATTAATCCTTTAATGAATGCATAATGTGGTGGCTGCACTGTGGAGTGATTTATAACTGTGCCGGGTCAGTTTACTCGACCATCTGTGAAGCCTGCTGTGTAAGCTTCATCATGACGGCTGAGCTGCTGACCAAAGATTTTACTGAACACTTTTAAAGGATTTCTCACTTGGATTACAGGGATAGAGTGGCATTCACTGAACATCAGTCAATTTTGGGGAAATAAGGATTAGTGCAGTCAGCAAGCTTAATGAAAACTAACAGAATAACATAAAATACAGCATCAAAACCAGTCTGAGAAACTAAACGACATTAAAACAAAAACTAAGACTGTATTGTGTGTATCAATATTGTTGTATTACATGCAGAATGTGTTTTGGCATTTTCATACTGTTATATATAACATGTTTCCAGAAAAAGTCCTTCTCCTGATGGCAGCATATGTTGCTCCAAATCAGTATATGTTATTCAGCAGCACTGAAGCCTTTACCAGATGTTTAAATTACCCATACCAGCGGCACTTACAACTCCCCATATTATAGTGTATGCTGGCTTTTGAACTTTAAAACTGATAATAAGCCAAGAGATCCCTTTTCTCTTGAGAGCAGAAAACATGGTGTCCCTGATTTTCATGAAGACTATTCTAATTTAATTTGTCAGACCACCGGACAGTTTTCTATTTTCCTCAGTCCATCATAAATGGGCTCAGACCATAAACTGTTTATTCTACGGACAACTTGGCTCCGCCTTCTGCCAGTGTATGGATTTGAAGCCAAAAAGCTCTTAGTATTTCCAGGTATTTTTTCCACTTCCTATAGCCAACATTGTGCAGTAGCATTGTACGCATTCAGCGGGAGAGTCGCTGTGATGACGCTCGGCTCAAACAGCGTATCCCCCAGGTGAGTTACGCAATCTTCGTATGCCCGTAGGCTGTATCAAGTGTCAATAATAGAAAACATGAACCCCCTAATAACTTTTAAAAATGGAGCTGTACAGAGAAAAGAGGACTTGAGTGCAGACCAATCTTACAATAACTACATGTCAACATCATAACCAGGGGGGAGAAAAATGTATATTCTGTGTAATTAATTTCTAAAGTTTGTCTACAGCTCCATAGGGATTGCTGGAGGAGGCAGGATTTATGACCTATACTGCAGCCCGTCACCAGGGGGTGCTATTCAGACAGTGTCCATTCTATATACAGTCTATAGCTCAGACCCAGAGGGGTCAACAGTGCTTCAGGACCATGTTTATTTAAGGTTTCAACCTGCACTTTTAGATGCAGAGACAAACTGAGCTCACAGTCAAGGAGTTTTCAGAGTGTGTTTTGAGCCTGTGCAATGATTTCATCTGCAGAAGTATCTCTATTTTTAATGCAGCGCTGCCTCAGGGCCCTAAGATCACAGCCACCCAGGACTGGTTTTTGGCCTTGTGCAGAGATCTCTCCAGATTTACTGAAACTTTCTTGACATTTTGTACAGTAGATGATAAAAATCACAAAAATCTTTGTAAGTTTACACTGAGAAACATTTTTTTTTATTCCTGAACTTACTTGCTCACTAAGAGTTGTGAACCACCTCACATCTTGAATACTGAGAGTCCGTTTATGTACAGTCATGTAACTAATCTATTGAAAACTAACTAAGTTACATAGTAGAAGATATGTTTTTTTTTAAATCAGTTAATCACATTAAAATATGTTGCAGCTATCACTATAGATATAATGGTAAATGGCATGATGGTGTATGAAGATAGAGCCTACTTGGACACAGCAGTGAAGGCTAGATCCACGTTGACTCCTGTCTTTGCACTCGTCTCCATGAAGGGGACCGAATACTCCTGCAGACATGGAGAGGAACAAACAGTGACGGTCAGAGTTCAGACCTTCAGATGATGAGGAGCAGCAGTGAATCAAAGACTCACCCGGGCCAGCCTCTCTCCTTCATCCCTCCTTATCGCTCTGTCACTGCTCATGTCAGCCTGAACACAGAGGTACAGAAAATCTGATTTGACAAATGTACTTAAAATATCACTCAGTAATACAGAATAATTTCACCCAAATTGAGTATTTTGAAAGGTTGAAAATATGTGGCATGTGCCTGTATTGGCTTTTTAAGTTTGGATGCAATACCAAAAAACACATGAATATTATCAGCAAACTTCAGCATTATATTAAAAATAACTAAATAAATACTAATACTGATTATAAATAATAACTAAATAATGGGTTCTGCATTATTGGTAAAATAAGAACAGTGTATAACTTTGGACAAAAATGGCATCCTGATGATCTTTCACAGTGTATCATATATTGTGAATATTTTATTTTGAAATCGTATACACTGGTATATCTGCTGGAATGACACATACTTCCTTTCACTAGTGTAGGGATTAAAAAATAGGATTCAATTAAGATACCATTTTAAGGCACTACTATGAATTTCAGTCCATTTAATTAGTGTCAAAAAACATAACATAATGAAAGATGTGCTTTGAAGCATTACTTTGAAGCTGTGTAAAAAGTAACACCCACAAGCTTTTTCTCAATGAAAATCAGCCACAATGAAGTGTTTCAGGCAGAGGCTGGAATAAGGGTTTCCGTGGATACTAGTATAAGATAAATAAGAAGTTTTTTTTTAAGGTGCAAATTGTGCAAACCAAATTTACAGGTGTCAGACTGACACCGTGAAAAGTAAAATCAGTGTAAAAGGTCTCTTTGACTTACTTCTGCGTGACTGAATGTTTCCTGGCCTTGGGATTATTATTATTATTATTTTTTGCCATATTCCAGTATAAAAAACAAACCCTGGTACTTTTATCTCTGTTAACTAGAATGTCGCCTCTGAATGTCCCTGAAGAAAAAAAAAATATTTTCTTTCACTCAGAAAAAAAGGCCATAATTCTTCCTCCTAGTTCACATTGCAGATCACATTTATTTCTTATTTCTTAACTCTCTCCTTTTCTTGCTGAATGTCTTTGAGTTTCTCCTCTCACCTTGTTGCCCAGCAACATGATGACTACATCGCTTTGTGCATACTCATGGATCTCTGTTAACCATGCCTGCAACAAACAGACACACAAACATGAACACACAAAACAACAGAGAGAGAGAGAGAGTGTGTATGTTTAAAGCTGTCATTTAACATTGATGTTGTTTATCGCTCCACAGAGGCAGCATACATGCTCTCTGTGGCTTTATGAGCTCTGTTAAAGGTTGTTTCCTCTCTTTATTCTCAGTTTATTTCCGTACATGTCTGCAGTATAATCACAGACTCACCCTGATGTTGTCAAAAGAGGTTTTGTTAGTGATGTCGTACAGGAGGAGCAGAGCTACAGGGACACACAAACAGAATAAGACAAATAAACAGGAGCTCATTCTGCTGCACAGCTCTACTTCTATTATTGTTGTGGGTAAAAGCACAGCTGAGAGTCAAAAGCTTTATCGTCACCATGTGCGTCTCTGTAATATGCATGTGTCACACTCCTGAACCTCTCCTGTCCTGCTGTGTCCCAAATCTGAAACACAGAGATATAAAAAAGCGCTTCAGTGACTCGGCCTGGTTCCTCTTGACCTCCCCTAAAATTCCATGTCACACAGAGAAAACCAGCCTGAGCTCCAAAAATAGACTTCAAGCAGCACATCAAGTTTTCACGGGGAATGATTTACTTACTGACCTGTAGTTTGACCTTCACTCCATCCACAGTCACCTCTTTATTCTGAGAGAAGAAGAAAAAGATCTTAACTATGTCTCAGTGTTAGCTGTTTAAACAATAGGGTATGAAATGATTGATTTCCCTTCATTTTCTAGCTCAACAGATTTATGCTTCCACTCCAGCACACGGAAAATGCTTATTTTAAGATTCAGAGCTCCTTAGAAATGGCTGTTATTCATCTACAGCCCACTGCCTTACAATAGACACCTCTGAAAATGATTGACAGGCATAGCTAGCAGGTATCCTAGAGGTCAGTCAATCTTGATTTTTAATCTCATTTTACTGTCAGTGCTCATTATTTGAAATTTTCAGATTATATTCCAAAAATGTTCATCATTTTTTTTTTTTAGATTATTATTGTTTTTCCATACAATACATATATATTTTGAGGAGTCCAATATCTAAGTTATTATGTGAATAAAGTTAGAATTAAGTTAAAAGTAAGGTGAAGTCAAACACCACGAGAATAAAGTAATTATGTTACTTGATTAAAGTCAAAATAATGTGAAAACAAAGTTATGGGACAGTCATAATCTTACAAAAATTAAATTGTGAAAAAGTCGTATACAATAGAGAAAAGCAATAGCACACAGAGCCTGATCAAACCGCACGTTTTGATGTATAATAATTTGTCCTACAACTCTTCAAGCTGTAGGACTTGTAGCAAATTGAAATTTATCCAGAAGAGGATTAAGAAAAAATGAATTAAATCAAAATTAATTTAAACCAAACTGAAATGGGAAACAAAAAGTCAAAAGAAAAAGTTTCAACGTTTCATAAACAAGGTTTTAATAATGTTCCTGTGAGCTATTCTTAGAAATATGCTGTAACCTGTGCTGTAAATACTGTCTGTGAGTTAAACTGGGGACTTAACTGTGAGCTACACTGAACTGTAAAGAAACAGACATATGTTTTTAAAGTGATGTTAAAGTTGCCCATCCCATTTTATTTGTTAAATTATCCTTTAGTGTGCTGCGAAGTCCAGTTTTACCACTGGAGTTTGGAGTCCAGTCTTAGAGAAGTCTCGACTACTCAGATTCTGCTTAAGCGTTCAATAATGCACGTTGGGGGGCCCACTTTTCAAGATCCTTCTCAAGGCCTGACAGACCCACAGGTCCCTGGTCAGAGATGGGCTGACACACACAGCTCATGGATTTCTATATTTCTGTCTTTTGCTTCAGCTGAGAGTGAAGAGTCAGAAGCCAATACTGTTCCCTGATTGGTCATTCACCGCTAGGACACAATGCTGATGTAACACACACACTAGTTACATTGGTGCCATGACCCTTCCCTCAAGATTTTACAAGCACCGATGTCATCTTGATCACCGTGGGGGGCTCATCGTGACTCACTGTCGGTTCAGATTGGTCACTTTGGGCCTTCTGAGTCACTTTAATACATGAACACTTTGTCAGTTTTTACACAGGTTACCTCTGTTGACCTTTTTATATTTGAACTTTGAGAATAACTCAGTTTATTGCTCTGTGTATCAAACTGATTTATAGTTTGTGCATGCCCACAGACCGTGAATCCGATGCCGACTGTAGCAGAGAAGGATCCTGGGATGAACTTTCCCTGATCAAACTGCACCAGCAGAGATGTCTTCCCCACGCCACTGTCCCCGACCAGGATGGTCTGCAAAAATAAAACAGGTTCAATAACAGATAAATCAATCTTCATCAAACTTTAAGGCTGTGTGCTAACAATCTTCTTTTCCTGAGATGTGAGTCAGCGTCTGCGTCACGGCAGCACAAATAATGATATCTTTTATAAGAACCTGGCAGTTGTCACAGAGTGACTCACAGGCTGCGGGAGGTAACCTTCAATACAATGAAATGAATGAAAGTAAGCGGTCAGAGACATCAGCGTTAGTCAACGCGGCCATTTGTCTTTGAAAGAGTCACACTGAGGTTTCCACTGTGCACACCCACACACACACACACACACACACACACACACACACACACACACACACACACACACACACACACACACACACACACACACACACACACACACACACTCACAAACACACACATTATACTCACACTGAGACGGGAAAAGTCAGTTCTGCTTTAGTGACCATTTTATGTGCAGAAGTGGTTTTGACTAAACCACTTCAGTCAAATCTCTCCCTGGTGATCCAGGGACATAAGAAGGAGTCCCATGAGGCTTTTTAATTGAGTTTGTCATTGATGTTAAACCCTATTCATGATTATTTGATATTACCACTGCTGTATTTAATATCAGCATGAATGTTCAGCACAGAAACACAACACTAGACACAACTCATCTGTTGTTAATGTGTGATTTTGACTGCCAAAAACCACACAACAACGGTGACTGAAGGAGGGCGCCGGGGGCAACCACATCAAGTATGCCACATTAAATCAATTTGCAGAAAGGAGTCCAACAAATTTCATCTTTGCCTGTTCACACTAGAAAGACTAGTGTCTGTCTCAAGCTGGTCTCGCACATCAGGAGTCAGTGAGCACAGATATGAGACCAGCCTGAGGAGCTACTGGACCCCAATCCTCTCTGATAGCAGCAAGTGGAGCAACATCCTGTCCTGCAATCCATGCTATGGCAGCAGAGCTGGTTAAAGCATGCAAACCATAATCCTGTATGTATCAAAATAATGGCAATATTCTGGATGTTTATAAGTCATGTAAACTCAATAACTATAACTCTTCTTATATTTCACTCTTTACAAAAGACTCATGCTGTTGACCCTACAAGGTTGAATGTGTCACTTATTGTGAATATTTACATGGAAATTGTAAAAACAGGGCTATAATCGGATTTCTCTTCAGGGATTATTAAAGTTCTTATCTTATCTAACCTACGCTTTTGTGTCAGTTTCAGGCATTCAAAATTACAGTGTATGATCATTAATCCTGTCTCTTTGTTGGTCTTGTTTGTTTTTATATACCATACAAAGGCAGATATGTTGATTTCAGTTAATTTCACAAACATGTTTGCCTTCTAATTTTTTAAGGTAGTGAAAAAATGATCACTGTCTAACAAGAGACATTAGAACAATTTAATGCACTCAAACTGATCCTTTTCATGATTGCAATAAGGTTTTTCATCCATATTGCAATATAAGAAGAAAACGGCAGCTATATGATTAATATGCATTAATATGCAAAACTACCAACACTGCATAATTTGTTTTTTTTTTGAAGGCCAGAACAGTACAGGTAAGTGGGAGATTGAGATCGTGATACATTGTGATGTATAATTTCAATGCATACACAAATGGTGTCTCTGGCTTTTTGAAGGATTTTATAAAACTCAGAAAAATGTCACGTCTCACTTGTGGAGAGAAATGAATGCATTCTGTGAAACTTCACTCAGGCGTCAGGCTGCTCATAGCTGCGCCCAGAAGTTCTCTTTGTCAAGGGAAATGTAGAATAGAAATAATAATGTCTGGCAGATCCAGCTGTTTGTGGTCAGATTAATAACTGTAGCTGCAGGATTTTCAAGGCCTCGTTTCCACTCAGGTATGCGCATAAAGGTGAGTCAGCCAGACACCTATTTGTTCTTATTAGACCCCTCTCCTTTGTTCAAGAAAGTGAGCTTTACAGAGACAGCATGAGTGTGCAGAACGAATAGGCTGCTGACTGGCTAACTGGCTATTTCCTTTAATTTGGTTGCCCATTTAATTACCAAATGAGTTGGTATGATAGGAAAACAAGTAGACACTTATTTGCTTATAACATTGAGTGAGTTTCCTATATATAATAAAAAATAGCCCTGCCCTTAAAGCTACTAACCCCCAATTTCCACTGCACCACGAACGGCTACATAAAGGCCGTATCTGCCGATCGTAGCTGATCGTAACCATTCAAGTTAATGTGTCAAATTCCACCGGCTTCTTTCCGTTCGCAGGACTCCGCAGCTGATCGCAAGAGTTCTATTTTTTCCAGACGCCAGAGCATGCCAGATAAATTCAGTACAGATTAACCTATGCTGGAAAGGAAGTCGGGCACAGACAGAAAATAAGACATCTGGCTTCGTTTCAAAATAAAACCCCCCATGTTTCAGGCGGATCGTATTTCACTCCATGCAAACGGGCGGGGACGAACAAATGAAAGCTTTCAACCCGATGACACCATAGATGACAAGATGCTGATTTTTATAAATCTAGAAGTGGATTTCCTCCTCTGGAAGGACACAATCTACTGCTTATATGGTTAGCCTATGTGGCTAAAGACAACTTGGTATTATACAATTGCGCGTGAATCCGTGGGTTCTTGTGAGTTCTCGCGATTCCTGCTGTCCATCGTCACGAAATTCACCTCACAAACAGATCTGGTAGGAATTGACATAAGGCAAAATTTGCTGCCGTTCTGGATGCAGAGGGAATCCTGGGTAAGAGATTATATGGTTTCAAGCCCAATTTCAACCAAAATCAAATATTTAACAAAAGCAGTACAGGGTGAATGAAGCAAAATCCGAGAAGTGAGCTTTTTAATAACTCTTTATTATGTTCTGTAACTCTGTTTTAATCTCATATAACCTTGATGTACATTCATACTGCGTTGTCTATATCAAATCAACCGAATAGATAAACAAAAGATCAATATTTGTCATCAACGATTCAGACGATCAAATGTCTTGTCAAGGGTGCAGCTGACTTTTCCAGGAGGCATAAGCCCTGCACAGGATACTGAACCTGTGTTGCACTTAAAAACAGTCCAAAAGTAGAGGGGTTTCTGATGGCAGAAAGTAGAAAAATTGCTTCAGTTAGAGTCTCTCAAAATTAACTAATTTACACGGCACACTTGACCACGATGGAAAAAACTGTAGCCTAGCTTATGTGCCTGTTCTACTGGTCAAACACTTGAAGAGCTGCCTTTCTGATGGTTAAAGCTACTTTCTTGAGAAACTCCAAATCTTTTTGCACCTTAAAGTCTTTTAGATTCTTACATATGTAAAAATAAATGATTGAAATGTAGCATGAATCCCCTGTAACCAACGTTCCTTAGCACTAAGGAATTTTCATTATTTCACTTAATCCTCTTTGAACTTCAGTGCAGCTGTTTCCTGTTTACTGACATCAGTGTGAGCATGTGACTTATCGCCTGTGTGCGTGTGTATGTGTGTGTGAGAGGTCAGTAGTAGAATCCCACATGCTCATGTACACGTGAGAAAAAGGATGTTGTGGTGGGAAAAGAGTGATGCTGTTTCCGTGGTAACAGAGGAACCTCACCGGAGGCCAGAGGCAATTAGGTGCAAACCTTGCAGATGCTCGGGAATTAAACGTGGATGATGTGTGCATCATATCAGTCATGTGTGGTGTGAGATAGAATTTCATTTTCCGCCTCTCTGATGCTCATGAACATAAACAGATTAACTGTCAATGAATTTCCTTTTTTCCCGTATAAGCCTCGCCATTTCTTACCGGGAAAGGAGCTTCTCAAAGAGGCTGTAACTATCACAAGAGGGTTTATTATGCAAAAAAGAGAGGACCCAAAGACAGACTTTCCTTCATTCCTGAGACTTATCTTCATACAGGATTTTCTTCATACCTGAGAACACCTCTTTGTGTGTTCCTCTAAAGAGGGTCTGTATAGACCTGGGGTTTCCATCATGTTTCCAAAAGCTGTGTGAAGTGTATTAAATCTGCTTACATTCTTCTGACTTGATATTCTTTTTATGATTTGTTAATGGAGACTGCAGCGTTTTGACAGCAAATAGCTACCTGTAATGTGATACTATTTATATATGTTCTTAACAAACTAGCTTAAGTATAGCCCATGCGTCATGAAGTTGATAACCTGTTATGTCTGGTCTGTCTGAGCTCTTACACTTCAATTTAGGCAAAGAAATTATTGAAAGAAACTGTAAAGCGACTTTTTTCTGACTTCTTTAAGAATATAAGAATCAAAAATCTCAACATTTAATGCTTTTCTAATCTATTACAGGGGTGTGTTCAGGAGGTGGCCGAAGTTGACCCAAGTACAGCCCCCCCGAGTCAAAAAAACCTGCGCACGCCCCTTATACATAACATCCAATGCTAGTTTCTTACCAGTCTTCCTTGTTATTTGACTGATTGCAAGCCCTCCTTGATGTCTTGTGTGTCGGTTTTGTAGAAATATTATTGACATTTTATCGTCTCTCAGTGTAGGTTTGATCTGTTTGTCTGCTTCTTGTGCCAGTGAGGTGTTAAACCTGCTTTTGCAAACAAAATGTTTTGTTTGTGGTTGTAAAAACCACATTTAATAACAAACAAAGTTACTAAGTCAAGAATAAAAAGGTTCGGCTGGAGTAGAGTGCCTCGTGGTAAGATGTAAGGGGAAGTCTTAGGCAGAGCTTAAACCACAGAGACATTTCAGCTTTATGTCGAATCACTACTCAAACCAACCAGCGCTTCAACTATCCCACTTTCATGTTGTGTAATATGTAACCTGATCCCTCAGGGGAGAGGGAGAGAGTGAAAGATGGAGGAGATGAAAAGAGAGAGTAAAAGAGCTGCTCCCCCACAAAGAAGAAAAGACGATGATAAGGTACAGATTAAAGTCAGAGAGCATCAGAGTGTTGTTACAGTCTTCTTGTTTGTAAAGCACCTGCTCCCCTCACCAAATACGCCTCATTTACAAACAAACACACTCAACACGCACATAAACTTAACACACAAACACGCTCGCTTCCAGGTCAATTAAAGGCAGCTGGTCATAATGGGAACATTAGACAAACCCTCTTCATGTCTCTCTGGACCATCCTCCTCCTCCTCCTCCTCCTACTCATCTGGGAAAACTCAGTAAACTCAGACTAATGACAGAAAGTCACTTAACCGCAGTCTTTAGTGTCTTTTTCCACAAATTACCCTGCAGTTTCATCTGCCCATATGCATTTTACAAATAAACAACACACAATAAGACACACACAAACTCGGTCCTCCTTCAGCGAAGCATTACACCTTGTGGTTTTGAACATAAATGATCCTCAATGTAACTGTGTGCACAAGATCTCTGTCATCTTTGTATGGGGGCCCTGAAGGTAAACTGCACAAATATTTCACTAAATGCCAAAAAAAAAAAAAAAAAAAAAAATTTTTTAAATCACCAAATGTAAAAACTGCCAAATTTCACGAAATGCCAAAAGATTTCCAAAATTGCAATAACATTTAAAGCTTCTATGAGGAGCATCAAGCTAGTTTTAAAAGACATGTAATTTAATATTGCTGTCCGAATGACAAAATCTGCACAAACTGCTCTATCCATAGGGGGCGCCAAATTTAGATCAAGCTTAGAGTTACTCACTGGAGATGAATATCAAAACAAAAAATACAGTAAACCTTAAAAAAATCATCAAAAATTTGTTCAACTAACGCAAAAAATATTTACTCAAATAAAAAAGACATCAATTCATGTCAAAAATAAAATTAAATAAGACAAATAAACACTGATTTTCTGCAATGCAAATTTTGTAAATAAGAACTGAAGATGCTAAACAACAGGACAAAAAATATTTTTCAAGACAAGAAAAATTTGAAAATGAAAATTATTTTTAGGACACAGAAAGACGTGAAGAAAAAAAAAAACATTTTACCATTGGCTACAAACATTTTAGAAAAAGGACAGAGGACAACAGTGCATGATGCTGCCGCTGAGGATCTTTGGTCTATTTCAAGTGTTTGAAATTGATTTTTTTTTTTTTTTGTAAAAAGATTTAAAAAAGATTCAGTTTCAATAAGCATTTTTTAATGTTATATGAGAGGTATTTGCATTTATTAGAATATTTTGTCATTTTGTGTTTTTTTCCCTTTTGTGAAATGTTATTGTCTCCCAAAATATTTGTGTTTCATAAAATATTTTGTGTTTCATGAAATATTCTTATGTTTTGCCAAATGTTTTGTGTCATAAAATACTGAAGCATATACCAATTTTCCTTTAATTGTATTTATTTATTTATGTTGGAGTTTGTGGTCATAACAAGTGTGTGCAGGGCTGCAGTGACTTTGGTAGTAAACCTGATTTGATTTCAATTTCATAAGAAGTGTATTGCAGATAATAATAAAAACCTACTGGTACCGACTCAGCTTTCAGTCCCTGCACTGTTGCAGCTGCTCCTGCGAAATGTCTTCATTATTCTATGTGACATTTCACTGCAGCCCACAGGGACTTTCTCTTTTCTCTTTGTTCCATTTACAATGAGGTCAAAGGTCAGTAATACTGACCTGGGTGCATTATCTTTTATTCCCAACAGAGTCCTGCCTGATCCCACTGGTCAGCTAGTGGATATTTGTCAGCACATTTTCTTCACTCGGGACATTACGCTGCTAGTATTTTGTAAACTAGCCAGGATATTTATGTCAACTATACCAAACTGAGTCTGACTATCATCAATTATCAACTACCATCTATTGTCTGATTACTTGCAGTTCTGTGCCTTCAGTGTTAACTTGTTATCCACTAAGTTCTCCATGTTTCTACCTAAAGGTACTATATAAATAAAGCTATTATCAACCCAATTTTTTACTTTAAAAAATGTGTGCTTAATATTTAAATCTAATAAGCTGAACATTTACTTTTATGCAGGGCAAGGCCACACATTTTACTGATTGTAACAAAAAAGTCAGCTGACATGACAGCTCCCAACAAGTAAAGCCAAAACATGCAACATAGGCTAAGAAACCCACCTCCTCCATGTTAACAGATGGGACATGAATCAAACTATTACATCAAAAACTCTTCCTCAGACATTGTTTCTGTCGTTAGAGTTATTCCTGATTCATGCCTCAGTGTAAACAGCTGTTTGATGCTATTAAAGGAGTATAACACCAACTTTGACAGCTCTTGACAAATGAGACCCCTGCAGTGCTGTGTGCAGAAAACAGAGAGGGAACTGTAACAAAGACAATGATAGGAACACTATTTCAAGAACATAAGAATAAAAGATGAATAAATGCTTTCTATGGGTAAATACTACATCCAATTGAATTTTTTTGTGCTAAAATGCCACGTGGAAGAACAAAAGACAAGACAACAACATTAAAAAAGCTAAAAACCTACATCTCCCACTGGTCCCACTAGTGGCTAATGCTTATCAAACTATGTACTTTTTTTCCAAAGTGCCCCAAAAAACTCTGGTTTAAGGCTCAAGTAGCAACAAGCCTAAAGTCACCAAATGGTAACATATCTGCTCATACAACACTTGAATTACTGGAGAGCGTACATGAAGACAAATGGGCTCAACATAACCTTGAGCATCTCTAAAGTAGTCACCTATAAAATAGTCATGTTGCTTGATCAAGTGTGCATCTTAAACGTCATAGATGACTCCCAAATGTAATTGTGAACCTGGAAGTGGTTTAATACTAACAATGCTAGAGCTCCCTGCCCTGGATGTAGCACCATTTATAGCCGCCTGCCATGGGAAAACAATCTAGGCTATAAGGCCTCATTATTGGACTTTAAAACTCCTTTTACACAGTCTGTGGCTGGGATATGAGTCTAGTTACTTACACTACTAAAAGAAATGTCAAAATAATATATTATAAAGCCAACATCATGAATGAGGCTGGTAAGACTTTGAGGGAGGGTTCTCTTACAGGAGTGCGGGGACGTAACAATAAACTCAAGTCACGAATCTGAACAAATCTTGATGCTTGTATTGAATCGTGACTTGAGTTTGTGGTTACGTCCTCATCAGCGATTCACATTGTGTCCTGGAAGAGAAACTGACCTCATACTTATGAACATTTGAAAGTATTTCCTAGTTTTGGATAAATTCATATTCGAAAGTCAAGAATGTGTCACTTTTAAATCCTCTGAAGACTCATGTGAAAATGAAAGTGGGTATTTAAAGTGTGCAGATTAACAGCAGGTTGTCATCTCACTTAAATCTACAGGGAGTATATTTTACCAACATGTGAAAAACATGCTCCTCTGGTGTAACAGAGACAGACAAGGACGTGTTCACACATTATTTCTTAAAGGAGTAAAGAAACTGGATTTCAAAGCTTTATTTTGGTCCAAAGCAGCAAAAAGCAGGATGCTCAAATGACAGAAAAACTGCACTCTTAATGACTATCGCCACATTAGTGTTTGGACCAGATTTGACACGCAACAGGCTTGGAAACGGACCAAACACAACCGCATCCAATTGCGCATCAGCACCATGGAGAGCGCACAAACCTGAGCAGAGCAGCACCGGGGCAGGACGGAGATTTTTTATGAATATTATAATTGAACAAGTGGAGATTAAACGGCCCAGAATACCTATCTGTCAGTGAAACCCACTTTGAAGTTGATTTAATTGTTGTAAAGTTTGAATATACCGCACATAAGACTACTGCCTATGATATTTAAGGTTTTTTATTTTATTTTATGTCCTCGCCTTACCTTGTGCACTAAGTCCTCATCATAAGCCGGAGGTGTGGGGGTCTTCGCTTTGCCTTCGGTGGTTTCTCGGGATCCGAAGCCGCTGTCCGGCTGAATCTCGGGGTAAGCCGAGGTGTAGTTCGCCGAGATCGGCTCCATCGACTCCATCCGCTCCATCCTGTCGTCCTCTCTGTGCGCGTTTCCACCGGAGTAAACTGTGAGGAGGAGAAAAACTGACAAAACCACGACTCTCTCTCTCTCTCTCTCTCTCTCTCTCTCTCTCGCTCTCTCTCAGGCTCCTCCTTCGGACTGAATCACGGTCTTGTGCCTACATCACTTAACATTTACAAAGCGTGTCGTGATGGTTTACGCTGAATACAGAACAAAGAGGGGGAGGGGCAGATGATGGAGAATGAAGAGGATGCGACTGAGCAGCCAATGAGGGGAGAGGAAGAGGATGTGAAGTTTATAAGAGTGGGAAGATGTGGGGACAAGGACAGGATGACATGACACTTATTCATGTGTTATACTCTTTTAATCAGTGACATTTATTGAACAGCTCACAAGTTACTCTTTGCAAATCATTACCATATTCTTTGACATCTTCAACTTCCGTTTCTCTGCTTAAGGACATCTTGAATTACTGGATGGAAGCAGGGGAGACCAGGATGTTTGTAACACGGGGGAAGCCCCAGTTTAGCTCAAGGAAGTGGCTCATACACTGCAGGGGCAGACCTGTTGCTGTGTTGACTCCCACCTTTTGCTGTAATCTTGCTCTCTTTCTGCTTCATGTTTAACGGCTCTTGTGTCACTACCTTAAAAGCAACAAAACAAAAGAAAACAGAAAATTTGCAGTATTTAAAAATAACTGCTAGAAAGAACTGTTTCATGATTTTGTAAATAAATTTATGCGTAAAAAAAAGAAACAAAAATAATTAATCACCACATTGACAATAATTTAAAGATGCAGCATTGGTGCACGTAGATTCTATACTAATACTAATCACAATAATAGACAGTGCAGCATTGTTACAGTGAGACACTACACAGATGTTAATTAAAAGAATCAGATAATTCATGATTGTTACAGTGAGCCAATAAGAAAATATAATAAATGACATAGACACCTTGATAATGAATTTAAAATTGAAACAATGCTGACTTGCACTTAAAAATGTAATAATTGACAATCCTATTAATAATCATAAAACCTGCATAATTACGTTGAGACACTGTAAAAAAAAAGTAATAAATAACAATATTCACAGGAATGATTATCTAAAAATGCAGCATTATTACATTGAGACACTATTGAAATATTATAACTGATATTAAACTCAGATCTAATAATTCAAACTGCAATATTATTGCACTTAGACCCTCTTTAAACAGTTTTAATCACAGTAATAGTGATTTAAAAAGGCGAGTATTAAAATGAGACAATGTTCAATGTTGTAATTGACATCAGTGAGTAATATAAATCAAAGTGCCCCCAGTCACAAAGAGGACGAACAAAGACATGGTTTAGACAGTAAAACTGTGTAAATTGTGTGAAAGTGCCAGGACTGTCAGGACTACTGAGGACTTCAGTGCTGCCCAGCTGTAGCAAGAAGTCCATCCATAGAAGACAGACAGAGAGTAAGATCCACAATCAAGACTTTGGTGGGTCATTTCCACCTGCATCTCAGAGCCAAACAGACAAATCTGCACTCTAAAACACCAGGGTTGAAAAGGCACCGACTACTTATTGGGTTATTTTGACCCAGAATGTCGGGTTATTCAAATTAACCTAACATTCTGGGATGACTCAATAACCCTTTTTAAGGGTCACGTTAACCCATCATCGAGTGAATTTGACTCATGTACCTTATTTTGTACTCTTGTGTACTTTTATCTAACTGATTGTAGGCCATAGCACCAAAGGTCTTGCCTAAGGACCCACACTGGTGGAAGAAGTTCATTTCTTACGGATGTGTCTCATGTGGGATTCGAACCCCTACCCCCTGGTTGGGAACTGGATGCTCTACCCACTGAGTTAGCCCAGCCACCTAATATGCATTGGGGTAGCTACCCCAACCTACCCCATATATAAAATCAAGGTCAAAGTTCACAAGGTAACCAGGTCACTTTAATTGCCATTAGACCTAGAAACCACGTAGAGTCAATCAAACCCGATGTTCTGACTGAATTATTGGTTTACGCTTAGAGAAATAACCCATAATTATTAACCCATTCAAAAAACCCTCAAATTGGGTTACTATAGAATCCATATGACCCAAGAAGTGGGTATGGATCTGAAAAATAACAGAGAAGAGTGTGTGAGATTCCTCAAAATGGAGGTGAGACGTATTCTTCCAAACCCTTCCAATGATAAAGCTCATGATTGGTGAAGTGGCTGTGGTGTTATGGCTAAAACAGCCACTAATTAAGCTCATGTATGCATACTCTTAGTCTTTAGAGTCTATTTTATTGCTTTAAAAAGCTCAACAGGTTAATTTCTCATGTGACTCCATCCACTTCCACTAGAGTTTCCCCTAGAGTCACTCTGCAGAGTCCTCGTTCCTGTGTGTGGTCTGTGTTTTTTAGCAAACACTCCCCTGACTTACTCAGTGTGTTAATATTTAGCTGCTTGTTCATCCAGGAGGATTCTTAGTCGTCAGAGTCTTCAGGAGTTTGTTCAGATTTAAAGAAAAAGACAAAGAGTCTCTGTTCTCCTGAACTCTGAATGCGGGGCAGTGATTTGTTTAAAAGTTGTAGATAATGTGAGCAGAGTAAGTGAGAGTTTGAAGAGAGATTAAAACTCGGACGAGAGACTCCTGTGATGGCGCCAGAGTGGCTGACTGTCATCGTGGCTTCAGGTAAGAACAAAACCTTTTATTTTTCTGCATTATCTGTATTTATCCTGCTTTTAAACTGGCTACACTAGTGTAAAAGGTAACACAATTCTTTTGTTTCTACCAGCTGTAAACACATTTGTGTTATCAAGGGTTCCCTCAGGTTTTTAAAAATAAAATTTAAGTCTGTATTTTCACCGTTTTTTTACCATCTGCTGTGTTGATTTATGTTCCTCTGTTATGTAAAACCTGGCAAAACCAGACACATTGTTCCTTTGTACTTTGGTTTCACCAAAAATATATTAAAACTTGACACAGCAACTTCACTCTGATGATCACCTTAAAAATAATGACCAAATATATACTGTATGGATAACTGGAAATCCTGAACGAGACCTTGGAATCTATCATAAAAATTAGGGATCACACAATTGATGACGTTGGCTGTTCAGATATCACAGTGACACCTCAAATATGTGACCTCTCAAAAGTGAAAATCTGACTTTTAAAGACATTTTGAGAGCTGAAAGTGTTTAAATCTAATCCAAGACTATTGGAAGACCCAGTGGTCTATTTTACAGAGGGTCTATTCTCCATCAGACTGTTTAATCATCAGGATTAAAACAACAACATGCACTTATGCCCAGGAAGAGTTTCATGGTCCATTTTGTATCCATGCATTTGTATAAATATTGTCTCTAAGATTCAGGATAAAAAGACAAGTATGGTCAATACTTGTCTTTTTAACCTGAATCTTAGATATTTAGATCTCAGCTAAAAATTTTGCACATTATTTCTATTATACTTTTATACCTACAGAATATACACACATTTTACTGGAAATTAGTAAAATTTCTTTTGTTCTCAGCACATTTTCATGTCTCGTTTTTGTATCTGTGAGTGCTTTAAAGTGTCTGAATGTCTGTGATGTTCTTTTTTTGATGTTATTGTCTGACTGTGACTTTAGCTGCCATTATAATGCCGTTTAATAAGATATCTATCCAGTCCTAACCCTGTTTGTATTAGGCTTCAAATTAAATTGATACAAAGTAGGTGTTAAGGTTTATTTACAGCATGTTGTTGCATAGAGCAGCCAGTCTGAGAGCCGATCAGATGACCTTTTATCTTTAGATTAAAAATGTATAAAATTAAGTTATGACTTCTTTTCTTTTTCTGATGCAGTGACGGTTTCATGTCCTCCTCTTCCTCAGGCTCCTGTGTAGCTATTGGTTTGGTGATCTTGATGCTGGTGGTGGTTTTCTATGGAAAAGACCCTCTCTGCTGCAGATTCAGAGTTGACAGGACTGAACAATACAGCGTAAGAACACAATGAATCTTAAAATGACCAGAAAATATATTCAGTGTGTTGTTACATCTACTATGAGACCTTTATGGCTCATTTCAGCAGGATGAGGTCAGCTTTAGAAGTCAAAACTTGATCCTGCTTTTTGATTTAATACACATTAAATGGAACTTTTCAATTGAAGTTAATTCTTATGTTGATGTTTCTGTCCTCATTAAGCTCTCCTTCTTCTCAGAGTTTTGCAGCTGACACACCTGTAAACAAATAAGGCAAACGGGACAGCTTTGAACACCATTGCTACCATCACGACCTCTCTTTGCTTAAGTAACCTTGCTGAAATCAGAAACTCATAGGTGCACTCACAGGCTCTGCTGCCATTGTGTGGATTGCATGACAGGATATTGCAAACACATTCCCCCATCAGAGAAAGTTGGATTCCTGTAGTGATAGGTTGCTCTTACGTCAGTGTTGCTGTCATTATTTCCCTAAAATGGGATTTGATATGACATGTGTGATCTGGTCATCCCTGACACCACAGCTGAGACTTATTGACCTCCATGATGGCTTTTGATCAATCCATGTATTTAATGTAACTGGCTAGTTAAAATGTGAGGCATAATTTTCCGGGCTGCCAGCATTAACGTATGAAAAGAGAAAGGTCAAAAATTTGCAGCTTCCACGCCTGCTGCAGCTGCGATTAAACATAATCACAATACTGCTTTTTTCTGTGTGTAACAGTGTTAACTTTAAAAATAAAGAAATATGACCCCCATATTTTAGACAATGAGCACCTTGAAACTGTCTCTACCTCTAAGTCACAGTTGCTGACCAAACTGGTGTAGCAGTGCAGCATTTATTTCAATAATAAAAGTAATTGTCATTAAACTATATTTCAGGACACTGCAGGATTCACGTCATAGTAAAATCTTTTGAGAAGCACACTAATAGAATTTAAAGCAATGCATCAGTTGTGATTTACTTTGTCAACTCTGTTACTAGTGGCAATAAAAAAATAACTCTTTGACAGCCCTAATAATATCATTTTTAAGTAGCGAACAGACTAACAAATGATAAATAGAAATACTGTATCATTAACTAATCTGGAATCATGTAAATCCTCATTAATATCATGACACATGACTTCTCTGCCAAAAGCCTGTTTTTATTTCCATACCTTTATATCTGCGAGGAGAGCTGTCCTACATTGGTTAAAGTCATGCAACATTGTGTGGAAAGAGAAAAGTTGATTTGGGTTGAGTTGGCAGTGGTAGGAAAGTGATGGTTAAAAAGAATGGAAATGGCATTCCCAGTTTTTTCAACCAATCAGCACACACACACTTCATTGCAATCTAACATACAATTCATGTAAAGATGTGGATTTAGACGTCTACTCAACGACTGGACAAGAAAGCATCGATACCATGTTTGTTCTTTTTTTTTTTCAAGTGTTTGATTTATTGATTGCCACCAGCAGTAAAGAGAATCTCAACAAAGTTTAAAAGTACTCACAATCACTGACTTTCTCTGCTCCCAGGATGAAGGTCATCATTACCACAGCAGGCACACTTTGATTGGCGTGGCCCATGATGAGGAAGTTGCTGCTGTGAACCAGGGAGCTGCTGGATCTCAGGTAGAAACCTGATGAGGACTGATTGTTGTGAATATAAGGAGTACATAAGTGCTGCTTTCAGAGGAGTCATGTTTGTTTCTCCTCATCTAGCTTCCTGGAAGGCTGTTTATAATCGGGAAGCCCAATGATTACTATCTGAGTGGAGGTCTGCCCAGGCTGCCTTCCTATGAGAGTGTTCGTAAGAAGGACCGGCAGAGACAGATCCACAGCATGATCTCACAGCGCTTTGGTCTGAGTGGCTGTCCGGATGAGGTGAGTGGACAAGATAATAATAAAAGGTTCTGTTTGATTTTATTCTGGTTCTCCTAAAGTCAGAGTGGACCGATCATCAACATCAGGAAAAAACTGTTTGTGTGGAAGGCGAAGGCAAGCATAATCCATCAGAATGGCAGCTGTGCTTCCACTGGGATTATTCTGGCAGTGATTTATTTAGCTTAATTGGAGTGTGGCCAACAATTTGTCCTTAATCAAACATCCCAACACCCCAGAAATCTGCTCACCAGAGCCAAACCGTATAATGATTCCTGCAATCCTGGAATAAATCTGAAATGTTCAATGTGAGCCCCATTCAACAAAAGTTGAGGCTGTTTTCACACTTAAATCTCATTTGATTCGTTCTGATTAAGATAAATACAAAAAGATAAATTGCCTCATTTTTTTCTTGTGCCATTACTTTTACCTGCTGCAACACTGTAAAACCAAAAATCCGCTATGAATTGGAGGCTGAATAATGCAGAGTACAAAGCTAGAAGTCTTGGCTGAAGTCATTTAAGGCAAACTTCTTGTTATGATGGGCTGTCTGACTCTTATATTCCACCATGACGGTGTTCAGTATGTCTCTGCTGCAACACCATGACTGTCTTGACAGTATAGGTGATGTCATATTCAGACAGTAGCCAGTTGGCTCCAAAATTCACAGTGAACCGATCTTTATTCTCATAGGTTTTCTCTTTAAGGAGCACCCTTGGATATTTCACATACTGATACTTCCTCTACCCATTTTTTTAATTCCAGCCCCCACCACCGTATGAAGAAACCCTTCGCCAGTCAGTTGAAATTTTACCCTCACACCTGCACTCTCTGGATGCTCAACATTTGGTCCAGGATTGTTCTTCACAGGACACACATGACTCAAACCAACCATTCCCAGCACTCCAAGACCTGCCCTCCTCCTCCTCCTCCTCCCCCTCCTCTTCCTCCTGCCCAGCACACAGCTCCAGGTTTCTGTCTATCTGAGTTTACTGCCAAGCCAACAGGAAGACTTTTGCTGTTAGAGCCAAGAGAGAGGGACTATCAGGAGTTTCTGGAGGGGGGGGACTTCTTCTTTCAGACAGAGCTGTTGATCTTGGTCTGAGCTTTTCTCATGGTAATGACTCTGATTCAAGCTGTACACTCCAAGAGTGACGATGACACATCACTGCATTGTTTGTGCAATTACTGGTGGATTTTAAGTGGTGTGTTTTCCAGGAACAGTCAAATGAGAGAGGAAAAATAACAGTATTCTTCTTTAGAAAACAAGCAGAACATTTGATATTAAAGTCTTTTCCTCAGCTCTAACAGATTTGACTTGTACCAATGAAATCACTAAGTGTTTGATAGAAAAGATAGAACGCTGTAGGACACTAAAAAATTACCAGGATGTATCTAGGTATCAAACTGTCTGTATCTCCTGAGGATCAAGAATAATAGACAAAATTTTCAGGACACCTCGGACAAAACTGCTACAACAGCTTATTTCATCTCCTATATTTACTTTTGGCAGAAATGTATCAAGTGAAACAATTGTGCAGAGTTTATCATCTGGTAACCTTGACTTTCTGCAAAGAACATCTCGATACTGTGTCAAGAAGATGTCATTATTGAAACGTATAAACTTTGACCAGAAAGTGTCGCGAGTGGATAAGATTTAAAAAAATGAAGATGGTTTTATCCTCTGAGAATCTTAAATAAATGTACCAAAGTAGCAATAAACTGCTGAATTGTTTGAATTAAACATAAACTTTTTGGTGGAACAAGAGAAATGTCTTTTGATTAAGGTATACATCACCCTCATGAGAACACAAATTAATTAATCAACTTGAAACAGCAAAAGTAGTTTAAGCGTCCAGAAGTTATCCTCTGGGAATCCTGAATTTCTAGACATCAAGGTAACACACTGAATGTCTTTTGAGATTGAACAAAAGAAATCAAAACCTGAATGGCATTGTCTTTATGGCAAAGGACCAAGTGTGAGGTGATATTTTTGGTTAGTTGGCTTCATCCTCTGAGAACCATGAATATGTGTTCAAACTGTCAAGACCATTCAGCCATTAGTTATTGTGATAATCTGGACAAGGCATTGCCATCAAAAGTGATTTCACATCTAGGTTTCACACACTGAAAAAGTAATGTTTCTCAATGCAGTGTACAAGGATCATCTTCTGAGGATCACGAATATCAGTATTCATTGAAAACACTACCTTGATTCTCTAAATGTACACAACTGAATATCATCAACAATAAAACTTAGAATTAAACTCTTGATTGATTGATGAATTTGGTCCTCAATGAATTACTTTGCACCAACAGCTTTTTGATTAACTATCATGGTAATGTGGACAGGCTGTCATGGTCCCCAGAGGATAAAACCAAGTAACTCTATAAGCTTTTCCCTGAGCTTTAGCAGTACCACCACCTGCAGATTAAAATGCTTTCCCTTCGAGTTAAACTTAGTTGGTGCATTGGGATGATTCTCAGTACAAATATTTGTGGTTCCCAGAGGATAAATCCTGCAAACTTTAATTAAAAACATTAGTCTTACACTCTCTGAATGTATACAACTGAACTGTTTAACAAAATCATATAGTATTCTGATCCCTGTTGATGTTAATAACTGTTCTTGCAGTTTGGTGTCATGAAAGTTTTTGACAAGCAGGCATGGTCTCCAGAGGATAAGGCCAAGTTGCTTTGATACAATGTTTTTTTTTAGACATGCCACCAAGCAGCTGAAATCTGTGGTTTTTTGTGCATTTGACAAACTTTTAGATGTAAACATTTGACACAGTTATTCATGGTTCTCAGAGGAAGAATTAAAAAAATTTTAGAGTTTCCTTGAATTTTTTTTTTTAACTCAACAGCATGAGGAAACACAGATTTGATCCAAGACCACGAATCATGTGGAGTTTAATCAGAATCACCACTTTTGCCCTCTCAAAATTTGTGTTTAAAACAAAAAAAATCTCTGAACTTTAATCTCTATTGATCTAAATGTCGCAATGGTTTCGACCAAGTATTGCATGGATAATCACTCGAGTTTCAACAGGTATTCAGAGGCATTTTCAAACTGGTGGAGCAAGTGACAGACCTGATTATCCCAAAAGATTAAAACTCTGAGTTTAGTTATTTTTACTTTAAAGCACAGATTCTTTAAACACAACATTTACACCCTGCAAAAGTAGTGTGTCTTAGAGAGGTTAAACAGTAACTTATCACTGATGACTGTTAGTTTGAGAGGTAAAGTACGACTGCAGGGTTACTCTTTAACCCAAATCAAACACTAACCACTGAAAACACAAACCCAATCTAGTCCTCCTGGTATCTTGAAGGACTAGATTGTATTGTTAGAGTACTTTTGTGCATTGGTTGAATAGGTTTCTAAATTGATACTGACCCAGAAAGGGAATATTTTTGTAGTTATTCAGTAACCACATGGCCTGTATTTTTTCTTCTTCATGCACAGGAACAGTATAAGGCATCCACTTGCGTACATATCTCAATAAAAATACTCCTAAATTTACCCTCTCTGTATAATCCAATTAGACTGTGGAGTTTGCAGTGACCCAAGAGCAGAGATTTATTCCCCCACACACTCCTCACATCAATCACTCTGCTGGTTCTGCTTCATGACAGCGTTCAAACCCCCGTCCACTGCACCAGCCGTCACCCACACTCCCTCTGCATACCACAGCTGCTTTACTGGAAAACAAATGATCCTGTTTGTCTCCTCATTCCTGCTACACGTTGGCAAAGTATCTCACTGATAAACTCATAATGCTGACACTGTTTGCACAGAAAAGTTTAATCTAAAGGCAGGATTGAGCAGGAATGGTTGAGCACCTGGAGACAGAGAAATCAATAACAGTCATAAGGGCTTTCCTATCAGGTTAACTCTAAGAGCAGATTGATCCTTTATACTGACGCATATGAGGGTAAAATCAATCAAAGGAGCAGAATACAGTTATGTGACAATGATTGTGGGACACCCTGTGGTCTGTTTTGGTATTGCATGATACCGTCCCTTTAGAAAAATGCATTTAGGATCTCCTTAAATTGCTGTTTTAACATTCAATAGCTGGACTATTTACCTAATTTTGAACTCTTTTCCTCCTTTCATGGGGATTTATGATGATTTCTGCCCAAATTTATTGTGTTATGGGCACCTGCTGGATTATATTAGCCTGACAGTGCACAATAGGGCTTCATCAACGTACATGTTTTGGAGGTTCCCTCGTGATATATCCTTCTCTATAACCCACGACTGTCTGGGTTTGTGTCGGTCCTTCTCTGTATATGATACCTAACACCTCCTCAGACACGTCCACAATGTCCTGACACCTATTGCAGCATCCTGCACTATTAAATTTCTGTCAGAATTTCCCTGACCATGTAAATAAATGCCAGGAGTGAACATTTTTTTGTAATGACACAGAAATCAGATGAGATCCAGACTTTCTCTGAAAATCAAGAGTAGTCAACAACAAATATCTGGGATTTCTTTCATGGAGGTTTTTCTAATGAATTGATTCAAGTCCCAACTCAAGTAAAGAGTATATAAAATTGTTCTTTAAATTTCTATAATAAAGATTTTATATGATATGGCTGCTAAATGTTAAAATAGCTTGCTGCAGGTTGAGGCCAGGGAAGGAAGAAGACGTGAAAACACTCGAGGACAGAGTGACAAAAACATTCGACTGAGTGGACAGTTTTTTTTTTTTATTCCTATGACTGAAATTATCATCTAATTTAACATGAAGTAAAATATCTCAACTTCATGGACTCTGCTGTCTGCTGCAGTTAGAAGAGTTCAGAGATTGTGCACCATCTTGTGGTCACTTCTGGGAGTTGCACTTTTCAAACCCTGGGAGATTCTTGAATTCTTGAACTTCAGTGTCGAAGATTTGAAAAGAAAATTGGTGTTTTTTTTCACTGGCATATTCTCCTTCAGCCTGTCATCAAGCATCTAGGTGAGAATATGTTGTACCTACAGCACATTGTTGTTTCAAATGAGTTAAGACTTCTGCGATTTTAATATTTGAACACTTGATACCAGCCTTAACACAAAACCCAAGACACTAAAAACTAGACTTAATTTAGAAAACTTTAATAGAGCACATACAACACATCTCTGTATTACAATTACAGCACTTTAGCTCTTGAGGGCTGTGAGACCTCATCACTTTAGACTTGTAGGTGACCATTATGACTATTTCAATATGGTTCCTTTTTTTTCTTTCAAATCCCAGGGATTTTCCTTTTTTAATCTTATTCTGGAGACAGAGTGTTGTTGCCGATAGTTTTTAAGCTCCCTTCTGATGCCTCCAATTAGAAAAAAATGGTGAATTTCGCTGGAAATCTTCAAACATTTCTTTCAGTGTAAATAAACAGAAAAGTTCTATCCAACAAAGTCAAATGCCGGCCAACAAAGTCCATCAGAGCGACCCACAGAAGTGTTGAACTCAGGTACAGAGTTGAAAAGTGTCTCTGATTTCTTCCATTCTGATACAAAGGTCTTCACTCAGACCTCTGAGAATCAGCCAGAAGAGTCAGTCAAAGCAAGTCCATCCTGATCCCACTCACTTCATGAACACTTTAGGAATAAGGAGAACCATCTCTTCATGTGTCCAGTCTGTTTCAGACCATGTCCACCAGTTTGAATTTGCCCTCCTGTTTAGTCGGTATGACACTGATGAAGGTCTTGTAGAGTATGGCTCCTTGAGGCAGCTTGGTTATGACCTTGGTGGCCTCAGGGCTTCGGGGTGCAGGGATGTAGACCTCTTTGGTGAACCTGACGTAGCCATCCTCTAGAGCGTATAGCGTCTTGTTGGTCCCCATCCCAACCTAAAGACGGACAGGGAGAAGATTCAGGCTTAAAACAGGTCCATGATTACTGCATCAGATCAACACTTTTAGAGACAGAAAGTTTGACTTACATGAGCTCCTGGATGATACCTGAACAGTTTCTGTGTTGCCAGGATGTTTCCTGCATGGACAAAATTACCTGGTGGACAAACGGAAAGAGAAATCAGTGATCAACCTACATTCATGAAACATCTGAGTAAAACAAAAAAATCACGATACTTATGTGAATTGATTTTTTCTCCCACCCCTAGCAGATTCTCAAATTTACCTCAGTCCATCTTAAATGGTCCAGGTCTAATGAAGTCCATAGCATTTCTGGGTCAATTCATAATGTTTCTTCTTGGCATAACATAATTTAATCAACATGTGTTGATGCTCTGCTGTAGATCTGAGTCCAGCAGCTAATAAAAACCCTTACAGGTGTTGTATGCATGAGCTGGTGTTTTATTTTAATGTGTTACCCTGTTCGCTGGTGGTTACAGTTGTTAAAACAGCTGTTGAGAAGTGAAACTGTATTACCATCCTGTTTCTTGAATCCATATCTCCTCCCTGGACTCTTTCCTCCGACGTTTTTGGAGCTTCCTCCAGATTTCTTTGATGCAAACCGAACCCAGTCCAGGAGAGCGGGCTGACCCGGTACCAGCAGGCCTGGAACCAGGAGAACAGGAAGTAAATCAGATCATAGAGCAAGTAGAAAACACCATAAAAGCACTATATATCACTATTTTTTTGTTTAAAACAGATCACCTTTACGTTAGCCTACATTAGTGTGTCACATGTGCTCACATTAACCTTACATTTTTTAACTTTTGAGGATATTAACTTAATTCACTGTATTGTAACATTCAAAAACACATTTTTGTCGTGTTTGCACTGGTATTAAAGCAAGAATTTAGCTCATGGTACCTGTTCTAGACTTCAGCATCAAGGACGCCAGCGCTGCCATCTTGAATGATGTCACTTGCGTAAGTGGCGTCATTGCGTCACATCCTGATACTTATGCTACATTCAGGTTCCCGGAAAAAGTGGGTATACTCGCAAAAGTAGCACAACGTGTACACTATCGGCCATTAAGTAGCGCTTAAATCTTACGATAAAACATCCAGTTGAAATTTAATGATAGGATAAAAACACTGTAGGCTATTGTTAAAATTTACGAGAGTCTTTGCTCGAAACAATGCCATATTTTACCTCAAAATTGATATTAGTTACTTACAAAATACTTAATTGCGATTTAGAAATATATTTTATCGTAGTTAAGGTAAATTAAGGACATTAAATTGATATATATTTATGTACAAATAACATTGAAATGTCATTTATGCAATGTGTTTGACCCACAGACTGTATATGGTTTCCCTCCATGGGTCAAGGTGAAACGGCAGTAGGGGATTGTGCAATACTCCTGAACGCAACATTACGTTTAAACCCGGGGAAATCAAACAAGCTTTCATGCTGCAGGGAGACAAAACCTAACGTCTGGTACGTCTATTTCTCTAATAAAGCTAAAAGACTAACATCATTAGAGCTCAAAAAACGTGTTTGTAGCAAGATTTAGTTGAAAGAGCCACCTCCAGCCGGCGTAATGTTGACTGAATGCTGTTCCGTATCGACGATAACCGTTCAGTGCTTGTGGCAACAGGAACGTCTGACCCGTATTAAGAGATAAGAGTACGTTGTCGAACTCCTTTTCCCCCAAAAAAGTAAATAATTATATTATTATCCTTAAATTTAGGTTATTTTATCCAAGTAAAAGTTCGCCATAATACCCAGCTTATCAGGTAGCAATCGATAATGTTATGTTCAGTAACTTTGGTAAACAGCACGGCTGTCCCCAGACAGGACAAGTTGATAACACCAGCTACAAATAAAAGATCACTTTTATTTAAATACGTTTTTTTCTGAGGTATTTATCAGCCGAACTGTAAAATAAGTATTTTTCTGTTTGTATTTCCCATTTGTAATGTGGTGTTTAATATTTTACGTAATGTCACACATTGAAATCCAATTATGATAGATTTGTGGACAGTATTTGGTTAGGTGTCCGTTACTACAGCTTTGATCATTTCAGTTTCTTATTATTTCTGAATTTTATTTCGTTTTGACACTTTAGGCTGGTTTGTTGGTTTGATTAGGTTTCTGCTTGTTAAAAAAAAACACGAGTTTTAATCTTGTTTCTGTAACTTTTACTTTTATTCTAGTAATACACAACATCTGTCAGGTGTGAGACTCGTGTGTTATGTGATAAAAACAAACAAAACTTTCTCTAATAGTAGAGATAAATGCAAAATATTAACCACAACCACCCACAGTAGACAAACCATAAAGGACATTAAGACTTTAGCGTCTATACATGAGTCATGTCACTGCATTTTGTCTTTTTCCTTGTTGACAGTCATTCCGTCTTGGATGTGAAAGAAAATGGGCAGCTACAGTGACTGCACCAGTGACCTGGATGAGGAGCTGCCGGTGTTTGACTTCCTCAGCCAAGTCTCAAGTCACATGAAGAAACCGGTCCGTGTTGACTCGAACAGCTGTGATTCAGAGGAGGCGGGCATGTGTACCGCAGTGAAGGGTAAAAGAGCAGCTGATGTTATGATCGTCAGCAGTGATTCTGATGATGATGCACCTTATGTCCCTCTGGCTCAGAGACTCAAACACAAACAGGACAATGAGATTACCGCCTGCTCCGCTGTCACTAATGGGAAAGATGCTGAGCCGTGTTTAACATCCAATCTGTCCAGCTACCATCAGGTGAGAACAGAAAGCAACGTGGTCTCACATAGAACAGAGCAAGCTACCACTCTTCCGCCCAGGACTACCTGCATCACTGAAACCTCAAATGCCAAGAGGAAACCTGCCAAGCGGACAGTTGAGGAGATGCAGGCCTTGAAGGAAGAGGCCCTGAAGAGGAGACAGGCCAGGGAGGAGCAGGAGAGGCAGAAAGCAGAGAGGAGGGCTCTGGCTGAGGCTGCCAAAGCCCTGAGACCAGAGGAGTGTATCAAGCACATGGTGGTGGCTGTGGATCCAGGTAGAGAGAAAACATGGGAAAATACCTGGATAGTTGTAAATCAAGTTAGTAAGCACAGTGTGTTGTACTTATAAAGCTACTGAAAGTGAAGGGTTTATTGATATTGTTTTGTTTGCAGCTCTGCTACAGCTGGAAGGAGGCGGGACTCTTCTGGCATCAGTGCAGGCTCTTGGTTGTAGTTGTGCCATTGAGAAGCAGCAGCTCCCACGCAGTGTCAGCTGGATGAGGAGGACCCCCTGTGCTCAGGTGATAACAGACACAACTATACATTCTCCTGGCTGTGACTTAATTATATACTTTTCAAATTTCAGGTGGCACCTTGCTGATAGAAATTAGACCAAGACTGAAAAAAAAGAAAATGATGCTGTACTTGTAACGTAGCCAAGCGGGGCTTTTCAAAACTACTATGATGCCACAATTCTCAATTTTGATATTGAACCACTTAATTTGGCAACCATGGCTCGCAGTGTGCTTCTGATTACCATTTTTTGCTGTAACTAGCTTATATTTCTCACTGGAATGGCTCAGTTTCAGTTTGCACATGCTTGGATGAGGAAACTCCACCTAGGTTAGAATCCAATCCCTGCAAGCTAAAGAGCAGAAAGCTCGCAATAGAGGATATGCATGAGTACTGTTAAAGTTGATCCTGAAAACAATGTTAAAGTAAAAAATTAAAGGATGTGTTTGTGGTGTTATTAAAGTTCATATTACCTGAATATACATAACGTTTGTTTTCTGTGTGTCTCAGACAGAGGATGCAGTGTGTGTGCCAGAACCTCATGTTGTGATGCAGATGACTGTGGACGACTTTATCACACTGATCAACAACTACATCCAGGTTAGTAACTTTAACATAAACACAGGGGTTGACATAGCTGCTCTCTACAGATGTAAAAAGTTGCAAAGATGTGAAAAGTGGTTGTTGCGGATTGGTCATATATCATATGACCAATCTGCATCAATGTTTTTGATATTGATTGAGTGATGAAATCATCCAGTTAGAAAACCAGAAACCTTTCCTGTAATAAAAATAACAGTTTGGGAAATGGATCCGAAAAGGACATAAAGTCTGACCAGGTCGGTGCCTGGTACAGTGGAAACAACAGCATACCAAAGACAGACCCCTGAGGGACCACAAGCTTAACAGGACAGGACCCTGTAAAAATAGGTAACATTTGTTTTGTGCCAAACTCGGTCAAAAGAAGCTATTTCAGATCTTCATGTCTTTCAGTGACATTAGCGTTAACACGGTAGGAACAAAACAAAACAAAACGCTGGCTTTGATGAAAATGACACTGGCTGAATTTAAGGTGTTGTCACAGACATTAAAATACAGACACTAGGAGCTAGCTGAACTTACTGGTGCAACTGTCTCTCCACTCTGTAGCACTGTGGCACTTTTTTCCCTCTAACTGCAATTACTAAGGCTTAGGGTTTGAAACATTGGGATACTCATGTCTCATCCATTTGCACAATCTTTATCACAGCAGTTCTCAAGTACAACAAGATGTATGTGGAGTAAAGGAGAGGAATTTCTTGCAAATTTTGATGTGAATTCATAAAAAATGAATTGTTTCTCAACACATTACGAAGTCCCAGCTGTTGATAAGCATCCAAATCTATTGATAGTAAATTAATCTGTTGTTGCACCTGTATCGTATTTCTACAGGAGGAGAGGCAGGGCTGGTCTGACTCTGGCCCCTCCCTAACCTCCTGGGTCCAAGAGCGCCAAAGGTGTAATCCTGGCAAGATCCTGAGCCTGGTGGTCCTCGACCTGGAGAAATATTTCAGGTAGGGGAAGATGACGTCTGTGTTCGGAGCTGTTGGACTTTTAAACCAAACAAATCTTCATCCTCTGGCTTCAGGTGGCAGTTATCACCATTACAGGTTATACATGTTTCATCCGGCTGTTAGAGCTCCTTCTTTGCTAACTCCTGCAGTGTTATAACACAAAGACAATGTTCATAATTCTATAAAACATACAGTAAAGCAACAAAACCCCCTGATCTGAGAGGCAGGAATCTGACATGCATTAAAACACCATCTCCTTTGTAATATTGGACATCTGTCTGCTGATAGTTTTGGGTCAGAGTACAAACACAATCCTTGAGATGAGGAAAGAACAACTTCTCTGAACCCTGAAACAAGGTGCCGATTCACTCTCTGCAGTCTGACCACGAAGAGAGGAGGTGATTGTGTACAACAGCGTGAAGTATAGCACTCAGTGACTTGTGAAAAAACAACAAGAAATGGCACTCAGATAGCTTGTAGGCCAACTTAAACACATCTGGCTGTGCAGCAGCGAGTGGAAACACGTCACCTATCAGTGTCAGCAGAGTCTGGCAGAGCTGAAGATGTGTGAAATCTGTGGGAAGAGGAGGAAACGGAGTAAAGGAAGCTGAGTGAAAATAGAGATTTTTTACTCTCCGTCCCCAGATCCAACAAGTCACAGAGTCAGAAGAAGTTTCGAGAGGCGGTGACAGGTGAGGAGCAAGGTGGAGCGAAAGCTAAGAAGAGGAGGAAGAACGGAGGGGCCGAGGTTCTTCCTCAGGTGACACGAGTGGAAGTAGAAGAGGTATGTATGAAACAAATACTTTCTAGTGAGAGTTCGGCATCATGTATCACTCCTGCGAGGATGTTTCTGTTTGCGTTGATTTTGGTGCCCTCTGTGGACTAAAGGACACCTTTTATCTCTTCTACTTGATGTGAAATAGTTTTTTTTAGACAAAAACACCATCAAGTTGTCTTTTAACAGTGAAACATATGAGTCATAGTGGATATTTGTTGTGGAAAAAGTAAAATCAGACTGTTTCTCATTGTGCTGTCAATCTGAAATACTTTTGTACATTGGAAGGAATAAAATTCCTCCAGTTTATCCACAACAGCTGTAAAACTCATCTGACTACAGAATATACAAAAGTTGATCAAAATTTAACATTTCTGCATTTGTCAAATGTTTTAAATCAATAAGAAAGTTTTGTATTTATTTGTTTATGAAGTATTCTTCAAAAGTCGTCTTTTTTTAGTGCTGTCTAGTCAAATAAATTTAAAAACAAAAGCATCTCACTCCTTCTACGAAAGAGTATTAAGGCCACAAGAAGAGTAAAAAATATTTACGGGAGGGAGATTTTTTTTTTTTAATTTCCACTTCAAGATTGAACTCGAAATTTTAAAGAAGTCAAAACGAAAAAAATACAAAATTTCAACATCAAAGTCGAAATTTCATGATTAAAAAAAAATTAAATTAATTGAAAAAAGTTGAAATGTCGACTTTAATCTCAAAATTTTAATTTTTTTAATCTCGAAATTTTGACATTATTCACGACATTCCATTATTTTGTAATCTTGAAATTTAAATCTTTAATCTAGAAATTTCAACTTGATTGACATAATTTCGATTTTTTTAATGTTGAAATTTCGACTTTAATCTCGAAATTTCAACTTTAATCTCCGTCCTGTAATTATTGTTTCATGTTGCCCTTATCCTCTTTCGTATTTTTTAAACATTGAGATGTTGATAAATTGATAATTATTTGAGTCTTTTACTGGACTAATGTATTATATTAACTCAAACTATACTGGCCCCTTTTTTCCCATCAGGCAGTGGTGCACCTTCAGCTTCATACAGGTGTCTCAGTCCGCTTCTTGTCAACCTGGAAGGACTTCTCTGATCACATCACCATGACAACCAAAGCAGTGGCAGAAGCACCGTTCAAGTAAGTGAGCGAGCCTCAGCTTTGCAGGCCGGCCTCAGTCTTTTCCCGTCAGATCATCAAACAGACCTTTCCCATGATCCTCTGTGGTTTCAGGCGAGAGAGGGAGAAGACGGGCTTCTCTTTCTACCTGGAGAGCGAGTGGGCGGGGGGGCAGAAGGTGGATAAAGCGGGGAAGGGACTGCTGCAGGTGTGGAAGAGACAGATCCAGCAGCTGAACAGAGTCAGTACAGATATAGCCTCGGCTGTCCTGGCAGCTTACCCGTCCCCACAGCTGCTCCAGAAGGTAACAGCTCTCAAAGTGTTTGTTTTTCTCTGATTCACCTGACTTATTATCAGCAAGAAGTCTTAAAGCAAAGAATAGTTTGACAAATCAGGGCTGTTGGATTATGGTCTAAAAGATAATCACAGTTGTTAATCTTTAAAACAACACTTTTCACTCACAATTAAATAAAGAGTGATGCTTTTTAATCCATTTTGTGCAACGTATCGGTCATGTAGAAACTTGCAGGCCTTGGTTTTAATTTGGTTCAGGGTTGAAATATAAAGTAAGCTGTACTAATGAATTAAACTAAAATGACATCAACATTAGGTGTCGTCTTTCCAAGAATTGAAGATATTTGTGTCTCTTTGCAGGCGTACAGTCTCTGTAAGACTGATCGTGAGAAGATCTCTCTGCTGTCAGACCTCCTGATCCGCAGAGGAGAAGGCGTCACCTCCACAACACGACGAGTCGGTCCAGAGCTTTCCAAACGCCTCTACCTCCTGATGAATTGCCGGGATCCTGAGCAGACTCTGGACTCCACTGTCTGAAAAGCTGTTTGTTTACGACCCTGTTTTAAACAGGTTTGGACTGTGGCTGTCTCTGTTTTCTAAATTTAACTCTGTTGGTTTTACTCTTTATTTTTTACATCATGTTTATATTAAAGTTTTATCTAAAAAAAATGTTTTGACGAATGCTGTCTATGAAAAAACTGTTTTACTAGTGTTTTTGTAATACATGTAGAGGCAAAACAACTTCTACTCAATGCAGATAAGCTAATACTAAGATCAAACTACAAAATTGAAGAAAAAAAAACTGATGAAAGGAACTGTAACAGTCTGACCGATCACAAAAGTACAATATGCAACAAACCGGGTCGCTTTTACTGTGCCATGTGCACAAATTACACACAGAACCTCTAGTGATTGTCCATAAAAAAGAAGGAAACAACAACAACAAAAAGCTATCAACCAATAAAGACTCCCAAAAACTCCTGAAAGAAACACTGCAAACTTTCACCGTGGAAAATGTAAGATTTAACTATTTTTTATATAAATAGAAATAGAATAAAAAATAAAAATAGAATTTTACTGCAAGGGCGCAAGTGTTGGGAACCATCTCGTTTAGAAACAGCCAACTAAGTTTAAAGGCCTGTAAACTGAGGATCAGTATAACGCAACATTCTGCATGGTCGTACAAAGGAGATCAATTACAAAAAGAGAGCTACTTTTACTGCGCCACCTGCGTAATTTGCGCACAGCACCTATCCATTCAGCAGACACGCATGCTGACTGCAGCAGTGAAGTGATCACAGATTTTTTCCCCGTGAATTCATCAAGATTAAATGCATATGAACACTAACATGGAGGGGACACATCAAGACTGACATTCTTAGAGGTTAGATTAATTCAACCTCGGCCGCAGTCGGGCTTTTCTCCCATGTTTTTGCATTTTGATATCATTGGGAGATACATTTGGTGTGTTTGGTGCACAAACTGTAATTTGAATGTTTATGTATCAGTGTTGGCCCAATGTAAAAGCGCACGTGCATCCACAATGGTCTGAGCGCGTTCCATGGTTGCTTTGGTTCCTCTCCACGTGCATCAAGATTCAAAACATTCTAAACTAAACAGAAAATCTAAAGCGACCAAGAGAAGTTTACCACAACTCTAAACGCTGTGAACTGAGAAAAATTATCATCTAAACTGCAGATTTTATCAAACCTTTCGACGAATAAAGACTCCCCAAAACTCCTGAAAGAAACACCTCAAACTTTCAGCATGGAAAATGTAAGATTTTAGCTCCCTAATGATGTCCGCGGTATGCTATCATTGACCTGATACTGTCGAGGGTCGCATTTACCGGATTAATTGTGTGTTTTTTGTCTATTTTAAATAAGAAAAAACATCCTTAATGAACGAAATACGAATAGCGCCCCCCCACAGAAGGCCTATATTTGTTAAATTGTTAAAAGGCGTAAAAGGCGCGAAGCAGCTAGCTACTGTATATAGTGTAAAACTAGCTTATATGAATATAGACCTATGTGCTGCATAACCTGAACTGAATGGTCTGACCTGTGGAGGGCTTCTGCAACAAAAACTAGATTTAAACTCCTTCAAAACTGTTTTGATCATATGAAACATACGATTATGGTTTATTCACTCATAAATCACTGGCTAAATAGTAAAGGTTGAGGTATTTTAGGCCCTGTTTAGTTGTTAGTTCCTATTGGAATTAATTTCACTCTTACGTATGTAAGGTAGGAGAAAACAAGTGCAAAACCCACACACAATACTTAAAGCTCCTATGAGGAGTTTTTGACAATTTATAAAATAGACTGGTTTACCTTGATGCTTTTTAATCAGATACAAAATCAAACAAGACCATCAGCGACAAGACTTCAGATTTTTACACTTTACTTTTATTATCTAAAGTTGGTACAAAGAGGTAGGTCCAGGCCCTGTAGCTTTACCAAAACACGTTACACTGTGGAGTTTCCATGTGAAGAGCTTGTTTGTGGACCTGCAGCAGTGAAGTATTGCTTACATGAGAACAGGTGTATGTTTTGGGCTTTATCCCTCCTCCTTTCTAATCAGGTTAAATGAGGCCTTCTGTGCAGGGTCACACCTCGGCCCTTGTGTGTGTTACTGCTGTCCAATCCAGTTACCTGTGGTGAGCTTTCTGTGTCATTGAGTTCTCTCCTGTTTTCATTACCTGTCCGCGTGGAGACCTGATTTTCTTGGCCCTGTTTGTGTTTTCACAGTGTGCAGCGGTAAAAGAAGAAAAAAAAAAACTCACCATGAATCTGCTCCAGCTTGCTTTGCTGTGCCCACGGCTCATTTCTAACGCATTAGCAAAAATGGAACCTGACCAAGAAGTGATGAGTGGCTGGAACAGAGGAAAAGAGGGAGAAAGAGACGGATGTGTAACGAGCTGTTAAATGGGCTTAAGAGATGAGCAACATGCCTCACCCCGGGTCCTGCATACAGAGGAACCCTGAGAGCATGGTCTGCAGCCCTTCTCATGAGCTCCTCTCATGCTGGTATGAAACAGAGGGCTGTACCTGAACTTTTGGGATGTGGGATATGGCTCTCTGGATTATTAGAGGTAAGTAGCCAGATATAAGTCCATAAATACTTGTTAAAAAACTAAAACAGAATAACAGTGTTACAGAAATCTATTCAAAATACACCTTGGACGGTAATACAAAACACATGAAGCTTTGAAAGTTATTTCACCAGCTTTTTTTTGAGCATTACAAACTGAAAACAGGGCGTCTTGTACATTTGAAGTTGGTGGTAAAAAATTTGAGTTGTAATATTTTGAGTAGATACTATTGATGTAATACATTGTGTACAGTTAATTTTTATAAAGTATCATTCAATCGAATCATTGAAGTATGAAGAGGACATAAATATTACGTTAAGGCAGTGGTTTTCAAGTCCAGTCCTCGAAGGCCCACTGTCCTGCATGTTTTGGATGTTTCCCTGCTCCAACACACCTGATTCAAATGATCAGCTCGTTATCAAGCTCTGTAATGGGTTAATAACGAGCTAATCATTTGAATCAGGTGTGTTGAAGCAGGGAAACATCCAAAACATGCAGAACCACTGCGTTAAGGGAAAAAATAGATTAAACTTGGAATAAAGATTAAGTCAACTGAACAGATATTTTTTCAGTATAGTGTAACTCAAAAAATTTATCAGCATAACTGAAAAGTTTTCTGAACTTGTTCAGGTTTACAGTGTGGACAGATGTACAAATGATTGAAGTCAGTTTTTCACATTCTGCTCAGCATCCCAAAGTTTTTAAAAGCAGAGTTGTACAAAGAAATCAAAGTGGTAATACTAAAATCACCCACAGTTAAAGGTGGATAAAAAGAGTTAAATGTACTCGAACACGTTCACCTCACATTCAATCAAATTAATCCATACAAAGGTTGAAGCTGAGATCCTTGGGGCCCTTAGTATTGAGAAACCCCGGAGATGTTTCCTGTTTTGTTGGCTGTAACTCTGGCATTTCTTGGAGATAAACTTCTGAGGATGCTTAATTAACGAACGTGTTTAACATGAGCAATAATTATGTGTTACTATTTCTGTGTGAATCTTTCCTCACAGTGAGTTATTTCTGTTGTCTCTTGACATCTTCCCAACCTCAAACCCAGTGTGTGCACGTGTGAAAATAAAAGAACACAAACACATGTTAATGAGGAGAAGGTGTTAATTAATCCACCCATGATAGTGTTTACACATATGGGAAACAATCTTGATAGAGGTTGTGCTGGTGTCACGTTAAAGCAGGATTCAGCCACTAGGGGGTAGACTTGCTCTACAAACTGCAGGCTTTGGTTTAAACCGAGTAAGGTTGGGGGGGAGTCAGGAAAATAGCATCATGTGTCAGGATCCTGGAGGTTGGATAAATTATCAGACAGGCAGAAAATGTATCCTGTAAACTAAAGGACAGCTGAAGATAAATATGCACAAAGAAAACGGCTGAAGATTTTGATAAATGGCTGAGATAAGTTTCCTATACGTGTAGATAAGATTTGAAAGCGAAGGGCGTGTCAGCTGGTGTTTTCTTTCTGTGTAGGATGTGTAGTATCTCCAGGCTCGCCTCCAGGACAGGCTCATTGTGTAGAATAAGGAGGAGATGTCAGCTTGAGTTAAGGTGAAATAGGTTCTTTAACCCTGCTGTCTGCCCTATTAAGAATGTATGATCATGAAGTGTGATATAATGTCAGCCTTTCAGGGAGAGCTCACTGTGTGCATGCACAGGATGTCAATGTGTTTGTGACTGTGTGTGAATGTACTCAGTCTTTAACCTTTACTCTATCGTTTTTTAGTCTTAATTCCTTCTTTTTCTGACTTTATTCCCTCGATGCACACACTACCGGTGTGCAACATGCTTCTTATTTTCAACCCAAAGCGACAGTTTCAGTTTCTTTCTTGACAGTAATTAGCCGTAAATATTTTCTACTTATTCACATACTTATTCCGCCTAACAGGATACAGTTATAATTACATTTTTGGGGATGAATAGTAGTAATCTTCCCAAAACAAAGACACCATGTGATATAAACTGTTCAAAATATGCATGGATTTTCAAGCCAGAGCCTTGGGTTAGGGAAAATAAACATGCTGACGCTCAGAGCTGTTGTGGTGAGGCAATTTAGCTAGTGTACCAGTACTGCGCTAGCTTGTAGCATGATTATCTTAACCTTTGACTTCTTTGTCTGGTGATTTTCAGTGTTATCGTTTTCACAGTTTTTACTTAATCATTTGCACTGTGATAGAAGACAAAGATTTGGCTCCAAAAACTGTCTTTAAGAAATGTTGTTGGGTGGCTTAAAAAACCCTGATTTCCCATCTCTTGCAGATTTCAAGATGAGCTTTCTTTCAAGAGAAGGAAAAAAGATTCAAACTCTGCTCTTGCAAGGTAAGATGGATCACAGACAACTTGAGCAAGATCATATGGCCGTTGTAGAGTTGAAATAATTGGCGGATCTTTGTGAACATTATGTGCTTGGATTAAATCTTTTACTGGATTCGGATTATGGGGACACTGTCACAGCAGGAAGTGGGTGTAAACCATTTGACTTAAAAATCAGCATTCAGTTTATGTAGTGATGCATTTTCCATTGTTTCCAATCTCACCATAGTTTTGGTACAGTAATATCAGGTATGGTTGTTGACAGTGGTCAACCATGCTCCTTACTCTTGCGGTCTTATTACACATGTAAGGTGAG